AAGAAACCGATGCAAAAGTTCCAGATCCAGTTGCTGGCAGTGGACAGGGCCATACCCTTGGCACGGTAGCGTGAAGGGAAGATTTCGGCCTGGATGGTCCAGATCATGGGGCCCCAAGTGGTGGCGAAGCCAAGAATGAAGAGACAGGCGAAGACGATGAGGACGACACCTGGCGTGGGGGTGTTGGCGGGATCGTTGAGATCAAGCATGAAGTGGCCCACAGAGGCGAAGATCATGAAGCAGATAAACATCCAGATGGAACCGGCAATGAGAGACTTGCGACGACCAAAGTGCTCAACCATGTACAGACCAATGAAGGTGACGGCGAAGTTGATGGTGTTGAGGATGATCTGAGTGACAAAAGAGTTGATCTGCACCGACTTGAAGATGGTTGTTCCGTAGTAGAAGAAGTAGTTGGCACCGGTGAGCTGCTGGAACATCTGCAGAGTCATACCGAGAGCGATACGATAAGCCATGCGGGGGGCCTTGAACATGCCGACAAACTCCTGGATAGGGCTAGTCTTGAGCTTGTCTTCGGCGCGGAGCTTGCGCTCAATCTCCACGATCTGGGTGTGAACAGCCCAGTGGTTCTCCGTTGCGCCATAGACACGGCAGATGGTCTGCTTGGCTCGTTCTTCGTGTCCGTGTCTGAAGTCGTAACGAGGGGTCTCGGGGAAAGCCAAGATGCCCAAACCCAAAACCAGGGTCCAGATCCATCCCAGGCCAATGACGATTCGCCAGCTAGCCGAGCTGTTGGCCTGGTGCTTGACAGTGCCGTAGTTGAAGCAGGCGGCAAGGAAGATGCCCATAGTGATGAAGAGCTGGTAAGCGCAAACCATGGCACCACGAATCCAGGCCGGCGCCGTCTCAGCTTGGTACATTGGGACAAGCAGACTCAGGGCGCCGACACCCAAACCAGAGATGAATCGGCCAATCATGACCTGATACCATGCGTCGACAGAGGCAATCTGGATAACGAAGCCGATGGACACAATAAGACTCCACAGCGAAATGGAAGGCTTGCGACCAACGCGATCGGCGATGGGTGCAGCAACCAGGGCGCCAATGAGAGTACCGATAGACAGGAGGGCGACAATGAGACCGGAGCGAACATTGCTAAAGTACTTGGTGCCATCAGAGTGAGTGAGACCAAAGCGGTTCAGGAAATCGGGCATCTCGAGGAAACCCGAGATCTGACCAGTGTCGTATCCGAAGCTGGGTAGGAAGAGACATTAGCACAAGTCCATGGATTATCAGCTTGACAGAAGACAAGCGGTACTTACATCAATCCACCCATTGAGACCAGAGCTCCCATGGCCCACGAGCGTCCCGTCACACGTGGCAAAGGAGAATAGTCCAGGCCAGAGACTGATGGACGGCCATGGCTTGGGTCGTGCTTCTCCGACGAAGGATCATGTTGGTCGAAGTAAATGGTCATAAACCCGCCCCTTCTGGAACGCATTTTGAAGTCCGGGCTTGCGGTGTCAGAGCCCTTGAGTGGCAGTAGGGGTGTTGTGGCTGCTTGAGGCTATCACGGTAGATAGGTGTCACCCTATATGTGAACTGTCCGTGGAGGTGTGTGTTTGTAGATATATAAGAGAAGAAGAGAGCCAACGAGTTATTGTAGACAAAGCTTGGCCCCCTACTGAAGTGATGTAGTGGTGATGCTGGCTGTGATGCCGGTGGTGTAACTGTCTCAGTCGGACAGGATCGTCGTCGTGGAGGAGGGGAGGCATCGGGGTATAAATCCTCTCCCGCATGGGCAAAGCCGCCACTGATGCCCGGGCAGCTCCCAATGACCTAATTGCTGGCACAACACCCACGCCATATGGTCACGATCAAGAAACCGTGGGACCCCGGCCCAAGTCCGGCGGTTTGGTGGGTGGTCGAGCAGGCATCTCGAGCACTCACACGCGCTGGCCCCAGACTGAGGGCCCGGGGACGCACCACAAACGGACACCCCACGGGTTCAGGCTTGGGGAAACGGGCCCTCCAGCGAATGGAATCCTGGGGACGGCCGACTAGGGGACCGCAGGGGGCAAGTCAGGTGTGAGGCCGAAAGCGAACGACCGCGAAGAGGCTGGAAAGGCGCGGATTGGGCCATTGGGTGACGAGACGGCTCTGCCCACCATACCGAGACTCTCCTTGCACAAATCGGTCCTACTCTCACGGACCTACTCCAGTCGCTGTGGAGAGGCAGGCCGGAGGCAGAGAGGCAGAGAAGACGGCCAGAAACTGGAGATGGAAGCGGACTTGGCTCGCCGGTCCCGTGACGCGATTGGTCGCTTTGCCCCCGAGCCAGCGGGCAGGAGCGAGGTGAAGGCGAATGAAAAGCAGGCAATCGCGATTGACCGAGACTCCACCAGCCTGAGAAGGGCTCCACCGGGAAAAGCTTATGTACCGGCTCTGTCATTGCACCTTAAATTTCCGTGCGTGTGCTTGGGCGATCTGTGTCTGGCCATACCTTGCTGCTACCTCGGTACGTACTGAGGTACATCGTCTGCCGGGGGTTTCTTGTTTTGGGACCATGTCTCGGCAGACTCGGGCCCCGGTTTTCTCTTCTTTTTCTTCATCCTTCTTTTCTGATAAGGTGAGGCTTTAGCAGAAACATGCGTATGAATCAGCAAGCCGCAGTTGCAGATCCAGCCCACAATATCACAACGCTTGCAGAATTAAAACCGCGCATTGCAACGTCCTCAACATGGTATACACGATCTCGTAGAGATAACAATTCCCTTTTCTTTATCAAATGTAACAGCATACCTAAAAAAGTAGGAATACGACGCAACGTCAATGCCCTGCAGGCCTTCCCTCAACCCATCAATCGTGCCTTCTCACTGGACGCCCCATGACGTCGTCTCTGCCGCCCCGGGTCCGGCAAGTGGGGCGGCGCCAAGCACCGTCTCTTCCGGCCTGCCCTCGGCACTTCCAGGCTGATGACGTCGTAGTAGCGGATGCGTCCTGTCAATACGCCTGATGCTCAGAGAAGATACGCACGGAATCAGCAGGGGCCTAATACAAATTGTTCTGCATGAATGCGGTCAAGGGGAGCCTCGTGGAAACCGGGCAGAACTTCGATAGAAAGCTGGGCATAGGTCACCATTGAGGCACTATCAGCTCTTGATAATTGCTGAAAAGACGATGATACAAGGCTTGGTAATTTGCATACAGCGCCACTAACAGTGTACCTCAAGTGCTCTGTGCGTGCACTGACAACGCTGACGAGCCCTGACAAAGCCACGCAAGAAAGGAGTGAGTATGTAAGAAGAAGCACGGAGAACCGTCCACAGCCGCTTTCGAAAACCGAGAGAAAAACACCAAAAAGTCTACAGATGGAGTAAAATGTCCGAGTCAGCAGGTGTCCTCCCTTTCGGTCCTTTACACTGCAAAACGCGCGTGTTCCGGACATCTTCCAACCCCATGACCCCAGAGATTTGCTCTATGCTCTGCATTTTTTCTCCATTCTGATCCGCAAATCCCCATCTCCCCATATCCCCATAGACTTCCGTAATCTGTGCTGATCAAGCGGCGCTTCTTCGCTGAGATTTCCTTCGAAAAACTCGTGTCATACTCCTCCCCCAATCCTCCACATTCCTCCTCGTCCCTCATCACGGGAAGCTTAACGGATTTCGCATCAGATCAGCCCCCGAGAAGGTACCAGTCAACACCCCCGGATCATGCTAAAAGCCTGGCCACCATCTCCTCATGCTGCCTCCCGCGTAAACGGCCCCTCGGCCCCTCCGGAAACAAAGTTCGGCGGTCTCTGTGCCCTCGATCTTCTTCTCCAGATTACATGTATTCTCCTTATTCTGCCCAACCAATGCAGTACACACGAACAGAGAAGAAAGTAACAAGGCGTCGAATCAAACAGCCGCGTGTGACATGCCAGATCCCTCCCTCCCATCAAGCCATGCCGCTCTCCCTCCCATCCAGCGTTATCCCCAATGGTACTAAGAAGAGACCACCAAAAGGGAACAAAAAAGCATGGCTGCCGAAGAACGGCCAGAGTTTCAGCCCGCCCTTTTTGCCTCCTCCACTTGTCGGCCTCTTTTTGGTCTCCAGACCATCTAACGTCTCATCCACCATCTGATTTGATGGGCTGCTTCTCCGTAGAATGTAACGAGATCTGCCCCAAGTTTCTTCCCACAAGCCTCATTCTCTAATTCGCCGTCGGATTCGCCTGGTTTGCCGCCACGCACGTGTTTTCAGCTGTACCAAACGGCTGGCAACGACTTACCTGCCCGGGTAGGGTATTATTCTCTTCTAGATCGATACAACCCCAGATGCCAAAAACTGGAAATGCACGCTTTCTCGTGGCAGCCACTTCGGCAAGATGGCCAACTTGCCTGGTTCAGCAATGACCCAAGCCCAGCTGAGCGTTTGGCCGAAGTCCTCAAATTTCCTGTTTGATGCTACCTTGGAAAGCCACAGGCTGCAATCAACTTACACCAAGTTAAAGGACTATGCTGCTGAACATTGATCGACGCAGCTATTACTCCGAACAATGTCAGCCTCTCGACCTCCTCCTGAGACACGATTCAATGCGAAACATATCGACGTTAAACTTTGTCCTATTCTCCACGCTAAATGAATCGCGACTGACGCTACTCTGTATACTTCGCCAGTGTAAACACGAACTCATTCATGTCAGATTGACCGACAGAGCGGCCGCAATCCCGTTTTCGTCCCGTGTTTGCTGCTTTGCCTTTCTCTTTTTTTTTTCCTGTTGTTCTTCCTTTGTTTTTCTGTATCTCGGGAACTCTTCCACCTCAAGGTTATTACTAGCCCCGTACGCCACGCGCCATCCTTCGTTTCTATTACCGTTCTATGCATCCGTTTTCGCTCTCTTCATCTCAAATGTGCAAATCATCAAAAGGAAAAAAAAATCACCCCAAGACTTTTGCCAAACACTCAAGTTCAGCCGTTGGAGACAGCCTCGTAGCTTGCCATGAAGAAGATCACACCAGCTCCCGGGAAACACCGGGATGGAGCAGTGTCCTTCACAGCTCCTCAGCGGGAATGTGACCCTCCACCTGGCTCAGGGCTGCCAGGTTCACCTCTCCAACACGCTCGAGGCTGGCCGGGTCGCCAGCTCCAGCAAGCAGACCCACGCACTCAATCACATCCTCGGGCTCCAGAAGGTGCCATTTAGCCAGCGTCACCTTGGTGCTTGCTCCCACAGTGACTGTAAAGACGTGCTGGTCGTCCAGGATCGTGCCACATGCCGAGTTCAGGCTGCGGAACATGTCCTCGTCCGTAAAGTCGTCTCCAGAGCAGAGAGCAAACTCAATCTCGCCAGGGTAAGGGTCCTTCTCGGTCGGAGCAGCTCCCGGGTTGTGATAAGTAGCCACAAGCCGCTTGGCGATTTCACCCTTGTTGATGAACGTAGGGCGCACCTCAATGTTGGCCTTGCCCGGCATCACCTCGACCTCCCATCGCTGGGCAATTCCAGTCTCCAGCTCTCTGTGGCACTCGCGTGACATGTGTAAGCCTTGCTCGGGCTCGGCCAGTCGATAATGCCAGGTCAGGGCGCAGCGCTTTCGCTCGATGAAGGAACCTAAGGGACAGTGTGTTAGCTTCTTCTTCTTTTGTCTTGCTTTTTCTTGATGACAGGCACCAACTTACCTGGAACCTTGTCCGTATACCGCTGGAACACCTCCATGACCTCTGCTTGCCAGCCCATGTCGAACTTCTCTGCCAGGTTGACCCACTCGTGGCTGCCGGGGTCGCGCATGAAACTACCATGCTCAGCAGAGAAGCCAATCCGGGGAATGTGGCCGAGATGTTGCTGAAGGAACTCTTGGTCTCGGCCAGAGATGATCCAGACCGCATTCCTGGGATCCGACGCAAGCGACTGCAGATAGCGGATGATGCGCTCTGAAGGAACAGCGGCGCTCGGTTCGCGCACAATGGGCGTAAGAGTGCCGTCGTAGTCGAACATGAACAGGCGCTTCTTCGCCGCGCGGTAGCGAGACAGCAAGAGGGCGCGGTCGAGCAGGGGTGTCGATGTGACTGAGTTGGTTTCGCTCAGCGCAGCGTGAACCTTGCGAATGAACTTGGTGATCCACGACTGGACGTTTTGTGTCGTGACGTGGGTGTAGAGGCTCGTCTGCATCTTGGCGCGCTCCTCTTCAGACATGGTCAGAGCCATGTTGATCTTTTCCGCCACGCCCGAAAGATCCCAGGGGTTGATGTGGATGGCATCGCGGAGACTACCCGCCGTGCCGCTGAACTCGGAGAGAATGAGCGGGCCGTTGCTGTCCTTCTGGCAAACAATGTACTCAAGACTCGTCGTGTTCATTCCGTCTCGCACCGAGGTGATGAGGCCAATGTCTGCGGCCCGAAGCAAGGCGAAGTACTCGGCCTGGCTGAGGTATTGGGGGTAGTGCTGCACGGGCGAAAAGCCAAGACTGCCGTACTCGCCATTGATCTTGGTAATGAGCTCGTTGACTCGGCTGGCGTTCTTGTTCTCCGGGTCGCCCTTTTCGGCCTCAACGCTGGTGGGCGATGTGACCTGGATCAAGACCACCTTCTCTCGCCAGTGAGGGTACAGCTCCAAGAAGCGCTCAAACGCCTGCAGCTTTTGGGCAACGCCCCTCACGCTGTCCAAACGATCTCGTCCGACGATGATCTTCTTGCCTTCGTACATCTTCCGGACAGCGGCGTGCTTCTCGTTGACGGTGTCCGCCCAGGCCGCAGTTTCCACCTTGGCAGCGTCGATGCCAATGGGGAACACTCCGACCTGCACCCTGGAGCCGTAGGCGTCGATTCCAAGCGTGTCCGAGGGGAACCCAAGGATACGCGTGCAGCAGCTGAGGAAGTGGCGCGAGTAGCTGTAGGACTGGAAGCCCACAAGATTCGCACCCAGAATGCCCTCGAGCACCTCCTTGCGACGGGGCAGGCATCGGAGGAACTCGCTGCTGGGGAAGGGCGAGTGGAGGAAGAAGGAAATGTACATCTTCGGAGCCCGCTGGCGGAGCATGCTGGGCAGCAGCATCAGGTAGTAATCATGGACGATGACAACATCACCAGGCTTGTAGATCTCAATGATCTTGTTGGCAAACTTCTGGTTCATGCGATAGTAGTCGGCCCACTGCGCACGCTCCTTGCGGCCATCCGTGGGCTCGTGCTGCTTGTAGTGGAAGAGTGTGTAGAGATCGTGCTCAGCATAGCGCCTCCAGCGAGCCTGATCCTTGAGCATGATGCCATCGGCGGTGGCCTCGTTCTCGTCAGCAAGCCAGACAGGCACCGTGCGGATGGTTCTGCTGTGGGACAGCTGGTGCTCCAGCCGAGTCTGGTCTGCCTTGGGGATCCAGAGTCCGTCGACTGGGGGAGGTGTGGGCAGCCGAGTGTTGGCATCGATCGGAACGGGAGCCGACAGCGAGTTGGCGGTACCAATGGTGGTGGCCGCAGCTGAAGGAGTGTCTGGGGGAGACAGCGGGTCGTCGTCGGGGTTGGCAATCTCGCCTGTCCAAGCAACGACTGTGTGATTCCACGGCGTCGCCTCGGACGAGAGATAGGCGAAAGAGTCGATGAGGGCCGACTGGCCGCGGCGGGGCTTCAAATCCTGCGCAGCCGAAACCAGTCAGTATGGTGGTTTCCACGGGCGGAGGCGACGGAGGAAAGCAGCAGAATGAGGCAATCAACCAAGCGAGAGGGGGGAGAAGTCTCAGTTAATCAAACAAAGCTCGTCAGCCTCACGCTCGCCTCGACCAGTGCCGAGTTCAAGCGCAGACGAGCTTCAGGGCCTCCCCAAGACGATCCGCAACCAAGAAAATGCACTCACCCAGGCGCCGCCCTTGTGGTATGTCACAGCATGGGGGATGTTGAAGGTGGCCGAGATGATGTTGCCGGTCAAGAAGAGCTCGGGGTTGGCGGCGCGAATCTCAGACAGAGACTCACGGCGCGCCATTCTGCCGTTACGCGCGAAGTTCTCAGATGGTTGTGGTTGTGTGTCTTCGATGTCGGTCGGAACTTTCGATGTCTCGAGAGGTGCTGGAGGAGGGGGAGGGGTACAAGGTCAGCGGCTTGTCCGACAGGCGTTAGGTGGTTGGCCTCGTACTGTGGTGCTAAGCGCTTTCGTTACTGGTGCCGAGTGCTGGGGGAAGGCTCAGATGCCCTTTGGCGGCGGGGGGGCTCTTGACTGATAGCGAGCACCTCTACGGACGGTAGGTGAGGAAAGGAGAGGCTGGAGGAGTCAAGGGATATCGCCGTCAAAGTTGCAGGTTCAAAGAGAGAAGAGCCAAAGGACAGGAGGTGGGAAAGGGTGTGGCTTAAGACGACTACTAGTACTCTGGGGGCGCAACGTTTATCTCCTTTCCGTCGATGAATGTCCTCGGGGCTCGTCTCTGCTCAAGATGGCCTGTGACTTGGCCGCCGCCCTATCGGGAGCTCCAGCTGCGGGTCGTGGCCCCTTGTCAGCCGTGGCTCGTTCGAAGCTTGTTCTGCGGTTTTCTGCAACTGAGGGCGCCATGAGCAATACAAGAGTGGGCATTTTCCCCATATGAGAACATGGAAACGACCAGGTACAAAATTGCAAGCGTCAAGCTGCTCCTGAGCAATGTACCATTACATGTACCACACGTCGTACGTGGAGAGGGACTGGGCAGAATGGGTCTGCTATTGGCACACGGTGCAACGCTGCCTCAAATTCTCACAACCTCAGCCCACATAACCGTTAAATGGCATTCACACCTAACCAGCAGATGCCACTCCCTCTCTCAACCACGTCCATAAATTCACTCACAGAGGAGGGGTTATGGAAGGCTGTCTGTGAACCCTCGGGCCGAATGAGCATCTACACGGTCTTTACCTGCAGATGTGCTTCTTCGCTCGTCTGCAGAAACGAGACGGGTGCTTCGATAGGCGGGCATAGGCAGGTCGACCTCTGGATCTCAGCCCAGTATCTGACATGCTCAAGGTACCGGTGCAAAACTGGCAGGAGACCTTATTGTCTGCTGAGGTGGACAAGGAACTACGAGTAAGTGACCAGTACAGCCAATAAATGTCAATGAAATGACCATCACCGGCAACCTGGTGCGGTGGAGCGGCACTAGGCAACTCCAGCGCAAGCGTCCTGGAAACCGAAATATGTATGACCAATGGGCCCAGATGGTTCACAGCAACCCATCGCCAGACCACAGGGCACGACGCCCGGAATACGGAGTAGCGAGGCTCTGGTTGGATCCAGCGGAGAATCTCCGTACGGAGTAGGCTGAGCGGGGGAGAGCGGCCATGGCTCTCTTCCCCCAGGCAGATGAGAACAGCCCCTTTTTTCGGCCTGCTTCCCACGAAAAGGAGCTCGTTCAGGAGAGGAACACTCTCCCTATTGACCTGTACCTGCATGTGTCGTACTATCTTGACGTGTAGACTTTTATGTAAGTCAAGCAGCGGTGAGCGAGAATGAGGATTTCACTCCATCCCCGGTTGCTGATTCCAGCCGTGGTGAGAAATAGTAGGACATACTTCCGTAGTAGCTGAATTCTTGGAAGTGGGCTGCGGCACGGAGTAACCTTCCAAGCTGTTGGATGCATCGTGCGTCTCGGGCAGCATGCACCGTCTCAGCCCGGTGTCAATCTTGAACGGCCGCTCTGCCAGAGGAGGCCCAGGCCAGGTAGGTAGGCTAATTCTGAGCCTTCGTTACGATTTTAGCATGTCTGGCATACGGTTGCCTGTTGATCCCGTCCCTGGCAGCCCGCCCAGATATCCACAGCCGTGCGCTGCTAGAGCCGCAGAGAGACACCACTACTGAGGCGCGTGAGCGTCGCATCGGAGCAGACAGTCCTGTCAAGAGTACATGTACGTATGCAGGTGAACGAACTCCACCAGGCAATGGACATCGGTTGATTTGCTCAACCTCCAATATGCTCTCTACTGTGTTGTATCTATCACTGGGTCTTGAGGAACACACGTATCGTATGACACACCGTAGATCTTGCGGCTCAAGATATAGTCTTCGCGTTCCTGAATCAAACAGTGGCGGGATCGACGGAGCATTTTCACGTGCTTTTCCCCAAGCGCGTACCCAGTCGCATTACCCACGTCACTCCAGCCCAGCGATGTGGATGCGAAAGACTTTTCTCCAGCCAGCCAGAGGCCAGCAAAGAGGGAAAATGTCGCGCGTCACAGCAGCCAAGGCAAGGATTACTGGGCCGATCTGCGAGTTGTCAAAGAATTGACACTGAGAGCCGTCATCGTAGTGGGAATGACGCTAAGCATCTCGTGGAAACTGCATGTTTGTGCGGCTACGTCAACCTTACGCGTGGATTTGCTGGCCTGGTTGAGATTTTGCTGGATTTTGCACGTCGTCGGTTTCAGCAGTTCTCAGGTCTGCTGGAGAAGGGATGCAGGTTATACTCGTAGAGAAATGGATGTGGCTGAAGAAGAGCATAGATTTTGTCAATGAAATTCCAAAGCAGGTGTCTCGGTTCTCGGCGTGGATCTGAAATATGTGAAGCTGCTGATGTTGTCGAGTTGTAGAGCTTTATTCTGGGTATAGCTTCCAATCTGGTGTTTTGTCTCAACCAACCAAGGTGTCATCCAGATACATCCGCAACAATACCACGGTCTCACAGCTAGCTACTAACCCAGGTCCACACATATGAGCCAAGTCAATAATCACCGATTCGCCAATTGCCAAAATGTGCATCCCATTTGTGTGTGACGATGATACAGAGGTAGAAGCCCCTTCCACCACAGCTCACGAAATGGCCTACCCTATATCGAGGCAGAATAGTCCAGATTATCACGTGATCCGCAACGCCCATGCCCAATTCTCTCACGCTCGCTTCCGTCTCGGTATCGGCGTCACCTCGCTTCAACAACCCACAACATCCGGATATCCGCCGACAATCAGCCATCGATCGCGACATCAGCCTCGCGCAGCTCAGCTTCGACATGTCGGCATCTCCCCCGCCGTCGCCGTCGCAGCACGCCACCGCCCACGCCTACGCCAGCAACGGGCTCGAGATCCTGCAGGCTGCCAGCGACGCTGCCCAGGCCATCCAGAATCACCATCCGCTGCAGAATGCCGCCGCCGAGGCTGTTGCCCAGTCCCATGGCGTCGGCGTGCCCATCGCGCCCGCGCCTGAGATGCCGCCGGGGCAGCTCCAGGGCCAGCTCCAGAGCCAACTTCAGGGACAGCTCCAGGGACAGCTGCAGCAGCACCTCGTTGCCGGACCCGGCGGCGTCATGCGCGATCCCACAATCAACCCCAAGCTGACGCGGCTGCGGCGCGCCTGTGACATGTGCAGCATGCGCAAGGTCAAGTGCGACGACTCCAACATGCCCTGTCGCCCGTGCCGCGAGCTGGGCGTCGACTGCACCTTCAACCGCGAGACCAAGAGGCGGGGGCCGCCTAACAAGCACGCAGAGGCTGCCAAAGCCGCCAAGAGGGCTCGCATCGATCCGTCTGTTGTGCCTCCTGGCTTCCCCTCGTCGCCGTCGCCCCAGAATGCCGCCAAGACGCTCATGACGATATCGACGGACAGCGTTCTGGATGCCGAGGCCATTGCGCCAATGCCTGTGCTGGAGCTCCTGGTGGATGACTTCTTCACGTACATTCACCCACTCGCCCCGTTCCCCCACGAGCCTACGTTTCGACAGTCATTTGCGAACCGAGAGGATCGATTGAAGCCCGAGTTCTTGGGATTGCTGGCTAGTATGATTGCTGCTCTGGTCGCATCGTTTCCGCGATCTGCGAGAGAGCATCTCAAGGCGCAACACAGCACGCACCTGTTTCCCAAGGCCATAGTCATGATTGAAAAATGTCGTGACATTGCTCTTCTCACACGCGGGAGTCGATGGGTCCTGAAGCAGCCAAAGACATTGGACGATGCTGCTACCAGCTATTTCCTTGGATTGGCGTCCGGCTATACTTCTCAGTGGAATGCATCTCGACACTTCATGGCAGAGACGCTGACTCTCCTCAGAGAGCTCGGCTTCAGTAGGCCCAAACACCCTGGAGAACTGCCTACGTTTGGGAGTGACAGCTTTGCCCCCGACTCGATGCCTTTCAACCACGTTAAGGACCAGATTGGCAAGCGCATCTTTTGGTGTCTTCTGCTGGGCGTTCGGTAAGGCTTCCTCGTTGCCCTGTGTCTTCTAGCTCTCATCGATATACCTACTAACTGTTTGTAGGTCGTTCTCGCAGCTGGGAGCATCCCATACCGACATCGTCATTGCCCCGTCGACGCCTAGCCTTCCTTATCCTGCATACCCCGAGAACGTAGATGACATTTGCGTTCTCGCAAACGAAATCATTCATCAACCGGAGGGTAGTGTGACGCTTCTCACTGGCTTTCGATTCGCCATTGACATCTACACAACCATGAATGGCGTCGTCAGCCTGGAGCTAGCGTATGGCATGAGCACCCTCCCTTGGGCAGACCAGAGGCTTCTTCTACGAGATGGTCTCCTGGCTGCTAAGAGCATCATCGACAACCTCCCACCTGAGCTTCAGCTAGGCAATGCCGCGGCTGAAACAGATCCTTTGGCTGGCATGGAAGACGCCGGCCTCCAGTACGTCCCGCCAGTGTGGCCCAACACGCAGCCGCCACACGACGTACGCAACATCATCAAGACGCAGCCTACAAGACGTCGACAGCTTCAGTACGAGATTCAAAAGGCCAACATCTTCGTATCACAACTGGCCACGAGGTCTTATTTCGTGGAGCTGTACTTCAACCTGCGAGATGTCCACCTTAGCGAGCAGCAGCAGACTCTTGAGGTTGAGGGCACGAGTGAGGAGGACAAGGCTATTCAGGATGCCGACGACAAGGAGATCTTGGAGTTCATGTCCGCTGAGCGGGAGATTATTGTTCAAAACCTCCTCACCGTGCTAGGTTCTATCTCGCAGCGGAATCTCGAGCCGAACGGCGGATCTCTCATCAACAAGATACGCCAGGTCGCATCTACGTTGCTCAACGATGCCCCCGAAAGGAAAGGACCGTTTGCTATAAAGTCAGAAGAGGCTCTGTCGCAGCTCCTCGAAGTACTCGTGAAGCTTGAGAAGACAGGCCCTGTACCCATGGGAGAAACCCGTGCGCCAGATCCGCTCCAGATGACGGCCGAAGATGAAGAGGAAGAACTGCGGTACTGGGCTGACTTGAGGGAATACCAACTGCGTTATGCTGCAAACGCAGGCTTCGCTGGAGAGTTGTAGGACTCCTTTGTCTTTTTCCGCGGTTCCCTTCTAGGGACTGGGGTTGGTTTTGGTAATGGGATTCTCCGCGTGGGCAGCGGTTTGAGATGCCCTCATTGTTGTACGTTTAATGGGATACGAAGTAGGAATGTATCATAGTGTACCTGTTGGAGTTGAGTACGAGTCAGCCTCGGAACAATAATACAGAACAATACGAAACACAGCTGTGGTAGCAGCGAAGAACAAGAATGAGAAGCCTGCCGTTGTTCTCTCGCACAACGCCCAACCGACATAAATATTGAAGGGAGTGGCCATCGAGCACCTCAGCCAGCCCATGCATTTATTAGAGCCAATACTACTTAGAGTAGAAAAGGTATCTTCTGCTTTCTCCTACTATTGCTATATCCTCTAGTATCGCCATATGCCGGTCTGCCTTATCTGTCATCAGCCCCTGCCCAAGTACGAGTGTCCATGCTGCCCCAATATCTGCCGTCGGCTAGTATTCGTCAATGCATCCCCTCTCAACACCAAAGCGCACATGAGATCCCGCCCTTTGGGAAGATCAAAAATCTCTCCCTGACCGCGGACCTCGAGTTCCCTTCCCGGTCCTCGGCCGCAGACGGCCTCCCTCCAGGCTTGCACGGTGGCTGGGCTGAGACGGACCCCCCAGGAGCTTCGTAGCTCCAACTTGTGGGTGTCGCGTGCATCCTTCGAGATGTCATATGTGAAGACGCACTGATAGTTCCCATCGCAATACCAAAGTTCCATGAATTCGAGTTGTGGCATGGTGCAGGCGGCGTGACCAGCGGCCTGTATCCGACTTTCGTACGAGACGGGGGGAACCAGTTCGGCAAAGAGGGAGATGCGCCTGAGATTCCTCCATAGGATCCTCCTGGTCGCGCGCTTCTGAAGGTCGTATCCCCAAAATGGCCGGAAGAAGTCGTCCGCCTCGACAATGTCATTGACATATAGCTCTTCCAAGTCCCGGCTTGCCTTTGCTAGGGCCGAACCGAAACCAACTGTCGCATGTTCCCACGTCAAATGGGGGCTGAGGTGTTTCTTGTTACAGCGACTGGTGCCCTCGTAGATGGAGATTTTACGCAAGCTTCGGCGGTACCTCAAGGTGTCTGACAACAGGATGTCGTTTTCACGAAGTCGGATATGCCGCCCCTTGACCTTGGCCGTGTCATAGCCTTTCCAGCACTCGTAGGAGAGATCGCGCAGCTGGGTGAGGTTTCTGATTATGAGGTCGAGGGCCTTTGATATGGATATGTGTCGATAGCATTGGCCGCGGATCACCAGGGCTTTCACTACCCTGACCCTGGGCAGCGTCTTGTCCATGCGCTTGACAGCAGGTGCCCGCAGGTCGAACCGGAGCCCCTGTGGATGCCCGACCATTCTGAGAGCAGCAGCGTCTGTGATGCGTCGCCGCTGACCAGACCGCCATCCGTGGGATTCGTCGTCGAGGGACTGAGAGGACTGGAACCCGCCTAGTGTGTGCCACGCGGTATCGTTGATCATGCAGCCCAGCTCTTGGGCATAGTGGTCCACGATGCTGGGCGAATGCGCACTTAGCTCGAGGGTGATGCCGGGGTGATGATCGTTATTGAGTTGGCTGAGGATCTCAAATAGGCCCCAGACAGCGTCCGTAAAGAGAAACTTGTTGACCTTGTCTTCCTCGACCGACTCCGGTTGATCGCATAGTGAGCAGTCATACGAAGGGAGTTCGATGCGCAGCCAGATCCAGCGGATAAGCGCGCCGCATCGCGGAACGACCTCGCCCAGCGTTGCGATGTCGTCTTGGTGGAGGGTGAGCTTCTCGAAGTTGGCCCTCTCGAAGAAGTCGCTCCATTCGCGGCAGACGGATGCGTAGGCTGCTTGCGAGATGCCGGTCCTGTCTCTGCGCACCCGGCGGCGGGTGGGAGACTCGTATTGGCGGCATTTGAAGTCGCGTAGGTGGTCGAGGATGAGCCATTGGATTTCTGTGCTGAGACTTGCCCAGGACATTGTGCCTTTTTGTTGTTGTTTGTTTACTTAAGATAAGGGATGGTGTTGATGTTGAACGGCAGTGGATGAGGAGGGCGAGCACAATGAACGTCGCGGGCGGTGATGACATTCGAAATCACCAAACAGGCACGATCAAAGTTAAAGTTAGGCATTCGTAACATTCACCTGCAACGACCTGAAGAACTCACCCCAAAAAAAGCCATTGTGGCTTGTAACAGCCTTTCCCATTGGAAATTCGACAGGTTGGGGCGAGGCCAGGACTCCAAGTAGGGGAGCGCTCCTCCTCCTCCTCCTTCTTCTTCATCATCGCAACTGCTGCACGAGTGAGAGCTTGCTAATCATGCTTGGACTTATCGGCCAGCCTTTCCCTAGAGCTGTCACTAGAAAGTAAGACAAACCGACAAGCTTAACTGCTTTGAAGGGTTACTGTCATCTGACATACAATTCTGCCTGACATGATCAAGACCCAAAGTCGAAGACAGTGTTATGTTGCCGAGGCTCTAATAGTGGGCAAAGCAGCAGAAAGTGTGATATGCTTTGTTAGCTGCCATTCCCAGTTGACAACGGCGACTTATGTCCGATTTCAATTTCTGACCCTACTGCAGACCGGAAATGCTCAAGTCTCCCGAAGCTCGAAAAGGAGCTTGCTGAAATCGGCCGAAACACTTTGCGACGCAAGCTCAGCCCCAGATACAGCTGGTTGGTGAAACATTGTCGACCTACTTGAACTGAAACAATGAACTTTTCGGAGACAAGCGGGAGGTTGACGAAGCCGATGGGGTTGCGGTAGGAGCAACGTATGTTAGATGTCTTGCAGAGGCTCGGCGAGATATCTGTCCGAAGCCCTTCACACCCTCAACCAGTTCGGTTGTTCTCATACAGACATTTGCAACAATAACTGCGCATGGTTGCAACCCAACATTCAGAAGGATGCTTGGAGGATAAATTGGTTCACGAGTATGTGTTATAGGGCACTTTAGAGGGCAAAATCCAATAAAATGTTCTGCATCTGCATGCCGCATACCCGAATATGCAAGCGGTCGCTCTTTCGGACTCTACCTGCCTGGACCGCACCTTTATCAGTGTCATTTTTTTTCCTTTTCTTTTTCTTTTGAGACGATAAAGTTGCCTATGTACCCTGTTGATATGTGGTGCCATCTGCTCAATTTATTCCAGCATACCTTACCTTATGCGGATGGAGGGTAGAAACAGGGAATCGACTGCAACGTAGGACGATGGCCAAGAGAGCGGCCGGTCGTATACATGTTTCAATGGTCGAGCTTCGATTTAAAGAGTAGCCATCATGCTGCTTTCTGGCAATAAATCATAAATCCTGAAACATCATTGACGAGACCTGTCGACTGTCATGATTCCTGCCCACCGCAGTATTCGCCTTTGCAATGATTAACAAGCTCCTCCACGGCCCTTCATTCATCAGTGGCGCTGCACGCGGTAAGGTAACATGACCTATGTCAAAGAACTGTGCTCACAATCGATACGCCAGGAATCGGAAGGGCCACGGCTTTTGCCTTTGCGAAATATGGAAGCCCCCAGCTGGCCCTTGCTGACATTGATGCCGTCGCGTTGAAGCAAACGATCAAAGAGCTGAAGAATGCCCACCCAAATGTCGAAGTTCTGCCCATCGAATTCGACGCAGCCAGTGCAGACTCGACAGTAAAAGCTGTGGAAGCTGCATCTTCGGCCTTTGGACGGATCGACCACGCTGTAAACAATGTCGGCATTCCTGGTCCAATGGGCCCAAGTGTATCTGTCTCAACCGACGATTTTAAGAGATTGCTTGACATTAACTTGACGAGCATGTGGATCGCTCAAAGAGAGCAGATTAAGTTAATGCTTCAACAAGAACCAATTCAGCAAGAGTGCGTGATGTGCTGAAGGATCAAGGAAGTGGTAACTGAACAGTGCATAGGTTCGGCAAAGTCCGTGGCACGATTGTGAACTTGTCGTCTGTTTGGGGCGGGTTTGGCTCCAGAAACTTTGCTTCGATGGCGGCTTATGTTACAAGTACAGCTTATGATCGGGGATCAAGTCGGAAGTGGTCGTCAATGCTAACGGGAACACATAGGTAAACACGGTATTATAGGCTTGACGAAAAGTGCAAGTCTACCACCCTTAATGTCCTCCCCTGGAGGCGGAACTGTCTCTTACATGCTGTAACAGGATGCGAACCAATACGCGGCGGAGCATATCCGGATCAATGCCATCTGTCCTGGCTATACCATGACACCCATCATGGGCGATGTTGGACCAGAAATACAGCGAGCGCTTGACGAGGGAATGCACCGAACAGCGATGAAGCGGTTTGCTCAACCCGAGGAGCTTGCGAATAGCATTACGTATCTGAGCTCTTGGATGAGCTCCTTCATGAGTGGCGAGGCTATGTTGGTCGATGGGTGAGCACACATACTGAGTAGTAGGACCCTTTTAGGGTGTTTGGCTGACTGCGTTATCAGTGGATTTTCCTCTTAAACGTTGAATGTCGTAGGACGCACACTCCGCGAGAATGCGGTGACGTGCGCGCAACGGTCAAGTCTGGGAGGATTCAGACACGTCTGAAATGGCGGCTGGGAGAATGAAATGTACAATTGATTGTATTCTTCTTTTTCACTCCTTGCAACAGTAGAGCGGATGAAGTTAGTGGTAATTCATAAGGTATTTCGCCGTTGCAGGCAGCCGGCGAGTCCGCAACCCTTCTGTCACTCTTATGTCTACCATTTGTCTCTCCTTTCAACATTCCCTCTTCACACCGGTCAACAGAATACAAGTATGATTGTTGATCGGAGGCAAATACCACATAATGCTTTAGCCTCGATGCGCCGGTCAATGAGATTCTGCCTACCGCTTTTGTTTGTATGTGCCTCACACAACGCCTCACTTAATGCCTTACATATCGCCTCACTTTTTCCTGGAGTACAATGTGCGATAAGGCATGCGATGAGGCTCTGCATTGGCCTTGTGCCACATTTACTCGATGGCTGCGCCAATTGTGGCAGGTCTTTGAAACGTGTCGGATCAGCATTCGTTGAGGCGCAGCTGCATGGCGATGCAAACATCAGGCTCCGTTTGTCTAGGTTGGAGATTGACAAAGAGCGGTGTCTCCATACAATTTATTCATGAGCGCCTGAATCACCACTGTCTTCTTTTGCGGACATCACATCTGTCAAGACATTTTCTATCAACTTGCAGTCATGGCCGCAAACCTAGAACCTGGCTTTTTTCGCTTGATCCTCCTATCGCCAGGTCAATGGGACGATGAAATTCGTTGCACACTCATCCCTTTCAACCGCTTTCGAGATACATACCCCCCCTACAAGGCCTTGTCATACGTCTGGGGGCGTTGGAGTCGAACCCCCCCAAAGATCCGTGTGAATGGGCGTAACGTCAAAGTGACGACCAACCTCGCAGTCGCCTTGAGACACCTGCGGCATGGGGAAGTGGACATGGCTCTCTGGATTGATGCTCTTGTAAGTATGCTGCACTCTCTCAGGGTGATGGGTTCATTGGCTAACTGAGGCATAGTGCATTGACCAGAGCAACACCGAAGAGCGATCATCCCAGGTTGCTCAGATGCGTGACATTTACAGCACTGCTGTCGAAGTCATTATGTTCCTCGGCAGTGGGCTTGATTACGGTGTCTCAAGTAACCACCATTCTTCCCGAGACCTGCGCCCGCTTCACATATTCGATGGTGGCAAACCCGATTTCTTGCTTGCAAGCCAGTACATCGACGCTTGGAAGACATCACCCTTGAAGAAGCCCGTTCAGGCCCTGGAAGTCTTTGCCTTCTTGACTATCATGAGTTGGTCCAAGAACTCCCTAAACCCGCTCGGAGTTCTAGAGGATATTCCTGAGGCTCACATGGCTGCGCTTGCCGAGGCGTTGCGACGTACATTACTTGCTCCCTGGTGGGATCGCATATGGGTTGTCCAGGAGGCTGTTGTTGCCAACAGGCTTACCGTGAGATACGGCAATGTTACCGTTCCATGGAAACTGCTAGTCGGAGCTGCAGAGGTTCTATCTGGCTGGGAGTCTATTTATACGAAAAATCCCGGCTCCCTCTCGACCACCGACCTCAAAGTCTTCAATCTTTCCTCGCGCATATTAAACTTGGACAACTTCCGCACACAATGGTTCCAGTCTCGAGGAACAAATCTCCTACTCCTCCTGCGATACTTTGGATCTCGACGGGCTTCTGATGAGCGGGACCGAGTGTATGCTCTCGTAGGATTGTGCAACGAAGCAACAATCTTTCGGCCCGACTACAGCTTACAGGTGGCTGAGGTGTACATGGCACCAGTAATCGTGGCTATCAGGAACACCGGGTCGCTCCATGTTCTGATGGGAGACCACAGTCGCAAAGGAAGGCAAGATATACCATCTTGGGTTCCTGATTGGAGCGCAGAACGTGAAGAGCTGGAGCGGCAGCGTATCGAACTTTCCACTCTATATGATGCCTGCAAGGGCATCAAGGTCCTATTAACGACGGAGAACGACTCAGTACTGAATTCGATTCGTGACGATCTAGATTCCCTTCTTGGCAGACTCAAGGCTGAGCAAGACCCTGAACGCCTTCTCAAGGAGGAATATGCTCCGGTGCTACGCGATCTGTCGAGCACCAGATTTACACACTCGCCATTCGACCGGCTGGAGATTGGGCCCATCTGTGCTGAATTAGCAATGTATTGTCACCAATATGGTCGCAGAGAACTCCCGAAATACAGCATAATCGTGCACAATGGACGGTCCCTCAGAATCGTTGGCAGGAGAATTGGGACTGTATCAAAAACAACAGAGCCATTGTATGAGTCTCCCAATGCGAACACAGCGGTCAAAATGCTTGGTGAATGGGCAAAAGTGGCTCGAGCAAGGCCTGTTGGGTGTGAGGATGACAACTTTGTGAGAACCATCTTCTCAGACATCATGAAAAACCCAAATGGGTCCCTGGAACGGCTGCAGTGGGACGGAGGATTTGTTCCAGGGGGAGATCCAATGGAGACACTCATACAAATCTCTGAAGATTACGACCAGTTCTCAGACGTCGTACGGATTTCAACAACCAAGCGAGCAATGTTCTTCATCAACGATGTTGACAAATTTTACTCAGAATCGATCAAATCCCTCGACGAGCAGGAACTGCTTCTCGCCGAGAGTGAGAAGGTGTTAGATCAAAGCTTCGAAAAAGAAGCTCATATGGATTTGCTCCGACAGCATAAGAGGATTATTGATGAGGCTAAGCTTCTCCAACATAGCGAATTCCTTAAGCTTAGGGAAGACATCATGAGGAACGAAGCTGAAAGCCTGGCGAAATTTTTTAAACATGCGGAAATGCTACTTGATAACCGTTCGGCCCATTTCTATCTGGGATTATCTACCCAAGAAGATGAAGGAGTACTCTACGAACGAGATATAGGGAAACACGGGAAATCGACTCAGCTGCAATACCATAGGAAAGAAGAATTTCGTGAAGAGCAACAGGACATGATCGATGAACACAGGAGATTGCTCCGCCGACAGAGAGATATCATCATACAAAGCGAACAATTGTTCAACAAAAGCATTGAAAAACATCGCCTCCAAAGAGAAGATTCCTATTATTGCGACAAAAGCTTCTTTGCCAAGTACGGGCATATGGGCATGGGCCCAATGCTTATGAAAGAGGGCGATGAAGTATACATTCTGCCGGGGAGCAGGGTGCCATTGGTTCTACGACTGGAAAGCTGCTGCGAAAACCGGACTTGCTCTCACTCGATACGAAGATACCGACTGATTGGCGACTGTTTTGTTCAGGGCGCAATGGATGATGAACTTGGCTTGAACGGCTTAGGTATCCTTACTATTGATGACGAACCGTCTGGACGAAACTTGTGGAAGACTCAAGTTGATAGATGCAAACATCGGGGTTATATTGATAGTCACATCCCAGCTGGAGTAGGAAGTCTGGTTGCTTTAGAGATTATATGAATATTATCACTTGCATCTGTTAATCTCGAGTCAATTTCTTCTTCAAAGATGCGATATGACCATTCGAGCTCTGAGAGGTGAGAATTGGCGGGGCTGGACAATCCTGGTTCGGAATCTGGAGGAGCAAGATGCATGCATGGTGCTGGGTACGGTATTGTCAAGTCATCGAGAATAAGCTCTTCATATGTGCCGAGACTTGCCATTCATGCTATCTAGCGGCTATACTTCCTTCTGGAATGGCCGAAGACACATTCTGCATCGTAGGAGAGGTATGCCAAGCAGGCCAATATGCAGAGTGCATCGTCGAAGGCTGGCGTACATCGGAGAGGCATTTTGCGTAAGAGGGCCCAGCTCCTCTATTGTCTGTATGTCGAATTGAGAGCCCATTTCTGGTCACAAGTTTGCTACACTGAGCCTATGATGGGCAACAAAAATATAGACAATCAGACTCTCGCGGGTTTAAGCCTCGGTTCTACAGCCCCTCTGACCACACGCTGTCACTTTAACGGCTGGCTTGTTGACAGACAAATCTCCTTCCTGATTCGGCCATGTGCTAAAAGCCGTCCGAGATCTGTCTGCCAGTCATCTGTTGAGAGATAAACTTCCTATAAATTTAGACTTATTTTTATAACACAAGTTAAGCTAAACGCCTAGCTGCCTCTTGTTACCGGCGGAGCAGCTAGTACCAAGCAGGCAAAAACAACAATCACGACACCATCGTCACATGTAAAGGCCCTGTCACAACACGGAGCTTACTACTCACTTTGACGCGTTACACAGGGTATATCGCGGGGCGTTTGACGAGACTGACGGAGAAAGCAACGACGCCTCCCAGCCAAAGATGTCGTGACCGAGCAGCATCTCATCTCAGAGTTGCCCAATAATGGCGGCGGGTTCATGGGTCAATCTCTCCAGTCGTCCCGCGATCGAGACTCCCGCTGTCGTTGGCGCTCGGCCTGGTGACCTTCCTAACCTGGTGTTGATTGCCCGGTACCTCCTCCGTACACGGTATACTCGTATAGGCGTCAATGCACAAAGATTCCTTGCAGTGTCCTCATTTACAAAAATTCCTTGGAGTTGTATTCTTTGACAAAAATTCCCTGCACTCCGTTTACGCAGTTGCCACGAATCACCAATAGTACATGGCCATAAGGTATACTGCTATTAACAGCTGTCGAATTCGTACCTAAGATACGGAAACACTCTATCCTCAACACCAATAGAATGAAGAAGAGGTCGGAGGCCATCATATAGTATTGTCAGAGTCGCTCTTCGAACTCCAGCTGGATATGCTTAAAATCCCAAACAGGGGTAGAAGCCATTCATCGGCCGATGCCGATCGCCAGCCTCCGTCAATGACACCAGCCTCCTCCTTGGCCTCTCGCTAAGGTAGGGAGGATTGCCCCCACGACGCGGCGAGTCCTCCTTACATACCCTTGATACCCCATCTGTGCAACCACACGACATGAGATGCAGATCCCCCTTCGTGAGCGGGGCACTCGGCACTTTTGTCTGTTCGATATAACACGCGCGAGCGGCCGGCAGTCGATTCAAGGCAAGTTGTAGCTGTTCTGGCTTTCAAAAATACTACGCGAGCCAGAGGAACCCTGCCTCGTTTCGGCAGCTGCGGTCTTGGCCATTCCCCAACTTCCGGATGAAGGCGCATTGCCGTGTCTGTCTGATGTGACACTGCTATCGAAAGGTAAGGAGGTACGAAGTAGGCGCCTGACACCAACAAATCCAGCCATCTGGAATCAGGCCGAGACCTCGACTTGGATATAAGTTGGGGTCGGTCGGCCCTCTACTGGGACCCCCAGAAACCCTTCACCTCCGTTCGTCTATATCAGCTCAGCGAAGATACTATCAGTAGCTGAAGATGAAGACATTTATCCCTGTTGCGCTTCTTGCGCTCTCCCAAGTCACCTCGGCGTGTCTTCTTCCCCATGAGCGAGACGAGGAGAGTGGCCTGAAGCCCGTCGTCCGCCGCCAGTCCAGCAACGGAGCTCCCATTGGCACGGGCGATAGGTTTAGCGGTGGTTCAACTGCGCCCCGAGGATTGGGAACTCAGTCCTCATCCACTTCCTTCAGCACGATCCTCAACGTCAAGGAAGTGACCAGTGGTCTGCAGGGCCTTGCCAACACGTACGGAGTCGAGATTTTCAACACTCCCTACAAGACGGCCCAGGGCGCAACCGTCGTCGGAGCCAAAGTCGGCGGTACCGGAGGCAACTGCACCGATGCCTACCGCGTCTTCTTCAACGGCAACATCCACGCCCGAGAGCGCGGCTCCGCGGATAGCGTGCTCTACTTCATCTCAGATCTGCTCTATGCCAACGCCCACAATACCGGCATTACCTACGGCTCCAAGACGTACAGCAACGCCCAGGTGAAGACGGCGCTGGCCGCGGGAATCGTCTTCATTCCGCTCAGCAACCCCGACGGCGTGGCCTACGACCAGTCCACCAACAGCTGCTGGCGAAAGAACCGCAACCCCAACGGGGGAGTTGACCTCAACCGCAACTTTGACTTCCTCTGGGACTTCCGCAACCTTTTCGCCTCGTCGGCACAGTCCAGCGTCGGCTCGACCTCTCCTAGCTCCGAGACGTACCACGGCGTCAGCGCCTTCTCTGAGCCCGAGACGAAGAACATTAAGTGGGTGTTCGACACGTACTCCAAAGTCCGCTGGTTCGTGGATCTTCACTCGTATGCCGGTGATGTCCTCTGGAACTGGGGCAGCGATGAGAACCAGTCTGAGTACCCGACCATGAACTTCCTCAACGGCACCTATAACAAGGTCCGCGGAATCCTGACCGACACGCCGTCTCCCGGCCGAGGCTACGGCGAGTATGTCCCCCAGGCGGACCTGGACGTCAAGGAAGCCGCGGCCAAGCGCGTGGCCTCGGCTCTGACTGCCGGCGGCGGCCGCTCTTACACGGCCTTCCAGTCGGCGCAACTGTATCCCACCTCGGGTGCCAGTGACGATTACGCCTACTCAAGGCACTTTTCCGATCCTACCAAGAACCTCATCCACTCCTACACGATTGAGTTTGGCTTCGCTAACAACGCCGCGTCTTGCCCCTTCTATCCCTCGGTTTCTCAGTACAACTCGAACCTGAGGGCCACCAGTGCTGGTTTCATGGAGCTGCTGTTGGCAGCCACCGACTACGGGCTTGGAGATGCGACGACCTGTTAAGCAAAGAGAGACCGAAGTTCAAACAAAGAAAAAAGCATGGTGTTGGAGGGCTATTGTCGGAGAGAAGTACTTTATTAGATAAAAGCCTATATGTGGTATATGTAAATGCAGTGTTTACAGTATGCCTTTGTAATGAGAACTCCTGAGACTACCTATACACGCTCCTAGGATACCTGCGCCTAGTAAAGCTTAGGAGATACGAGATGACCCATTTAGTGCATGACCTCGTCTTCATCTCTTATAGGAGGCAACTCAGAATACCTAGGCAGATACAATATGCCATGTATGGCAAATGAGATGATCGTAACGCGTCTCCGTATTCATACTATTACTGAATATGTGTATCGTACACTACAATCGTCTCTTCAAGATGTTACGGCAATCAGCACAGGCAACCATACGGCAGCTCGGGCAACGAAATGCAAAACGGCGTGTCGTGTCCAGACATCGCTCGCATTCGTGGCGTCCATCCTCTTTTTCCCACCAGGACCTGTGCAGACAGAGAGAGTCTCTGATGTCTGATGCTTCCCCCCACTGTCCGCCCATTGTGTTACCTGCTCTAGACCTTTTCCCTCTTTGGGATCTTTCGCTGCCAGTCTTTGTCTGCTTTGCAGGTTGAAATGTCTCTCTTGTATTGGAGTACTCCGTTGGCAGATCTTCCAAAAATTGCCACAAGAACTCGTCATGTTTTTTGGCTTCTTCTGCTCTTCGTAGTCTCTCGGCTTCTTGTGCCTTTCGTCGTTCAGCCTCTTCCGCCTTCCATACTCGTTCAGCCTCCTGCGCCTTTCGAACTCGTTCGGCCCATTCCTCTCTTTGTCTTCTTTCTGCCTCTTCTCGTGCCCTTTCTTCTCTTTCTCTTTGCATCGCTTGTTGTCGCCTCAATTCTGCCAATCGAGCGTCTTGCTGCCGTCTCGTCTCCTGCATTTGCAATCTGTGCCTTTCGCTGACTTTCTCCTGCACCCGCCTTTGGATGTCCTCGACCAGGGACTGAGCAGTGGCAACACGGCTCGTGAGACGCTTCAGTTCTGCTTCTCGCACAGTTCGAGCGGCTCTATTGTCCACCATACGCCGCTGCCTTGCTAGTTTCTCTTCCGCTGATTGACTTTTGGCGAAGAAATAACCATACCAACTGTTCCTGCTGGCCTCTTCCTCTGCGTCCATATCCGCCTGCGCTTGTAGCCTGTCGAGCGTCACCTGGATTGTGCTACACTCATCTCTTGCTTTGGCCAATTGTCTTGCAAGTTCATCCTTTCTATTTCGCAGTTGTTGTATCGTCGCCTCTAGCTTTTCCATCTGTATCTTATATGACTGGTCGGGTTTTTTGTTACTCGCTTGCGGTGGCGGTGGGTTTTGGCTTGCGTCTGGCTTTGCTGAATTCCGCTTGATGGATTCATACTGTATATCGTAGAGTCGCCGCCGTTCGGGATCAAATAGGGTAGAGTATGCGGCCTCGAGCTGGAGCAGGACATTGTGTTAGTGTTCGCTGTTGTCCCAAACAAAGTGAGGGGGGACACACCAGCTGAAACTGAGCTGTTGCTTGAGGATTGTTTGGATTCCGATCTGGATGATATTTCAAGGCAAGCTTTCTATAGCTGGTTCGTATCGCATCACTCCCTGCCGACTGGGGTATGCCGAGAACTTTGTAATAATCTTCGGTGATTTGGCTGGGAGCCATTGCGGTGTTGCTCAGTATGCAGGCTGGAAGGGCAGGTGGAATTAAACGTGATCTGGAGTTGGACCTGAGATTTTCGGGTCTTTCGTGGAGGATATTACTTCAGAAGCAACGACAGATTGTCGCGTTGATGAATTATCCTCGGTCGACGCAAGGGATGAACGATACCTGGGCATTGCGGCCACTGTGCTGGGAGGCCGACAACGTTGGGCCGCAAGGTGGCTGGCCAGGCCGTGACACAACATATCAGGCTGGAGGTGAATCTCCGTTGCTGTTGGTCCGATAATCCTTCTTACAATCTGCATCGAAGCGCGCCTAATGGTTGGCTGAGAGGCCCTCTCCAAGATGGCAGTGCTAATGAGCCTTGTCATATTTGCATGTCCAAGGTCATGAAGCCTGGACATGGAATACAATCATCAACGGGAGTAGCGTATCGTATATCCAGAAGGACTTCCAGTGCGAAGTTGGCACGCTATGCAAATGCACATTTCTTGGTCTTGACAGACTCAGGGCAGCGCGGTCCATGGAACACCATGTGGGATGTATACCGGTACTGTAGCTGCTCGTCAAAGGTGGCTTATTACCATCCTTCTTGCTTATTGAGGCAGTATTGTTAGGGTCGACATGTTTGTATCTTCATCTAGGGCTGTTTCTTTAGACGCTTTGGAGAATGTACCGGCATTATATATGCGTTGTGGTATCTATATTGTGCCAAAGCATCTCTGTTCTTTGGTCATAAGCCTTTGTGAGATATGTGACGTCTTGTTGTGTGATCCCTCTGTCCGAAGAGAAGGACCGGCTTGCTAAATACCACTTCGAGTTGATATGTGGCTACATATGTGGATATATATCATCCTATTCCTCCTCGACGGCGTGCTTGTTGTAGGTATGCAGGAGCGACAGGTTGATGGAGCCCATGAGAGGTAAGTCTCTCTCAGGCTTTACGCTGTAACCGCTTGACAATGACATATCACAGGCCTGGCCTGGGAGAAGCAGTGTTTTACTAAGTCTAAGACTACTGCTTGTGCCTACGAAGACGACCAACGACCGCATACGCCGCGATCGTGGAAATCACAGCAATAGTGTCAACGAGAGGTGTGTCCGCCACCTGTCTGATGGAATTCAGTGTAGTTCGAAATATGGTGGCGTCTCCGTTGCGCTCGTTCTGATGAGAAACAGGCAATGGACGACGGCTGGTGTTCTTCACCCCTTATATAGGAGACTGTCAAGTTACGTGGCCCAGCTATGACTGAAGGGAAGATTTATCGAAGACGGGCTGTAATGCAAAATAACAGCAGAAGAGGAAAAAGAAAACTTGGTAAAAGAGAGAGATTGATGACCTCAGTTTCTTTGATGTACCTACGTGTAGGTATCGAATCATCACAGGCCACGAGTAAATGAAAGGGACGCACTTGCGGCCCCGTTGCCAGCGCTATGAAGTCCTCTAGGACCTTCATACAGACCTCAGCCCAATGCTCGAAATTGGGCATCATCGGTCAGATTATCAAAAGAACAGATACGAGGATAACCCCTGAGCCAGAAGAATCTCCGAGATGTATGTGAGGGGGAAAGGCGGGAATATATACCTGCGTCCCGGCATTGTCTTGCGTGCCCCTTTCCGCATTGAGGAAGGTTGAGCCGAGAGGGGCGTAGAGCTTCTGAATCACACAAAGAATTGGCGTACGCCGCAGGGAAAGCCAAGATATCTGTAGTTTGCGATGCATTGATCGTATTGGACGCCATATGATGGATGGCTAAAGTAAAAGGATCGCTACGTACCTAACTTGTCATAGAGATGCTGACTCAGGCCCTTGAAGCATTGCATCAGCGAAGCCTCCAAGTTACAGCACTCCCAAGCAAAACCCTCAATCACCAAGTTTTCTCTCGCGCGGGAATCTAAACACTATGGCATCGCCAGACCTGTCGGGTTCTACTCCTCCTGCGTCGGTGTCGCTGGCTTCGCATGGGGAGGAGCAGTCGCCCACAATCACATATACAAACGTCAAAGACCTCCACCAGGTGGTTAGGCAGGTTCCAGGCGATTTCCTCATTGTCCAAAGCAAGTATTTACCATCTAGTGGCAATCACATCCCTAGGATATTCTATACTAACGACTTATTATCAGATGTTTCTCCTGCCGATTTTGAGGAAATCAGCCGTCCGGAACGTCGCGGTTTCCGCCTGCGACGCTATCATGCCGACAGGAGACTCTTGATCATCACAATACCTACTGCTCTACATGAAGCACTCCACGCGGGCATCTACCAGGCTTTTATACTCAAGATCGGGGCAATAGCGCAACATATCTGGAAACCAATCATGAGTACGACCTTTCGTCAGCCTGGAGGCGACGGTGGTGAAGGCGACTCAAGTGGTGGCCCAATGTCAGTACGCCACAATAGATATGCCTGGCCAACCCTGGTCATCGAGGCAGGGGATTCCGAGCCCTTGCATGCCCTACAAGACGACATGAGATGGTGGTTTTCCGCATCAGACCATCAGGTCAAGATTGTCCTGCTTGCCAAGTTTGACCACCGTCTTCAACAGATTCTCATCGAGAGATGGGAGGAAGAAGCTGCGACCCGCCCTGGCGCTACAACGACTAGTCAACCTGTGTTACAGCAAAGTATCACCATCACACGGGATCCGGCTACTGGTTCATATCAAGTCGCTAGAAGCGACTTGGTGCTTTCGTTCCGGCTGCTCTTTCTAAGAGATCCAGGCCCACAAGAGGGAGATGTTATCATAACTACTGAAGACTTGCAGCTTTATGCACGACTTGTCTGGGCGGCCGTTTTAGATTAGCTAAGTCAGGGGTGCTAGATATCAATACAGCTATTATTCTAGTGTTTTCTTTCCGCTGCATGACTGGGTAGGTACTCTCTGTGATATCTATATTAAAAAGCAGTAGCTTCCCTAGGCCAGTAAGTCATAAGGCAGTCTATGTTGCCTACTAAGTATATATAGATAGGTGGAAATGCCATTCTGGAATCACACTGTGTGATGATGGAGTCGTAGGTATGTCGGGATAGGGGAAGGTGGAAAGGGGGAACACATCTGGAATAACATACAAGCTTAGCCTGGGCAAACCTGAGTTAGAATTTCAAGCTCCACGGCATTTTCCCCGTGAGTAACTTGCTTATCTTGGATGTGTCTTACTTGGTATGCCTACTCCACGCCAGCTCGAAGTTCTTCCATAGGCGCGAGACTAAGGAGCTAGCCCGGTATACTTCTTGACTACTCTTACCGGCACAAAATGGCTCTTAATTGACAGGATAACTTGTGCCAACAAAAAACGAATCAATTCGTGTTGGAAAATCTGTCTGTTGAAGTTGATAAGTAGATGGCTGTGCAATAGAGCATGAGTGGCAGAATGATGCAGTTGCGGACAACGCGACTCAGGGGAACCTCATCCCTCGGCTCGCAACCCTTCTCCGCTTCCACCACAATTGAAAATATGATTAAACTTGGAAACCAAAAAGAAAGTAGGCGATAGCTTCAACTAAAGAAAAAAAAAATGCAAAAAAAATGAATGCCGCTGTGACATCTCAACCCGAGTGTTTATAGGAATAGCCCGATGCGGGGGTCGAACCCGCAACCTTGAGATTGTCTATATTCAGAACGTGAATCTCTGATAAGAGTCTCACGCTCTACCGATTGAGCTAACCAGGCGGATCTGAAAGACGAAGCTTTCCTCGGGTTGAGCTCAGGCGGCTTGTTGGGAGGAGCGGTGACTAAACGCCTTATACGGGTTTCTCACCTTCCTGAACCAACAACAATAGGAGTCTCTGAACAAGCTGGACCGGAGTGAGGAGTGGTCGACTTTGAGACCCCACTAGGAGCCTGAGGAAAGCGTCCTGCAAGCTTCATCGGGCTGACTGGCTTGTCCGAGACTCAAGAGAAAGATCGTTGAAGTCGAGGGCAAGGGTTGGCATTCTTATCCGGCAAGGGGCTGCCTATGATGCCGGCTTCTGGGGGATGCTCAATGTCTGAGATCCTGTAGTCGACAAGTTTGGATAATTTGACTGTATTCCTCTCATAAGCATGCTGTGGGCCCTGATGTCCGAGATATATATAGTAGTCTGTTGCGTACGCCTATGAAGGTCCTACATTTAGGATGTAAGTTGCTAGTTCAGAGATAATTCGAGTTGCATAACTGTTTCTCTTCATTGCGAGTGATATCGTATAATGTCTACCCTCGCCTTGGCGAGTGATACAGAGTTCGCCAAAAGTTAAGCACAGGGAGCTGCTGACCGCTCGGGACATAGCACATATTCAGACGGGTCAGCAACTCCAGCCCCTGTCGAGGGTTCAAAATGGCTACCGTCTCTCGTTTCTATGTCTTTTCTCGAAGGGGGGGGGCTTGATAGCAAAGCCCTTTCTTTACTTAACATCTTTATAGCAGAATACACTCGATATCACGCCAGAAAGAAGACTTCAAGGCCTCAAAATGGTGATGACTACCTGTTGGTTCCAGCCGGCCTCGGGGCTGGGAGAAAAAAAAGGGATTGACGTAATGGGCCAACAGATAATCGATGATGTCTGATAGGTTGATTTTTTGGTGGGCGGCAAAATAACGCCGATTCGTGAATGCTTCAGGACAAACCACCAAGGGGGAAAGGAGACACTTTGATGATCGGCCCATTGTGTTGCCTCAAGACTGATGGATAGGTATAGATGGGCGATTGCATGCTCTTACGCCTGCAGGTAAGCTTGATGCTCCATCTTTATCCTGCATGTCCGTCGCAATGTCATGAGGGTGAACTTCAGCGCGAGAGGGGTACATGATCCCTTCTGCTATTGGCCACCACTTCCTGTGAAATCACGAGCCTTCTCTCCAATGAACATATGGTTGGTCCTCAGTTACGCGATGAACCAATCCCAGTCGGCTGAGGCTGGATTCTGCTGCAGCGTGCGCCTCGTCAGTTCTGCCTGATGCCCAATTCACGCGTTTTACTGCGGCAAGGCATCATTTCCTGCCATTACCGCTCTACTTTCTCAGCTACTATTCTTTTCTCCTCTCCAAAGCAGTGCACTTCCAAATTCCAACAAACATCTCTCTTTCGCATCCTGATCGACAGCCATACGCAAGCTTACTCGTCCAACGTCTGCGGTAAGAGTCCGACTCCAAGTCGGGATGCAGGATGAAACGAGTCTACACTTCTGGGAACCACCACGACGCTGCAAATGGTGCGGGAAAGAGGCTGAGGACGCAGTTCGCCGGCTGCAACGGGTCCGAAGATGATTTGCCGCGGAAAAGAAACGATGAATATACTGTCGGATGGATCTGCGCCGTCATCACCGAGTACGTCGCCGCCCAAGCCGTTCTGGACGAACTACATGGCAGGCCCGAAAGAGTCTCTCAAGCCAACCAAAGCGACTATACCCTTGGGCGCATCGGAGAACACAATGTTGTCATTGCTTCCTTGCCATTTGGAGAGTACGGAACGGCTTCTGCAGCAACGGTTGCCACAGATATGTCGCACAACTTCCCCAACATCAAGGTTCGTCTGATGGTCGGCATTGGAGGCGGTGCGCCCAGCAAAGAGCATGATATCCGCTTGGGGGATGTTGTGGTCAGCGCTCCTTGCAATGGGCATAGCGGTGTCGTGCAATATGACTTCGGCAAGACTGTCCAGGGTCAGCCTTTCCAGCCGACAAGACATCTAGATCAGCCACCAATGCTTCTCAGAACCGCCATGAGTGGCTTGGCGGCGCAATACGAATGCCGAGGCCATGGCATTGAAGATGCTGTCGCCAACATCCTGGGAGAATCTCCACGATTGCGGGAAAAATACAGTCGACCTCACGAAGGCAGCGACAGGCTCTACAGCAGCACCTGCGTTCACCCCTTCGAAAGGACTGCTGATTGTGAGATATCCTGCGGCGATAAATCTCTGGTTGTGAGGCCACCACGGAACCCATGCCAGAACCTCGTTATCCATTATGGACTGATTGCTTCCGCCAACCAGTTGATGAAAGACGCGACAGTCCGCGATCGTCTCTCCTCACAGGAAGATATACTGTGCTTCGAGATGGAAGCGGGAGGCCTCATGAATCACTTTCCTTGCCTGGTGATCCGAGGCATATGCGATTATTCCGACTCGCATAAGAATAAGGCGTGGCAGGGCTACGCTGCAATGACGGCGGCGGCTTATGCCAAGGATCTCATCAAGAGACTTCCCCCATCCGATTCCAGCGTTGTGCAGGGCACAAACAACATGAACTTATCCCACAGGCCCCAGATCATCCAGGACATGCCACACACAGTCGGCATCGAACAAAAACGCCAATTACTAGAGTCGCTCCAATTTGATCAGATTGACGCTCGTCAGATGACCATCAAGAAAGCTCATGCCAAGACATGCCAATGGCTCCTGCGAAAGCCTGAATACCTCGATTGGCTGGATCCGGCCAGATTCCAAGAGCATCACGGATTCCTATGGATCAAAGGCAAACCAGGAACTGGAAAATCGACGCTGATGAAGTTCGCTCTTCAAAATGCTCAGAGAAAGAGGGGAGGCAAGATTATCATTAACTTCTTCTTCAATGCGCGGGGGGGAGCCTTGGAAAAGTCTACGGTTGGAATGTATCGATCACTTCTTTTACAACTTCTCGAAAGGATACCGGCCCTCCAAGATGCTGTTGAACTACCCAGATCAATAGCGCGATCTGGTGAGGACCCCCACTGGAACACGGAGATATTGACTGATCTGCTCGAACAAGCCATTCAGAGGCTCGAAGGGTCCAATGTTGTGTGCTTCATCGATGCATTAGATGAATGCGAAGAAGAACAGGTTCGGGACATGATCAGGTTCTTCGAAAATGTGGGCGAGGCCATTACAGCTGGGACTTTCCGCGTCTGCTTCTCAAGCCGCCATTACCCTCATATCACAATCTCAAAAGGCCTGAGTCTGGTTCTCGAGGGTCAAGAAGGGCATACCCAAGACATCACCAGTTACATCGACTGCGAACTCAAGATTGGAAGGGAAGCTCTTGCGGCACAGCTTCGCACCGAACTTCGAGAAAAAGCAGGGGGGATCTTCATGTGGGTTGTCCTCGTTGTCGGTATCTTGAACAAGGAATACGACAGCGGAAGAGTCAACGACCTCCGGAAAAGATTGCAAGAAATCCCGGGAGATCTGCATGAGCTATTTCGCGACATCTTGACGCGCGATAGTCAAAACGCCAATCTCCTACTTCTTTGCGTTCAATGGGTGCTTTTCGCGAAACAGCCTTTGAAGCCACAGCAGTTGTACTTTGCCCTACTTTCCGATAAAATATATCGGTGGAATACCGAAGAAATTACGCTCGCCGATATGGGAAGATTTATCTTGGATTCGTCGAAAGGACTTGCTGAAATCACCAAGTCCAAAACTCCAACGGTGCAGTTCATTCACGAATCAGTTAAAGACTATCTACTCAAAGAAGATGGGTTGAAGCAGATTTGGCCTGATCTCGGGGCTAATTATGTCGGGGAAAGCCACGACCGACTGAAACAATGTTGTTTAAATTCCATGACTCTTGGCAAAGTGGCTTACTATAGCATCATGGATCTCGAACTCAAGGCTTCATCTCAGGAAGCAAAAGCACAACGCGAAGCTGCGGATGGCTTCTTTCCATTCCTGCAATATGCTGTGAAAAACCTTTTGCACCATGCAAACGAAGCACAAGCGGACAACATCAATCAAACCAATTCTCTCAAGGCATTTCGGCTCTCTGACTGGGTGAAGCTGGACAATTTCTTTGCAAAGCATGACTCAAGACGGCATAGAGATTCCGTCAGTATTGCCTATATCCTGGCCGAAAATAACGCGGCACATCTGATCAAATCCGTTCCCGCCCGCTCGTTCGTCGTTGAGGAAATAGATCGATATGGATCTCCGATATTTGCAGCGATCGCTACAGATAGCAGAGAAGCGGTTCGAGCAATGCTTGATGCCTACGTGGAGATCGAGCCTTCATTTCGTGGCGTTGTGCAGGATTACTACCGCAATGAGACCAAGCAGAACAGTATTGGGCGTGACTTCAAACTGGGATCAAGGCGGGCGCTTGAGCACATATCACGAAGAGGCGCCACGCTGGCCGCTGCATTTTATCTCAAGTTGAAGCATCGCGGCTTGGGGCAAAACCAGCGCTCTGCGGAGGCCCTTCTCTATGCTGTGAAGGGAGGTCAAATGTCCATGGTGGAGTACTTCTTCGAAAACGACTTGAAACCCATACATGGATCTGTAGTCATCCAAGAACTTCTCGCCTGCGCCATCGAGGAGCGTCATGGACATGTTGCCGAGTTCTTGCTTAACAATTGGGCAACATTTGATCCTCTGGGCGAAGAGGGACGATGGCTCTTCAAAAAGGCTGCCGAACAGGGCCTGCATTCGATGCTCAAACTTTTCCTTGACAAAGGTGCAGAAGTTGGCTGTAGAGATATCGATGGCAGGACACCGTTATCGCATGCAGTATTAGGAAAGGACAGCGAAGCTTCAATCGCATTGCTACTTGACCACGGCGCGGAGGTTGATGCAAAAGACAACCAAGGAAGGACGGCATTATCACACGCATCAAACAGATACCGCCACGAAGCTTCAGTCTCATTATTACTTGACCATGGCGCGGATGTTGATGCAATAGACGCCGATGGTAGAAGGCCATTGACATATGCGTCGGGAGAGGGAGCAAGAACGTTGCTCAAAAAGGGCGCGAAGCTCGACGCAAAAGACAACGAAGGACGCACGGCATTATCACACGCGGCCTGCAAGGTGTATGAAAATCCCGACACGGTCGAGCTATTGCTTGATAAGGGCGCAGAGATCGATGCAAAAGACAATAACGGCAGGACGCCATTATCATACGCATCACTGCATTCTAAGGAGGACGTAATCCAAATGCTACTTAAGCATGGTGCAGAGATTAATGCAAAGGACAATAACGGCAGATCGCCATTGTCATATGCGTCCCAAAATATCAGGCAGGGTGGAGTTAGGCTATTGCTTGATAACGGTGCAGAGGTCGACGCAAGGGATCATCAAGGCAGAACCCCCTTATCACACGCGGCGGAGGGGGGTCGGGACGAAAGTGTCGATTTTTTGCTCGACAACGGCGCAGAGGTCGATGCAGAAGATGAACAAGGCAGGACGGCATTATCCTATGCATCGCAAATGGACGAGGGCTTGGTGGTCAAACGTCTGCTCAATAAAGGTGCATCTGTTCATGTACGCGATCATCACGGCAGAACACCGCTGTCATATGCATCACTTCGTGGGCGCACGAATTATGTCGAGTTGTTGCTTGACAAAGGTGCAGACATTAATACCAAAGATGACAAGGGCGAAACGCCGTTGATCCTTGCGACGTCGTCCAGGAGCCACAACACAATCGGACTCCTGATCGAGCGAGGGGCCGACGTCGGGGCAAAGAACTATAGCGGCAGGACGGCGCTGGAACTTGCAGAGGAGCGGGAATTGGATGCTCAGATCAAAACGAAGCTGCGGGTTCTATCTGGAAGTTGATCATGGTGGAGGTGGCGATCGTGCACTGGATTGAAACAGCATTAGAAGTATCGTGGGTAGTGAAGCTGTACTCAGTCTATAATTTTGTTCTATAAGCCGAAAGGCAATGCCAGAGACTGTTAGCAAGAATCATTCTACACAGTACTACTATCAAGCATGTATTCAACTCATGACGTGCCGAACTTAACTGCTACACTCAACGGGCCGTCCCTTGGAGCTGGTTGCTGTTGTAGTATGTTGACCTCTGAAACAGTGCTGGAGCTCTTGTTGAAAGGCTGCGGGTATATATGCCGTATCATCTATTCGGAGTTGGCCGTAGTTCTGACCTATATTCCAGGAGTTGAGAGGCTTGTCAATCTTGGAGTCCTGAAAAAAGCAACCTATAGTTAAAGAGTAAACCATGAGGGATAAGACATATTGACTCTGTACCCAGAAGTAAATATCTCCATCCAACATCTATTTAGACATACATAACCTGCATAATCCGGAAACTATAAGGCCAGATGCTACATGCATATGTGTTATAACAATAGCAGTAAGAAGTAGTAGGATATTAAGTAAGACAGTCAGAGGGGCTGCGACTTCAAACATTATGGTGGTGGGGAATTGGACAACACGTTCGATGGACATAGTTCCCAAATATAACAAGTAGCTTAACTGCAGAAGTTGCAAAAAAAGAAACATACAACAGCCGGTGTTCGCCAGTGGTCACCCACCTGACTACTAATCTGCCTCTCATTGGCTTGACTCTGGGAGAGCAGACGGGATCCCGTATTTTCCAATGGATATGGTCGTATGTGCTTGGAGGCCGGTGTGGAAGGGCCTATCAACATGGTGCGATTGACGCTGTTTGGCTGTTGAGACATTGTCATGGAATGCTGGCAACGCCATCTTCTGAGGTTTCACACCTCCAAGTACATGCACAATGGATATGATACCAATATCATACCCATAGGCATGTTAAAGTGGCACCTCAATGCCATATTTACCGTAGTCAAAGTGCTCCAGACTCGGAATACACTCAGCCCAGCCGTCGTCAACCTCCCCGAGTTGCCACTCGTCCCCAATATCTATCAGCCCCGTCCTTCCAGCAAGCACAAGCTTCTGCCTACCTTGGTACTCAGCCGCCAGGTCCGGATGGGGCACCCAGACGACCCTCATACCTGCCCTCCTCCCAGCCTCGACCCCAATGATGCTGTCCTCAAAGACCAGACACTCGCTGGGCAAAATGGGTGTTTCGTCAGGGCCAATGGCTGAGTTTAGAGTCTCGAGAGCAAGTAAGTAGATGTCGGGAGCTGGCTTCACTCGACCCTTTGGAACACGTGGATCATCGCCCAGTATGCGTTTATCTGGATGGAAGAAGTCGAGAAGTCGTTTCGTTTCCGGCCGTGAAATTTTCAGCTCGTAGCTGTGCGTCCTGGTGCTTGACGCTAATGCAAGCTCAATCGGCTTCCCCAAAGGAGCGCTCCGTGCCCGGCTGAGATTTGATAAGAGCTTCTCTGCGCCAGGCAGCGGCTCGCAGGTAGGAAAAAGCTTGTGCATTTGTTCCCTTGATTCACGGGCGAATTGTTCGCGAGAGATGGGCAGCTTTGCCCACTCGTGGAAGACGTCGCTGTTTGTGGAGTCTGGGATGCCCATGAGCTGGGCTCGGATGGACCGAGTAAAGGGCGGCCTGGAGTATTTCTCCAATACCTGGTTCGTGGACTGAGTGATGATGTCTTCGGAGTTTATGAGGAGGCCGTCCATGTCGAAGATGCAGGCACGGATTGGTGGGAAGCTGCTGACAATTTGTTTTAGTGTCGATGTTTGCTGGGATTATTGATGTACAGGGACTCTGAAGCCGGCAGCCGCTGATACCCTTGCCAGCTTCGCCTTCGGAGCATGCGGGAGGTCACTCACGTTGTCTCAAGTGGCGCCATAATTCCTAGCTGTAAATCGGAACTTCTTAACGTGGATTGAAGGTTGGGATCTAGTCATAGCTGGGTTGTCGAAGGTCCGAGTTGGGTACGGAATCCTGACAGGCTCAAAGATATCTACCAATCATGACAACTTCATGGAAGCAACTAGTAACGGTAGGAATTGTGAACTGCTCTCCACCTAGGTAGAACCTCAGTGGAAACCCCCCACACACGGTTCACAGACAAACAGACAAACCGAACCATACCACGAGAGCCTTTAGCCCTTCGCCGTTGCGCCACACCCGCTGACGAACCTCACCACTCCCTAGCTTCGAAGTAAGTGGTACTGGTGAGAAAGCATGGCATGGCGGATGTACTGGAGGGTCACCAACAGCAAGCCTTCGTCAGGACAGGGGCAATAGCGTCAGGCGAGTTTCGCTTCCGCCCCGCCACGCAGCTCCAGCTTGAACATACCAAACACACACCACTTATACATCGCACGGCATAAACGCAGACAGAAGCACGCGCTACAACAGCAAACTTGCTCATGGCTAGATACAGTGTCTGTGATATACCTCACAGTTCGTTGTTACTCCTGCTCGCTACATATAAGAGCATGACCCTTTCCGACAGACTTTGGCTCTCACTGTCGGCCAAGTGTAGCAGAGATTCATCTCGGTTTGCTCTCGATATCGAGGTCCAGCTCCCGCACTGAGCTCCTCCATCTTTGGCGTCGGTAAACAAACTCCAAGTCTATACAATCTTCACTGTAACAGCCTCGCCGCCTTCAAAGAGCTCGCATCGCTCACCGCTATTGTCCGAATGCATTCCAATACCGATCCTCTCATACGCCCCCGGAACCGAACCCGACGGCTTCAGCACTAGGAACCAAGTCTCCGGACCCATCATTCTCGGCTTGTTCCCGTCATACCTGCCAGTATAGGCGATCCAAGAAAACAGGACAAGGCAAAGTAGCCCCTCGTCTTGATGCTTGCTTTCTTCATGTTGGCAGTTCTCCTCCTGACAGCCGTCGGTTTGACAATTGCTGGACTCACGGGGGAGAGTATCTGGCCGATCCAAGGTCACTTCGACGGAAAACGAGTTTGCAGACTTCACAACTGCCTTCGGTCCCTCTCCTGATCCACGCGCCACTCCCAACTTCACGGGCGATGCGAGACCTCTTAGAACGATCTCGCCGCGCAACACGGCGCTGGTTTCGTCGTGCTTGAGCTCCCTCTCACATGAAGCACTCTCTATCTCAACGAGATCAACGAGCTCGGGCTCGTACTTCCAGAGTTCCAGCGGCCGATCAAACTCGAATTTGACGGGTGCCTCAACAGAAGCCCACGACCAGCTCGGAATCTGGAACTTTTCGTCTTCTTCCGACGCCTCTTGCTCTTTGTCGCCACGCTTGCTACTGCCGCTCTCCCCCGACTTTGCTTCTGAGTGTTGGGCCATCCAGGTGAGGTCGAAATGAAACTCGCCTCTCCACAGACCAGCCAGATACTCTTCAGGAGGCCCGCCATCATCACCTTTGTGATCTGCCTGAAGCCCTTCGCGAACGAGCTTTGCTAACCCCGACACAGCGCTCAGTCTATCCTTTCGACGGGAAACAGAGCGCTGTGAGTACTCCGCGACAATGTCCCTCCATCTTCTATAGGGCGTCTTGGGGTATCCATCGCCGCTGCGCGAATAGTCGTAGCCGTGATACTCCTCGTACCAAGGCCGCGCAGGCTGTGGATGCGATGTCGCCACCTCTGCTTTGAGGCGCTTGGCCTTGAGGTGCGCTCCGAGTCGCCCAAAGCCAAACGGCTGGGGCTTCCACAGGATGTGGCCGCATTCGCAGATTGTCCGGCAGAGACACTCCCAGATCATCTCATCTCCACTGAAGCATAGGCGCCGACTCGGCAACAGGCTTTCCTGCAGACACCAGCCTCGCTTATCCAGGGATCGCTTCACCTCTTCTTCTTTCTCCTCGCTAGAGCCTTCGAAATCGGGTCGTATAAAAATCTCCAGAGGCGGTTCATCTGGCTCGGATGTGATATCGGCTGTGAAGTGTTGCTGCCAACCAGGTTGTCCGAATGTCTGCGGGCCTAGAAACCGTGATTTGCAGCTTGATGGCTCCAGGGCCGCAATAGTGAGGCGGGAATGGAGATAAATCCGATCCATCTGCGACGCATCCTCAAGCCAAGCGACCGGATCATCTTGCACAATGCAAAGTGAGTCCACCCACAAGTAGGGGATCTTGAGTCCACGACACACGGTAATGGCGTCTTGTACACCAAGAGGCATCTTGGCGAGGGGAATAGCGTCGTGGTGAGACTCTAAGTTTTCGGTGGTCGTTTGTAAGATGCCTTCTGTATCGGAACCCCAGCAATAGCTCAGACAAGCATAAGGCGCCACTTCAGACGGCTTGAACAAGAATGGATCCTTAGAGCTGTCCCGAGAAGTAACGTCTATGAGCATCCTGGGCATGAAGTCTTTGTTGGGCACTTCACAAGCGTCGTCATGCTCGAGGCAGTGCGAGAGCCACTGGTTCGCCCGATCCATTGCCGCTTGGGATGATGAGTCTGGGATGACCTGCAGCCCTTGGGCCCGAGGGCGCCGTAAAATGTTACCGGAATCCTCATCTTCTGTTTCGTACATTGGTTCATCTGAGGAGCGTAATTTGTTATTGTCAAGCGATGGAAGTGACGTCGTATTACACACCTTTGGATCTGTGAACGAACTGAAACGAGCCGATTGTCTCGCTCTCCTTTGGCCCATCACGAAGTTCAACGGTATATGTCTTCCTCTTCTGTACATAGATGATGCTGGTGCTGTCCTTGTTGTCCTCTATCCACCCGGGTCTGTAATTGGAGACGGCCTGCAACAGCAGTTTGCATTCGAGGCAGTTTGCAGAGGCATCAATGACGACCTGGATGCGCGTGCCAACACCGAATAGACCGTAGTCGTGCCTGAATCGTTCATGGGGACACCTTTTATTACCTTCCTCGTCTTCTGAGCTGCTGTAGTCCGATTCCCAGTCCGAGTCCGACATACTGAAACCCCGTAACGCGCAACGTCTGAATGCTGAACAGTCTTTTGTACGGTAAGATGCAGTTGAGAATTGTGTTTGGTGAAATGGCTGCAGTCTACATCATGGTCCCGCAGGTCCCTCGGGCCAGAGTTGCTCACGATTGCAGCCTAATTATACGTATAAAACCCCTCAGTAAACTATTGTCTTGATGCATCCTATCCCCGCCGATCAGCCTTACAGCTGGCAGTGCAGCGCTGTATAGAGCCAATGCTAGCCAGATTCATCCTTCAGAATCTGCCTTGTTCAATGAACCAAAGGCTGGCCAATGAGTGGCCAGAGTGGAGGGACACCTCGCTCATGATCCTTGTTCACGGAAATCCAGCTATCCCGAGATTTAGCTCCCACTGTTCACGTCGGATCAAATGAAGCTTCTACCGGAATTGACTGTTCGGCAGTACTACAGAAGCCTTCATTAGCTTCGATATTTTCATCATGTTTCCTGCTCCTGTTCCCGTTCCTATTGTCCTTCGTCAACATAGTGACGATTGGTCGACATCGTATTTCACTCCAAGAAGCTACTCAAATGAGCCTCTTGACGGTCCGAATGGCAGACCATCAAGCACAGAACGGAATTCTCGTCGGACTTTCAGCAGAAACAACATAAGCGAAGAAGACTTTGAGATTCAATATGGGGAAGGGCCCATTCCAGCTCCTCAAAACCCGCGAGATCAGCATCCTCGTCGAGCCAGACAAGCTTCCCGCACTTCGAATGCATCATCGCGGACACGATCACTGCTAGATGAGGATTCTATCTCAAATAGCGACGTCAAAGGTATATCCGGAGTTAACGAAGGACTTGAAACTGACGGAAAGAGGGCTGAAGAGCTCGAGGAGGCCGGTCTCTCTTGGACGGTGACTCTACCAAGCGACAATGAACAAAGTCGGCCATACACAAATCTCGCGGAGGCGAATTCAGTATGGAAAGCAGAGAAGACTTGCGACAGGAGGATTGGAACAACAACCCTTCAGTCCATACACTCCATACAGTATTCCATGGGCGAGAGGGGACTGCCAAAGGTCACGCTCTTCTGCCCGCAGGGTCCTACCAGGCACGATGAAGACGTCTCATTGGTGCAGGCCAGATGGCTGTAAGTAGCTCTCGCAAGGTCCTCAAAGCAATGCAGTTTCACTGATACTCTTTCCAGCCATGTTGAACGGCCCTCTATGAGCATCAAGGTCCTTGAAGTACGAAGTGCAGTCTCGTATAAATCCGTAACGCATTCTAACTTGCCAACAGAAACTTGTCATGGACTGTCCATTGATCAACAGAGATATCCAAAGAGTTGCGATCCTACTATTAGAAGCTATTAAGGAGACATTTCTTCGGCAGTCGGAACACGGTGCGTACGTTGAACCTGGTTCAGCGATGCGGTTCGTTGGCCATCGCCATCAGCTGCACGACCCGCAAAGCATCATCGTCACGGATCCCGTCATCTTCGTTGCTTTTCCAGTTGTGGAACTGGATTCATCAAGGAATCATCCCAGATCTGGCGAAATAGATGAATACCATCCTCGTACTCTGCTCCAGAATCTGTACGGGTTTGATGTCCTGACGAGCCGTGGCAAGCACCAAGTCATACACAAGATGTCAGTCGGCAGTCAATCAAGCGATACCTTATATGTCAACCAGCTGTGGTGTCTGCTAATCGGCTCTGACATCTTGATCACCATGTCAGGCCGGCCTACCGATAAGCTTCTCAGTGGGACGATCGAGAAACGCACCGATTTCTTCAGGCAACCGTTGAGGATCGAGATTGTCGACTTATATCGCTCTCGGTACAGCATGAGCATATCAATCAAGACGACATGGGTAGACTTCTTTCGGCATGTCATGTTCACTATCCATGGCAATCTCACCAGAATAATGGACTATGAGCTCGTGGACGAGGCAAACGAGATCGTGACAGCCGAGCGATGGGTTGATATCGCGAAATCGACGAGATCAGGGCTGCTCAGGTTTCATCTCGTTGAACGAAAGGCCGCGACATCGCGCACATCGAGTGTCTCCAGTCGAAGGAGCAGTCGTACAGGCATTAGAAAGCTGCTGATGCTGGATCAGGCACATCGCGACAAAAGCCGCGATTCATCACGCCGCGGCAATAGCGTCAGAGGAAGCTATTACGAGGACTCATCGTCCAGCGAGAGCTCCGTCGGCTTGGGGAAGTCGTCAAAACCGGTTTGGCCTGGCTTAGAACGACATCAAACATCTTTGTTTGATACTGCCACGTTCAAAAAGCCGGTTAAGAAGAAGGAACGGCGCGATGGCAAGGAGAGCGAGCAATATCCACATGCATTCATTCCTGGCCATGGTTATCAATCTGGTCCTAGCGTAATCACCTTGGACAGCAGCGACGAGAAGGAGTCCTCAGCCGTGAGCTATCCTAGGCATGTTAACGAGAACGTGGAAGAAGAGGGAAAATCTCGTGAGAGCAATGCTTTCCCTGCACCTGTACTCCAGCAATCACCGCCATCAGATGCCATGGAGCACGATAACGATCACGAGAAACCTCTCACTTCGGACGATCATCGTTTGAACGACGACCAACAACTTGCAGAAGACAATGCAGGAGAGGCAGAGGCGATCGATGAGAGAGCAAGTGCCACGCAGCTCGAAGAGGGCTCGTCATCTTCACACGATGAGAATGAACAAGGGAGTTGGGGTGTACCGAACAGAAAACCCGTCCATCCTCTGCCGATCAAGGATAGCAAAAGCTTGGATCAGAGGTGTGGTGTTCAAATTGTTGTTGATGACTCAACGGAATCCAATAGCAGATCTGCCAGCCAGTCAGCAAAGCAGACACCACCCTATCGAAAAGTCACGATAGAAGATGTATCCGAGGCGGAAGAAAGTGACGCCGATACTCGCGCAAAGGATGGTCCAGATGATGATGACTCCTTGCTATATGAGTTTGTTGAGGCTGATTTTGACGAATCTGAAGTGCTGGAAAAGAGGTTTGTGATTGCGGATCGATCACGTTCGCATAGTCGCCAGACCCGAGCAAATACGCCGCAAAAAGGGGACCCTTTCCGCTATCATTATAACATACGCCAGAATTCCCCATACAGGAGGTCTCGTTCACGGTCGCGCTCTTCCTCAACTTCAACCGATGAGTCATTCCAGCCACGGGGAAGAAGTCCTACACCAAGAAGACGACGTCGAGGGAGAGATGATACACGCTCATCCCGAAACTCCTCTTCATGGCGTGGTGTACGCTTTGACGCGCGTAGCCAGCACTCCAGGGGACGTGACAGTCTCGAGATGTCACCTTACGGTAGCTCAAATGCTACAAAAGTCGAAGGCTCAACAGTGAGAGCGGTTGCCATGCCGTTCTTCTGCTGGAGGCAAAGCGGCGTGTTGGGCGCTATCTCGTCTCCTGAAATAACAGACCAAAGTGTGATTAAACTTCTTGATCAGATCGACGACCTCATCTGCGATGATCCAATTGGCAAGTACTACTCGAAGGTGGCAGAATTTACAATGGACGATATCGTTTTGAGACACGAGTGCCTCCATGAAGCCATATTAGGGAGAAACTGGATCAGTGAACAGACGAGACCGGGGGAGTTTGATCTTGTCGAAGGCCAGAAGAAAAGTGCTTCAGGAGCGTTCGGCAAGTTCTTCAGTCGCTCCACGGGCCGCCAGGCTTTAGTGACGAACAACGTGAACAGCGAGAACGAGAATGTTGGAGTGAAACCGGTCGAGGTTGAAGTGAACGACGCTCCAAGAACAAACACTGAAGCCATTAGAGAACACCTTACACCCAGCCGCGACCAAGCACGCAATTCGACAAGTAGCTCGCTGGGTCGAGGTGCTCCAGAGAATACGGAATTTCACCAGACGCAGGCTCTCGGCCTCGCAAGCCACGACAAGACGCTCATGAAGCAGCTGGTTAAACTGAGCCAGCAGATCGTTTGGTCCTTCATACCAAACACTGGCGGCTCAGAAATACATACTTTGATGAAGCGATTCTGGGGATGTGTAGATGCAATATGTCTGGTAAGCAATTTCCTCCCCTCCTACTCATCCTGTTGATGGTTGGGCCGATCTAACGCTCATGCTCAACCACAGCAACTGCTCTGGGAAGAGAACCAAAGAGGACACGATGCTGAGCCGACATACATTATACGCAATTTCTCCAGCCAAGTCAAAGATGGCAATCCCCAGCGACGGAAGCCGTCACTGAGCAAGACTCATTATTTGGAATGTGAAGATTGCAAGGCCGCAAAGCCGTATGCTTCGGCTGAGAGTGCGCTGGAGCATATACACGAAAAACACATCGAATGCCTGCATGGCGAGTTGGGGCGGCCATACGATGACCCGTGCTATGCGTGGCTGCATCGTATCTGGCACGACGGATACCCGTTGCGAAGTTCACAAGACGGACTCCTCGGCATTGTCGAAGACTTTATCGAGGAGCTTTCCGACATCAGCATGTATGTGAGAGAACTGCTCAATATGACGGCGCGGGATTCTTCAACGGGGGATACACCTCCTCTTTCGGTCAACATGATCCACATCTTCCAGCAGATTGTCAGAATCTTTGTCTTTCGCTCCAAGCAGCTTTCCCTTATCAACCGGCGCCGAAGCCTTGCTGCTGAAGGGCCCCAAGAGAATCTTAGGCTGATCCAGCGCATCGATCGGAAGATTGAAGAGCTCCTCTCACTCGAGATTGATGCAAACGAACGCATTATAGACCTTTCTGAAAGCGCCAAAAAAGACATCTTCATGTCTGGGATCGGGTCGCATTCCGAGATGCCTCAGGCGGAGACTGTTCGGGTACAAGTCCTTGCCCTTGCGTTTATGTCGGCGATACAGAGGCCTCTTTTGCAGTCGTCTCATATAGGCCGCTCTTATGCAAAAGACACCCTTTTGCAGCTGTATAGGGAATACACATCTCGACTTCACTTTCAGGCGAACAATCGACCGAGAAAACGCGTCTTCTTGGATATTCATGGCCTTGAAGAGGAGCTTCAAGCATTGGATAAGCTGTTAGGCAGCCAGGAGAGCTGCCTCTACAATGTCCTGACTCTTATTGATCCTCTTACCTCTCGCTACACAACTGAGACTCGAATAAGAGAATTTCGAGCAGAACTCCAATATGGAAACAATATGTTGCGTGGAATCATCGACAGAAGGCGAGAGATTGAACATTTAGCAACAAGACTACGGATTCTCAAAGATCAAGTCAAGCAAACGATTGAGATCATGGAAGAGGACCACGGCAAGGCTATCAGGGTATTCACAGTGGTTACCTTATTCTTCCTGCCGTTGTCGTTCGTTTCAAGCTTTCTGGGAATGAACACGGTGGACGTGCGAGATACAGAGTATAGCCAACGCATTTTTTGGATGACGGGAGTGCCGGTTACGGTAGCGGTGTTGTCGGTAGCTTTTGTGTACGGCTACAAGGGAGAAGAGATTCTTGACTGGATGGGCCACGTACTGCAACAAAGGAGACGTCGGAATCCGACATGGGGCGAGAACAGAGATGCTGGTTATCGGACATCGCTGGAGACGGGATGGAGAGAGTGGAATCTGGCAACAGCAACGAACCAACCTACGGTCCATCGCCGACGCTTGACGACTCTTATGAGACGTAAAATAAGCGACCCGGCTGAGGATATTGAGAATTTAAAGATGGACGATTCTGATGGGAAAGTTTGGATTGAGAGGCGGAACACGGATGATAGCTTGGCGCCTATCCGACGGAGGATGTAGCTGGTCTGATTCCGGGGAGACATGCTGGTGACAGCTGCGAGCTTACCCTTGATCTTCTATCCCTTGGACGGGAACCAACGTCACTGAAGATTGCGGGATCGTACGCTAGTTGTGGCTCAAGCACGGTGCAGCTGGTGTTCACAGCGTCTCATATTTGTGTGAATAACTTCGACGACATGCGACTCCCTGCATGGTGTTATTGTGACGAGAAACATGACGCTCTCTCTAGCTATTCGCATAACCGACTGAAGGCGTTCCGTGTCGGACTCTAATGGCGCCTCAAGATTGATTCATATCACCTCGTTCACATTAGGTCATCAACTCGACGAACACACACACATTATCAATTGTACCGCGTCTCTGTCTCATTAACAGTCAAACATTCTCATCCAATCCTTCCACATCTCAAATGAGATCAACCGTATACTTCCCATCTGACTCAGATTGAATATAGTCATCCTCACTCAAAGCCCCACGACCACTCTTGAACGCATCCTCAAATTCTAACCTTGCAGCCTCGCCCTCGAGCCCAAACGAGAACCGTCCTACACGACTAAACGTGCCCTTCTCAGCGGTCTTTTTGAGAACGATCCCACTCTCCATGGAACGATTCTCCAGCGGCATCGAACTGATACAGAGCAGGAAGAACTCTGGTGGGGAAGGGTCCTCCTTGAAAGTCGTCAGGTATTTCGCTATCGCCCGCCGAGAAACGTCCCATTGAACCGTTATAGCCTTCCCTGCATGGAAGCCAAACTGACTGTATTCCTGGAATACAGGGCACTGTGCCATGTATATCCAAGTCTCGTCGTTCTGGATACCCCGCGTAATCTTGCACATCGAACCTCGAAGACGCAGCCGGCAAGAGTCCATGCCATCGAAGAAGTTCGGTGATGACCGTTTTGGGTGAACTTCCAGAACCTCGGCGGCCACTTTCTGGTAAGTGGGAAGAGTGCATACAACTGGCCCCAAGATAGAGGCCCACGACCACGAAGGCGCGTTCTTCATCTCATTAATGATCCTCGCTGGCGGCCCAGTTCCGCCCATTCTTGGCCGATGATCTTCGCCCCAGAGCAATGAGGCAGGCAAATCGTCTTCCCATATGCCTGCCAAATACTTTGAAGGGTCTCGCTGCATTGCTGCGCAAAACTGCTTCGCTACAGCCGAGATAGCGAGAAGACGGTCATCGCCGAATGTGAGGGAGGTTGCAGAATAACCCGACATGGTCTCATCGTACCATTTGTATCTTAGTTCGTCCAATGGTAGCAGTGAAGAGATTCTGTGGCCCTTGCCAAGCTGCGAGGTACCCGAGAGTCCCTGTGGCAGGGTTTCGGTTGCGGTGAGAGAGTGGCATTCCCAAAAGACTTGTTCGTTGGTGAAGTGAACGATGCGTGGTGCAAGTATTCGTTCTTGGAAAACCCAGCCACGCCTATTAAGCGGCTTCTCAAGAGCTCGCAGAAAATACTTGTCGGAGAAGGAATGAAGTTGCACCTCCTCTTCGGACTCTGGCATTGTGACGGTTGCTCGACAGGGGTTGATTCGGTCAAGTTTCCGATCAAAGGCCAGACCCTCCCTGGTCCGTCCTTCTGACGCCGAGATGTTGAGCGTGCATTTGGAGTAGACCTCGTCCATGTTCATGACGTCTTCAATCTTCTCAGGTCCGTCATCTTGCATGATGCACAAAGCGTCAATCCAGATGTAGCGATAGCCCAGGGCTCTCGTGATATGGATTGCATGCCCGAACACGGCTGACTCGCTGCTATTCAGGAGGTGGGGAGTTATATCTTCGCTCAGAAGGTAATCGGTCTTCTTAGTGAGTAGAATGCTCGACGGGTTCCCCCACTTATGGCTAAGAGTGAAATATGGCGTGTCATGAGGTAGAGAACTCGACGACACGATGCGGACGTTGGGAAAGTTTCGTAGGCCGAGGAGATCGAATTCTTCTTCTCCAAGCTCATCCATTGGCCAAGCACGGATGAACTGACTTGACATGACGTCTATCAGCCTTCGTGGAAGCCTACTGACGGTATCAGAACCTGCACAATTGTCATGAGAGGTCGTGCAAGTCTTTAACCATGACCGAACGCGATTCAAGGCTTCTATTGACCATGTGCTTGGGGATTCGACAGTGGACACATGCCCATGATCAACTACCAAATTTAGCTTTCAACCCTTTATATGAAGGATATTTTAGGGCTCTTCTTACTATTTTGTATGCGCACAGCACCAGGAAAAGACCTTACACTCTTCATTGACGCCCCATAATACTGGACAAGTCCAACATGGATAGAATCCGGGTCATACGGAGTTCGACATATTTCAAACTTCAACTGCTCCTCTGAATTGGCTGGCATCAGAAGCTGGGGAATATTGCTGACCAAGAGCGTGCACATGTGGCATTTCGATGAAGCTGCGTTGGCTGCGATCCTGGCTTGATATGAAGCGTCGATGAGCCGCCTCGGGGGCTCTTCTGCTGACCTGGATTTGACGAGAGGCGCAGCAAGCTTGAAGATTTCCAGGCAGTCGTTGCAAGTCATGTTGAATCGTGTCGTCTCTTAATTGGATTACTCTCTTGATGGGAGAGAGAAGGCACATGTTGCCAGCAGCTTTCTGGCATTTATATTCTACGTCTTGTCAGGCAACAGCTGCAACTGATCGCAAGTATAAATTCAGGCTGCCCAAGCATCGCCAACGGTATGCAACAATTGGCCAAGTGTAGCCGCTGCTCCATTGAGGCGTTTTGGCTACCCCATATGGGCCGTCAGCCTATTCCCGGTTGGTGAAGAGGGCGCCTATTTGTCCCATATTTACTCGAAGAGTCCTATACCAATTAGTATGCCCACTCTACGTAGGACACGATTGGTAGATATGTTCTTGGACTTCTGCAGGAGCTGTAATGATTAAAACTCTAAAGCCAACAGCATATCGTTTCATTTTCACTTTTAGTTGGTGGTAGTTAGACACACATCCCGTGGCTTGCAGGCTTCCATCCTGGCAAGGTCATATACTTTTTTGCTGCTCAATCCTTGAAGAAGCCGCGAGTAGCTTATTGATTTCACTACATGAGCAATTTACCGTTCAATAATAAATCAAATTTTGAGATGCTAAATGTGCCTCGACATTATCACAGAATCCACCAAGATGGAGTTGTAAAGAGCGCCATATCGGGCCAGTTTCGAGGGCCAGTCTCGATCTCTCAGATCTGCAGAATTCTGCAAAGGTTGCGTAGGAACTATGCTCCATATTACTTGGACTAGTAGCGCGGATCTCAAGATACGATGTCAGCCCTGCTCGTCTCCCGCTTCCTAATGATACGAGAAATAGTCATATGACTGGTTTAAAGTTATATCTCTACTGAGCCTTGACCCTATCGTCAGTACAATAGAAACAGTTGTGCAGAGAAGGTTTGTTGCGGAGCTAGATGCGGCCAACTAGGCGTCTTTGGCGGCGTCAAAATTGAGCCAGCAAGAGATTTGTGACAATTCCAAATGTTTATGAAGTCTCACCTCGAAGGGCAGCTTCATTATTCATAGACCAATCAGAGCAAGGCAGCGCTTTTTACCGATATGTAGTGAAGAACTTGATGATTCTGGGATTAATCTTCAGAGAGCCCCTTGCCATTTGGCCGCCCGGGTCGGTTTGGTACTGTTGCGCGTGGCGGATTGTACAAGATGAATTACAGTGGTCATGTAAGTCAGGAAGAGAGAGGGTATAAGGATAAGAGCATGGGGAATGAAGATATACATGCCAGGAAGATTATGATGCCGTGTCCCCTCAGTTCAAATTTGGTGATACAGGATGCCAACGGCATATGCTTACAACCCAACACATACTGATCGTTCATCCTGTCCCTCCATGGAGCATTGCCGCGGATCATGATGCGCTTTGTTCCAAAACAAAAAGGGGGTGGGGAGGGTTGAGTCTATTGAAGGACCTACAGCATGCACCGGTCTCTTCTCAGCACTCCAGAGCATCAACTGCGGTAGCCAGCGTCTGGCGTGGAACGGCGTACGGTGACAAATCTTCTGGAACTTTACCGAAGCGAGATTGTGTTGAGCTATGTACCTCCAGTATCAGGCAAATAGAATTGTGAATATTGCCGCATGCTATAATAGTTACATTTGCCCTATGTCTTCAGCTGATGACTGTGTTGATATACTTACTCTACACTACCGTCCCTTTTGAATCTGCCAGCCAGTGCTCTGAATCCTCTCCCCCAAATACCTCCTGCGGTCCGCTCCGACTCTGGCCCCAGAGAGGTTATCGAAGTATGAGTTTGACCAGCTTCTCCTGGATTTGCAGACTTTCGTCTTATGCGCATCTTGAGCTCTATTTCAATGTCATCCTCCGTAATGACACCCGCCTCTGCCTGTAATTGGGTCGGCGGCATTTCTGTTTCTCGGACTTTTGCCGTTGCTTGTGTCGACGTTTTCGAGGTTGACTCCTGTTGTGTGGTCTCTGCTTCTGTCGGCGTCGGCGGCAATCTTTGCTGTGGCATGGTCTCTGGTATCACATCCCGAGCCCTTCCGGCTCCTTTTCCCTCTCCCAGGACTTCGCGCCAGTCTCTTGCCAAAGGCCCATATATGGTTGCAAGTAATATCTTTGCCTCTTCAGTCAGCTTCCAATTTCCCCCCTGTCGAAAGTACGCGGGCATCTGGACAACGCGTTCGATTTTCTCAATAGTTTCGAATATCTTTTCCTTGGGAGCTTTGAACAACTCTATATGGCCACCACCGCATTTTTCGCATACATCGACGAGGAATTGGTAATTATGAAGCTCCCTGTGTACAAGCTTCTCTGCCTTCCTTGCCCCTCGGAACTTTGTTTTGGTTTCGTAAATCATTTTTGCGTTCTCCCGGAGACACGCCTGTTCGTCTACCCTATCCACCACGTCTTTACCCGTGACTCCGATCTTGAAAAAGCCAGGGGCGAGGAGATGCTCGAGGACGTAGATAGAACCTTCCTGCATGGCTGTATCGCTGGGAGGGTCATAAAATGCCCTCAGCACCAGTGTGTGATCAGTTAATGAGAGGGCGCGTTTAGTACCGCCGATACCGAGACCGGGGATGCTGATTTCCCCCTTTCGCTTGCGCGTCTTCTTGATTGCCGTAGAGTCTACCTGGGTTGGTATGTCGATTTTGATAGCCCCCATTTGGGCGACAATACCCGTCATCAGAGGGTCGTCGTCGTCTTCTGGCGCACAGTATGCGTCTGGCTCATCGCAGAAAGGGGTGTGGAACATCTCATCGCTACTTTGAGAGATGGCTGGGGAGAAAATGGCATCGACCGATGAAACCGGAGATTCCAATGGAGATTCCGGTAGATAAGCTGTTGGATACGCTCCGGGACATGCCAGCTGTGGACTGGGAGGGGCGGCCAATCTCTGATCCTTCCACTTCTTGAATGCTTCATAAACAGCTTCGCGATGCTTCGAGCAGTGCGTGTAGGTAATGAAGTACTCCATATCTTCGTAGAAGCTATGCGTGTCAAGACATTCCGTCATGTTCTGAAACTCAGAGTACAAGCTCGCAAGCCTTTGCCTCTCATTCTGTTTACAGCCACTTTTTTGACACTGATATGCGCCACGTCTAACCAAGCTGCGACATTGGATGAAGTCAAGATTATCGCCGGGGTTGGGGAATTTGTCGATGCCCGCTTGTATGATGGCGAGGGCTTCAAAGACGGGATTCTTGGTAATGTGTGTGGAAACCATGTTGTAAAAAGATAGCTTGAGTTCGAGAGCGATTTATATGATGTATAGTTTCAGCGGAGAAGGTGATGTATGGTGTTAACAAAGAAGGTATATCGAAGCTCTATCGGTGTATACTTCAAGATATATATACGAACGTGGAACGGCCCTGGAATATAGAGACATATTTCAGCCGAGAAGTTCTTATGCAGAAACATCACTCTCCCATGCATTTCTACAAGCCGTGCAAAGGTCGGTCACCGCTCTTAGGACGAAGATGGGATGCCTTGCCCCCAGTCTGCAACGATGTAATGCTGCTAATCGAAACGGTAAGCTCAACGATAGGCATCTTGATCTCGCAAACAGGAAGACTTCTCATTCATTCACTCACCCATGTCACCATCGTTCGGCTTCGCCGCAAGTTCAGATGTCGATTCCCGGTTTCATCGCCAGCTGCGCCATACGTCGGGTGCGACGAATGTCACAGCTCCGCCTCCAGATTTATCACCGATGCCTAAGCCACATCCCCCGGGCTTGGGGCCTTAAAAAGGGGGGGCCCGTGCCGAACCTCTGGCCACATGGCAATGCTACTCTACTATATCTTCCTCGTCTTCCATTGGCTGGTTGTAGAACTCATTGAGCTTCGACCAGGGTTCTAGTGTTGGGACTAGATCCTATTTGAGATGCAGTTGATATCCCAGAACCAACAACATCTTCAAAGAGGTCATCTGCTGCAGATTGCGGTTGTGCATTGGGGGCTGAGGACAGGGCTTAATGCTGTAAAGGATCATGATTCACACCCTTTCAAGGGAAAATATACAATTACTCGTACGAAAGTCGGTGTCTCCGGGATATAATTGCCTCATATCCAGATGAAGAGGTGAGACCTCCTGGAGGGCATCGAATACTCCAAACTTCAAGGTGAACTTCAAAGAACGTGTAGTATCAGTAGCGCATTTACTAATTATTGACTTGGCAAACTTGGAGTAGACGAATAGAAGAACTTCAGTCTCGGACTATGTGCGCAAGGCTGCTGAGTGGCTATGGCGACCTGGGTATTACACAGGAACAAAGCTTAACGAAAGAAGCCTTGAGAATGAATCTCGTCATATCGTAGCTCTGTGCGACATTACCCCAGAACATTTCGTCCGCAAGGGGTGCGGACCGAATATGATCTGTATTCTACTTCCTATCTTCCTCTCTCCTTCCCCTGCAGCCTTTGCCCAGCTCTATGCCGTTTATGGCCAGGCGACTCCGCGACTGCAACACACCCTGTTGGTCCTTTGGAGCGATGTCACTGAACTGTTGGCTCAATGCTGTTGGTTCAGACTTTTTTCTGTAACTTAACGCAAATGAAAGGATTCTGCCCACCATCGGCCTCGGAAACATGGAGGAATTTCGTGCTAGGATGCTAATCTGCCTCGAATCTTCCCCCGCTTGCTCCCGAGGCGGAGTTGAAGCTCGTCCATGTGATTGAAAAGCTCATACTCCGTGTTATTTGCGAGCTTTGATAAAGCGGCTGAGAGAGGTCCTGAGAGGCGGAATAATTGTTCCGTTCTCTTTTGCATCTTCTTGCTTACACTTCCTCTCGTCCGCATTGATATATCTCCTTCTTTGTCCCTCATTTCCCCCTTTCTTATCCTAGCCATAATCCCAGCTCTTAAGATACCCAGCTCTTAAGATATACGAAATAGAACCCGACCGAAATTGCAATTGAAGGCATTAGTTTATATCTACTTATGGACTTGATAGTCGGTGGGGTGTTTAACGTGTGCCTGATGAATTGCGGGTGCCTAATCATCTCGTACATATCAACTTTATCGAAAGAGGAATATTCATGTCTCTGGTAAACTTTCTTTCTCTTTCTAGACATTTGCTATCCTCCATAGGCCCTGTGAATATGTCTGTCTCTTACGATCTCTATCGACGGTGGCCACTTATGCATTATGTGTTCATTCTGAGGAACTGTTCCCATAGATTTCTTCTCGAAGCTCGGCAGGGGCTCATGCTACTTGCTGGGCGAAGTATTCTACTCTTCAGAATCTCGTCAGTTTCAAGTTACAATTATGATGAGTTTAGAAGATGCTGTTTCTGCTCTTTGCGTAACCAGCAAATATGAATCACAGCTCACTGCACTTAGGGAAACTTGAACGTGAATAATTTGGTCAAGAAATTTAACATTGCATAAAACCTATCCATACGCCTATACTATACAGAAATGATCGCAGCAACAAGATAATCGTGAAGCAAACATAAACCAGAAGAAAGATCCTATCCTCTTTTACCACGCGTATATCATACCAGCATTTTCAAATCGTTAAACCTTATCCATCTCCGTCTTGTTCCCTTTTGAATCTCGCTCTACCATTTCCATGTCCTTGTCCGTCTGAAAGTATTTCTGTATTTTCCTCCTTTTCTATATCCCAACTCTCTCAATGATTTCGGACTCAAGGCGGAGTGCTTCCCAAAAGTCCACCGAGGAGTGTGGAATTGGTTGTAGTAGTATTGGTCACTGGAGCGGGCCTGGTTGTGTTCGTTCCTCCTAAGAGACCGCCCAGAAGAGTCGTACCAGTCGAGTTTGTGGCGGTCGTAGTATTGGTCACGGGAGCGGGCCTGGTGGTATTCGTTCCTCCCAAGCCACCCAGAAGACTCGTGCCAGTCGAGTTTGTTGAGGGGGCTGTGGTATTGTTGTTTCCAGTTCCTAGTGAGGCCGTCACATTCAAGCCAAGTCCAAGTCCGCCTGTGTTGTTTGCGGCATCACCACCCCCTAGCAAGCCACCAAGAAGACTGCCAGTGGTGTTTGTAGTGGTGTTGTTACCTCCTAAGAGTCCTCCCAGAGGACCACCAGTGGTGTTTGAAGTAGTGTTGCCTCCTCCTAGCAAGCCACCCAGCAGACCGCCAGTGGTGTTCGAAGTGGTATTGTTACCTCCCAGGAGTCCACCCAAAAGACCCGTGCCGTTCTGTGCAGGAGCAGTCGATCCGCCTGGGAGAGCTGTGCCGTTCGAAGTCGAATTTGCACCTCCTAGTAAGCCGCCCAGCAATCCGCCAGAACCCGTGCCGTTTTGCGTACCAGTTCCTGCAGTTCCGGTTCCCAGGCCAAGTTTGATGTCAGAGACGCCATCACCATTGAGATCAATGCCTCCGTCGGGCCTAACGGTAGTATCTGCCGCTCCATCGCCGTTCAGATCAACACCTCCTCCAAACTGGATGACGATGTCAGGTCTACCGTCTCCGTTGGTGTCAATGACGCCACCGGGACCAATTGTCGTATCGGCTCGGCCGTCGCCGTTCAGATCAACTGGGGAACCAATCTGAATGTTGAGGCCGAGACCGAGGTTGCCTCCAGCACCAGTGGTGTTTCCAGCGCCAGTGGTGTTTCCAGCGCCCCCGCCGAGCAAACCACCCAGAAGGCCACCAGTGCTGTTGCCTGCAGTTCCTGTCGTTCCGTTTGCAGGAGCCCCGTTACCGAGAAGGCCACCTAGACCAGTGGTAGTGTTACTGAGAAGACCACCTAGTCCCGTGGTCGTATTGCTCAGAACCCCGCCTAAGCCGGTGGTAGCATTGCCGAGAATGCCACCAAGATCTCCACTACCTGCAGTCCCGTTGAGAAGACCGCCGATACCAGTGGTCGTATTGCCCAGGACGCCGCCCAGGCCACTTGTGGTGTTGTTAAGGATGCCGCCCAACCCGGTGGTGATATTTGTGAGAAGATCTCCTAAGGTTCCACCGCCGTTGCCTGCGGTCCCGTTGCCGAGAAGACCTCCTGGAAGGCCTCCCGGAAGGCCTCCCGGAAGACCTCCAGTGTTGTTGCCTGCGGTCCCATTACCAAGAAGTCCTCCCAGAGGATTCCCAGTGCCGTTTCCTGTGGTACCGTTGCCATTGGGGAGACCTCCTGTGGTATTATTGAGGAGGCCACCCAGACCACCCGTGGTATTGTTAAGGAGACCGCCAATGCCTCCAGTACCATCGCCAAGTGTTCCATTGCCATTCAAGAGGGGGTCAAGTAGCCCTCCGGTATTGTTTCCAGTTTGTCCTCCGGTGGGGTTTGTCAAGTTGCCCAATAGGTCTCCTGCGCCGCCAGTGGTGTTCAGCAGACTGCCGATGAGGCCACCCAAGGCGCCAGGGTCGACAGTTCCATTGGCGTTCACAAGACCGTCCAGTGGATTTCCTTGGTTGTTGCCACCTGTGTTGTTGCCAGTTCCTGATCCTGACAGAGCGCTGGTCAGATTGCCGAGGAAATCACCCAAGGCGGCGGGGTCGACAGTTCCATTGGCATTCAGGAGGCCGTCGAGCAATCCTGTGTTGTTGCCTGCTCCTGTCAGGTTGCCAAGAAGATCACCCGTACCTCCTGTTGTACTATTGAGAAGGCCGCCGAGGAGGTCGCCGAGACTAGTTCCGTTGCCTCCAGTATTCGTGCCGTTGGTTCCCGTTGTGCCATTGAGGAGACCGCCGAGGGGGTCGCCAATCGTAGTGCCATTGCCTCCGGTACCAGTGCCATTGCCTGGGGTACCAGTGCCGTTGGTTCCGTTTCCAAGGAGGCCACCTACGAGATCCCCAATAGTAGTACCGTTGTCTCCGGGGACCGGTTGTCCTGTACTTAATGTGCCATTAAGAAGACCACCCAGCAAGTCGCCCACTGTAGAGCCATTGACTCCGGGAATCGGGTCTCCCGTACTCAATGTGCCGTTAAGAATGCCACCCAGCAGGTCACCGATGGCAGTGCCATCGCCTCCGTTAGGGTTTCCTGGAGCTCCCGTCGTGCTATTAAGAAGACCGCCCAGGGCGTCGCCGATAGTAGTACCATTGCCTCCGGGAAGGGGTTCTCCTGTACTTATTGTGCCATTGATGAGCCCACCAAGCAGGTTGCCGACGGTTGTGCCATTGCCTCCAGGAATCGGGTCTCCTGGAACTATTGTGCCATTAAGGATGCCGCCGAGGAGGTCACCGACGATGGTGCCATTGCCTCCGTTAGGGTTGCCTGGAGTTCCTGTTGTGCCATCTAGAAGACCGCCCAGGGCGTCGCCGACGGTTGTGCCGTTGCCTCCGGGAACTGGGTCTCCTGTACCTATTGTGCCACTGAGCAGGCCGCCCAGGATGTCGCCCACAGTAGTTCCATTGGATCCGGGAATCGGGTCTGCTGTACCTATTGTGCCATTCAGAATGCCGCCCAGGATGTCACCAACGTCAGTGCCATTGCCTGCAGGAGCAGTGCCGTTGGTCGTTGTTCCGTTCCCAAGGACGCCAGTAAGGTCAAGAGTGGTCCCATTACTTCCAAGCAAGCTTCCAATAGCAAGCCCATTTAGAGTCGCAGGAGTGAAGTTCGCAATCCCACTAACAAGGCCGCTCAAGAGAGCAGGGTCAACAGCCTTATCTGTCGCGTTGAGGCCGCTCAGAGTCGCACCGACGAGAACACCGCCTACAAGATTGGGGTCGGCGGTGGCACCGCTTCCGGCAAGTCCTCCAAGGAGAAGTCCGGCCAGGGTCTTTGACGAGATTGTTTTGCTGCCGGCGAGGAGGCCGTTCAACAGATCATTCGTGAGAGTGCTATTGCCCGAGGTGTTTGTGGAACCGATGAGGTTGCCCACGAGGACTCCGCCCAGGAAATCGGGATCAAGGGACCCATCGCTTTGAATGATGCTGCTCAGGTAATTAGGAAAGGCTGTTGCGTTGCCGCCGCCGAAAAGCCCGCCCAGGCCTCCAGAGCCAAGCAAGCCTGCGCCGATAACGCTAGGTAAGATCGTGATATCGGGAACAGTGTCGCCATTCAGGTCAATGCCTCCCGTGAGACCAATGACAACATCAGGCAACCCGTCACCGTTCAAGTCGACGCCTCCGCCAGGGAGGAGGAAGACATCCGGGATACCATCGAGGTCGATATCGATGCCACCGTTAGCACCGACAGCAGTGTCTCCTACTCCGTCTCCGGTGAGGTCCACACGAGAACCAATGCCAACTTGGAGACCGAGGCCAAGGCCGATGCCGGCACCGTTAGTGGCATTGCCAGAAGTGCCATTAGAAAGCAGCTGCTCCAGGATGCCCGGCAAGACGAAAATGTCGGGCGTTCCATCGCCGTCGATGTCAATGCCTCCGTTCGGAGTAATCGTGGTATCGGGAACGCCATCGCCATTGAGGTCCACATTGCCATCAGCTCCAATGATAAGATCAGGAATGTCGTCGAAATTAAGATCGATGGCGCCTCCGAGGCCAATTGTGGTATCTCCTTTTCCGTCTTTGTCAAGGTCGACAGGAGTACCAACAGTCAAGCCTTTGAGCAAAGAACCCAGTCCGGAGCCGAGAGACCCTGTTATGTTGCCGGGTGAACCGGTCAGATTGTCAAGCAAAATCCTGATATCAGGTACGCCGTCTCCATTTGTGTCAATGCCGCCGTTAGGGAGCACAGTGGTATCGGCGATGCCATCTCCATTAGTGTCGACTCCGCCACCAGGCAAGACGGTGATATCAGGCTTCCCATCTCCGTTGATGTCGATGCCTCCGCCATTACCGACAGTGGTGTCGGGCAGCCCATCGCCATTGAGATCCACGCCAGCGCCGTTGATAAGACGTCCACCGATGGTGATCAAGGGGCTGCTACCAGTATTGGTGCCGTTACCCCCGGCCCCGTTGCCGAGGAGGCTGCCGATAGCATTGATGATGGCATCAGCAAGGCCGAGAACTGTCAGATCCGGCGTTCCGTCGCCGTTTAGATCGATAGTGCCGTTACCATAAATTGCGGCGTCCGGCACTCCATCGCCGTTGGTGTCGACGGTTCCATTAGCTGCGATGTATATGTCAGGAGTGCCGTCACCATTAGTATCAATGCCACCGTCAGCGGTGATAGTGGTATCCGGAATGCCATCGCCGTTAAGATCAACTCCGAGGCCGGGGAAAATCAAGCCAGCAGGACTTCCGCTAGTAGAGTTTCCACCGACAAGGTCCCTCAGGATAGTGATATCTGGCCTACCATCTCCGTTGAGGTCGATGCCGCCGCCAGGGAGAACATGGCTATCGACAATTCCATCACGGTTCAGATCGACGCCGCCATCAAGGCGAACCGTTAAATCTGGGATTCCGTCTCCATTGATGTCGATGCCTCCATCGAGAGCGATGGTGGTATCGGCCTTGCCATCGCCGTTGAGGTCAACGCCAAGTCCAGGAACGGGAATGAAGGTTCCATTTGTGCCGCCAGTGGTCCCATTCCCTGTGCCGCCAGGGATGATAGGTCCGCCGGGACCCGGCAGGATGAAGAGATCTGCTATACCATCTCCGTTAAGATCGATGCCGCCACCCGGGAGAATATGGCTGTCCGGAATGCCATCATTGTTCAAGTCGACGCTACCGTCAGGGAAAACTGTGATATCTGCCCTTCCGTCTCCGTTGATGTCGATGCCGCCGTTGGGTCCAATCAGAGTATCCGCTTTCCCATCGCCATTGATATCGACCCCGAGGCCAGGACGGGGAATGAGACCGCCAGTGGTTCCATTTCCTGTGCCAGGGATGCCAGGCCCGCTGGGTTTTAAGATCCGAATGTCTGGTCTGCCATCTCCATTGGTGTCGATACCGCCATTGGGACCGACGTACAGATCAGCAATACCGTCAAGATTCAGATCAACGCTACCGTCAAGGCGAACTATAAGATCAGCCCTTCCGTCGCCGTTGGTGTCAATCTCGCCGTGAGGGCCAATGGTCGTATCGGCCTTACCGTCGAGGTTGAGATCGACTCCCAGGCCAGGCGTCGGTCTAAAGCCGCTCGGGAGCCCGATCCCCCCCGGACCGGTTCCGTTTCCTGTACCACCAGGGATGAGGGATCCAAGACCTCCGATAATGGTGATGTCGGGGATTCCGTCACCATTCGTGTCGATGGCACCACCTGGGCCAACTCTGGTATCTGGGATTCCGTCAAGGTTCAGATCAACAGTGCCGTCAGCATTGACAACAATGTCGGGCTGCCCATCGCCGTTGGTGTCGATACCGCCACCAGGGTCAATGGTAACGTCAGGAATACCGTCACCGTTAAGGTCGACACCAGCGGGAGGGATGACAGGGGGCTGACCGCGGATGACCCTGATGTCCGGGATACCATCACCATTAGTGTCGATGCCACCGCCTAGCCCGACGGTGGTATCAGGGATTCCATCAAGGTTCAGATCAACACTGCCATTAGCGTTGATAACGAGATTGGGCAGCCCATCCCCGTCGGTGTCAACACTTCCATCAGCGCCGATGAAAACATCAGGGATACCGTCACCGTTAAGGTCGACACCAGCGCCAGGGAGAGCAAGGGGGCGGCTGTCGATAATCGTAATGTCTGGAATACCATCACCATTGGTGTCAATGCCACCGGCTAGTCCGACTGTGGTATCCGGAATTCCATCAAGGTTCAGATCAACGCTGCCATCGGGGTTGATTATGAGATCGGGCTTCCCATCTCCATTGGTGTCGACACCTCCACCAAGGCTAATGGTAACGTCAGCCTTGCCGTCGCCGTTGAGATCAACACCAAGGCCTGGAATGGCAAGGGACTGGCCACCGCCCGAGCTGATGCCAGAGCCAATAGTGATAGGCGGCCTCCCGTTACCAAGGTCAATAGTGCCGTCGAGCCCAACTCTCGCGTCAGGGATGCCGTCGGCGTTGAAGTCCACATTGCCCCGGAAGTCGACATAGATATCCGGTATGCCATCCCCGTCAGTGTCAATGCCGCCACTTAGACCAATGGTGGTATCGGGCAATCCATCGCCATCGGTGTCCACAGGAAGGCCAGGGTGGATAAAGGGCGTCTGGTCTGTAGGCGGCTTGCGACGTTGAATAAAGATGTCGGCTTCGCCGTCGCCGTCGAGGTCAATGCCGCCTCCAGGACCGATGAGTGTGTCTGGCTTGCCATCTCCGTTCAGGTCCACAATGCCGTTGAGTCCAATGATAAGGTCTAGCTTCCTGCCATCATTGAGTACAATGGCGCCAGTCACGCTGACCACGGCATCAGGCGCAAGGTCGCCGTCGAGGTCAACCGGCGAGCCGACAAGTCCAGTGTTGATGCCGAGGATCCCAGAGCCTCCACTGCCAAGGGCATAGAGGATCTTGAAGTTGGGCCTGCCATCGCCATCGGTATCAACGCCACCGTTTAGATCAACAAATGTATCTTGCAAGCCGTCTCCATTGAGATCGACAGCGCCGTCGGCCCTGATGAAAAGATCCGGGAAGCCATCACCATTCAGATCAACGGCACCATTGGGCCCAATGACAAGGTCGGGTATGCCATCACCGTTTGTATCAATCGGAGTGCCGGGGTCCAGCCTCACATAGTCAAAGTCGAAACGAGGGTTGCCCTCACCGGAAGGAAGAATGGTGATATCAGGGCGGCCATCACCGTCCACATCAACTCCACCGTTCTCGTCGACAAAAGAATCAATTAGGCCGTCACGGTCGATGTCAACTGCTCCATGGACAGTGATCGTAATATCTGGCACGCCATCGCCGTTGAGATCGACGCCACCGTTGCGATCAATGACGGTATCGGCTTCTCCATCACCGTTAAAATCGATTCTCGTTCCAGGAAAGAAGCCTCCCTCTTCGTCTGTTGCGCCTGATCCGTGATGTCCGTGATGTCCGTGATGTCCGTGGTGGCCCTTGTGCCCATGCCCCTTGTGTCCGTCGTCCTTGTGTCCATGACCGTCAAGTCCATAGCTGTCGTCTTCGTGGCTATCGTCTTCAGAGCCATCTTCTTCATAGCTATCGTCTTCATAGTCGTCGTCTTCATGGCCCTTGTGATCATGTCCCTTGTGCTCATGATCCTTGTGCTCATGATCATAGTCCTCATCTCCATAGCCCTCGTGTCCATAGCCCTCATGTCCATAGCCGCCGTGCCCATGGCCCTCTGACGGCTCAATGACAACAATAGGGGGCTGACCCAGCCTGATCGGCGGGCAGGTAACTCGTGGACCATCAGGCCTCGCGCCAGGAGCAGTAAGCACCGCAGGCAAATGATCGGGGTCGCCACAGAGCACAATCGGATCTGCGCCAGGCAGAGGTCTTCCGTCGTGGCCAGTCGGGAGCAGAGTGTGAGTTTCAGCTCGTTCTCCTTGGTGATATCCAGGAGCCGTCACCGTCACGAGATGGTCGGTAAAGCCATGAGTGCCGATAACGACTGTGGGCGGGTACTCCGGGCCCCTGCCTGGAATAGTGAATCGAGGATCGTCGGGGCCAGCCCCTTCGCAAGTATAAGTGGTAGGCTGCGGTTCCCAAGGACCCTTGGTCTTGGGGTCGTAGATGATGACTGTGCCCTCACAGCGGTGGCAAGCAGGATGAATAGTCGAGACGTAGGGTTCAAGGCCGGTGGTAGTAGACGTAATGGTAACATAAGGGTCTTGTGTAGGTTCATAATGAAAGACGGTGCCTGTGCAGACTGGGCACTGAGGATGCTTGGTCGAGGTGGCGGGGTCCGATTGGCAGGTCGGCAGAGTGAGCGTCACATAAGGCGGCTTCTCTTCAGCCGTCGTGAAGAAGTGCTGCGGAGCGCAGGCATTGGCGCAAGCACCAAACGAGAGGTAGGTTGTAACGATAACTTCGACAGTAATAACATCATCATCATCTTCGTTGGCCCTTACAGGGGCAGCAAGGAGAGATCCGAGGACGACCGCCTTGGCCGCCCAGGACAAGATACCGTTTGCACGACGGCCGGCCATCTTGATGAACCAGTCGAGGGGCAATGACGGTAGAGAAAGTCCAGCTGTAGAAGACAGGGAAAGGAGTGTAAGTTATCACCGTCTCACAAACAGGTTAGAGTTGGCCATCAGAGGGTATAATATATCTTTCTCCAAATGGAGAAAGGGTTAGAAGATAGCTCTTCACATTTCAAAGCGAGACTGAAAACTCTCGAGGAATGCTTTCGTTGGCGACTCTTCGAATGGGAGAATAACGAGGAGTGGCCATTCATCCGAGGGACATTCGTGGGTGTATAGCCATTGCTCAACCAACGGCTGACTTAGACAGTCGTGTTGCATTCCGGAGACTCCAATATGTACCTGCAGCACCGAATGCCTAGATTACCTTTCCCAGCAGCTCGGTCCCTGCTGTCGCGAAAAAAGGCTGGGTAAGATTCTGTGTGCTTTACGCGTGATGGCCATTCCATTGCATGTAAAGCGTGTCGCGTCAATGGTGCCTGCACCCCATTAAAGCGGCCGTTTGACGTGATAGCAGTTGGCATTGAGGCTTCTGGCGCTATGCTCTCAGCATGATGAGCAATCTGGATCAGCGTCGTTAGGAACAACGTGCCGAAAGCCAGTCGAACCGGCAATCAGTCCGCCGGTAGCCATTCTACTGTGACAATGGTACCAAACGGCCTTGAACATGCCCTGATTGCATCATCTCATGCACAGATTACCACGATCCATGCTGAAATGCGAGTTTCCTGGGTTGAGACGGTTACTAGGCCAGCAGCATCCGGCCAGAGGAGCAAAAAGGCAGCTCCCCACACCAATGGCCAGGCAACACGACTTTGTGCTAGGAATTCCATTAAGTCCCCGTGGCGATAGATTGAATTCAGTCGCCTCTGAGACACCGTTGCCGGGGGGTGCTGGATCAGCGACATCGTCGACAGGGGCGGCGACTGAGACATGCGATGGCCCATGGAGGATGCCCTGGAGAAGGGCTCGAGGGGAAGGGCACAGTAAGTAGTAATGATGACGCTGACCGCAGCTGACGTTGATTGCAAGGCTGCAGAGACTCTAGTTTATTGTGAGGTTCGGAAAGGATGTTCTTGGTGAGTTGAGGTGAGGGAGAAGAGAGGAGGTCGATCGGCGGGTGGCCACGTGATTGCAACTCCCACTCATCTTCATGTTTGACGTCGACATGCACAAGCTCAGGTACCAGCATTGTCCTCATTTGTTGCAGCATTAGGAGAATCAGATTGTCTGATACCATTTTCTGCTACAATCACGTTCTTTGATACCTCCTGTCGCATACTCACCATCACCCCACCACCATCACCAACGTGTAAGACTGTCTCCTCACGACACCAACATACCAAACACCCGCGACCTAACCGCAGATTCTGTACTCCGTACTCGTACTCAGACATCAGCTCAATTCAAAGGAGACTACTTTAGACTCCTTGCGGGCCGCACCGGAGCGTCTGCTCAGATCTGACACAAGGATTGTCTTCTTCACTACTCCTATATGGGACAATGGCCCGCGGAGACCTGCTGCATGCCTCAGAGCCTGCTGCTAAAGTGGTCGCGTCTCGAATGCAATGTTCGCGATTAGACGCGCTTACACCTTGTGGTGCGCCTCTTCCAGGCTTGCTTCCACAATCACGTCTTTTGAAGGACTCCTTGCCTACGGACGGACTTGTGAATGCCCTCTACACAACTATGCGGTGATGATATAAAGTAAGTAAATAAATTGATGTAATCCTAATATCCGAACACCTCTCCAGAATAACATGAAAGATAAAACAGAGCCACCACTGCCTCCTTGACACAGCAGTACACGATACACGTAGGCAACCGGCAATTAGTATCCTTCCAAGAACACCAACTTCCCCATCTTCAACACATCATCACCTTCACAACCCCATAATCCTCCTAAACCCAACATTCTCAACAACCCACGACCCCCCCAGCCGAAACGCCCCTTGCCCCTCCAACTGCCCATCAACCTTCCCCATCGCCAACCTCACCAAGAAATCCCCCAAGTGCTCCGTCGGCGAATGCACCCCCCTCATCAACCCAAGCAGCGGCGACAGCGCCGCAATGCCCGCCTTGTACAACATCCCCGGGTCCGGAATATACGGCAAAATCGCCTTGTGCCTCCTCGCGTCCACAAACGCCGGCCGCACCGAAGCCGCCCACAACCCCTCCGGGTTCGCAGCCGTCAGATTCCCCAGCTCCGCCTCCGTCTCGCCCTTGACGCGCGCAAAGATGGCCGAAAACCTGCCCGGCTTCTGCGTCGCGCCCTCGCCAGAGACATAGATGAACCGAAACGGCTCCGAGGGCGTCGTCGTCAGCGTAGCAAAAGACTTGGCCGCCGCCAGCGTGTAGTCCTTTGTGATCTTGACGTATTCCTGCGCGTTGACCTTGGTCTGGCTGATGCCCAGCGCCCAGACGCAGGCTTTGGCGCCCTGCAGCTGCTCCAGCACCTTGGAGTCGTAGCTTTCAAAGTCCTGGTGGATGATGACGTTGATTCGCGGGTCCTTGACGTCCTCGGCCATGCGCACCGGTCTGCGGCTGAGGATGGAGATCTTGGTGATGTCTTTGGCTTTGATCATGGCGTCGAGGACGCCGCTGCCGACCAGGCCGGTGGCGCCTGTCAGGATGATGTGCATTTTCGTGGAGTGTGAGATGTGTAACGCGTAGTTCAGGTAAGTTACGCTCCTCGCGGCTCTCACTTACAACCCCAGGGCTTTGTGTGAATGAAGATGTGAATATTGGGAGTATAGTCGATAGTCGCCTAGGTAAGCAAAGAAGCTGGGCGACTGAGTAATACAAGGCACTAGGCAAATAGATGAATATGATCAAAGATAGTATAAGCATAAGAAGTCAACTACCGGAGGGAAGCAAGTGGTTATATAAGTCCACCTCCCAAAAGACAGCCTTACATCGTATAAACTATCCATCTGAGCGGGCTTTTTATCTCCATGTCGGCCCACCGAGCCCGGACATAACCCCGTCGCTACGTGTATGCTGACACGCTGCATTACCGCATTGGGCGAAAGCCTCGAAATCCTCGACTGCTAGTCCGCCGGCATTGCGGGAACTCCATCTCCGCATCTCCGCCTGGCCCTTCCACATCGGATGCCATCTCTCGACCGGAAGGAATCCCAGGGAACATGGAAGTCAAATGGCATGTCACGCCAGATCTCTAATTTCCGTCTCGGCATTTGCGGTGAATTCATGTCGATACTGCCTTTGGCTTAAAACAATTACAGAATAGTCGAGATGATGTACGATGCTCATAGCCACACATGCTTTGTTGGTATAAGTTTTCTGTACGCTGACCCAGATATACGTGAACATGCTCTATATTCTTCCCTTTTATTGTTATATTGATTATCTGTGGCCATCATGAGATTTTGAATCCCTTGGTCAATCATCAAAGCCAGAAGAAAGGCTCTCATAGTTGTGACCAGAAGCACTTGAAGGTGCCATTCATGGGCCACATTTCAACTTTGGCCGATGTCCGGGGTGCTAGAGATCTCGATTTCTCTTCATGCAATAGCCAAGGCTCAGCACCGTTGAGTAGCCCCTACTTCGTCATGATCATCTCCAGAAATGCAACGCCGTGTATCTTTTCAATTCTTTTGTTGCAGCCTTCATTATATCTCTCCATATTGCTATCAGTGTGGAGAAACCACACTGACAGTTTCATTTCATGGATACAATACGTTGCAGACATCGTTCCACCGTCAATTTTGTAAGCCTCATCGTGTGATGCTTTTCAATAGCAATGACCGCCCAATATCCAGAAAGAAATAACCGCCAAGTGGGACAGTATCCCGCAAGTTACAAATAAGCAGCCAAGTCTTGCCGGTCGCACAACTCCTCAAGCCTGTGGTGCAAAGCTCGGCAGCATAGCCTATGATGTTTGAATCGAGGACACCGCGCTGATGAGGTCATATGGCCCGCCGGCAAGGGCAACGCATTATGCATTACGCACTGCGGAATTTCTGTACTCCCATTGTTCGATCCGAACCAGAGAATAGCTCTGCCTGCATCGTTCACCGCTCGACAGCGTAGCGGAGCTGCCGTCAGCCATACTGTCCTAGGGCCATCAGACCTCGTCGAGTCGACAGGCTAGTGATGCTATGAAAGGCCGGTAGGCTTATGACGCCGTTACTGCTGTGGCAGCCTTGGCCCGGCGCTGCAGATCAGTGCTTCTCCATGCCGTGACGGTAGATCGAGCATGGCCTATCCCGCAGAAGCTCGTAGCTGCTCTATTTGTAGCTGCTGCTGTTTATAATCTGCTGCACCATATCTGCAGTGGTGGCCCAGACAGAGGAAGATGTAGAGGGTCCCATAAGAGCTTCATTATGCAGTTCACCCCCGGACCCCCATCATGCCAGTCGACTCGTTCCTCAGACGAGGAATCTGAATCTCTTCGTCGTCCGAAGAGTCGGCTGCTTCAGCACCTGCTCGGTCGAGCATTCTTTCAATGTCCTCATCACGCAAAACTCTCCGGGCACCGGTATGCGAAGCGCCTAGTCCTGAAGGAAGCGAAAGAGACCCTCTCAAGTGGCTGTTGGGCCCCTTGACGCGTCGCTTGGGCGTAGTACCGTTCGGGCTATAGTATGAGTGCTGCGGCGAATCCACGTCCATTGGCGATCCTGGAGGGTGCATCATTCCAGGAGACTTGTCAAATCCAGGCCTCCTTTGGACATTCACTGGCCTGTGTCCGGGAAGTACCTTCCTGGGGGCGCTGGGCAACGCGTGTCTTGTCGCGGGATTCCTAAAGGCGCCGGTCTGCGGATTTGGAGAGGCTGATGGCGAGAATGTATGCTTCAGGTTGGCTGAGTTGTTTGGACTACTCATGAAGAGCAACGCCTCCATGGCATCTTGCTCCCTAACATTCTGGTGAGACGGATAAAGGACGGGGTCGGTCATGCGCGCAGGCTGGGACAGGGATTGGTGGGAATCGATGAGCATTGGCTGGCCAGGAGTATGAGGAGACGCCGAGTGGGAGTGTGAAAGCATAGTCGGGGTGTATCGCGGGCTGGAGTTGCGGCGCGGGTTGGAGCGCGTGGCAGAGATGGACGGCTGAATGGTGGCCGGAGGAGCGAGAGAGGGCTTGTTAGAGGTCAGGTATGGAGAATCGGACTTGCGGCGGGCGGCGGCCTGTTGGGCGAGATGTACCTGAGCAGATGCAGTGGTGACGTCCAGACGGGGGCTTGCCGAGGAGCTGTGCCGCCTGATGGTGGACGAGCCCGAGGCGGGAGAGACAGCCTGGGAAGCGGCCATTGATTCGACTTCCTCGATGGAGTGGCCCTGCCAGCCAAAGTTGACCTTCATCATGGCGTACGAGAGGCGAGTCTTGAGCTCGGCAGACAGCTGCGAGAAGGAAACAGTCAGTATATGCTGGTCTCATCTTCCAATGCCTTCCAAGGTCTGGTTGAACGTACCTCTCCTATGGTGCTGCCGGTGGACGTGACGCTGACGGTGCTGAGATTCCTGGCATGGCCATGGCCGCCGCCCCTAGGAGGGCTCATGCCGGTCTTGACCTCGCCATCAGCCATGCGCTTCCTCGAGGCGCCCGCGGTTGATATCCTGTCCTGGGCCGCGGCAATGGTGGACAGCTGCAGCAGATGATCGGTCTTGTCTCGGGCGGCGGCAGACGAGGCATCGTGGGCCAGATACCCCGCGGCGCCGTCCGTGACGCTGCTGATATCGCTGGCTGGGGGCGTCATCGCCGGGGCCGAGGAGCTGGTAACATGTGATTCCTGCGAGTTGGTGACGGTCAGAGGAGCGCTGAGGGCGGCGCCGGAGCCACTGGCGTCGAGGGCATCGGATTGCTGCGATTGCTTCGGCGACGGCTCCCGGGGAGTTTCTGCCACCTCGCTCTGGGACCACGCGGCATCGCCGTCCATGCTGGACGCGGGCAGGTCGGGGGCTGAGGCTGAGACAGAAGCAGAAGTGGGAGCAAGAGCAGGGGAAGCGGCAGAGGAGGACGCGGAAGCAAATTGAGATTCAGAAGCAGCGGCGGCGATGGCGATGGCGGCCGAGGCCGAGGCGGGCACAGCTGGACCTGGTGTTTCGACGCCCGCGGCCGGAGCACCACCAAGAGGCGCTGGGTGCGACATGTCGCGCAGAGTGTCGAGAGCGCGACAAGACCAAACCCCACTGCGTGCGTTACGATGCGTTGCGTTGCGGTGCGTGGGAGCGTCTGGCGGGATTCAGAGTCAGAGTCAGAGTCAGAGTCCGAGTCAGTCAGAGTCTGAGGCCACAAGAGGCGCGTTGGCGCGTCTCGACACGGCAGAACTGGGACGAGGCGGGCGGCCCGGCGGCAGAGCAAATGAAGCAAGTATGGGACAGCCAGAGATGGGAGCAAGCGGTCGACGGCACAGCACAGCACGGCATCGAGGTGAGCAAAAGGTGCATGTGTTGAAGTACGAAGAGGTCGGTCCTGGGCCTGGTTTGTGTGTGTGGGTTACGCGCGGTCCAGTCGCGACGGATGCGGGAGGGACGGGCAAGGACGGGATCCCCAAAAGGTGCCCCCAAGGCCCCCCCAAGCAAGGCCCGACAAAGGCTGGTCGAGCGCTGAAGCCGCGCCGCTGACAGGCGCTGCGGTCGCTGGACTGAAGCATGAGCGCCCCGTTTGGCTCGCCGGTCAGCGTCCAGTGGATCTGGGCTCGCTGAGGCTAGAGGGCTAGGCTCGAAGCCGTCAAATCAGTCGCATCGACACATGGAGTTGAGCCTGCTGTGATAAGTGGCAGAGCATCGCATCACGCATCACGCGCAACTCAAAGTCACCAGCGCTAAGCCGGTGGGTTCATGTTGGTGGACCCGGCGCCTTGTCGTGACCATGGCGACTTGGAGTGCTGTTTGTTGATGGCAGTCTCATCTATGGGGTGGTAAAAGAGGTGCAAGTTGTCCAACCTGAGGCCTCAACCCGTGTGTCGTACGAGAAAGAAAGAGAGAGAGCGTGGAAAGAAGAGAAGTGTGTTGACAAAAGTTTTAAGAGTCGTAGCTTGCTTCATTGTGTGACCGCTGCGAGATATCAAGACGACTGAGCTCTTCTCTTTTCGGGTCACATTCCGCCTCTATTGTCTTTCTTTTTTGCCTGTTTCTTCTCTGCAGAAATCTTCAGCGGCTGAGCTCGCTAACACCAAACAGGGCAGCCTGCAGCTCTCTCGCATCATCCTCCTTGCATCGAGAGCGAGAAAACGGCGCTATCTGATTCTTTTCCTTCTTTTCTTCTCTTCTCTTCTCTGCCTCCTTTGCCCGCAGGATGCAACCCCATGGCCGCCAACTTGTGGGCTGCGTCTTGGGAAAAGCCTCATCTTCATCTGGCATGCATAGTCGCTCTTCCGTTCTACAAGGGTTCACGGTTAGTTTGGGCTCGCTGTGGGACGTCCTGCACGACCTGCTTCTTGGCCTGTCCTCTCTCTTTCTTCCCCGCTCTCAGAAAGAAAAACCCCGCGTGTGAGTGGTGAAATAAATGAAAATAAAAAAAGAGAATGGCTGGATGGATCGTTTCTTCCGTGATGGCTGGAGTCAATTGCCATGTTTCCATCCAGAATCCAGCTGGCGAGCCGAAAATAGCTCTAGTGAAAAATTACCGCGCCCATGGTCGAATCTTTTCTGACTTTTGCTGCTGGCGTGGCGAATGAACCAGCCCAAAGATGGAAGCTGACCGTTTCAGATGGCTTTTTTTGATGAAGAGCACTCCGGAAAACGCTTGTTTGGTGTGGATTGTGCGACCCTGCGTGCATACAGTCAGAGGCTTTTTCGCCTCTTTTTTTTTTTCCAGTTCTTGGGGTTTCAGAGACCAGATGGATCGTGATCTCTCGCTGACACGAAGTCACGTGCATGACGCGACACGATTTTCAGCCTTAGTCAGCAGATGAAAAGCTCAATCTCAGCCAATAGCAGCCTTGGATCATTCCTAGCAAGGTGGACAAGGATTCGAGGCCGCTCAGCGACGACCACGTGAAGCCATCTCGACTCGAACTTGGAGATAGAAACATGAGTAGAGTGAGAAGTGGGCAGTGGGACCTGTGATGAAGCTTGAGAGCTGTGACGGCAGCAAGTATATCATTAGCAGAGGCTTACTGTCGGCTCCGGTCAATGGCTCTGGCCTTGTGTGCTTTTCTAAGCATCATCTGAAAGCCACGACTGAGATGCGCAATCTACCCACAAGCAGGCTCGTCTCCGCCAGTGGCTTGCAGTCCATACGCTCCTCCGTCTAGAATGACCCCCTCGTTGTTGTCCAGGTCGTCTTGTACTCTTCTCCATCCCTTGGCACGGCTCTGTCGACCCTCTGCATCAGCCCCTTTCCCCTTGGCATCATAGACAGGCCGCATCACGGCTCCCAGCAGCGGATTTGCGCTGAAAGCGCCGCCGGCATTCTTATTTCCCGACGTCTCTTGTAGAACCCCGGAGTTGGGCTCCTCAGCTTCATCCTCCTCTGGTGTGGCTGGCCGCTGAATAGGCGCAACCGTCTTCACCACTCGGCGCCCAGCAAGGTCAATGCTGATGACCTGCTGCCGCTTCTCGTACTCTGGCCGTGCGTTCCACTCCATCTCCCGTAAAATCTTTTGCTGCCTTTTCAACTCCTTTGCCCGCTCCTCGGGCGTTGCCCACATGCTCCCCGTCCCACTCATGGCGACGGACACGTCAAAGTCTGACGCTTCATCTCTTACCGTCGTACGCCGTGCGTTTTGCGCCTGGAAATTGAGCAGCTTGTCGCGATGTTCTCGTGCTTTGGCGGCTGCTTCCGCTAATGATGGAGCGTCGTTGTCCAATCCCCGCGGCGGCGTGAATGGCGCTGGAGTCTTGGCCACGTCTGCTTTGCGGTGCGCTGCCGCATTGGCCGCCATCTTTTCCTTGCCGCGCTCGTCCTTGAGCTCCCTGACCATGGCCTGGATCTCGTCCGAGCTGAGTAGTGGTGTTCCGCAAAACGTACACGGGCCCAAGCCCTCCTTCAAGCAGATGACCTTGCCGCAAGAAAGACAGTTGGGCGCGGCGGCTTGGAGAGGATGTCTAGTCGCTACGCAGTTGCACTTCCTTGACTTGGCATCCTTCTCTAGTGATGGGTTTGTTGTAATCTCCAGAGACCGAATGGCCGCATCCAGATCGGCCAACGCTGTGGACTGACCGGCCATCGGCACCCCTCCCGATATTGAAATCTTTGTGACATTTCCGCTACCGGCTGGCTTCGGCGTCGAAGTGCGGGAGACAGGCGTAGACTTGGCCTTTGACTTGCTCGGGCCGTCGGATATGAGGTAACCGCTTGCTGTAGAGTTTGTCTTCTTGGGTGCTGGCGCTTCAACCTTGGTGGCAGCGGCCGGTTGCGCCTTTGCTGTAACGGTAGGTTCCTTGAGAGGGGACGGTCTTGCTGGTGAGACCGGTCTTGATGGACGATTGCTGCTCGGAGCACTAGATCGCTGAGAGATGTATTCCAGATCGGAGTCTTTCTTGTTGTATGCCTTTCCCGACGGGCCAGCGTAGTCGTCGACCCTTCGCGCTTCTGGGGTATGCAGCGCTGCTTTCTTCTTTTTCGGGGCCTTGTTCCATTTCGGCACGGGCTCTACTGTTTCGGCAGCGGCAGGCTTCGACGTTGTCGCCGTCGCTTTTGACGGGGCTTTGGACGGGGCTTTTGCGGGGGTTTTGGAGTTTGAGGGGGCCGAAGAAGCCGGAGCAGCGGCAGGAGGAGCTGGATCTTTTCGGCGAGCGTTGAAGGTGGATATGAACTCGATGACGGCGGGCGAGTCGCCGAGGAGGTTGTTGAAGTGCGTCACTGCTTCGAGCTTGGAGAGGGTCGAGGCGTAGTCGAGAACCTGCTGGAGCTCGTCCTCAGGCAGCGGGAGCAGCCGAGCGAGCTGGTAGATGGACATTGCAGTGGCCGTTTCGGCAGTTTGTTCGTGGTTGGAAAGTTAACAGGAGTTGGGGTTTGGAGACTGGAAGTGTGAAGCTCCAAGCTCGAGCTGCCATTTGTCTTATCGGCCTGCAGATACTTATCTGGATGCCGGTGGATGAGTCATGCCGAGTGATCGCTTTGATGGCGAATGTAGTTACAGAATGAATTGAACTTGTCACTCTATCTAGTATAAGAACCGATGCTAACGGGGTACTTCTCAATCAATCAATGGCAAAATCTCAGAGCACCGGTTCTGGAAGTGTTCTGGTCTTTGCGTTGAGTGGCACTTCAATCGTGGTGGGGCTGCATCTCGAGAGGCCGAGGGAATGGCATCATCTCGAGCTCCGTGACTTACATAACGTCGCCTCATGCTTTTCACACTTGATATGGCTCTATCTAATTGTATGCTTGTAGTTCATATCGGCCATAATCACAGCCACAATGCTCGTCTCAGAAATAAGTAAAGGCGGCCAGGCTGTAAGGTCATCAATGTCATGTCTCTCTCTCTCCCATCTCCAGCCCTACCAACACCAAATCCTAGCCCAGTACGCCAAAGTCTGTGTCAGCTGCCGGACACGGCACTTATGCGCCATTTCGTCCGGCAATCTCACTTCAACGGTGACTCCACGAGACGGACGAAAATTCAATTTCTCCCTCCGGCCGGTCCGTCGCTTTTCGCTGCTTGTGCCTGAACTGACGACTTGACCTGAGTGGACTGACGGCATTGGGGCGGGCCTGGAGGCTTGCACCAAAACGGCTCAGCCGGGAAATCCCGGACTATAGCCGGGCTTGTGCCTCAGCCGTGCGCACTTTGTCCTCTCCATACAAGTACAAGAACAGCCCAAACCTTTTCCTGCTCTCCACCACCGCCTTCAATCCCTCTGTCGTTGGATCAATTCCTCTGCAGCTTCTCTTTAGACCATCATGTTCGCCGCCCGTATCCAGCGCAGGGCCTTCTCTGCCTCTGCCCGCAACGTAAGGCTTCCTCTCCTGCTTCCCCTCCCCCGCCTGTTGTCGTCTCTCCTCCTCGTCACCTCCCCAACACGCCGGCTCTGAGCCTGATCGTGAGCTGTGCTGACCAGCTTCGTCTTCTTCACTATAGCTCTCCAAGGTCGCCGTCCTCGGTGCTGCCGGTGGCATTGGCCAGCCCCTCTCTCTCCTGCTCAAGCTCAACACCCGTGTCACCGAGCTTGCTCTGTACGATATCCGTGGCGGACCCGGTATGTAGCTCTGTGTCCCTTCGTGCGCCAATTTCCCTCCGCGGATTTTTCTCCTCTTGCTCCGGCATTGCGGAATTGGCCAATGGCTGACATGTCCTCTTGCCTGCAGGTGTCGCTGCCGACATCTCCCACGTCAACACCAAGTCCCTCGTCAAGGGCTATGAGGCCACCCCCAGCGGCCTCGCCGCCGCCCTCAAGGGCTCCGACATCGTCCTGATCCCCGCCGGTGTCCCCCGCAAGCCCGGCATGACCCGTGACGACCTCTTCAACACCAACGCCTCCATCGTCCGCGACCTGGCCAAGGCTGTTGCCGAGTCCGCCCCCGAGGCCAAGCTGCTCATCATCTCCAACCCCGTCAACTCCACCGTCCCCATCTGCGCCGAGGTCTTCAAGGCCCGCGGCGTCTACGACCCCAAGAAGCTCTTTGGCGTCACCACCCTCGATGTCGTCCGTGCTAGCCGCTTCGTCTCCGAGATCAAGGGCACCGACCCCAAGGACGAGAACATCACCGTCGTCGGCGGCCACTCCGGCGTCACCATCGTCCCCCTCTTCAGCCAGAGCAACCACCCCGAGCTCTCCTCCAACGCCGAGCTCGTCAACCGCGTCCAGTTCGGCGGAGACGAGGTCGTCAAGGCCAAGGACGGCGCCGGCTCTGCCACTCTCTCCATGGCCTTCGCCGGTGCCCGCATGGCCGACTCCCTCCTCCGCGCCGCCGACGGCGAGAAGGGCGTCATTGAGCCCACCTTTGTCGACTCTCCCCTCTACAAGGACCAGGGCATCGACTTCTTCAGCAGCAACGTCGAGCTCGGCCCCAACGGTGTTGAGAAGATCCACCCCATTGGCAAGATCGACGCCAACGAGGAGAAGCTCATCGAGGCCTGCCTGGGCGACCTCAAGAAGAACATTGCCAAGGGCGTCGCTTTCGTCAACGAGAACCCCGGCAAATAAGCGACTGGAAATGCTTACTACAACGTCATGAGCGTTTCTGTTCTTTAGCAATTGTTCCCTTAGTAATGTTTTCTTAACGAGACATACGTCCGCGGGGGGAGGAGAAGGAATCAAGGTCGGTTGGGAGGCTGCTTGGCTCGCTGCTACGGTGCACGGAAAATTATGGCGGAGGTTTGGATGAAAAACAAGACGCTAAAAAAAGGGAGAAGAATTCCATGGCTTTTGACGAGAGTCCCTTCTTGTTTTTCCTCTGCTGTTCTGCAGCTGCCATAGACTTCCATCGGGTCTCTGTAACATTAGCACAAAATAAATAAAATAAAATTCTTTAATGTCCAAACCACTCTCCTGCCTTAGAATCTACTTGCATGGATGAAAAGACGAGCGAATTGGCCGTGTTGAGGAGAGAAATCTCTATTAAACGTAGGCTTTATATCTACTACACTGCCCAGCCTTTTTTCCCCCCAAAATATCTAAGAGCATAATACAGCCTCCAACTCTATAAGGTAGTAGCTAAATCTCTTTTCTGGTCTTGTCTTCTCACATCTCTCCCTACACGGCACATCACTACTGAAAGAAAGCGTCATCATGAGCCAGAGGCAGCCGGCTCCTGACGGCCCGTGGCCCACGCCTCAATCTTCCTCTTGCGCTCCTCGACTCTTCTCTCAAACTCGGCCACCTTCTCCAATCTCTCCTTTTCTTCCTGCTCAAGCTTCTTCTTCTCAATCTCCTTCTTGCGCTCCATCTCGCGCTTGAGCTGCTCGGGGCGGCGCTCGGCAATGTCGCGCGGGCGGTAGTCGCTGAAGAACCTCTTCAGAACAACCTCGATGACCCAGCAGAGCACGTAGTCGAGGACCATGACGGTGGTCATCTTGGTCTTAAACTCGTCGGTGAAGGGGACAAGCTTCATCTGCTCGTTGATTTCGGGCATGAGCTCGAGAGCGCAGATGAAAGCGAGGCCGGAGACGCCGACGATACCATAGAACATGGCCCGGTTCTCGGTAATGGACTCGCGGAAGGGTCGGCCCTGGTAGTTGATGGCAAATGTGGAGATTTGTTGGATCAGCTGCAGCAGGTAAATGGCCGAGTTGAGCAACGACGGCGAAAACTCAGCCTCCAAATCAATGTCACCGGAGCGGCTATAACAGTGTTAGTAATGGATCCCAGTGGATCAGGGGCATCGGCAGGGCACTTACGGCTCGATTTTGTCGCAAAGACGAGCAATGTAGATGAGGGTGACGATGTGAACGGCAAACTGTCCCAGAATAGATCCGATAATGTACACGTTGAAGATGTTGGGCTGGGGTCGCTCCTTGCTCAGTCCTTCCACGACACGAGCTCGTGAGATGCTCAGGAAACAGACGGACATGAGCATACCGCTAATGGTGTATTGCGTATCGCCAAACTTAATGCCCTCGAGGTACAGAACAGACAAGGAGTAGGCACTGATGAGACAGTTCAAGGCGAGGATCTTGTACATCTGAATGGTAGCGACGAGGGTGCAACGGCCTTGGCGGATAATGTTGGGGATAGCCATAACATCGCGAAGCTTCGAGGTAAAGGGCGCAGCGACGGAAGCGTCTCCCAGCTTCAGAGTCGGGGGCTCGTCATCACCCATGTCAGCCTCCATCATGCTGGTAGCCAGCGTATCAGCCAGACTGGCCGCCTTCTTGTTGACAGCCTGCTGGCGACTGTCCAGGAGGTTCTGAGCACCGGGAGAGGTAATAGTTTCCATGGGGTGGCCATGCTGTTTGATGTATTCCTCAGGCGTAATCTTCTTCCTGGCAGCTTCGCGTTCGACAGCCTTTTGATACTGGGGGTTGCTGGGTCCAGGGGGGTAGAGGTGGGCAATCAGGACGGGAACAGGGGGTGCAGGCTGGTTGAAGCGCTTCATGAGCTCGCATTGCTTCTGGTACATTTCCTTGAGCCTGGTGTTGCGGGCATGTTCAGCGATGCGGGTCAAGTCCTCCTTGGTACCGTTAAGGAGAGCAATACCAATGTGAGCCTGTTTCAGGGCACCGACATCGTTGGTACCGTCACCAGCCATCAGAGTGTAGTAGCCCATGTCCTTGAGGCCCAGGAGAATGTCCTCCTTTTGCTTCGGCGACACGCGAGCGTAGACCCAGGTATGGCGGAGAAGGTCCTTCCATCCAGACTGGTCCTTGAACTTGGCCAGAGCGTATCCAGTCACACAGATATCCTTGTTCTTGAGAATCTCGGCATCGATGGGCTTGGAAGGATCAACATGAATGCTGACTTTGTCGTCTACACTCTTCCAAACCAGGCTCTCGCCACCGGCGTTATCCTCAGGGGCATCCAGAATAAGAACATCGCGATCGACAATTTCGACTTCACGGGCAACGTGGACAGCAGTCAGAGGGTTGTCACCAGTGATCATGACCACACGGTGGCTACTCTCGTTGAGCATCTGGACGGCCTCCTTGGCGTCTTCCTTGAGGGGGCAGTGGAGGACCAAGAAGCCGGCGAATGTGAGATCGGCCTCGACCTTTTCCCGCTTGAGATCGTTGATCTTGCTGGCACCCAATTCAGAATCGACAGTAAGCTGCTTGTATGCCAGAGCCAGGACTCGGGATCCCTTGCGAGTGAAGTACTTGTACGTCTCCTCGTAATCGGCAGGCACCTCGACGAGCATCTTCTGGATGGTCTCGGGAGCGCCTTTGACACCGGCGAATGTACCCCTGATCTTCTGGCCTGTACCGGTGTGGATTCCATTGACGAATGCGACGGAGCTCTGACGCTTGAGGGCCGAGGAGAACTGGAACCGGCGCTTGATATGAACGTTACCCTGAGTAGTGCCGGCCTTGGGAGTGCTTGAGAGAACGTCGTTGCGACCGAGACCCCAGCCGAGGGAGCTGAGGGTAGCCTTCTCCATGGGGTCTCCCACAATGTCGCCCTCATCCAGTCGGACCAAGGCATGAGCGGTGGCGAGGACCAGCTGAGTTTCCAGACTAGCTTCCTTGACTGCAATAATAGTAGAGTGAGCACCATCGCCTTCTCGCCTGTCCTCAACGTCGGAATGGTTCAGGCCCAGTCCAGCAATACCCTCGACGACCAAGTCCTCGCCAGTCAGCGTTCCGGTCTTGTCGAAACACGCGATATCAACGCGTCCGGCAAAGGGAATACGGAACGGCTCCGTGCAAAAGATGGCCAACTTCGAAAGAGCTGCCAAGCTGGTGTTGACGGCGAGACTCAGTTCCATGGGCAGTTCGGGGGGCACGACACTGGTGACGATCAAAACGCAGTCCAGCAGGAGCTTGGAGCGCTTGCGGTCCCTCTTCACACCTTCGTCCCAGACGTACCACGAGGCAGCCACCGCGAAGATGAGGAGGAACAGGATGAACAGAAGGGCCTCAAAGTTGTTTGCAGAGACACGCTCGGTGGAGTAGATCATGGTTCGGACCAGACTACCTTGCGAAGTCTCGAAGCCGGTCTTGATGACAATGGCCAGAGCTCCGTCGTCGGGAGCAGCAGGGACACCCGAGGCCAATTTGGGCCTCTCCTGGTCGGCGTTTCCATGAGTGATTTGCAGGACCTTGGTGCCACCCCACAGGAAGGCGTTCTTGTCAAGACCCTCTGGCTCAAGACGAGCATCGGCCGGGCGCAGCTGGATCGAGTCCTTGAGCAACGGGGTACTTTCGCCGGAAAGCATGGCCTCGTTGACAATGGCAGTGCCTTCAACCAGGAGCATATCACACGCGACACCGCTGTCCTCCTTGGTTCGTCCAACGGACACGAGGTCACCAGGCAGGAGGGCATCGCTCTGGATCTCAGTCCACTTTCCCAGGCGGTAGACCCAGACATCGTAGGGCTTGATGCTCATTCCACGGAACTCGTTGAGGGTACGCTGGCGCTGCCAAACAACGGTGCTCTCAAATGCGACGAGCATGAAAAGCGTGAAGAGCGAATAGTACCAGTATTCATCGAGCATCCACAAGCCAACGCAAAAGATCTGGAAGACGAAGAAGGGCGCAACAGCGTGCTCCTTGAAGAGCTCTGTGAATGTCGGGACGGGGATATCGAAAGTGTTTGTGCCATAGTGCTGCTCGATGCGGGTCAATTCGGATTGCTTGTCAATACCCTTGGCCATCTGGAATTGGCCAATGGTGGGCTTGGGCTCGGCATCGATGGGATACGCGAGGGTGCTGAATGACTTGGTATCGGGGTTGTAGAGGAAGCGGCGTTTCTGGAAGAGGAACGAGATGTTGGTCTTGCCACCAACCTGTCGAGAGGAGGAACTTGCGTTAGTTGAGGTGGCCGTGGATGCTGCATAGAGCAGGATACGCATATAAGAAGTCATACCTTGTCTCTCACCAGCTTGCATATTTCGCCGGAGCCGGCGTTGGCAATGGGTAGAACCTTGATCAGCTCGGCATCCTGGACATCCTTGGCCTTGCTCGCCGTGAATCGCGCATCCAGAGTCACGCTCCAGTGGGTGCTCAGCCAGACGAGGGACTGCAGGGTGATGATGGTTCCGCACCAGACAAACGTCCACTCCGGGGCGCCAATGTGCTTCTCGTACAGGTCCGGAGTCAGGTAGTATCGCAGGAAGATGGGCCAGAGGATGGCGAAGGGCCAGACGTAGGCATGCAAGTAGAACGGCAGCGGACGAAGCAGTTCCGCGTGCTTGATCTGCGGGTTATCCACGAGGGCTGCCATGGCAGGCAGAGGGGAGCTGAGGAAGCCCCAAACGGCAGCAGATGTCTAGAGGCGACGGAGAGTGACGGGTTCTGAAGACACCGCTGGTGCTGACATTGAAGAGAAGCAGAAGCAGAGGCGGTGGACAAACGGAGCCTCGGCTGGCGGAGTTGCTGGAATCCAAGAAGTCGGCCGGTTTGAAAGCCGCGATCTGTACTTTTCGATGCCTGGCTCTAGCGAACATTCTGGTGGCGAGCAGCGGGCTTAGTCAGCTATCGGAGGGGAACGCAATGCCGCCGATAAGGACGGAGAGCCGGACGTCATTACTCCCCACCAGCTTGAATCGAAGGGGGATGTGCACCAGATGTGAATTGATTCATGAAAGTGTGAACATATGATCATGAAGGGGATAGATTGCTGCTGATGTAGAGGAGACATTTATTGAGAAGCTGTGGAGGGGAAAAGAGGTATCATGGGTGTCGATATGTGATTGCTTGGGATGGATTCTGTGTCCCTCCATACATCATCATACGAGTATAAACGCGAAGGAAACAAGAATGGTGTGGCTACCAAGAGAATTTGAACTGAAACCTGCAATCTTTTGCAATGCTATACTTCTTACGTATTATTCCAGTACTTAGCTGAGAACCCTGGCCTGCATTGGGACATTGAGAGCAGGCTGGATAAAGTGCTTACAGGGTATCCGATAACTGCTGAGCAGAGCCAACTTCAGCCACCTCTGCCTCCCCTAAAATGTCCACTCCCAGATCCAACCCGTCCAGGTCAGTATTCCAAGCATCTTGGCAGAGGATTTCATCTATCTCATCCTCTTGTGTCTGTACTGCCACCTTCTCCGATCCTCCATCAACACCCCTTGGAATAATCCTGCTTGGTGAGCGCAGCAGTGCGTCTGCTGCCTTGAGCCGTATCATATCATTCAGTCTTTTGTCGTATGCGAGAAACGGGGAGATTGTTTGATACATTGCGTGTAAGAAATCTGCTGGGCCGCATTCCAAGTATTCTCGTGTGGTAAAATAAGAACTGCGACGAGAGTTGTAGAAATCCTGGATAGGGGGGCTGTTGTAGGCACTCGTGGTGCATAATATGACATCTGCCAGCGTGTTGGTGATTTCAAAGGATTTAATCAGCTGTGCCATGTTAGATCCACTGCCATCCGAATATCGAGTAGATCACTGCGTACATACCTGGTCTCTCCCCAAAGAAACCAAGTGCTCCTTTGAATTAATGGTAATGGAAGCCAGGAAGTCTTGCGCTATCTGAGACGGAAAGAGAAAGGTCATAGAATCGTCGTTCGCACAGGATGAAAGCAAACTTCGAGACATGGCCTGCTGCCATATCAAAATGCGCATCCAGTGCTTGGTAATGTTATAGTCTGCTCTTTGCACGAGATCGCACTCTGAAGCCTTCGGAGCAATTGTCTCTAGGGATCGCTGCACTGCGATGAGGCGCTCTTGTTCCGAGTGGGCTTGATAGGACTCGTACATGTACCGGGCTGTGCGATGGAAGAAGGCATCGAAAGCCGCAAAAAGCGTGGCAAGTTCAATCAGTCCTCTTCCGTACTTGTCAAAATCGTCCAAGTTGGCCGTAGGAATCTGGACTGTGTCGAGTATGGAGATGGGGAGGTCATGCTGAATGGCATATCCTCTTCGTTGTTGAACGACGTTGAACAATGTCAGCTGTTACACTTCCTTGAGAGGACACGTGAGGATGTCGTTACCTTTCGCTAACCCAGAGGAGGATATATACAAGGCGCTTATGAGAAGTGACGGGATCGTGGCCATTAAGCCCATCGTGTGAAAATTGGCAGGTCTCGACTTCTATACGGTCCAGGCGGAGGAGCCGGGCGATGGAGATGCCCTCCTGAAGGTAGACCATAGAAGCGTTCCTGTTGTCGGCCTTGGCGTGGTAGACATGGAGAAAGAAGGATGTGAGAGCCCCTTCGATCGATGGGTGCTCCCTATAGTTTGTCAGGTTGCGGAATCGGTTGCACTCCTTCTCCAGGTATTCGCTGGTGACGTGGGGTTGAGCATCTCCCGCCGCCGTGAGGTTCAACTGGGCCATTGTCGCCGAACAGAGTGCCAATGCCATGGTGTAAGCATCGGAATCTGATGATTCACCGGTTTCCAGCTCTTCAAGCCTTCTTAGGAAATCCTCCACATGAATGACTGGCCAGACGGGATACATCCGAGATCTATAAGCCTCGATGACCGGCCGCAGTGTTGACAACGGCAGCCTTTCCGGCTTGAAACAAACTGAAGCATCATGAGCACCGACACCCGTCAAGTCTGAGTTGGTTTGACCAGAGGCCAGTTTCTGTGCATCGACTCTCCATTTCCAGTTGCATCGTTGGGTAAGCTTCGATGTCTTTGGGCCGCGCTTCAGCACCGGCTTCAAGTAGGTACACTCAAGCGGAGGTTGTGCCTCGAGGCACTTGCGACACGGCCGGCCATTGTCGCACCGGGTCTTGCGTTGAACACAGAAATCGCAGGATCTCTTGGCCATGGACAGTCGATGAGCAAATGGATTGAGAGTTGACTGACTCCGGAGTAATTAAAGGAATTACTGACAAACTAGACGGACAATTGCTGAGTCCTGATGCAAGTCACGGTGGAGAAAGATGAGGGACACATGGTGATAGGATTCAGGCAACTATATCCCCGAGCCTGTCGAATGGGTCACGTACAGTCTCGTGTACCGACTTTATGTATGCGATACAAGTGCAGATGCATGTATTTTGTGTATTTGTCGATTTAACTGCCCCCCACGAGGGGGCGTTTGAGCGGGGGTAGAACACGAAGCTCGATGGTGTAAGTGGGAGACGGCGTTTCCCATCGTCAGCCACAAAGCTCCGACGCCGGTGCGGGTATCGGATGGACTAAATCGTGTATGGAGCGGCGACGTTGGATTTCAGTTTCCAAGGCATCCAAGTGTGACCTTCACGAACACAGCGAGATGAGATTTTAGACTGAGAACTCATGTGAAGGGAAGGAGAGGTTGTGGCAGCCTGGATAGCTCTATAGGAGATGCCATCTCTTTGTTGAAGCTAGACGCATCATCTTGCCGCAGTCTTACAGATTGACCCCATTGCCATGGAACAGCATCACAGCCAAGTTGCCAAGAAACGACTGCCATTGAAACGAAAGAGAACAAATCATGTGCTGTTTAGAAGGCTTTTTGCCCAATGTAACACTATAACTGAACACGATCGACTCTGCCGATCTGGAGCAGAGCAGCCACCCGGACAAATGCTGGAGAATTTACACAGCAAATTCGCGGGGAAAGTTGGAGAAACTGCACCCAGGCTGTAACCCGCGTGATCCATGATCTCATCCGAACGAATCGAAGCATTTGGTGATGCCAATGTATGAGTTGATGCTTTCTAGATATAACTCAGCACTTATATAAACCCATGGGATCAATTGCATCGCAGAGTCATCATTCCGGATAGACGTTTACCAAACCGTCTTCTATCCGCAATCTGTCCGACAGCACTCCGTTATTCCGCTTGCCTCTTCATCTATCCGTAAGGTTTATTCCGTTCAACAATGGTCAATATTCCCCGAACCCAGACGGCTGCGACCGTCCCGAAGCTCGGTGGCGGAGTTGTCTTTGATCACAACTATCCGGTGCCGCAGCCCAAACACAACGAGGTCTTGGCCAAGGTTCTCTATTCCGGCGTCTGTCAGAGCGGTAAGTACAAATTGGGCTTACACCAATTTATAATCTTCGCACCCTAAAAGAGAATAAACATTGAATCACAGTTCTTACTCATGCGTTTCCTGCAGATCTCCACACACAAGCCGGCGTAGCTGCATCAGCCAACGGAACGCCAATCACAAACGTCAAGCTGCCTCATGTGGGAGGCCACGAAGGCATCGGCCGCATCATCGCCCTGGGCCCCGGGGTGGACGAAGACATCAAAGTCGGCACCTACGTCGGTATCAGGTTCGCCAGTCGAATCTGCCGGCGATGCAACTTCTGTCTGGCTGGCAAGGAACAGCATTGCATCAAGAGCACGAACCATCTGCACCATGAAGATGGAAGCTTTCAGGAGTATATTGCCTTGGATGCGGGCTATCTGACTATCCTGCCTGATGATATTGATCCTGTTGTCACCGGACCAGTTCTTTGCGCTGGATTGACGACTTACAAGGTAAGCGGTGGAAGCCTCTCCTGTTTAACCTGTAGGTCACAATGTAGCTGACAAACATATGCTTAGGCTGTCATGAATTGCAACGTCAAAGCAGGAGACTCTGTTGTAGTTGTCGGTGCCGGCGGCGGCTTGGGCCATCTCGCAGGTAAGTCCCCTAGCAAGTCCTCTTCATCTTCCTCCAAGGCACTGACAGCAAACACTTAGTTCAATATGCACAGGCTCAGGGAGCCATTGTCTACGCCGTAGACGGCGGTGCCGAGAAAGGAGAGTTCCTAAAGTCACTGGGAGTGACCGAGTACGTCGACTTCACCACCACCCCCAATCTCATCGAGAAGATTCGGGGCATCACCAACGGCGGAGCGGATGCAGTCATCGTCACAGCGGCGAACGTGAAAGCCTTTTCTCAAGCTGCCGACATGCTCGCCGTTGGCGGAACTCTCAGCTGCGTGGGCATTCCCGCAGAGAGAGGCTACCTCGAGACTCCCATCAGCACCATCGTGATCAAGGGCCTTCACATCACCGGTAACTTGGTGGGATCGCTCAAAGAATGCCTGGAGGCGGTGGACCTTGTGCGGAGGGGCATTGTGAAGCCAAAGGTCACGGTTCGTCCGTTTGAAGACTTGCCCAAGATTTATGAGGAGCTGGAGAGGGGCGATGTTTTGGGCCGGATCGTGCTGAAGATTGCAAAGGACGAGTGAATTTGAACGGTAGCATTGTGGCGCTTCGGATAGAGGGAGTAGCGAGACAAACCATACAATGATGAAGAGTTGCTCGAGACAGAAGGCTTTGAATGTGGCGAAGACTTTGAAAGAGTCAACAAATGCTCCATACTTGATGTAAGAATTGATATTAGTGATGTTTTATATGTAACGATTTGAGCTGAAAGTAGCCTGTTCTTTTACCTAGGCACTGCAATCGTGGCGTCTCTCATCGTAATTAGGACCGACTAACCCCAAGTAAGCCCCCATGATACTAATCAAGTTCCCCAAATCAGAGATTACGGTTGCATACCGGCCGATCGTGGTGGTCGGAAATACGGAGAATATCTCATGCAGTGCCACTGCACATTCTATGGGGCGTAGGGCGCGCCAGTCGAGATGTGGTTCTCATCAGCAACCTCAGCCTGCAATTCCCGTTCGACTCAACAACTCGATGAGTCTAGAATGATGGAGGTGCCGTGACTATTTAAAGCTGCGCTTTACCCTCTCTCCCCAGACTTTCTTCATACACCGTCAGCCATACAGGAATCAAGTCCGAACTCGGTGGTTCCTCATATCTCACTCCAGGGCTGCTTGCTCCCATATACATACACTACAAGCTCAACCATGTGCCAGACAACCGGTAACTCCTCATCCACGGAACGGGCAACTCTAAGTGCTGCCGCCAGAGCCCAGGTGCCAGACCACCCCGCCGCTCAGGAAGCCCTCGAAGTCGCTCTCAACTCCCTCTCGCCATCCCTCTTCAACCACAGCCTCCGTCTGTACATCTACGCTCAAGCATTTCTCAACTCATCATCGGCCGGCCTTCCTGGTTCCCACGAGGCCTTCAATGGAGTTCCGCTCGAGCCCCACGTGCTGTTCGTAGCCTGCATCTACCACGATCTAAGCACCATCGAAAAGTACGACAACAACCCCAAGCGCTTCGAGATTGTCGCCGGCGATGAAGCCGTAGCTCTCCTCCTCCGCCATGGGGAGTCCGAGTCCGTTGCCAGAGAGGCCTGGCTTGCCATGTCTCTGCACACGACCCCCCATATCCCGGAGAACCTCGGAGGAGCCGTGCAAGCTCTCCGGCTGGGCATCCGGACGGAGTTCCGCGGATTCGAGTTGCAAAAGGATAGTCTCTCAGAGGAGCAGTGGAGGGTTGTGAAGGAAGATTTGCCGCGGCTTGAGATAGAAAAGGACTTGTCGGATGCGGTTGTCCGACAGGCGCTTGCTACAGAGGAGAAAGCGCCGCGGATGACTTGGGCGGGAGAGCTGCTGAAGTGGAAGAAGGCGAATCCAGATTACCAGGGCACCAACCAAGCCTTTTAAGCTATTTAAGGCTCGGATGAGCCCGGCAGATACCAGACCGTATAACTCAAGCCAGTCATATATATTGTGCCTCTCGTATGTCTCTGGACATAATGTATCCAATGCAAGTATATCCGATCAAGCAGAGTAATGCGTAACAACCAGAGCATCTAAAACTGTTGGAATTTACTTTGCTTGGCATCGGAATCTAATTCTAGAACATCACCTTAAGAAGCATCTCATATAATCCTTCAGACAGCACCAGCACCGTCCTCCACCTCCTTGACAAACGCATGCAGCTCAGCCACCTTCTTCTCAGCTTCGGGCTTCCTCTGCTCCTGCAGCTCAAACGTATTCCGCATCACATCAACCATAAAAGGCTTCAAGGGCGCCTTCTTGGCAGCCTTGTAGTCATACACCACGATATCCTCAAAGCACTTCGCCGCCACCCGTCTGTGCTGCTCCGAGTACATGACAGCCTCCAGGTAGAACCGGTCAGAGCTGTAGTCCGGCTTCGTGACCAGCTTGTGCAGCACCGTGACGCGGTCTGGGAATGTCATGGGCTTTGTTGTTGGATGTGATCAGCTGTGCATCATCTCGGTCTGAGGGCAATGTGAGTGCCGGGAAGAGCTTACGAATTTGAAGTCGGTTCTGATGCTTGCGAGGATCAGGCCGACGCCTTTGGGGGTCATCAGGTCGTACCATTCCTGCTCGTACTTGGGGTCGGAAAACCGGGAGAGTTTTCTTGTCCAGTTGACGCGACCAGACTCGGCGAATCGGTTATAGATGACGTTGTTTACGTGTCCTTGGTAGAGTTAGCAACTTACACCAAGTCAAGGACGAGTCAGTGTTCTATTACCCTGCGATACACAGATTAGAATTACGCGTTGAAGGGATTGTAGCTCATGTTATGGAGACTCACCATCATGTCCTTCAGTCACCAACAACACGCAAGTCAGTCAACATTGTCCATCTCATCTTTCCATCCCATCCGAATGAACACATGAGATCTCACCATGTCTCCCCATTGCACAGCATGCCGGTCAACCCCCCTCCTCTCCTCGTCAGCCAAGTATCCCTCCCGTCCAGCGGAGAGCTGCAGCCAATTCTCGTCCAGATAGGCCAGTCGTTCCTTCACTTCCTCGGCCTTTGATGGTGCAATCTTGAGCGCCAGAGACTTTTTCAATGTATTCTGCAGGTCGGAGAGCCATCTCGAATTGATCGCTCCATTCTCCGATGCTGGTGGCGGCGTTGATGCGCGTAATCTGGCCGTGGTTGACAGAGGGCGAACTGACGACGGCCGCGTCATATGAGTAGCCACATGGCTGCTGAATCTGGAGGCTGTGATTCTCATCTTTTCCATGTGCATCAATGATCAATATGGCATCTGCAAATCAAGATAATTATAGTCTGGTGACTCTGGTCATGGTATATCGGGGTGAAGGACCACCGGCTTAGTTGGAAGCTGGAATCGGCTATTCTCGGTATCTCGTTCCAATGTTGCCGCAACTCCTCTTATTGTTTTAGCCGTCTTCAGTGGGCCACTCACGGCATATTGAGATCAATAATCAACTGCTCTCTCCATAACACAGCGAGGTGAAATCTCGATTGATACTTTAGATGGAGACAGAATACGTTTGAAAGCAGGAAAATCGACGATAAGATTACAAAGCCGTGTCACTGGTACGTAAGCCGAAACAGTTTACATGAGACCGTGTGAAACATAAGCATCGTCAATTCGTACTTATCCACTCATCTCCAAGCGCAAAGCGCAATATATACATGAAGAAAACAAGGATATATACATCATAAAAGGGCATATATGTGCATAGTGGCGAGCAGGGAGTAGACACCCCTCTAACTCGCCACTGAACCCGAGAGACACTCGGGGCATATGTACTGCGTTGTCCTCGCACATCACCACCGGCTACCTGCCTGATGAGAAGCCTCTTAGGTAGAGTAGTGGGCAACGTAGCCAACCTCCATCATCGCGCCATAGCCATCGAGGGTAGAGGCGTTGGGGTTGCCGGGCTATAACAGGTGTTAGTGTTTCGTAAGTGAAAAAGGACGTAGACTATATGAGAGAGAAAGGACTTACCCAGCTGCCGCCGACAGCAACGTTGAGGATGAAGTACAGGGGGCTGTGGGCAACGTTATTCCAGACATTCTGGTCGCCAATGCGAGAACCAGTGATCTGGAAGAAGTTGGTTCCGTCAAGGGACCAGGTCAGCGTCTCGGCCTGCCAGTTGTTGGACGTGCGGTCAATCTCCACGCGCCAGGTGTGGAAGTCGTTGGGGTTGTTGAAGTTGACGGGGCCGCCGATGCCGTTGCCCTCGTTGCAGATGCCGCCGGGGTAGACGTCGCAGTGGAGGGTACCGTGGCCCGTCGGCTGGCCGTCGACCTGCTCGAGGATGTCGATCTCGCCGCAAGAGGGCCAGCTGCCGCCGTGGCGCAGCACGTCACCCAGCATCCAAAAGGCCGGCCAGATGCCCTGCTTGTTGGCCTGGGCGTTGCTGCCCATGCGGATCGCGGCCTCGAGGCGGGTAATCTTGCCGGGCTGGGGCGTGAAGGTGTAGGTAGACTCGATACGGCCAGAGGTCCAGCCGCCAAAGGTGCTGCTGTCCTTCCAGGGGACCAGCTGCAGGGTGTTGCCGCCGCTCAGCTGGACGTTCTGGGTGCTGGACGAGTACGTCTCGAGCTCGTTGTTGACGTTCAGGTTGCCGACGATGATGTTCCAGTTGCCCGTGTTGGGAGAGGTGCCGCCGTTGCCGCTGAAGGCATCGTTCCAGACCAGGTTGTAGCCGCCGTAGGCGGGAGGCGCCCAGGCGTTGGAAAGGCCAACAAAGGCGAGGATAGCGGCGGCGACCTTGGGAGACCACATATTGGATATAATGTTTTGAAAAGGGGGGAAGGTTAAAGGAGGGTATAGGTTGTTGTGTATATATACAACTTGCGGTTGGGGATATGTACAAAGACTTGAGAAAGGAGAGACTGCAAGGCTCCTGAGCCAAATGAAGTTGCTAGTATATCGTCAAGATATTCTTGGTGATACAAGAGGGAGATGGGATCGACGAGAAGAGACCTGCTCCTTTATGTACGACGGCTTCAACCTCGAGGCCGAGCAACAGTGCTGGTTCTGGTCCGGAGACTATGCCCAGTGACCCCAGGTCATTCCAATGCCGTTTCGGAAGGTGAAAACTCTCAAGGAGACTTGATGCAAAGCTTTCACCAATGAGAGTAAACGCAAGCCATCGGCAACCGTGATGAACCCAAGCCGGACCGATGATTGGATCCGAGCCAGGGGTGTGCCGAATAGTCAAGATTGCCCTCGAGCCAGGGCCGTATGAGCTCCTACCAGTGAGCGTGTGCCTGCACCATCTCTGGGCTCCGAAAAGAAGGAGTCGAGAGAAAACAAGCTTCCCCAATGACCTTGGCCCGCCAGTCCAGAAGGGGGAACCATGAGCCGGGAGAAGGACTATAATCGGTGGGGAACAGGGCGAGGTTCATCCAGTTCGATTGGGGAGCGATATTGGATCAAGGGTTGACGAGGAGAAAATGCTACCTCGAACAGGAATCTGAGCGCGTCTTCTGACGGACGGGCCGATAGGCTGGATGGTACACGTGGGATGGACCAAGAGACTCGTCAATAAGGTCGCTGGATCTTCCTCATGCGGCCAGGATAGAGGCATGACTGGGGGGGTTTGGGGTTTGCGGGTTCGATGAAGAGAGCATGATCGGGTCAATCTGCCGCTCGGCATCGAAGATGCAAAAGAGACTATCGACCATCTCAAAGTCTGCGATACGAGCACACATCGTAGTCATACGGGGAATAACCTCAGCCCAAGGAGAAATACAGGAGATTTTCTGCCCATCATCCTTCTTTCGGCCCCTGCCACCCCCTCGGTGTCAAAGAGCCGCAGGTCCGTCCTATTAAGGAGACGCGGGACCGAAAGAAGATAGACGAATACTAGGCATAAAGATCCACGGCCGCCAAGAGAAGCTTGGCCCGGGTGGCTTCCGTCCTTCACAGACCGTTCTAGCATCGGAGACGGCATGGAGCGTGCCTGAACGGACTGACTGGCGGTCATGGTCCCCCCCTGTTCAACCAGGAAGCTTGAACTTGCATGGGGTCGTCTGGGGTACAGAAAGCCACCATGCAGCAGAACAAGTTGAACAGGGGGGGGTTGGAAGAGAGCCAAGACCGTCGTTTGAGGCGGCATTAACATGATTCGACGGTGCATTGAGCCTTGTGATGAAAGGACTATTCATCACATTACATCCAAGTGCCGCAAATGCCAGCGCCAGATGATGGCCGATCGTGGCAGTCACCAACTTTCATCGCTCTCTCGTGAGCTCTTGGTAAGGCAGCGTGGGAGCGTCACGGGCCACCCTTCTGGACGGACCCCAAAAAGTAAATCCTGGGGTTCCTCAAGAACGTGACAGTGGGATGGGAAATAGGGCCGCTCGCCTCCACACCATCTCCTATCAATATTGCCCTGCGAATTGCCGCCGGGGCCACGGCTTGGGCGCCTCCCGCATTGAGATTAGCGGAGGAGCGTCAAACAAACATGTTCGAGCAATCAAAGGAAGAATAGAATCGGGATAGGTAGTCGTGATAGGCGGTATACCTAGCAATAGGATTCGATGCGACGGAGATTGGGAGATAGGATCCAGGACTCTGTTGACGCGAGTCATTCTGTGCCGAGTGAAACCTCAAGGCCTGCGGAACCTATATGGACGCGTACGATAGTATTCACAGGCGAGCCCGCTATGCGTTAGCAGTTCCTGCTAGGAATATTGGCATTGCACGCAACTTCCGTGAGCGGAAACGGGCCTCTCATAGCCGCAGATGATATGGGGCGCCCATAGCCGGCAGATTGGCCGTGCGTCCGACATATGGCCGTCAGGGCTAGGCAGGATTTCGACAAGTTGGTGTTTCTGGGCCTTGCAGAAGGATTGCGATGCTGGGATCGATGCTACTCGAGGAGGGAGACGTAGTAGATGCGGACGGGGACCTCCGAAGGAAAACCTACGTGGGTGGCTGGGCATATTCGTCGGAGAGATTTCTTGTGAGGATGTACATATGCCACATGATAGGTAACATGGCAAGAATCATGTTGTCTTCTTCTCCAGGTCCCTCGGTACTTGAAGCCTGAGTTGTCGGCTAAAATACCGACTATAAGCGCCCTTGTAACCACAGAAACCCTCCCGTCCAGGCATCCTAGACGGAGAACCATCAGCCACTCACCAGCCTCTCAACAGCTGCATCTAAGAGTTCAAGCATAATCCTACATGCCTGTACGCGTTTTCACGTCATCTAAGCTGTCAGGGACACTGCAGCTTATCAGTATTCTCTGCGCACCACAACTCAAACAAGAATCTCGATAGCCAGCGTCCCATCGAAGAAGCTTTTCAGAATAAGCCTCACCCGCGTGGCGAACGCACTTCAGCCGGAATGCATACATGGATATGCTGTGCGACGCTGTGGCTTGCAGAGATCCTGTCATCGTGCTGCCTCATTGGGGGCCCTTGTACACGCCATGTGCCCCCCAAGATCCCGAGGGCTGGTGCTTACCTACGCTCTTCCATGCAGGGCAGCTCTGAGAGCGTGGAGGTTCCAGCTCGTGGCTGACAGAAACGTGATGTCTCTTCGAGATGCCTTTTCGGGACGGAGTTTGGCAGGCATGGCTTCAGCTTTGGGAGAGATTCGCTCACAGAAGAGGGACCCGGCTTACGCCTGTTTATATCTTATTTTGTAGACCTGTCCAACAAACCTGGCAACTGCTTTTTTAAGACAATTCTTCGCATATGAAGGATCTGAGTTCCTGATCCTGGTTCCATGAGCAGCGTAGCCCGTTCGCCCCATGATGATCCGGGTCAAAGCTCCAGACTACTGTCATTCACTGGACATGGAGCGCACAACCTCCGCCTGCGCCCTCGACCTTGATTTTGGTCAGGTCTGAATAGCTTCAATGGCCAAGTTTGTTTCTACGCCAAATCTTGTCTTTCTTCGTATCATAGTCTCGATATACGACTGTTGTAGTATTTGTTGTTGTTGACACGTTTACGGTTTTAAAAGACGCCTTATCGCCGAAAATCATCTCCGAGTTTTGCTCACACCAGCAGTCATCTCACGAACCCCGCGTTTCTATTTGGCTCGACGTCTCCATTGTTACGCGGGATGAAATCATACCGTAAGATGTAGGCGATGCTTTGAGTACTATTCGACACTGGCTGTCGGGATAGAATCCTGAAGAACAGAGTTCCTCTGTATTCAACCCCGCTACGATTTCTCCCTCGAACTGATACAAATATTGAGAGGCTTCACTGTTGTGACATCAAAACTATTCTCTCACATTTTGCCCATTAATGATCCCAGCTCTCTAGGTTAACCTTCAGGTACTCATATCATTCCATCCGTCATCCGCCGAAATGTCGTCCGCAGCCGCCGTCTTCGCCCCGGGAGCAACCGCCCTCATCACCGGCGGCGCTTCCGGAATCGGCCTCGCCATAGCGAAGCTCTGCCACAGCAAGGGCATGAAGCTGCTGCTCGTGGATCGAAACGCCGAGACCCTGGAAAAGGCCAAGGCTGAAGTCGACTCATCGTCGTCAGACGTGGCCACTTCGGTCCTCGATGTCAGCAAGTCTGACGGCTGGGCCTCGCTCAAGGACCAGGCCGCCAAGACGTTTGGCTCGATTGAGCTGCTCGTTTTGAATGCCGCTGTGGGTGGGAAGGGAACTTGGGGGGATGGTGACTACTTTAGAGATGTATGTGCCCAAGGCATCATCACATCACAGCCTATGAAGAGGAATGTGATGAAAGCATGTGGATGGCGTTTTTTGACGACTGACTGTATGATGTTGTTGCTACTGCATAGGTCCTCGAGACGAACCTTTTTGGAGTCATCAATGGCATCAACACTTTTCTGCCGGTAGTCCAAGAGGCCGCGAAGAGCCGGCCCACGTCGATTGTCATCACAGGCAGCAAGCAGGGTATCACGAACCCCCCAGGGAACCCGGCCTACAACGCCTCTAAAGCTGCCGTCAAGACGCTCGCTGAGCATCTCAGCTGGGACCTTCGAGACACCAAGACCAGCGTTCACCTTCTCGTCCCGGGCTGGACATTTACAGGCCTGGTGAGTTATTGGCATATCCTTGCTTCCCTTTGTTTTTTGTCTTTCTTTATGAACTCACATAAGCGGAAACACCCTTGATGTTCTATATCTGACATGTCACAACCTGCTGTAGACTATGGCGCACGGCGTCAAGGAGAAGCCGGCGGGTGCATGGGCGCCCGAACAGGTAGCCGACTACTTATACAAGAAGATGGAGCAGGACAAGTTCTATGTCATCTGCCCCGACAACGAGACCACCGAGGAGACGGACAAGAAGAGGATGCTGTGGACCGTGGGCGACATCATCAAGGAACGCCCGCCGCTTACGCGCTGGCGACCAGAGTGGAAGGAGGAAGCGGCAGAGACCATTGCAAAGACTCAGGTCTGAGTTATTTTGTCCGCTCTGGGTTTTGGAAATAATGCTTCAATTCGAAGACAGGATGGGGTGATGACTCCAACGCCTTCTTCTTTTGGATGTCGGGATGTCATACTCTTGGTGCCATCTACGTGAAGCTGGTGGGATGTTGAGGCACTTCGAGTGTCTTGACGTCGAGATGCTCTGTATAAAGACGCTCTAAAACTCGGACAAAAACGGCCAACTGTATGAAGTAGTATATCAACACCATTCCAGTGTAACGTATTATTACCAAGACTGCTACCGATCAATCTACAATGTCGTCTCCAGTTGCTATAGCCTTTCAGTTCCGGCGTCAACTCGGCGAAAGTGCAGCTTCCCACAGATAAGCTAACCCCAGTCAGTCAACTCGAGAACGGAAGTTATGGTGTGGTAGTACTTTAATTTAATCAAGAGATGGGACTCACATCATCTGTCAGATTTGAGTGCTTAATTACCGCCCTGCATGCCCATATGCGCCTTATTTCCCTCCTTAGTGACAGACGAATGGGGAGTTTAGCAAGGCACGAGACCCAGTTCTCACGTTGGCTGCAACGTTAAGCCATGCAGGAGGGCAAAGTTCTGGGTATAAAGGAATGAATCGGATATTTGTCCGATGCTCATGCCAGCTACTCGAAATCGCCTGAAACCTCCGGCTTCACGTGGAGGCAGAAGAAGGAGAAACTGTCATCGGTGTTGGCTTAGTTTTGAAAAACACTTGGGCAACACAACACCTTATTCCCAATTGTGTGACCAAAGCACGCGCCGAGGATGTTCTTGACAATCTGACGCCTCTCATATGAGATTCACATGCCAACACAGAGCCCAACTTACATGTTACAGAGCGCCAATGACAAAAACAGAAACTACTCATCCCTCGATCCGATAAGGCAAAAGGACGGACCGATGTTAGACGCCCGAGATGCCCGCGTCCCCATTCTCTCAATCTCCGCATCAAGGTGTTCAAGATTAGTCTCCACGTGCCTCTGCTGCTCTCTCGTTGCCAGATCAAGCTGATTGAACGCATCTGCAGTACCCGTTTGTGAAGGTTCCCCAGCACTGCTCATCTGCGAGCTGGTTTCGCTCTTTTCTCGCTGCGCAAGTATCTGCTGCTCTCGCTCAAGCTTGCGCACCGCCTCCACGCGCATCCGCATTGCCTCCTTCGTCGTCTCTTCCAATACGACCGCGTAATGACACCGTTTGTACACGCCTATGCCCGTCAAGATGAGCCCAAGCACCTCGTAGGCGAACAATACTGGCAGCGCATAGGACAAGTGTGGGTTACAGCCGTTTGACCAGTTGTCCGTAAGCAGCTCATACGCTGCATGCGCCGGCAAGGCGTATCCCCAGCGATAGAAGGGAGATACCACGCTGAACGGGAGTATGATGGAACTGACGTTGATCACGACCCAAGTGACAAGAGCCATTGAGACATACTGCGGTGGCAACCAGATGGTGAAGAGATCAAAGGCGAGAAAGTTGGTATGGGCAAACAGCCATAGGATGAGCCAGGTGATGGCATATTGGCCGGCAGAAACGTGCCAGTTTGCTTTGAACGCCCAGATGGCAGCCGAGTTCAGCAGCGAGCCCAGCATGGTGAAGCTGATGGAGATGGCGTCGCGCACAAGGATGATGCGCGTGGGTGATATCCGCGTGTAGACCTTGAACGAGGCGTAGAGTCCGTTGATGACTGCGAGGTAGAAGAAGTCTTCAATCAGGGCCAACACAATGGTAATCGTGTTGTAGACTGTCCGCGTGCCCTGCGTTGTAGGCTTGATGTTGATGGACGTCAGCGTCCAGGGATGAGTGAAGGCAGAGATGGCCGCGGCATTGTTGGTGGGCGGAATCGTGGAGAAGGCAGAAGTGCCGTTGAGGGCGATGTAAGACGCCTGAGCTGTGTCGGATAGTGTGTGGAGGTTGTTGGAGACGAGACTGTCCATGATGGCGGAGTATTTGGCTTCGTTCCAGATGAAGGAGAGAACATCCGATCCATTGTACTGCGTTGTATTGAGTCCGGCGACGGCGAGGCCCAACCTGGCAGAGGCTCCCGGAGACGTAAACAAGGCCGCCCAGTAGTGAGAATGGCAGACAGTTTCTCTGAGGTCCGCCTGCGTTGGAAACTGAGACACCGGACGCTCAATCAACCCCGGAAACGTGTGCCCCTGCAGCGAACTGTACGCATTTCGCACAGCATCTCCAACGATGCCGCCATCGTAGTCCACAAACAAGATGTGAAGATTATGCGTGCGAGGGCCTTGCTGGAAGAGAGAGCCGTACAGGTAGCAGAAGAGGCAGAAGAACAGCAGGACGTATAAGCACAAGTTCAGCAGCGTCGCTTTAAAGAACTTGGGCCTGATTGCTTTGAGTTCCGGGTGGTCAATGGGGAGTCTCCCCTCGTGCGCGCGAGGATAAAATCTCCTGATCCAGGACGACGCTGACATTGTGAATGGCTCTCTCAGCTTGGAACGGAATGTGGAGGAGGGTGACGCTGATCCGCAAAGTGCACAACCCGTTCGATCGGCCGCGAAAGATCTTGTATGCGAGATGCCGGAAGCTCCGGCTTGGCCACCGGCGTCTCTCGGTGCTGGTCTATAGTGCTCTACGTATATCATGGTGAGGAATCAGTTAGTTTACTTAGTTGGGCTGATTGACACGATTCTGACGTTGATGGCACTTTGGAGACGGTTAAAGCAAGCGCTTGAGACAGATAGTTGAGGAATCTAATTGGATAGAGTATAAGTCAACCACACCGTCTCTACAGTATGTGCTCCCTCTAGGTTAGATAACAATGGCAATGGCAAATCTATAGAAGCCGCCCTTTAAGCTTATAGCTCATAGCAGGAAACCAACGCCAATGGTATATTCAGAGTGTTGTTATGCAACATTGTTGGTCCAACTATTCCAATAAGATGTTTCTTCTATCGTAAATTTGACAATCATGCCTGCCTTCAGATGCATGTTCTCATAGCCCAAGTCTCAATGCCGTTCAGCTCGTTTCCAGATCAGGGCCGCCGTACAGTATTTACGCACCAAAAGCTTCACTGACAATCTCTCCCTCGTCTGGCGTCACAGCCATTTCCAAAAGCTCGTGCGCTGCTTCAACAACTTCACCCTCAATCCCCGCCTCCATGACAAGGTCTTCCTCGGCAAAGGTCAACCGTCCAAGTGCAATGAGGTAGCGCTGACTTCCTCCATGTGAAAGGGATAGTTTTCGAGTAATGTCGGCCAAGTTGGCCGTAGACGGATCCGTGGCCAGTGTATGGATGAGGGTCACGCATTGGGAGATGATGCGGTATAGCTCTGCAGATGTCGTAGACTCGACAAACTTGAGCGATGACGATGCCATGACATCCGGAAGAGGAGGAAGAATGCTGGGAGGGATTGGTTGGTCATACAGCTCGTCGATGGATGTACTCAAACAGGCTACCAGGCGTGGGATGGCGTTATCGTGGGATGCCAGCTGCTTGGCGCCAAACTCATGTCTCGCAAAAGTCACCAGCGTTCGAAGAGCAGCAAGTCGTACGCTTCGTTTCTGTGCGGGCGTAGTTGTGGCACGAGGATGCTCCGTGAGCTTGGCAGATACCCGCTCAATGACGGCCCTTGCTACCGACTCCGCGTCTTTCTCATCAGAGATTGGGCCAATAGAATCAGGCAGCGATGATGTCGCCAGCAGATCGAGCATTCCAATAATATCGGCAATCTTCTGCTTCGGCATCAAAAGAAGCAGAGTGAAGTCAAGAGAGATGAGTTTCCAAAATGCAGGAGAAGTGTATCTAGCGCCATCTTCCACCTCGGTGGGTACCGTTGCGCAGGCCAAAGACGCAGTATGGAGTAAAGAGAGCATATGAGTCGTGTCGATGTGCTGTTCTAGGAGGGCCTGGTCGTCGTTGTTGGTCGCCGTCGCATCAGAGATCCGCGAGAGGCCTTCCGCAACGGTGAATATTGTTGTTTGTGCGACGGGCACAAGCCGGGGGATGATGAGGGGGGCAACAGACGAGGTGTTTAGCTGAAAGGTGAAGGAGATGAGCGCCACGAGGTATTTGATAGGTTCCCAGAACCGCTCTTCAAAGCATCGGGTCCAGAGTATGATGATTTGCTCTGCAAAATCAACGAGAAGCTGCATTGGCTGGTAGGGGTTGCCCATTAGGGGTAGTCTCTCGAAAATGAGGGTGGAAAAGGAGACTGCCGGGTCGGAGGGAAAGGAGATGCGTGAGAGGATGTCAAAGGTCGGAGGTTGTCCCTGGGCGAAGCCGTGGTCGAGGACTAGTTGCAGAAACTACAAAACCCACCAGTCAGTTGTCCTGAGCAGAAGTAAACAACATTGTAAGGTTATAATTACATCAAAGGGCGCGATGGGAGCGGCTACTATGACGGGTTGCTGCAACACCGGCTGAGAGATGGGCTTTGTGTCCAACATTTCGACATCGCCCGTGTGTATATCAAGAGCCTTCATGGGCGACTCGGACACGGGGCGCTTTCGCTTCCCCTTGCTCGGGGTCCTCTCTCCGATATTGGCAGCCACAGAGCCGGCAGACTTGTTTCTGCCCTGGCCCTTGCTTGGGCTTGCAGCGATATCCATGTCGTCGAAGCCATCGGCAAAGCCAAACGTTTTGGAGGCCTTCTTTGGCGTTGCTAGGCCAGCGGCGGCGCCGTCTTTTTTACGAGCTCGGTCATTAGCCTCCCTCATATCACGCTGCAGGAACTGAAGCTCAACATTGGCGTTCCTCTCAGCCGCCAGAGCCGCTTCCATGGCCCGTTCCTGTTTCTGCAGTTGCTCGGCATTCAGCTTCCGGAGGCGCGCGATCTGTTCGTCGTAGCTTTGTTGCGCCTTTGTCGAATTGGAGCGCAGGATGGAGGCTTCGCCGCGAGCAGCATTGAGCTCCGCCTCCAGTGCTCGGATTCTCTTCTGCAGTGCCGTCATCATGGCTCCGGATTGCCCTTGAGAAGGCAACGGTAAAGCAGCATGCTGTGCTGTCTGAGGTCGGGCAACGCTCTGCGAAGAATCCGGAAACCGCTGTGAGCTCATAAATGGCTGGTTCAACGGCCGGGCGTTGGCCATGTGAGGACGCTCCGCAATGGAGGCAGCATCAATGGCGGGGTTCCATCGCGGGTTTGGCACTGGAGGCATGGGAGGACGCCCTCGCTGCGGCTGTTTCTGCTGCTGCTGCTGCTGTTGATGATGGTGCTGCTGCTGTCGCAATGTCTTGTCGACAATCGGCCGCCCAACCGCGACTCCGCCATCGTTGATGACCTCGGTCGTGTCCAGGTCGTCGTCCTCCTGCTCCCAGGCATAGTCGAACTGCTGCGTCACGGCATGCCGGGCAGGCTGAGCCTGGGTGGACTGCAGCGCCCTGTTCTCGAGCTCCTGCAGCACATTGTCGGTTAGATCGTCGAAGCCGTCGTCGGAGAATTCGTCGAGATCCATCGCTCATGGATCGTATAAGAAGCGCCTCATGGCTCCCGGCGGCTGAGGGCGGCGTTCTGGTGCTGGCAGGGCTATCGCTTGCTGACAAGGATGCACTTCATGGCGGGACAAACAGTGGAGGAGTTCGTGGTTCGCGCTCAGAACTGCCAGATTGAGTTGCTGGCGGAGAAGAAACGCGACGCGCGATCACGTGCTGGAATCTATGTGTGGCTGGGCTATAGTCGATGTGGCTGTCCTTAGTCATCAGACAACTTCGAGATCGCAGATGAAGAGATAGAACTTGAGAGCAGCAGAGTCATGAGATACTACGTCATAGATATTGAAGAGAATGGCCAATTGCAGGCAAATGCGCATAACGTGGCTTGCCATTGGCAGGTCCAAGGCAAGCAAGGCTCAGCAGAGACGGCAGAAGAGGCGGTGCAAATCCTCAGCCCTGGTTCTGCGCATCATGTCGCATGACGTCGTTGGCCAGCTTCATCCAAGCACGGTTCAACAGCTTCTTTTTTGTTGGGCCATGGGTGACTGAGGTCCATTATAGGAGATGCGGCAACGAGATAGAATTATACCGGTACTTAGGAGCTGCCATAGAAAAGAAAAGAAACAACAAGCTTTTCCTCCAAGTAAACAGACACTTAATAAACCCTCGATCTTTGCTAATTCCGTCGCCTCGCCGATTATGTAAAGCAACATGCAAGCAAAACCTCGTCACATGCTACGGAACTGCATGCTGGCGATAATTGCGGGGAGGCCACCAGGAAGGAGCCCCAAGCGAATGCGGACTATCGCAGGACCCCGAACTGTTGAACAGCCAGCAAATTACAGCTGGCCAGCGCTAAACCCCGGGCATCAAACAGGCGCTCGTCTAGCCCCCGGAGCCTCTGTAATTGAAGTGCCTCCAGTGCTCCTGGTCCCTCGGCCCAGCGCAGGGAATAACGGGGCATTTCCACTGCATCCAATCTGGCCCAAAACTTCCTCAGCTCCACGTAGCATTTGATGCTAGCTTTGATCTCCCACATCACCGTCCGTCTGGTTGCTTCGATCTGATACATCGCCCGCGTCTGGAGGCCGAGCAGTTGAACGGTCAGTCTCACTCCCCAGAAGCTAACCCATCATTCAGCTCTGCGCTGGACTTGGACAAACCACAGCTGACACTGCCATCGTAGCCTCGCCGTCGAAATTCCCTACCGTCGACAAGCATTGCTCCGAGCACTCCGTCGAATCGCAACTCCTCCTCAGACTCAGACTCAGACACCACCATGGCCCGACCAAAGCGAGGGGGCAAGTCCCCGAACAAGAACGCAAACGGGCAGTTCAGCGGCTCTGAAGGCCGGCGGTCAAGCTTCAGCGATAAGAGCGAGGACGGATCCCCGACAAGAACGAGGCCGCAGGCTCAGGCCAAGCTGGCGTCCGTAGAAGAGGTGAGCGGCCCTCTTCGGTCCCATATCTCGACACAACCAAGAGAATGGATTGGCAACGATATCCCGAGTTCGGACGGTTGGGAAACTGACGCTTCGCGACCGCAGAAACCCGCGACAGCCGCCGAGAAGCAGGCCGAGTACGAGAAGAAAAAGGCAAACTTCTGGACACGCACCTTTTGGACGCTCGTCATGATCTCCGGCTTCTTCGGCGCGTTATTCATGGGCCACATCTACATAATCGCCATCGTCACCGCTGTCCAAATCATCTCTTTCAAGGAGGTCATCGCCATCGCCAACGTCCCCAGCCGTGCCCGATCGCTGCGTTCCACCAAAAGCTTGAACTGGTACTTCCTGGCCAGCACCATGTACTTCCTCTATGGCGAGAGCGTCATCTACTACTTCAAGCACATTGTCCTCGTCGACAAGGTGCTTCTCCCGCTCGCCACCCACCACCGCTTTATCAGCTTTGTGCTCTACGTCTTTGGTACGATGCCCCCCTCTTTCGGCTCCAACATCTCGTGTGACTGGACCATCTAACGTCGATTATAGGATTCGTCTACTTTGTCGCTTCCCTCCAGGCTGGGCACTACAAGTTTCAGTTCACCAACTTTGCCTGGACTCACATGGCCTTGTACCTCATCGTCGTCCAGGCGCACTTTGTCATGAACAACATCTTTGAGGGCATGATCTGGTTCTTCTTGCCTGCGGCGCTGGTCATCACCAACGACATCTTTGCTTACATCTGCGGCATTGCCTTTGGTCGCACGCAGCTCATCAAGATTTCGCCAAAGAAGACGGTCGAGGGATTCGTCGGCGCATGGATCATGACTGTGCTCTTCTCCATCCTGCTCGTCAACATCATGACGCGCTCCAAGTACTTCATCTGCCCGGTCAACGTTCGTCTACCAGCACCCCTATTTCTTTCTTTTGCCTGTATGTCCCTTACTGACACGACTTCAACTTGTAGGACCTCGGCGCCAACGTCTTTACCGGGCTCAAGTGCGACGTGAACCCCGTCTTCCTCCCGCGCACCTACAAGCTCCCCCAGTTCTTCTTCCTGCCGCCAAACTTCAACTTCTCCGTCACCTTTGCGCCGATGCAGCTGCACGCCTTGGTGCTCGCCACTTTTGCCTCGCTCATCGCTCCCTTCGGCGGCTTCTTCGCCTCTGGCCTCAAGCGCACCTTCAAGATCAAGGACTTTGGCGACTCCATCCCGGGCCACGGCGGCATGACGGACCGCATGGACTGCCAGTTCATCATGGGCTTCTTTGCGTACATGTACTTCCACACATTTATCGAGGTGCACAAGGTCACGCTGGGCAGCGTCCTGGAGACGGCCATCACCAGCCTGAACCCCGAGGAACAGGTTGAGTTGGTCAAGAGCATGTGCCGGTATTTGAGCAACCAGGGCATCATGCCCGAAGAGGTACGTGATCAGCGCAGAATATCTTTGTTGACTCATATCAGCTAACCAGGCTTCTGCACACAGCTTCAAGCTTGTATCGAGAAAGCCACGCTATAAACGGCTGGCATTTACGCCTGGGAATTGAATCGGCCAGCTTTCTACTCCCCTCATATACCCCTTCACCTCTCCAGCTCCGCCTTCTCGCATAATGAAGGACGGAGTTGTGAATTTCCATCTTTACATCTTTTCTTAAAAGCATTTCACGTGTGAGCCCATGAGAAGACGGGAAGAAGTACTGTGTGTGAATCGATCGATGGGGGCAGGGACACGAAGGAGGGTGGCGGACATGCAGGCGTTGAATAAAAGGAGGAAACGAATAATGGATGCGGGTCTGCAAAAAAAGCATGCTAATGTCGCGTGCTTCTTCTCATTTATTAACCACTTTGTGCGGTAAGGGATCGTTGATATAAAGGATCTTTTGCTCTTCTTTACTACTTACTTCTTCTGTCTTCTTTGACCAGTTTGTATGTATTTTGTCGTCAATGTAGGTAGTCGTCGTCCTTGTCCATGGGCACTGGAAGCGGGTATGGACAGGTTGTCTGGAAGAGGCCCTCATACTGAATGACTAGAGTTTACGAACAACCTTTATCTGATATGGTCCAACGCTTGATATTATTCATGCATCAATCGTCACTCTGGAGTATCATTGGTACAATTTGTACAATATATTTTAATTGACTGCTTTCAAACAGAATGTAACATGATTTATGTAACAGATGGGTATACCCTCCTTGTAGCCCGTTTATTGCCAACATGGGTATCAACCAAACATATCTTATTTACAACCTTCTCTTCCATCCGCCCTCCGCCTCAAATAACTTACCCACCTCCTTCGCCACCTTGAGCAGATGCCGGTCGCGATACCGCCCAGCCACGAGCGAAACGCCAATCGGCATCCCGGTGAGCCCCTGAAAGCCTGGAATGTTCACTACCGGCGTGTGGAGCGCTGACCAGCCCGAGCAAAACGCCGCGTCGCCCGTCCACTCGAGCCCCTCGGGAGCCTCGTCAACAGCGCTGGGTGTGAGGATGGCGGTGTATCGCCCCGCAATCTCGTCAATCTTGGGCCGAAGGGCGGCGATGCCGTCAAGGGCTTTAAGCTGCTCGCGGTGGTCGTACCCAGCCTTTCGCTCGACGTAGCCTACCAGCTGCGGAGAGAGCTGGTCTTTGGCAGTGCGGTACTCTGGGAGGAAGTACGTCTCTCCCTCCGTCTGCAGGACGACATTGTGCCAGCGAGGCAGGTTGTCGAACTCTGCCGGCAGATCAATCTCGTCCACCTCTGCACCATGAGCGCGCAGGATGTCGACAGCGCGAGCAATCGCGTTGCGCGTCCCCTCTCCTGCGATGGGCCAGACGACCGTTTTGCAAAGGGCAAAGCGCGCGCCTTTGATGCCGTTGAAATGGCTCGGCTCGTCATCACGCAGCGCGAATGCATCAGATACAAGGTCCAGATCGTCAACGCCGCGTGCAAAAATGCCAATCGTGTCCAGCATCAATGAGGAAATCTTCAACCCTTCACGGGAAACAGCGTTCCAGGTGGGCTTGAAGGAATAGATGCCGTTGAAAGAGCCCGGGCGGATGGTGGATCCGCCGGTCTGGGTGCCGAGTGCGACCGGAGCCTGCAGGTCTCCAACGGCCGCCCCGGAGCCGGATGAGGAACCGCCCGGGGTGCGGGACGGGTTGTGCGGGTTACGTGTCGAGGCTGGCCCCGTATAGGAGGCCGCAAACTCGGCCGTCGTTGTTTTCCCTGAAGTCAGAGAAGCAAAGGGTGTCAGCGACAAACGTCAGACCAAGCAAGCCGGAAGGGATGGTACACTAACCAAGAAACAGGACGCCGGCGTGGCGGAGGAGGATAATGGATGCCGCGTCGAGTTTTGGAAAGTCATTCTTATAGATTGGCGAGTTATGGGCCGTGGGCATATCTGGAGGCGCCCAACATTAGCTTACCCCTGTGTCACTTATGACAAGCAGCAGCGAGACGGCGTACCCTTTGTGTAAATGACATCCTTGACCGCAATGGGCATTCCATGCAATGGCCCTCGATCCTTCATAGGCACCTTGTCTAACGCCTTTGCTTGCTGCAAGATGTAATCTTTATCGAGATAGGTCCACGCCCCGACGTCGGCATCGCGCACATCGATGCGCCGCAGCAATGAGCGCGCATAGCTTTCAATTGTCAGCTCGCCAGCACGAATCTTGGCCAAGGCTTCGGCGGCCGTGAGTGCGTATGCGTCGTCACTGCCCATATTGTCTCGTATAAAAGCCCTCCGAACCCTCCTGGGAAGAAATGCAAGTAGACACTCCAGCTTGGCGGTTTATAAGCGCACCGGGGGTTAGTTCTTTTATAAAGACGTCTGGGCGTCCTGGACTCCTGGTCAACCAGGGCGTCGTTTGCTAATCGGCTTGTACAAGGATGCCTGTCAGCTGTACCTGAACCAGGTCTGCCACCACCCTGATTGCGTCGCAACCGCGGCTATTATTGGCTGGTCCGAGCTGGGATTCGCCTGATGAGGCAATCCAAGGGACTGGCAGGCGAGATCAGCGAGGAGCAATATGTTGCCCGGGCGATTCACAAATGCACCTTGAATTTCAGGAACTGGAAAGTCAGGATGCAGAGCACGCGGAACTTTGCTCCTCCGTGAGAAGCAGTCGAGATGATGCGCCTTAGTTTGGTCCACACGAACTAGAGCACGGAGTGAGCAAAAAAGACTGCACAGGGTTAGCAGAGAGGGGGTTTAGACTGGGCATGGCATGGAACAAGTTGGTACATGTCCTGTTCGGCGAGTAGTGGGCTGACCTACCAAAGATAGAGGATAAAACCCTGGACACTCTCTCTCGATCTCGTTTGGTTTGCAAGATGACCCTCTTGAAAGCTGCAGAACACGAAAGCCCGTGATCATCAGGGGGGCCATCTTGTATATATACCCAAGGGCCAAGGGTCCGGGATATCTGGCGTATAGGCTCATTAGGCATAGGACGCCGTCGATGGGCGAAAGCTGGACGAGAAAACTTTGTGTAACGCGGCATGGGCGCCTCGGATCCGACCCGCCACGCAACAGCCGCAAAAAAGCAATTCTAGATGCCCCCTTTGCTCCGCGTGCTCTGCGTTGACGCTTCGCCCAAGGTTCGGTCTTTGGGAGCTGTCCGTTTGTGTGACAGGGCCGAACCCGGCCCCTCTTTATCACACCTGCGATATTTCAGTCTGCCCATGCCATCTCATCAGCATAATACCCACTCTTGCCAGGTCAGGTTCGCAGTTGTCAGGATCGAGACGTGTACGAAGCGCTCGGTAGGGCCTGCAGGATATCTGCTAACCCTGCTGCTCGTGACCCAAACTATGCAGGGAATTCGCAGCGTGTAAGCGAGCAGGCCCAGCGGCGGCAGTTGCAAGCGTGGTGGTACGCCGGAGCGCCGGTGAAGCAGCTGACAGCGTCACAGTCGACAGCTGTGCCGGCCAGGCTGAAGAGCGGCTGCTGGGGGCGACACGGCAGGATGCTACCAGGCGGTAGGGAGTAGTGCTTCAAACATAGGTTGGTAGGCAAGCTGGGTGCTCTCGCATGCCTGCCTGTCAGCGCCGTCTCGGGCTGCATGGCGTGCTAGCGTGCAGCCGGTCAAGCAAGCAGGCAGGGGGAGAAGTTGACATTGGGCTGAAATCCTGGCCTCAGATAGAGCTGCAAATTGGTGGGGGACTGGCGTCGGATCGTGCCCAGGGGCTGCCTGGCCTCGACACGTGGACCGGTCTCTCTCTGGCCTCGTAGCCATGCAGTGCCGTACAGTGCGTTGCTGTACGAAATCAGCATGCATGCATGTTCCTGTGCGTGTGATGGAGTATCATCGAGCGCAGGCCGGTAGAAGGGCTGCCTCTGATCGGCCTCGATCCCATCATGGCCAGCCCAGCGCGGGTGGAGATGGTGCCGGCGTAGCGAGGAGCCCCGCTGGTGCTGGCGACGGCCGAAGTGGTTGACAGGATCCGACAGAGATGTTTGGTAATGCCAGGGTCAAGCAGCGTCTTGGGCACAATCTCGGAGGGCGAAGAGGATAACGATCGATGAAAGATCAGATAAAGACGAGATGAAGTTGAGAAAAGGTGGTGAGCTATCAGCACGGGGCACCGACAGCTTCGGGAAGGCGGAGAGCGATAGGACGGCAGAACCGGTGGCACATACATTTGACGTTGAGTCTCTCTCCTCCAACATCAACTCACCCTTTGGTAGCTTATTGCCTTGAAATCCACATTACCAATTGAGGATCCAGGCTTCTCTCCGCTGTGCCAATATGCTCCGGTCCGGCCACTGCGGTCATTTCTGATATCCCGGCTACCCAGGTCTGGGGTTCTCAGGTATGCACGGATCGATCTCCGCCAAATGTGGTCACGTTTCAGCCCCACGACCTCATACAGGTCTTACAGACTCGAGCTGACGGGCAATTCCCACATTACACACAGCTGTTGTGGCTTTACTTTGGTTTCACGCCTGTCACCTTTCAAGCGCAGCAAGCGGTACTGCATGTGAGCATACACAGATGTACGATACATTACACGTGTGGCACTTGATGCGAACTCGCCAGTATGCTGTACGAAAGCTGAGTACAAGACAGTAAGCAGGGTGAAAAGCATCGCCAGCTGATCACGAGATGCCAGAAAGCAAGGAAAGACGCTGAACTGCGGCAACTGGGAAGAAAGGACGTGGCTGAATGGATAGTCGGCACAGTGATGTTGCATACCAATATATGCGTGTCCCAGACGAGCATGAGTCCATACGCCCTGCATACAACATGATGCCGTGGCTTGCTCAACTCACAACTTCAGTAGGTCACAATCAGACGACAACCAGATCGCTTCGCTCGGACTTGCTCGTACGAACATGTACCGGGATAGTCCGCTGTGATGGCGTCCAGTGGCTGCCTGAGAGCGGCAATCCCGAGTGAGCCTCCAGATCGACGACAAATGCACGAATCAGCCCAGAAGCACCTCATCCAGGCCTTTTTGGGGCTATCGGTGACCAGGCTGTACGCATGCAAACACTTCCTCTTCAACCTCATATGGTTGGGGATGCGAATCGGAACTGATATGACTGGCTTACAGTCCCGAGAGGCGCCGCCCCCCTGCGGACGCCAAGGGGTCAACTCACAGCTTCACAAATCAAATCGAGGCATTCATTAATCGTGTGCAGATTGCCGCCTGCTGGATTCTCCCAACAGATGCTGACAAGGGGTTAAGACGGAATAGTCATGCCCAAGCTGGCTACGATGCCTGTACGTACATGTCATGTCCTCTTGCTCGTTTGTCATTGTGAAGCTGCCAGGGTCTTCGGCGACCCAATAACCCGGAATTGCTTTTGCTTTTGCTTTTTTTGCTTTGCTCGTTTTGTTCACCAATACGACACAAACGACCCGCTGCCGCCCATGTTCGTTCTCCTACAAGGATTCAGGTTTCCAAATCTGTCCTTGTTGTTTCTTTTTCCTCTCCTTGTTAATCTGCTAGTTTGGCGATGATGCCTCGATATGAGATGAACAACACGGACAACATCCCAGCCATGATGTAACTGTGCGCTTTGCGCCCTCCCGATATTAGTTGCTTATTGTGATTCGCCTCCATGGACTGCGCATCCAGACCATCGCCCTGATATTAAAGGGGTCAGCCGAGCTCAACGGATGCAGAAGCGCTGCGGCTATCGTAGGACGGAGACAAAACTCTACCATAGATCCAGTCAATCTACATCAGCTGCCCATGCAAGGGAGTTTTCTGCCCAAGGAAACAATAGACGGGAAGAACGAACAAGGCTATTGGTTGATTTACCCATAGGATTTACATCACAGGGGAGCACCATGACTACAACTTGCGTTTGCTTTCCCGCGCGTGGCTTGCAGGATGGATTTTTCTCGGTGAGCAACGTGCATATCGTGGGGGCTGGAAAGTTCGACTTCAGCTGTAAGCTTGACCAACCCTTTTTTCCCAACTCTTTTTGACAGAGAAACATAGAAACAAAATACAGGCAGAGAGAGTCCTTTAGACGCATGAGAGACTTGAGAAAAGAGAGCCCCGGCTTCACAATACAAAGGGACGAAACACCCCAGCAAGATCTGAAATTAGTTGCAGCCCAACTTATAAAAAGCAATGCCAGGATCATCAGTCACATGCCTTGCCTTTTTTGCTTTCTTTCCTCCCTTGAGCATGGGGTTTCACAAACAAAACAAGAAAGAAAAAAAAAAAAGAAATACGGTAGCTTCGATTGTGTTAGTTGTACTAGTACGAAGGAGTCGACAGGGAAGCGTGCCGTGTTCTTCCTTTTTGTGTCTCGTCTCAGCTACTGTATGCGATGACATCTCCAGGGACTTGGAAATGATGGGATCAGCCGCACCTAGGAAACAAAAACTCCCTGGCTATGTTGCATGACCCCCACGAGTCAAAATCAAAACTTTGAATATGAAATAAAAACTTCATTGCTTATGTATTTTCATTATATGGGCACAAGTTGAATGGTACACAGTCATATCGGACTTTAGCAACAACCGCCTTTCGTCCTTCGGACTATAATTCAGACACACCTAAAAACCGCCCCTCATAATCACAGACTCGGACAAACTCCCAACAGTGCTTACGGTCATGACGCGACAAGGTAGAAAGTCACTTTCAAAGAGACAAGTTTAAGCGTATGCTTGCGCGTCCAAGCTGTCTTTAGAACAAGCTGCCAGGAAGTCAGTTGTCCGAAAGGCGTTACCGTGTATGAGAAGGGCGTTGTCTAGGGGTTTAGGATAGTAATCGTCTAAACCCCGCGCGGGGCGTTTAAACCTCCGTATAACATCCGTTGTAATACAGATTCACGATGGCTCTTGTTCGTTCACTTTTTGAATTACACTCTCGAATTGGAAACGCATTTTGAGACGAAGATTCGATTGAAACCCTCAAAATGGTTATCCGTAAAATCACCCAAGAATACGCCAACCACGGCATCCCCCTACAATGCGACATCTACACCCAAGACGACGGCCCCAAAGACGTTCCCGTCTTTCTGTACTTCCACCCAGGAGGTCTCGTCGATGGGAACCGTGATCTCATTGCGCCCTGGCTCGTCCAGGTGCGAAATACCCAACACGCCCGGAAAAAGAAGCATACTTCTTTTTTTCTTGTTTCTTAGTTGACAGAAGGGAATCAATAGGTCTGCCATCAGCGCAAATGGCCTCTCATCTCCCCAAGTTACCGCCTCCTCCCACAAGCCCGCGGACAAGGCCTCCTCGAAGACGCCTCAGCAGCATATGCCTTTGCGCAGAACTGGAACACGCAACAAGCCAGTTCCAAGAGGAAAATCATTGTCGGAGGCGCCAGCGGCGGTGCGTTCTTTTTTCAAAATTAAGCCCCCCCCCCCCCCCAATTCTTCACATATATCAAAGCTGACGCCATTGATATAATGAAACGAAAAGGCTTCTTCATGGCTGCTCTCATCGCCCACCACTGCCACCCCAAACCCCTCGCCCTCTTCTCCATCCAAGGCATAAACACCTTTCGCCATCGCTTCTTCAACTCCTCCACCCTCATCCCCGACGAAGAGATTTCACACGCGTCAATGGCAAAGTACATTGCCGGTCCGGTCCAGGTCGGCAACATGAAGCCCGACGAATCGACCTTTGTCCTCGATAAACTCACCCCCGAAGGCGCAAAGAACCCAGACTTTACTCCCCCCAAGGCTCCGGAAAACACGGCTTCTGACGAGAGCAGCTACCGGGGTATGCTCTACGACTACTACACGTTCAACAATTCATTCGTGGATCTGGTTGGAGACGTCGACCCGGGGTATCAATGGGCGAAGCAGCCCGACGCAAGAGACAGAGTCGCGGAGTGGCCCCAGACAATCATCTTCCATGGCAACAACGATCCCGACGTCGAGCTCAGGGTGAGCGAGGACATGCGCGACTGCCTGGGCGAGGACAAGGTCACGCTGATTGTCGCCGACGGCCAGCCTCACTTATATGAGCTGGAAAGGTTCATCGAGGATGACGCTCCAGGGATGGACGCCGTGAGGCAGGCCGTGGCCAGGCTGGACGAGATCGTGGCCTCGTCGACATGACGCTGATGGTGGGACATCATCACTGCAGACTGTTTCGGCACGCTGTGCATCCAACATGGAATAATAGTATCATAAGCAAACACCTGGATATCTTGTTAAACTGCGTAGCTGCTATCGTATCAAATACACCTTGGTCACGTCCCACACTGTAGGTCTAGGTTTATACATCCATGTTCCCGCCCCGTTGCAATGCATGACCGCTATGTAAAAGCAAAAGCGAAAGTAAAGAAAAGAAGAAGACAAAAGGGGGTTGGAGAACAGGAGGAAACGCCGAAAATTACATCGCTGTCGTGCACAACCTCGTCGTAGCTCATCCAAAGTTCGTTTCGACTCACCTCGCGGCAGTCGTTCAATTTTACTGCGTCATTACGCTGTCCTCATACTCGGTGAGCCGCAGTGCCTCCCCGACATCGTTCACAAAATGCCTCTCGCCGCACAGGTCGACGATGCCGCTCCTGTCCATGAGCTTCCACACAAGGTGATCTCGGTGGTGTGGTGCGCGGGAGAAGAAAACTCGAACGCCGCGTTCACGGTAGTCGCGTACAATCTCTTCGAGCACCTGTGTGCCGGAGCCGTCCATGGAAGTCACTCCATGGATGTCAAAGATGACGTTGCGGTTCGAGTCCTGACTGCGAATACGCGGCAGGGCGGGATGTGCTCGGGACGTGCCGTAGAACTCGAGTCGCCGAAGTCGCGCCTTGAGCTCGCCAGTATTGGCAAAGGTCAACGGTTCCGGAATCTTGACGATGAGACACCCCTCAATGAACTCGATCCTCGAGTTGAGGGATTCCGGGTTTTCGAAGCGGTTGGTGCCGGGAACACGGCCGAGGATCTGGATGCGGGGGCGAGTGCTGTGCTTGATAACCATGAGCAGAGAGATTCCCACACCCAGAGCCATGCCTAGCGTCAGAGAGTAGAAGATGGTGGAGAGGAAGATGACTGCCATGAGACCCAGTTCGGTCCATCCGCGAACGCGGAGGAAGAATGAGATGTCGTGGGGCGCCTCTTCTATCAGCGACCACGCCACAACCGAAATCATTGCGCACAGAACAGGTTTCTGCGCGCAATTGGTTAGCCTATCGTCACTCAATGGGGCACTGCGGGTGGCTTACCGGCAAGAAGTAAAAGTAGGGAAGCAGAAACAAGACGGACAGCAACGACAACAGACTCAGGAAAATAGAGCTCATCGGCGTCTTCGCGCCAGTCGTCTTGTTCACCTTGCTTCGTCCGTAGCCGCCAAAGGCCGGCAAGGCCATGAACATGCCGCCCACCAGGTTGGCGGCGCCGAGCGCAATCATCTCGCGGTTTGCGCTGAGTTCGATGCCGGGGATCGAGCTTCCGCCCAGACTCTTGGCCGCAACCGATGATTCGAAGAAGCCGAGCATGGCAATGAGAAAAGAAGTCGACATGGCCGTGCGGATGTGCTGCATGTGGGCGAGCTGGAAAGGCCAGCGGAACTCAAAGATGCCTCCCGAAGCAGCTTTGACGGCTCCCAGGACCTCGACGCCCTTGTCTTCCCAGTCAAGCTGCCAGCACAAAATGGCCGAAACGACAACGACGAGGAATCGATCGGGGAAGTAGGCAACTCCAGGAAAACGCTTTTCCAGACGGCGCTTGAGCTCGCTAGAAGAGGTCAGCCATCGTCACACTCGCCAATGACAGTATTTTTGCTCGCCTGATCAGCCAGATAACTTACCGAAATATCATAATGGTGACGAAGCTGACACCCGCCACAGCAAACGTCAGCTTGTGAGTTGCACCAACATTGTTGAAGATGAATCCAATCTTGTCGACGCTGCTTCCATGGTTCACACCCTGTTCCTCCGCCAGGGCAGCAAGCCCCAGCTCGGGAATCAGCTGGTCTACGGCAATGACAAAGCCAATGGCCGAGATGAAGCCTCTCAGGAAGGGCCTGCTCAACACGCTGTCCAAGAAGCCCAATCTGGCCAGGCCAGCAATCAGAACAATGGCACCAGCCATGCCGCTCACCACGCCGCAGATCTGGGCATGCAGAACGTCGTTGTCCTCTGAGCCCTCGCCTCCGTTGTCGACGCTGGTTTTCACCACGGTGCCGACGAGAAGGGATCCAGCTGCCTCGGGGCCAATAACCATTTGCGGGGCGGATCCTAGCAACGCATAGATGAAGGGGTTGAAAATGAAGCCGTAGAGACCGTAGATAGGCGGGACATGCGCCAGATTGGACGCCAGCGAGAGCGCCATCGGGAGGTAAAACGAAGCCATGGTCACGGCCGCAATGAAGTCGCCCTTTAGATACGACAGCTTGTACTGCTGGATCCAGTTTAGGCACGGAATGTAGTATGCCAGGTACCTGTCCGCGAGGTCAGTTTCTCGAGCTGCCATGTGCGTCTAGTCGACAATAACCGGCACATCAGATGCTGACGGGCAAGAGGTAGGCTCACATGAAGGGTGTATCTCGAAAGCCCGCCTGCTCAGCAAGCTCGCTGCTATGTCGAATCTTGCTGGTGCGCATTCTCCTCGAGAGCCACATCTTCCAATCATCACTCCCCGTGAGTGACGCAAAGAACCCGCCGTTTCTTCCCCTCTCCTCGTTCTCGTCGTCGTTCTCGTCGTCGGTGCTTCCGCCGAAGAGGCCATTGGTGGGTGAACGACCTCGAGGGCTGAACGTGCCGTGTTGCTCCGACTGGCTGTCGCGTATCAAGGGCGTCGACTCGCCCACGGCCGTGATGGACGGGTAGGCATCGCTGCTGGTGCTGTCGCCGCTGCCTGGACGGCTGGGCGGCGTATGGCTCTGTCGAAGGGTGCTCGGCTGCAGAGGGCGGTGGTCTTTGGACGAGTCCGCGCGGGTCAGCGGCGGCGGAGGTCCCGACATGTTGGCGCAGTCACGTCGTTCGGCGCATGCGAGACTAATCGGCGATTGACTGCTGCGACTGGCTGTATCGATCGGAATGTTGTCGAGGTGTTGTTCAGAGGTGAGTCGTCCCGTTGAAGCACCAGCGCCGAACCCGAGCTTCCACCGCTTCCAAGCTTTCAAGAACTAGGAGGAGAGCCGGCCGCCGCCAAATGATTGCATAGACGCCGAGCTTTACAGCGTTCTACCTCGTCCTTCAGTTCTTTGCTGCCAGCCAAAAGATGGCCGGTATCTTGCAAAATGGCAGGGGGTAAACGAGGGAGGAGGAAGAAAATCGCAGAATGATCGGAATGTGAGAAAAGCAGAGAAGAGACAAAAATTGATAATTCAGGCAGAATTGGCCGCCCGTGTGTCAGGGTGCAGATGCCGAAGCCGCGGGTGACATCAGCGGGGATACGGCGGGCACAGCAGTGCGACACAGCGCTGAAGAAGCCCAGACCTGCGCTCCACGGGGCACCTACCGCTCCACTGGAAAGTTGGGGGTGGGCGAATGCGGTGAGGGAGCACCTCAACGTGCAGGGCAGGTCAACCAGGGACGCTGCGATGGAGGCCAATGGGGGGCTGAGGGGGTGAGCACCTGATGCGGACGACAGGGACAGAAGCTGGGGATTGGTCTCATTGTTGCAGGTCCAGTGTCTCTGCTGCCGGTCTTGGTGAGGTGCGTCCAGGACCATGATGTCTTGTGTGCAGAATCTTGAGGTCCCTCGTTTGTTGATTCGAGATAAGATAAGACGGGATCTGATACCAGACCTCGAAACAGCAGCTCTGCATGGCTTCGATATAAGGTACAGAAAGCAATGTTGCAGTTAAATGCCGACATGACTATATGGACACGAGCATCTGGGACTCTTGCCCACGCGATGCATTGCAACTTGCAGCTGACGTTGACCTGCGTTTACTCAACTTCAGGGTAACACAGCACAACACATACGAGTCCGGTTACACGTGCAAGCTCAGCGGCCGAGGCACCACGTTGCCGAGATCCGCGCTGGAGTCGCACACGACGTACTGCATCAAGGGGCAAGCAATCGCAGGGAGCAGATCACTCAGGGACAATCTTGTACATCCTCATGAGTGAGGAAAACAATCATCGCTATCATTTCATATGTACAACAGTAGAAAATCCGGTAACTATACAGAACGACTGCAGTCTCTCATCTCCTACACCTGCTCGTTGACAAACAGACCAGCCATGCCCTGGCCGGTACCAATGCACATGCTCGTGAGCAGCATCTTCTTCTTTGTCCTTCGCAGCTCGCTCAGGCCCGTCACCACCTGTCGGGCACCCGTCGCTCCCAGGGGGTGGCCCAGGGCAATGGCGCCTCCCTTGGGGTTCATCTTGGCCCAATCGAGGCCCAGCTTGTCGCGGCAGTACACGGCCATGGAGGCAAAGGCCTCGTTGACCTCGACCACGTCAATGTCGTTAAGGCTGATGTTGTAGATGGACAGCAGCTTGGGGATGGCGACGCTGGGGCCGATGCCCATGATGCGGGGAGCCACACCGGCCACGGTCGAGCCGACGTACTTGGCCATGATGGGCAGGCCCAGCTTGATGGCCGTCGACCGCTTCATCAGCACAACGGCCGCAGCGCCGTCCGTCACCTGCGAGGCGTTGCCGCCCGTCGTGGTCGGTCCCCACTGGGGGAAAGCAGCCCGGATCTTGGCCAGGCCCTCGGCGGTGGTGCCGGGGCGGATGCCGTCGTCCTTGGTCAGCGTCACCTCCTTCACCTGGCCGTCCTTGTCCTTGACCTGGGTCTTGATGGGCACAATCTCGTCGTCGAACAGGCCTGCCTTCTGGGCCTTCTCAGCTCGCTGGAAACTCTCGGCAGCGTACTTGTCCATGGTGGCTCGGTCGATGCCAAAGTCCTTGCTGACGTTCTCGCTGGTCCAGCCCATAGGCTGCACGGCGTCCTCGGCCTCCTGGCTCTTCTTTAGAACGGCCTCGTCCAGCTCCTCGGTGGGGCGGCCGTTTGTCATGCTCTCGGCGCCCACAGCAATGCCGACCGAAATGGAATCATTGGCGATTGAGTGCGCAATGTCTGCAATGGCCTTGAGGCCGGAGGAGCAGAAGCGGTTGACGGAGTTGGCGCCGGCGGTGTTGGGGAAGCCGGCGGCCAGGGCGGCGGTGCGGATCTTGTAGGCGGCTTGGGCATCGGTCACCTGCAATTACGATCTTCTGTCAGCGAGAAGAACATGGTTGGAATTGACGACGTGGGAAACGTACGTTGCCGAGGGTAATGTCCTCGACGAGAGCAGGGTCAAGACCGCTCCTCTCGCGAACCTTCTCCAGCAGCGCATAGACCATGTACTCCAGGCTCGTGTCCTTGAAGCCGCCCTTCCCGGCCTTGGTCAACGGCGTTCGAGCAGCATATGTGATGACGATGTCGTCGGGGTTCTTAGACTGTCTACACGACGATACGTCTGTCAGCATGTGAACTTGAAGCAAGGCATGTGAAAGGCGCCCCGAGCGCCCCGATTCCGGGCTCCCTCACATGTTGCTCAGCGATGACCCGGGGGCCAAGTGCTTGATGATGGATCCGATTCGCTCGACGGCCATGATGGAATGTGAGGGTATCTGCGAGAGTTTACGAAGAAGAAAGAAGGGACAGAAAGACGGTATCACTATGCAGCAACCAAGAAGTCGCCCCTTGCACAGAATCTGGGGATCCACGAGCTTTATGGCGGAGCGCCGGCCGGGGTTTGTGGGGATGAGCCGAGGCAAACGGCAGCTTACATAACACGTGCCGAGCTCTGGGCAGTGCGGCCCGAGCAGTCAAGTGACGGCGCATTGACTCGGGAATGTTGCTTCACGAGGTTGGATTGCCGGCTGAATAAGTCAAGTTCTGCGGGGAAGCTGATTGCTCTCCATGGATGCCTCGGAACGAATGACTGTCAGAGAGGCGAAAAGCTTTGGTGTCAGATGCCGTGCTGATATCCGATGATGCTTAGTCATCACAGCTTTGCCTGGCCACATTGATACTGTTCAGACGTTCACACAACATTGCGGAAGTCTGAATCGATCAAGGTTCGTTTATTCAGAGTTCAATGCTGTTTAGAGTCGAGTTTGCACGGCATCGTTACCACAAGTACTGTAAAACTGGACTGAATGAGTTGAGGCTATGTGAGCAGGTGCATGCATGGGCTCATAATGTCTACTACTACTACATATATACGTGACACAGTTGTTGACCTAACCTGGATAAGATGAAGTAACACACATGAGATTTCTGCATTTTCTTTGGTATTGTATACTTTACTCAGTGGCTGGCATCATGCTCTCCTAACGTCACTTTGGCACTTACCACGACAGGTATACTTGCAGTGCGATGGCCGGTAAATGCGTTACGAAAGCAAGCAAGCTGCTGTCCTGCATAGAGACGAGTGCGTAGATTCATCCCATTTCCGGTACATTATCAGGTTCTCCAATTATTCCAGGATACCATGGTGACATTGATGTTGTTGTTGATCTGATAAGGACGAGTATCAAGGTCCCTTAATCGAAGGTACCTGGTATCTACGAAGTACGGAGAATAATCGTCTTCTATAAGCGTAGAGTCGAATGGAAAGATGATATCGGACACGACTGTCCAGCAAAGACAGCCAGCCAGCAATGGGAACATAATTAGAGACTCTGCTTTGTTCTAGACGCATGGTAATTCACAGGCTTGTTAATAAAGGGCTGCTCGATTGTTGGGTCAAATGTGTAAATATACCGGTATTGCGAGAACGCAATGAAAGCCAAAGAGAGTACAATATCTGGTAATGCGTGCAATCTCAAATATATGTTCTGATCAGACAGCTCGAAAGTATTCAACAGCCATCATCAAAGTTCAGGAGCGAAGGACTTGACCTAGGGTTCTCGTCAACAAACTACTAGCTGAGGTGTAAGCACTGACGAGGATTGCAACTACTCGACTCGATAACCAAGTGCAAGAGCGAGGTTGAATGACGAGGTTCCAATCCATCGGATACGAAAGGCAGCCGCAGTCCTCAAAATTCAAGTCGCGATTCTCTTGCGAAAATACTCCGGATCGATCATGGCGCCGAGTTTCACACACAATACAACACAGTTTACTCACTATATTCCTACGACGCAAATCCATATTGATCAGCGTCGACAGCTCAGGCTCTGTCAAGATGGGCATCTCGGTTATTGTCTACGATTCCTCCGTGGAAATAGAACGCTGTAACACGCATCGAATGTATATGTTTGAAGAAGACTTGGATGCAGTTCTTACGGCATTAGCAAGGACTATGCGCCTCTTCGCGGATCCAGCGAGAAGGGCCAACCTTGATGACGACAGATGCTTTGGACGTTGGTTGATCAGCCATGAGTCAATGCTACGTCCGTGACGCCCCATGTCCCGAACGTATTGCTCTTGGAGCCTTGCCATTGTTGACCTTTGCTCTGTGTAGGCCCTTTCACGGACACTGGAAGAATAATCTGCCGTTATCCGTACATAAGAGCATGCCTGCACGAAGGGCTTTGCGGTGCGTACTCTACTCATATCCTTGTCCTGTCGCAGAGATCGTCATTGACTGTGGCGGTTGCTAGGCTGCAGAGGTGCGGCTGACCTATGCTCGAAAATTCTCATGACCAACCATTCAGTCATGGTGGGAAATCTCGGCACTGCCTATATCGACATTGGAAATGTCGATTGCATCACGTGCTCGGTCAGGAGGGACCCTGGCGAATCGACGGTAGCCGCTGGTGCTCCAAGCCCTGAGTTCCTGGAGTACAACATCCGCGTGGAGAATGTCTATGACCGTGATGGGGGATATGAGGTGCATACTGTGTATAACGGCGCTGGAGTGGAGGTCCGCGAATGCTCGAATCGCCGAGACGCTGTGAGAGCGAGGGTAGAGAGAGCCAGATTTTAATATTCACAGCCTGTAAGGCTGTTGATGCTGCGCAGCCATGTTGGTTGTTGGGTACTCCAATGTCGGCGTCGGTTTTCAGTGGAAAAATCTATTGTAGTAGTAATTGATAAAATAATAAGCCGGATCACAAAGCGGTTATTTTATGTGAACATACCTGAACTCGATCTCTTGGCTGATGCTGTCCTCATTGACATATTAATTAGGCCTAAGCACGGTAAGTAATACGAAATATAGCCAGCTCTTCACAGAGCGCAAGTATGGATAACGACCGAAAGGCGTGGAGACTTGCCAGTCACAGACGAGCCAAGTGTCTAGGAAAACAATGAGGCTATAAGGAGACGCAATGCAATAGTTCACGGAAAGTTTTGACGAGAAGGAACCGTTTGATGGCGATAGTGCACGAATTGTAAGTGCAATTGCTACCATCTGATTAGCCAGCAGGTAGGAGAAGAGAATATTTGCACTGCATGGCCATGTGCTACTTGAAACGCTATTTGTAAGCTCTGGAAGTATGGAATATGTTGGCCATGTATGGACGGACGACCTGACAGATAGATAGATATACGGACTGACGGCAATGGTCTCTCTCCACACGACTCAACTCAAGTCGCTGCTGCAATGGCCCTTTCGGAATCCATCTATAGACACACTTCTGTGAAAGCCAGGTAGTTTCTCCGAGTGTTCCTACGTCTTAGGTAGGTAATGGCCTTGCTCCAAGGACCCTATTGCTGTTCAGCTCCGTGCCACCAGTCAGTTGCTTAGCATCGAAAAAATGATATCGTCATCGACTTTGGTGAGCATAGATATAGGTTGATATGATAATATCCTGAATGAAGAAGTTTCGAGTGTCTTTATGGATGTTCAGGGATGATCTATCCCTCCTATCAATTCTGCATTAGGAGGCTGATGTAACCATTCCAAGATGTGGTATCCGATCACTCATTTCTGGCGTTGTAATCATCGTATGACCAACCATTTTCATCCTTTCTTTCTCAAATAGGATCGATTAGTGGAAAGGTCCTCGCAGCTTTCATCTTGACTTGGAATTGGAGATCGTATGAGAACTAGACGGGCCGTTTGGTTGCTCAAGAAGGCTGCATGAGTGGGTTCGTGCGTATCAACCCATGAATTCAAGAATATTCTCCAGTGAAATAGGTTGCTCATCACTCGTTTACTAGGCATACTGCCACGTGGTAGTGAGCAGGTCTGCATATCACATCCCTACGGAGTATATCTAACTCCATGGGTGGGCAATCCGTTTACGTCTGTTTCCAGTATCAATCATCTAACAATACCTGTTTCCTTTATCGTGATTCCGTTATGCATGTATCTTGGCTCGGATATTGGTTCCGGATAGCGACGGCGGGGCTGGTTGTTGATCCAATCCGCGGCAAGACGGTTTGACATCTCATCGTAAACCGTTTGACACGGAGACAGTCTGATACCAGAGGCGATGCTCCGTGAGGGATAGGAAAGCGGAAGAGTGGCTCGCCACGTGTGAAATCGCTTCCTTTTTTACTAGGAACTACTGGCGATCTTGGGTTGCTACTACTATCAGCTGGGGCGAAGAACGTGCCTTGCTGAGGCTGGACCCGATCAAGCCTCGCCAGCCGCTTCAGACACCATACTCGTATAAAGTCAAAGTAGATAACCATGGACGGTGCCAAGGTGCCTAGTACTCCAAAAAAACGTGGCAACGGAGCAACGGCATTAAGGAGGGAAAAGAATATCCGACAACTCCTTGGCATACCTCGTTCGACCAACTAGCGACGCAATAACTCGGGCTTATTTTCTCAAATCACCAATGAGCTTATCACAATGACACCACTTTGATGTTCTCGAAAGAAGCCATATCTGCTCTTCAATTTCCGGCCGTAAGCCGTTGGGTTCATTCGGATCCGGAAACCCGTTTCCTTGGGGGCTAAGAAGACTCAGGGGAGCCGCTCTTGGGGGAAAAGTGGCGAGTCCTGAGCGGGCGGTGTCACGACCACCTGATGGAATCCTTTTGGAAGTTCCCGCGGACTCTGGTGGCTTGAAGGCGGACGAAGCCGTGGTTGTGCCTCCAACTAAAAGATTACGTGCATCCGTGTATTCGGGCTTAGTGGACGAGGTCAGAAGTCTGTCTCCGAGCTTGAATCGTTGCACGACTCGCGCAGCTTGCAGCAACAGGTGGCATTTGAAGGGTCTTTTATCCTTTTGCCATATTGAAACATCTTTTAGGAAATGCGACTGCTGTGCTGTTTGACTCTCGTGATTTGCACGCACTCGGAGGTGTTTGGTCGTTGCTACTGCTGCGGACCATTCCCCTCTTAACGGTAGGTGGTACGCAGATATACGAGATGTACGGACGGTACGAGCCATACGAGCCCCAGTGCTTAAACAGAGCATCCCTGGCTTTGCATGATATGGCTGCGCTAGCGAAGACGAGAGGGGGGCCAACCCCTGGCCCAAGTGTCAGAGACAAACGTCCCCGGGCCCGGTCGCCGTTTTAGCACAAAGGCAGAAAGAGGCGTCGAAGCGTGTTAGATAAGACGACGAATGAACGGTCTCATTGGGCCAGACGACAGGCACTGGCGGCTTTGGTGATATCCGGGGAAGTTCTGGAGACGTTTGGGACAAGGGGGGCGTGCGACTAATCGGCTAAGGCGGGAATTTTTTCTCTCCATGTGTGTTAGTCCGAAGGGCCCTTTTCCACAAAATCCACAGCATCACAAAAAGTACCGCTTGTTGAAATCATGGGAGAGGTGGTCTTTGGTGATGGGTGATGGCGCTGCTGCAGCTCTCAACAGGGCTGCAGATGCTGCGAAGAGGGAGGAGAATCTTCTGCCGTATCTGGTTGGAAGACATCTCAACTCCAGGTCCCCGAGATTGAGGTTGTGCCACCCCTTGAAGCAAATGGAAAGATTGTAGAAGCATTTGGGTCTTCTGGCTTTTCTTGACGTTTCATCCGATCACGGTAGATGGCTGCTGGAGGCATCGACAAGTCTCTTGGCAACGCCATCATCGCAGATTCCCGACGCACGAAGACGAACAAGTCCATGGTGTCCAAATCGCCCCCCCACCGCCACCCGGAACGGGTCACCTCACGTTCCTGGATTGGGCATCAGCGCCGCTGGCTCAGCACCCAGTTCGTCTCGTTAAACAAGTCCCTCAGACCTCCAGCTGTTGAGAGGCAGTATCAAGAGAGGGCTGCTGTTAGTAATACTGTATCGTACGTACAAACAACACCCAAGAGTCGGAGCCCGACAAGCCACGCTCCAATAGCGCAACCGCGCGGAGGATTTCGCGCGCAGCGGCAGCAGCTGTGAGCGAAAATGGAAACACAGAGCCGGAGCCAAGGCGGGACGGGCGCCAAGACGGCTGATGGAAGATCGAAGCGCGATACGGCCTTGCAGGAACTTCTGTTTCCATGGAGTGTTGGATGGCGTGCTTGCGCGGCAATATCGGTAGAGGGAGTCGTGACATCACTGGCTGCCTCTGAGCAGGCTGAACCTGTTTGTTTGGCTTCGCCTCTGTGAAGGGATGCTCTGGAATGCAGCCATCTCTCAAGCAGTCGGTTCACTTCGCATCTCTGTTATGAAGATGTTCAACCACAATGTGTAAGAGTAGGCATACTGTATAGTAGTAGTTGAGACTGAGTCCATTGTTGCCGGAGAGCAGCGCTATTAGTTGCGTGAGCGAATGAATGTAGTAGTATATGGGTCTTCGGGGAGATATTGGACGGAGCAGCATGAGCCTTCTGTCACGAGAATGGGTAATGACCATGCGTTCGACAGGGTCCTTTTGCAACTGGAGGGGTCGTTTCCGGAGAGATAGGACCCCTGGGGGGTGTCGCCGGAGACAAGGACCGCCAGCATGGTATGGACGCACGCCGTGGTTGCAGTTGAGGTCAGCTTGATGAGGCCCTGTGCAGAGCAATAAGGCGTCTGGACAAGCAACAAGGGCGCGCTCCAGTGAGGCACGAGGTCGGTCGTATTCCTCATGGACCACGGCTCCCGCCATCCAACTGCAGCAGGTAAAGGTGAGGGAGAGTGTAATAGAGTAGCATCGTGCTTACACTCGTAAGTGGTGTCCTGGATGCTTATCTGCATGCGTGTTCAATATGCGAGCTGCTGTGTTCCTGTTGGCTTTGTGCCTATAAATTATACCTAGTCAGCCATTGATTGTGCTGCTGAAGATGTAGAGAATGTTTGTATACTCGCGATGGAATGCGTGATAGGACATGGTAATTAGGTTTCCATGTCTGCCGCTGTCGCGTGTCAACTCTCGCACAAGCTGTTAAGACGATGCCTCTCCACAGCCGAAAAACAGTTGCAGCGAGTCAGGCCATGTCGTCGCCTCCTCCACTCACGGACCAAAACCAGCCCAGTCTGGCAACTGCGAGTGCTTTGCGCAGGTTCCTCGGTGATATTCGCGGTGTTCTGGCGATGGCTTCATAAGCGCAAGCAAGTGCCCGTCTTCTCCGCAAAAGGCAGCCGGGAATAAGTACGGCCAGCCTCACGTGATTGGCGCGTTGCCTCTAATTAGCCTGGCCCTCCACTGTAACGTCCGCCAAGCCCACTGGAGGCCCAGCCAATCAGCTAATCCAGATCTGCCCTAATCTGTCTGGTGCTATCATTGGAACTTCTTATGGACACTGCCTCGACTCCCCTCCATGCTCATGTAATATTCTACCTGTACTCACCACCCACATTCTCTCTTCTTCCTCACAGTCTCCCATGAGCCTCCAAAAGCTCGGGCCGTCGCTCTTTCGATGCTCTTGCCTGTCCATGTCGAATCAATGGCTCGCCCTGGCTGGGTGGTGCCGCCACTCGACGCCTCACCAGAAGCAGGCTCACACCCCTCCCCTTCAATGATTCGCCGCTCTGCCAATTGCAGGAGCAGGATCCGGCTGTCTGGGCTGCTGTGTTATCAGGCCCGGCATGCGCAAAAGGACCCGACTTATCCGTCCTCGAGCTGCTGCTGGGATGTTGGTTGGGCTAACGAACTGCGAGTCTGCCAGCCGGGGGGCCCTCCATGGATCGGCACGCATGTCCAAAAGAGACACACCTCCATCTCCACACTTGCCCGCCGTATCAAACCACCTTGGTGAGGGAGAGAACTTTTGGTTGTGCCTCCGCGTGTTACCTTGTCGTGTCTCAGTCGTGCTAGGCCAGTGCCCGTCCCCCCATTGTCCACTGCTCGTGATAGCCTCTCTTCCGCCCCTTTCGGCAGGGCCCTCCGGTGGTTGCGGGGGCGGAGCCTCTTGGTGCTTGCTAACACTGCTAGTCGGTGATGCTATGTACGGGCAAGATGTACGGAGGAGGGCATCGCCGAGTTGCCTCTATCTCCTTGCCACCGTCAAGATAGCATAGTCTTTCCCCCCCCCGTGGCAGGCGGTGCGGCTAATCATTGCATTCCCGGGAGGGCTGAAGGATGGACAGAAGTTCGCCAACCCGCCGAACTGAGGCTAGCATTATCTCTCTGGGCCCATTCAAGGCATTGCAAATCGTCGTATCTGATCCTGGAGGTGGAGAGCCCCGGTCCTTGCCTCCCTTGCTCCGTGAGAGACGCTCATGTAGGAGGGTTGCATTCTCATGCCAGTACCCCAGTCTCGTCGATAAAGACCTGCCTCTCCCACGTGTAACCATCGAGGCTCTTGCTTGTCTGAGACCATTCCATTGAGCCCTCTTCACCTCTTATATCCCCCCCTTCTCCCCCCCCAGCACCATCGGTCTTGGTTGTTGTTGTGTCTGTGCTGTCCGGTCTCCTATTCTCTTTCTCTTTCTCTTCCAGGCCCAAGCCGGGTCATCGTCCACCATGGCCAATTACATGCCTACTGGGGGCCTTCAGCCAGTCGCCATCGACCATGACCTGATCAACACCGCTGTTGAGAAGGAGTCCGAGGCGCTGGAGAAGCCCCAGATTACCGAGCGCGTCTGGGGCTTCGCGGCCCGTATCGATCCCACCGTCTCCTTCGAGGAGTACCAGTACTGGGCCAAGATCGAACGTGAGGAGGAAAACCAGGCCAACATCGAGTTCAAGGCCGAGCACGGCCCTCGAACCGTCAAGAGCGTCCTGCTTGGTCGTTTCTCCAAGGGCATCCACCACGAGAACAAGAAGAAGGCCGAGGCGGCCGCTGCCGCCGCTGCTGCCGAGAACAGCGGCAATGTCTCTCCCACAGAGGAGAAGAGCGGCATCGTTGCCGCGGCTCAGAAGAGTGCCAGTCTCCCGACAGAGGCAGAATGGAAGCAGGCTTCTCGTGCCATGAGAACTGCCAGTTGGGGCACCATGTTCTACCTCATCACGACTGATATCCTGGGTTGGTCGTCAACTCCCTTCGTCTTTGCCAGTGTCGGTTTCGGCCCTGGTGTCGCCCTGTACATTGTCTTTGGCGCTGCTGCCGCCTTCTCCGGTTACATCCTGTGGAAAGTCTTCCTTGGCCTCGACTCGTCTCGCTACCCCATGGTCTCGTTCGGTGACACGTACTTTCGCGTGTACGGACCGTTTGCTCGCCACTTCATCAACATCGCCCAGGCCATCCAGCAGTTCATGACCGTCGCCGTGCTGATTCTCGGCAGCGGCACGACCATTGCTCAGCTGGCCAGCGAGAAGATTTGCTTCGTTGCCTGTCTCATCATCTTCATGGTGGTGGGCATGGTCTTTGGCAGCATCCGATCCCTGCAGCGCATCGGCTGGCTCGCCAACTTGTCCGTCTGGATCAACATCGTCTCCTTCATCATCATCATGGTTGCCTGCGCCAACTACCCCATCGACTACTCCGCCGTGACCAGCTCCACGCTGATCAAGACCATCGAGCCCATCAAGCTGTTTGCCGGCCCTCCCCCGGACCAGTACCAGCAGCAGGCTTACGGCTTCGCCGGCCAGTTCAACGGCATCAACCAGATGGTGTACAGCTACGGCGGTGCCCTGCTCTTCATCGCCTTCCTGGCTGAGATGCGCCACCCTTGGGACTTCTGGAAAGGCATGCTCTGCGCCCAGACTTTCATCTGCGTCGTCTACATCTTCTTCGGAGCCTTTGTCTACGGTCATTACGGACAGTACTCTGCTTCCAACATCAACACCGTCATCCAGCCCTTTAGCCTGCAGACGGCGAACAACGTTCTGGGTTTGGTTACCGGAGCCATCGCTTGTCGTAAGTATTCTGTGACTCTCATCAAATACCTACAAGAACAGTATCTAACGTCTTCTCCTAGTCATGTACATGAACGTCGGCATGAAGACTGTCTACGTCGAAGTCTTCCAGGAGATTCTCGGCCTCCCCCCGATCACGACCCGCCGCGGCCGCTGGCTGTGGTACGCCCTGGGCCCCCTCTACTGGGCCCTCGCCTTTGTCGTCGGTGCCGCCGTCCCCAACCTGAACGGCATCTCCGGCATCGTCGGCGCCCTCCTCATCCTCAACTTCACCTACACCTTCCCGGCCTTCCTGTACATTGGCTACCGCGTCAAGGTGGACGCTGCCCTGCCTGGCGAGGGTTTCGACCCCGTGACGCGCGTGACTACCCGCCACGACTCTGGCTGGAAGCGCTGGAAGCGCGGATTCATGGTCAACTGGCACGTCAACATCATGAACATCATCTACTTCCTCGGCGGTCTGGTCTGCTCGGGCATGGGCTCGTGGGCCGCCATTGAGGGTCTCATCCAGATCTTTGGACCCGGAGGTACTGTCGCTACTTCTTTTGGCTGCGCGGCGCCTGTGTAAATATACTTTAATATGCTCGTATATAAATGAGAGCTTAGATACCACTTTATATATTCAATCAAAAGTTTATGATACAGATTGCAACTTCCTACAATCTTCAACTTCTTAGGTCACGCTGAATGAGTTTGAATTTTTGGGTCATTGTATTCTGACGTTTGAATTGGGTCATGCTATGGAAAATCGTGCTGATTATCTTCGTTCTTTCAAATTCAAAGCGGAAGTCAAGCGATTCTGGCCGGCAGGCGTGGTATTTCAGCTGAAGTCTGTGCCGGCACTGCATATACGAGCAATACGATGAGTTTATTTAGACGTGACTTTGGAAGTGTATCACGTGTATGCTGGCTCATCCGAAAGAGGGGAAAGGTAGTAAGCGCATCCGTATTTCGAAACAAGCTGTTCTCAGGTACATGGTGTTATTACAGATGGGAACTAGAAGAGTAGGGGTAGATATTGGTCAAACAAAGAGCTTCATGTATTAGGACCGTTATTTAGATCCCTACTTCGTACACAATATACAGACTATACAACCTTTCCACATAACAATAAATGGCATGAATCTCCAGTTCCATCCGGCATATGAGTCAAACAAATTCCAAACTCCATCCAGATGATTTGAAATACCAAGGGGCATATACACTTATACTGTAACCCCCCTTTGCCCAAGCAAACCAACCCCGACCCAACCAACCCAATCAATTCCTCAAAACTATCATGCTCGGTATCTTACTACTATTTTCTACCTCGAATCATCCACCTACTGCTCATGACTCAAAGTTCATAGGACACGTGTTGAGTGTGGTGCTCCAGTCATACACCCCCGGATCCACAATCGAGCACCAGTCCTGGCTGAGATCCATCTGGAAGTCAAAGTCGCTGAACGTGCTGTTGAGGAAGTCATTCGAGCTGAATTCGATTACGTTTCCGGGCGTGGGTATGTAGTACGGGTCCCCAGACATGTCCTTTGGTTGCAGGGAAGAGAGTGCGATGGAGGAGAAAGCAGAGTTGGAGTCCGGCAAGGACGAGGTATGGTTGGTGCCATCGGCAATGCTATTTGTGTTGATGGCGGAGGCATCGAAAGTAGGGTTTGGGTTGCTATTGTTGAGAGTAGTGTCGTTTGCGTCTGGGGCTCGTCCCTGGCTGATACGCAAGCGTCCGAAATACGGCACCACGAGGGCAAAGTCCTCCTGTGCGGAGTACGTGCCCATGCCAGCAGCCACCAGCGTCTCGAGCACCTCGGCGGCTTGCTTGGCGACGGTGCAGTCCAGTATGGCGTTTGTCTTGCGCAGCTCGCGAATCAGCCTGTCGATGAGCGCCCACTCCTCGGCGTGTTGTGTAAGCGATGCCGGCGATGATGACATTGTCGACGAGGCCGAGGACGCCTCTGTACCTGACGCAGCGCCGGGTGTCAAGATGCCCAGGATCAGGGCAATGGCCGAAGTGAAGATGATAAAGTCCATAATCTCGCACTGGATGACCTCCGACTTGGGCGAGCCTCTGAGGCGGAGATAACTCTTGATGAGGCCCCGGCAAGCTTCCATCGAGGACAGCCGGCTGTGCTCGTAGCGGCGGTCGGACCGGGCCTTGAGCATATATGGGAGGTGGATGTGCTTGAGCGTCGAGTAGTAAAAGATCTTGGCCGCCTCCTCGTGGTAGATGGATTCAGTCGTTGCCTCGGGGCCGTAGTATCCTCCGGACCACTCGGCCGGGAAGTCTTTCTTCAGGTCCTCCATGTCCTGGTCGAGCTGCACGGTGACGGCGTACGAAGCTGCGGGCGAGCTTTGGTTGCGCTCGATGACGCGGCCCATGATGATGCAGAGGCGGCGATGGACTTTCTGTGTAGGACTGAGCACCTCCAAAAGGGAGGGCTCGTCTCTGGTGCCCCGGGACGTGACGGCCGAAGGGAAGCCCAGCATGATGCAGAGCTGGCGTTCCACCATCCAGGCCTGCGTCCAGAGGATCTTGCGCTGGAGGCTGGCGCTGGCATCGAGCCTGTCGAGGCCGATGAGCGTGGCGGCACTGATGGCGTGGCGGATGGCGACCCAGGACCGCTGTGGTCGGCCCATGTTGATGAGGATTTTGTGCAGCAGCAAGTAACACTGCACGGCAAGGACGCTCTCGTCAGATTCGACGGCCAGCAACACGCATGCAAAGCGGATATAGGCATCAATGAGCGTCTGGCGCGGGATGTTGGGCGATACGATGGCCCGCTTCCAGTGCCGCGGCAGCTGCTGGATGCACAGCGTGAGGAAGAGCATGGCGGAGCAAAACTCGATGCCGCGGCCCACGTTGAGGACGTGCGCAAAGTAGGCCTCGGCGGCGTCGATGGTGATGGCGTCCATGGTGGTGGGGAGGTCCGGGGCGAAGAAGTAGGGGGGCCAGATGGACCAGAACTTGTGCGAGTCCTCGAGCACGAGGCGGAGGGTTTCCGGGTCGGGGATGGGCGGCCTGAAGGTGCGGAGGGATTCCTTCATGAGGTGCAGGACGGAGGGGTCCTCGGGGTCGTCGTAGAGGTCGCCTTGGGAGTCGCGGATCATGAGGGCGTCGCGGAAGAGGTGGATCAAGGGGGCGTCTACGGAGGATATGGCGGACTTGTTGGTGACATTATTGTTGCCATTGTCGGCGGGTTCGGGAGGGCTGGAGGTGGCATCTTGGTCGAGGGACGAGGGGGAGCGGAAGGATGAGGAGCGGATGCTGCCGGACATGCTGGGGTTGCTGGGGATACTGGGATTGGTGGTGTTGCTCTGGTCACTGGGAATGTTGGCAACGGTGCCCAGGAAGCTGTTGAAGCCGGTGTAGTTGTTCAGAGAGTTGAAGTCCATGTCGTCGAGGGAGGTGTAGTCGAGTCCCTGGACCGAACCCTGGCCCGGGCCCGGGTGTAAGAGGCCGTGGCTGCGGAGCTTGTTGATGACCTGGATCGCCCTGCTGGTGATATCGGAGGCGGTATGATGCTTGGGCGACGAAGCCGAGGTGGTCGAAGCGGCCGTAGACGCCGCAACCCCCGACCCCGAACCCGGAGACTCATCGCCGGCCGGCGGGTCGATGGCATCGCAGATGCTGCCGACCAGCCCCTCGAGCTCGGCCAGGCGCCGACGCAGGGCCGCGTTATCCGCCGCCAGCTGGGCGTGGCTCAGCGACTGCGACTGCAGCTGCGACATGCTCACGGCCTCCTGCAGCTGCGACTGGCGCAGCAGCGTGTCGCCGTCGCGCGCCCGCGGCTGCTGCGCGCGGCACGGCGTCTGGTGCAGCTCGCAGCCGCGGCAGATGGAGCTGTTGGGCTCGAAGACGCACCGGACCTTGCGGCGGCGGCATTCGGCGCACGACCTGGTCCCCAGCCGCATCCGCCTCGCCGGCCGGTCGTCCATCTTTGGTTGGTTGCGTTGCAGTACGGGGCTTGTGTATCAATCAAGCAAGGCTCGGGAGGGGGCGCTTTTCGTTGGGCGATCTGTGTCTCTTCGCCTATTCGGTTGAGGTGGGCTCCTCTCGGACGACGGAGGAGGTTGTGCGCTGGCGGACCACGTAGCGGACGGTTCAACAGGCGACTCTGCAGACTCGCATCTCCATGGTCCGGGGGCATCGGCTGTCGAGACTGGAGGCTCGTCATTGGGTCGTGGTGGGAGGCGGCAGGAGATTCGCCGCTTGATTTTATGTTTAGTCGAGCTGAGAAGATGGCGGTTGCTCTTACTAAGGGAATGAGTTGGGGATGTGATTGGTTGAAGGTAGAGGTGAAGTCTAGATCCGGGGGCGGACCAGTTCGGACGAAGGAGAGGACTGGAGCTTGAAGCATGTGGCTATTTATGTGGCTATTTAAGAGGCTTCAGCCCTTCAGCTGCAACGAGATATACAAAACATTAGACTACGTATCACCGTCTTTCGAGCTTCTATAGGGCTGGGAGAACACGTTTACTGCCACATGCATCATGCATTGTCTCAGCTTGGGAGTACTAGTAGTAGCTGAGCAGCGGATGAGGCTAAACGATAATTACGAGCTTTACACGGGATCCTTCGGTAGGGAGCTTGACTGTCATCTAGACAAGCACCTTGCTTCCACTGCGCTGAACCTCACAGATGAACCACTTGAACTAGGCATGTTGATTGATTTGCTTGGAATTGGGGTGGCACTTGTAAGTGATGGCTGAGTGGCCTCTCTGATCCATGAGGCTGCGTATCCCAGCCGTGTCACCGCAACGGTCGCAACGAGTCTCCGTCTCGCCGCTCTATTGGCAGACGCCAAACCATATCTCAAGTCAAAATGGAGAATTATTGATTCCTGTGCCAGCACCTGCATGGATACGAACCTTGATGTGCGACCCCCCAGCCGAAAGACTCAGCACTAACACCAACAACACCATCGACACATCATCTCTGCCCAATCTTACCCGCCAAAGTTCGGCTTCAGTCCTTGTACCGCCTGTTAGCGGCGCGGTAGATGCTGAGCCTGCATGCCAAGCGGCTCTAGATTAACCAGCGTGGTATCATTGGACAATTGCCCTCTTTTTTCTTTTCTGCTTCCTTTGGCTGACTGACACCCCTGGTTACTTTGCAGTAGATTGGTTGGTTCGAAGCAACTCCAGGGCCTTTTTTTATCCTTCCAAGGTTTCCCGCGTCATTCGGATCGGGCGATCCGGCGGCAAGAAGAAAAAGCTGGAATCGCTGTTGCAATGGCCCGAATGGTGTTCAGCTGCGCCCTGAAGGACTGAGAGGGGGGGACGTGTTCTCTCGTTTCTTCTCAGCTCGAGCTTGTTTTCTTTCTTTTCTTGTATTCCTCTTCCTCTTCTTTCACCTTATCTCTCGTTTCTCTGCATCTTTTCCTGCCAGTCGCTCGTTTCTCTCTCTCATTGCCTGCTTGCGAGTTGCTGATGCCTCCGCGTTCTTGCTCTCTGGTTGCGTGTTTCTTCCTTGGATAGAGAGAATAGACGGCCTGCATACTGTTGGGCCTTGTACGATTTCGGTATAGATAACGAGAATGACATTGTCTTGATCGCCTCATTTGCGTAAGACGATAGATGCGTTAGCGACGACTGTGACTCAGTCTCATAAGCCCTGCTCTCTTCTACACGACGATAGACGATATTCGCCATGGCGATCCTCACACTCTCTTCCCTCCTCCTCCTCATCGGCCTCTCCAATGCCTCCTCCTCCGACAAGCGCGGCCTGGTCTTCACCCCCAACACCGACACCCCTCAGGACAACCAGATCTGGGTGCAGTCCGGCAGCGACCTGACATGGTACTACAACTACCAGTCCCAGCCCTCTCCAGCCTACACCTCTCTCTCGCAGGACCAGTTCGAGTTCGTGCCCATGATGTGGGGCGTCACGGACAACCTCAACGACACGACGTTCCTGGACCAAGTCAACGCCCTCATCAAGCAGGGCACCAACATCACGCACGTCCTGGGCTTCAACGAGCCCGACGGCTCCGCCAGCACCGGCGGCAGCGCCATCGAGCCGCGCGACGCCGCGCAGGCGTGGGTTGCCAACTTTGAGCCGCTGGGCAAGCAGGGCGTCAAGCTGGGGCTGCCGGCGACGACGGGCGGACCGGGCGGGCTGCCGTGGCTGAAGCAGTTTCTGGCGAATTGCTCGGATATCGTGAGCGAGGGGAGCAAGACGAAGACGAATTGCACGTGGGATTTCCTGCCCGTGCATTGGTATGATAACTTTGCTGGGTTGGCGTCTCTTATTGGAGAGAGGAGGGCGACGTGAGTTTCTTGCCATTGATTTTGATGTGTATCTGTATATCTGTGGTGCTCGATGTGCTGATTGAGAGAAACAGGTGGCCCAATGCTAGTATCTGGGTGACGGAGTACGCCTTTGCAAACCAGGACCTCCAGACAACGCAGGAATTCTTCAACCAGACGCTCGACTACTTTGACAAGCTGGACTACATCGGCCGGTATACTTATTTCGGCGCCTTTCGCTCCAAGACGTCCAACGTCGGACCCAACGCCTCGTTTCTGAACAATGCCGGCAAGCTGACGGATATTGGATCATGGTATCTTGGCTTTGGAGCAACAAATGTCAAGCCTACGAGTGCGGCGTCAAGAGAATTCATGTCTGGCTGGATCGTCGGGGGGGTTATACTGATAGTTGCTTGTATGAATGGGTTGTTGTAGATGGGTTGGTGATGAGTTATGATGGGAACGAAATTGGAGTCACGTGGCTTATAATGGTCATTGGAAAGGAAGTACATACACGTATATGATGGATTATTGTATCTTAATTTGGCATTTGAATAGAGAACGCACTTATATCTTGTTTGTGTCATGGTATCATGACATGTATGTATAGGTAAACAAAGTCTCATCCTCTGCATCTTCACAAGACAACGCTTCTCAACCCTCCTCAACAGCCTTCGTTCCAACCTCGGCATCTACACCCTCGGACTGGCGCAGCAGCAAGCCACCGAGGCCCCGTGTCCGAGTCCTCTCCACCGCCCCCGGATCCGCGTCCCCCAGTTGCCTCCGAAAGACGCCGCCCCGTCACCGAACGCCTCCGGCGCGACGTTTTGTGCCCGCCACAAGCCACATAGTCTCGGCACTATTCTTACTACAGCAAGTCAAGTAAACTCTATGTTCATAACGAATGTACCGAGAATTACTCCCTTTCAGAACCTTTTGACAGCACATGGTGATTCCATTCCATGCAAATACCTCATCATCACCGCCTCTAGAGCCTTGGCGAATTCATTCCAGCATCTATCCCGACCAACCAAATCCGAATCCCATTATCTCTCTTCCTCACTCTTCCACAGCTCTACCAGAAAGACGAAGCGATAAAGTCGCCACTCCGCACCAATCTCAAAGCCACCAAAAACGCCAAGATCCCGCCATAGAGTCAACACGGTTAAGCCTATACCTCTTGGCAGAACAATGCGAACTCGTTATTGGCTGATTGATCGAAAAGACATGGTTAACGAGCATAACCTTAAACGACGTGCTGGGTCATCATCATCCTTGGCGAATGAAGAGCCAAGAATCGAATGGAACGAGAGTCTCCCTTTTGCCTTTGATCGTTGATTGTGAGGGACTGGGGAGTACGCGGCGCCAAGATGAGCTGGGGATTGGGGGTCTTGGCTTTTTCCTGGAGGCGGAATGATGTGATTGACTGAATTTGACCTGTCATGACTTGTGTTGTCAAGGCTGTTGACAATGTTTCCTCCGGGATTCATACTTTGGACTGTCTCAGATGTCTTCAAGCCAAATGTCGACTTAGAGTAAGAGACCAAAGAACAGCGCAGCGTAACAACCGACAAACCACAACTGGAAGTCGTAACACACAGCGTCCATCTGAACATACAACTCCTCCCATACCAATCCTCAAACCCGCCTCAACACCATCCCCAAGCCTCGTCTTCACCGGCCCCCCCCGCCAAGGCAAACTAGACCCGCCATACCCAAGCCATCTTTCATCCACCAGCAAACCAGCGTCCTCCTCCTCGTCATGAACAACGACAAAGTACCTCCAACTCTCCGACAGGAGTCTTCCTCCTTAAAGGTCACTCCTTGATCGAATCAAAGTACTTATACCCCGTTCCTCCCCCGCGTTTTCATCCGTTGCACATGCCCTACCCAAACTTTCTTCAAACGTTCAGAATTATCTGGGGAAGAAAGTAAAGTCCTTCTTTGTTACAACACAAGTTCTCTTTTGGTATACAAGATTTCGGTAAACAAGAAAAAGAAACTCTGTTGATAGTATACAATAGAGTTACTTTACAAACCTTGCTTTTCCTGGACAGCACTCGTTCCATGCCCCAAGCCTTATCGTGGCCAATAACTCGTTCAGCCTTTGCCATTCGCTAGCCTCACTGCAACTTCGTCTGATGGCTGAGTTCCCAAAGCACCCCTTCTTGCTCACCGTCGAGGAGACAGCGCAGGCTCTCGGAACCAATGTCGACAGGGGACTTACCTCGGAGCAGGTCTCCGCCTTGCAGGCGAGATACCCCAAGAATGAGCTCGACGTCGGCGGGACCATTCCTTGGTACAGCATCCTGGCCAAGCAGATGCTCAATGCCATGATCATTGTAAGTGGCACTCTTACTTGACCCCATCCCCCTTGACCCCCCTTTTCGTAGATATTTGTTGTGCTGAACAAGGAGTTTCGTATCTAGGTCCTCGTCTTTGCCATGGCTCTCAGCTTCGGCATCCAGGATTACATCGAAGGCGGAGTCCTCGCCTGCGTCATCTTCCTCAATGTCACCATCGGCTTCTGGCAGGAATACCGCGCAGAGAAGCGCATGGATGCTCTCCGCGCCCTGTCCTCGCCCAGTGCCATGGTGCTCCGTGATGGTCACACCCAGGTGATCCCCAAGTAAGTCTCCTCTCCTAAACAATATCCCGTCTCTATTCAGATTGGATGTTGCTGTCTTCTTGTTGTAAGGATCAATGTTAACGTCTGTGAACAGTTCGGAAGTCGTCCCAGGAGACATCATCCTCCTCAAAATGGGCGACACCGTCCCCGCAGACCTTCGCCTCTTCGAAGCCATGAACCTCGCCTGCGAAGAAGCCCAGCTCACAGGCGAATCTATCCCCGTCGAGAAAATCACCTCCATTCCCACCACCCATGGACCCGACAACAGCAGTGGCAACACCAGCAACCCGAGTGGAGATGCAACAAACATGGCCACCTCGGAAGACGACCTCGGCATCGCCGACCGGACAAACATGGCCTACGCAACAACCACCGTCCAAAAGGGCCGCGGCAGGGGCATCGCCGTCGCGACCGGCATGGCCACCGAGGTCGGCAAGATCGCCGCCTCCTCCTCCGCCAAGAAGCACCACCGCAAGGCCGGCCGCTCCATGAACTGGCGCAAGTACGGCAAGGCCCAGCCCGTCGTCGGCCTGTCCAAGCGCATCTACGACGTCGTCGGCAAGTTCCTGGGGCTGACCGTCGGCACGCCGCTGCAGAGAAAGCTGTCCGCGCTGGCGTACGTGCTGTTTGGGTGTGCCGTCGGGCTGGCGCTGGTGGTGTTTGGCGTGAATCGTTTCAATATGCGGCATGAGGTGATCATTTATGCGACGTCCTTGGGCATTGCCATCATTCCGGAGTCCCTTGTTGCGTATGTTTCCCTCGTCTCACCACTCCCCTGTTTTCTCACTTATACTGACGCTTGATTAGTGTCCTGACAATCACAATGGTCGTCGCCGTAACCGTCATGCGCAAAGCCAACGTCGTCGTCCGCGACCTCTCCGCCCTCGAAGCCCTCGGCGGCGTCACAAACATCTGCTCCGACAAAACCGGCACTCTGACCGAAGGCGCCATGATTGTCCGCCAAGCCTGGATCCCCTCCTCTCACATCTACACCGTCCACGACTCGCAGAACCCGAATGATCCCACGAGGGGCCGCGTCCTGTACACTCAGGCCAACAAAGACGAGGAGAAGCAGCAGCAGCAACAACAACCCACGGACGAAGCGAACAAGGAGAAGCAGCCGCAGCGCGACTACGACAAAGAACGCAGCTCTGCCGTCCTCAAGTTCGACGTCCCGGATGAGAAGCTCAACCCCTCGCCTCCTCAACAGGCACCGAGTCCCGAGTCGGAAACGAAGATGACGGACCAACTCCGTGCTTTCCTGCTTTCGTCTGCGCTCTGCAACCTCGCCACCGTGCGCTTCGATCAAGATGAAGAAAAGTGGCAGACGACTGGTGAGCCGACAGAGATTGCACTCCAAGTCTTTGCCCATCGCTTCGGACACGGCAAGAAGAGCCTCGAGGGGCAAGGCTGGGAGCAAGTCGCCGAGTTCCCCTTTGATAGCTCCATCAAGCGCATGTCGGTCATCTACAACGCTCCCGAGGACGATAGCAACAGCAGTCTGGTTGCCAGCGATTCTCGCAATAGCCTTGTATTCACAAAGGGCGCCGTTGAGCGCATCCTCGACTTGTGCGCCTTTGCAGGCATTGGCAAGGATCAGCAGCCCATGACAGACGAGCTCAAGGAGACGGTCCTCAGCCAAATGAATTCCCTCGCATCACAGGGCCAACGCGTGCTTGCCGTCGCATACAGACCGTGGAAAGGAAGATTCACTGCCAAGCAGTCAAGCTCTAGCTCTGCCGAGGAAGACAACAGACTGCGCTCAGAAGTCGAGCAGAACCTCATCCTCGTCGGTCTCGCCGGCATCTACGATCCTCCCCGTAGGGAGACCAAGGCTTCCATCAGCGAGTGCTCGCAGGCCGGCATCAAAGTCCACATGCTCACAGGCGACCACCCGGAGACGGCCAAGGCCATCGCCAAAGAGGTTGGCATCATCCCCAGGAACCTCAGCATCCTGCCCGAAAACGTCGCCGCTTCCATCGTCGTCAAGGCAACAGAGTTCGACCGGATGACAGACGCCGAGATTGACGCCCTGGAAGAACTCCCGCTCGTCATTGCCCGCTGCGCCCCAGACACCAAAACGCGCATGATCGAGGCCCTCCGCCGCCGCGGCGCCTTCATGGCCATGACGGGCGACGGCGTCAACGATGCGCCCTCGCTCTCCCGCGCAGACGTCGGCATCGCCATGGGCTCCGGCTCCGACGTCGCCAAGTCCGCCGCCAAAATCGTCCTCACTGACGACAAGTTCAACTCCATCGTCGCCGCCATCCGCGAAGGCCGCCGCATGTTCGACAACATCCAAAAGTTCGTCCTGCACCTCCTCGCCTCCAACGTCGGCGAGGTCATCCTGCTCGTCGCCGGCCTCGCCTTTGTCGACAGCATGGGCTTCTCCGTCTTCCCCGTGTCTCCGCTGCAAATCATCTGGATCAACATGGCGACGTCGTCCTTTCCCGCGTTTGGGCTCGGCCGTGAGGCTGCCGCGCGCGAGGTCATGCGCAAGGCACCCCAGAGCAAAAAGCGAGGCGTCTTCACCAACCAGATCATCGTCGACATGATTGTGTACGGCCTCCTTATGGGTGCGTGTACCCTGTGCACGTTCTGCATCGTTATCTACGGTGCCAACGACGGGAACCTCGGAACGGACTGCAACACGCACTTCTCTGACTCGTGCGTTCCCGTGTTCCGCGCTCGAGCAGCGACCTTTGCGCTCCTGACGTGGCTCATCCTCATTTCCGCGTGGGAGTTCAAGAGCCTCCGCCGGTCCATGTTCCGACTCAATCCCGATGACGATAGCGTCTTCCCCTTCTTCAAGGACGTATACAGCAACCGGTTCCTGTTCTGGTCCGTCGTCATCGGCGGCTTGTCCGTCTTCCCCGTCGTCTACATCCCGTTCCTCAACACTCGATTCTTCAAGCACACGGGCATCTCCTGGGAATGGACGCTCTCCGTGGGCTTCACGCTGGTCTATGTCACGGGCGTCGAGCTGTGGAAGCTGGCCAAGCGGCAGTTTCGGCTGCTGGAAGACGGTCCCGTACAGAGGGGCGCCTGGGGTCAGGGAGGGCCGGAAGATGACGGACCCAGATTCAAGAAGGCATTTTCCATATCGAGCTTCAAGACATGGGTGTCCCTTTCGAGGAGAGAAACGGGAGATAGTGCGATGCGGGCAAACACGCAGGCTCGCTCGCCTGTATGAGGGAGCGATTCATTGCCGATGCGGTTCGATTTGTGTGTCGATATGCCTGCCTATGATCTGACCATTTGCCTGCGTTTCATTCATTTAGCAGCGTCCATAAACGAGTCACTTCGAGTTCCGCCACAGCATAGGAGATGTGAAATTCTTCCGCCCCATCACATCCCAGAGAGGCATCATTTTGCATCATGTATGTAGCTTCAAGGGGCTGAAGATGAGAGATATACCCAGCAAGTATTGTATGTATGAAGCAGCGATCATTACCTCTTCAGAATGATAAGAGAAGGAGGAGTATGTAGTAATTTTTGTCAGGACATCTGCGAATTGAATGCTAGTCAGCACAAAGTGACGAAAATGCACAGCCTTTGGACCCCAAGAGTGTCGTGTTTCTGCCCTTTACCAGTCGTCCTGAACAAAAAGGCACGTGTGGCCCAGACCCAACAATCCGTGCAGAGTCCAGAAAAGCGGTAATTTATTGCAGTGGGACAGATGCCCTGGTCGATGTGGGAGGAGACGCGGGGGCCATAGCCACGAAATGGAACAGTCACACGCGGCCATTGGCTGGTGGGAGCCGAAGAGACAGGGATCAATGGACGGGGTTGATCTCTCGGTGGGACAGGGACAAGGACAAGAACAAGACGGGGGATAAACGACTCCATTCACATACCACCCTGCGAGCTGTCACGACTGACAGCTGCGGGCGAATGCTATGCCAAAATATCAAAAACCATGTGCCCAATCGCCTCCTCCTTTCACTCGCTCACACACGCCATGATCCAAAACACCTCTTGCTGCTTCCATATCCAATATCCACAGTAACTCATAATGCGAAACAAAACTCAAGAAGGGAAAAGGAATAATCAAGAAAGCCAACGAGTCACATTACTCATCAGTCAGGTTGTAAATCTTCTGAATGTCTGCGAGAATCTTCCTCATGTCGATGTTGAGGTCGGTAATGAGGCCGTCCTCGAAGCCAAAGACCCAGCCGTGGACAATGGGATATCGGTTGTGCTCAAACGAGTACTGCACGTCGGCCGTCTTGATGACGTTGCGGCACTGCTCAAAGACGTTGAGCTCGACCAGGCGGTCGTAGCGCTTCTTTTCGTCGGTGATGGTATCCAGCTCCTTCTCGTGGAGCCGGTAGACGTCGCGGATGTTGCGCAGCCACGGGTTGAGCAGGCCCATGTCCTTGGGCGTCATGGCGGCCTTGACACCGCCGCAGCCGTAGTGGCCGCAGACGACGATGTGTTTGACCTTGAGGTGGCGCACGGCGTAGTTGATGACGCTCATGACGTTGAGGTCGGTGCTGATGACCATGTTGGCGATGTTGCGGTGCACAAAGGCCTCACCGGCCTCGAGACCGGTGATGGCCTCGGCGGGAATGCGCGAGTCACTGCAGCCGATCCAGAGATACTCAGGCGACTGGCCGGCAGACAGGCGGGTGAAGAAGTCGGGATCCTGCTTGAGCCTCTCCTCGGCCCATTTCTTGTTGTTCTCAAAGAGGCGCTGGTGGTTCTCGCGCAGGTAGCGCTCAACGTCATGTTCGTTTTCAGGCATGCCGGGCAGACGAGGGGGGATCTTTGCGTTTGTTCCAGAGGCAGCACCAGAGACAGCACCGGGGCCAGAGCCAGAAGCAGTGTTGGAGGAGGAGGATGAAGAGCAGTATCGGTTTCCTCCAGTGGCAGGGCGGCGAGCGGGAGAAAAGGTCAGCGATGAGGGCCGGCCAGAGCTGGGACGAGAAGCAGCCAGACGCAAGGGTTGGCCTCCAATCCGCGACGGGAGCATATCGTGTCGGTCGAAAGGAGTCTGGTCTGGTTTCCGAGGAGGAGGAGAGACGAGTCGAGCAGAGCAGGGGGTGTTGGTGTGGCGATGGCTGATTGGTACGCAGCGGTATCGACCGGGATTTGTTTGGGGGCCCTGTTCGGAACCGCGGGCTTGGGAGATAAAGAAGGATCAGTCGGAAAGGCCTTGCTCGGGTCGAGTTGACTCGTGTTGCCTTGCTGAGCGTGTACTGGCTGGATGGCTGGTATCTGTACCTACCTTGAATCAGAGCCGTTGAACGGGCTCCAGCTGCACCAGTACTAACCCAGTACTGATCTATCTGTAACACTGTCTCAGCACCAGCAGCTGTACTGGGAACTGCGCTCCGTATCCGTACCTACCGAGGTTATACCTGACGTGCGGCCGTGATGACGGTGACGGTGACGGTGACTGCGTCCTGCAGGTAATCTGTAATCTGTCAGATTCGATGCAAGTGCATCTGCCAAAGCGCAAGTCTATCGCCGGGCCGGAACTGGAGTCAAAAAGGATCCCGTCCGCTCTCTTGTTGGGGCTTGTGCTCACTCACACTTCACACAAAAAAAATATTCAGGTGGGAGGGGTAATGGAACAAACAGGATTTGGACTGACTGACTGCAACCAGCTTTGTTCGGTGGTTCTGGAAGAGCGCCGTCGTCGGTGCTTTATCTGATAGCCGATTCGATCGAGCCGCTGGAGATGCGAGATTTCCAGATTTTTGGGGAACCCCCGCGGGTCTTGATTTTAGGCTCGAATTTATGTTGAGGTGACAGGCCTTGTTTTTGCGTCCATCTCAGATTTTGCTCGGCTATCCCAGCAGACGCCAGATTGCCAGATCCGCGAATAAGCGGCAGTGAGATCTGGGCCGGTTCCGGCCAGCGGCGCAGATCCGATGGAGACGCTCCATCTTGCCGTCGATTTTGTTGGATTTTGGCGTGGGACTAGCAGCAGAAACTGGGAAGATGGCGAGAAGGCGAGTTGTCATTGATATTTCTAATCGAATCCTTGGGTGTTTTTCCTGACCGCAGATGACTCAAAATCCCAAGACAAGGCGGTGGTTGATGGCACTATTCCGTAGGCGGTCAATCTTTTCTGCCTCAAGTACCTAATGATGTCATTGAAGCTATCGGGTATAGGTAGTATTCTGATATCAACGCCACATGCAGACTCCAACTCCAACCTCACAGAGAACGCTTAAACCAGATATAATCGTCCAGCTCCGGCTCCAGCATGATGCCAACCCATTGCACAACGTCCCCCTCCAACCGAAACTCAACTCTCATCTTCGACCCCAGCCCCCCCCTCAGGTACCGCTTCTGGCCAACAAACGTGGTTTGTCCGGCGACGTGATCCAGCGCCAATGTAAAGCCATTCAGCCGGTCCGAGAAGTCGATGACTAGCTGACCCGTCTGTGCATCAATGTCCGCCCTGATGCCTCGCCATCCCGGGCTCCAGTACTTCCCCTGGTACGTGTGCAGCGGTATCTTTTGTCCAGCGCTCTCCGGGCCAGGTTTCTGCTTGCTCGCCTTTGCCCTTGCGGGTGCTCCTTTGGCGTTAATCCTTATGTTGGCTTTTTTGTAGAATGCATCGCTGTAAAGCCCACTGCGAGACAGCTGATGTATCTTCAGACTCGGCGCGACCCGTTGGTGGTATGGTATCTCCATCACCTCATCGACGAACTCCTGCATCAGCAGGTCGCCCGCAGCGGCCCCGCTCCCTGTGTTTGCAAAGATGGTGGCCCCAAATTTGAGAGCTGGCACGAAGAAGCTCGTCGCGGACGATCCGACTGTGCGTCCGCCATGGGCAACGACCATGAATCCGCGGTAGTGAAACACCTCCCACCCGGCCGCACATACCGCGAGGGATCTGTACGGGAGCAGTGTTTCATAGTCCTGGCTGACAATGGACCGCGGCCGGATGAGGCCGTTGTACACTTCCTCTGTAAACGGTGGCTCCCGATTCATCAAGGCCCGGATATACTTGATGTAGTCGTCGACGTTGGTGACGATGGAGCCCGCGCCCTGGGCTGCCGGACTGTCGACCTTTGGAAAGCAATGATACTCTGATCTCTCGGGATCCCACCAGTATCCGGGGCTGATATAGTCTCCCAGCCCTCTCTGCCGCGCGCGATTCAGCCACGGGTTGCTCTGCGTCATTCCCAGCGGGTGGAAGATGTGGCCCTCGAGAAAGTCGGCGAAGCTCGTGCGGACCTTGCGTTCGACGAGGTACGATGCTACAGTGTACATGAGACTACAGGGCATGTGCCTTGACCGAAGGGGAGCTGCCGTTGGCAGGTTCTGCACATTCATCGTTATGGTGTAAGGATTGTCCTTGTAGGCGGAACCGAAGCCGATATGCGCATCGTCGTTACTGACAGAGCCTAGAGAGTGAGCGGCCTTCACATCAAGCGGAGAAGCAAGGTTCAGATATCGTGCTATACAGCTAGGAGCAGAGAACAACTTACGGCGCCATCCCCGTCCTGTGACTCAAGATGTCCTCAACAGTAACCCCCGTGTGCTTCTTCCCAGGCATTCTAAACTGCCCCGGCAACAGCTCGGTCATCACCGCGTCATACCTGACGTCCGGGAACTGGTCGTCGGCAATGAGCAGCGCCACGGCCGCGGCCGTGAGGGACATGGACGCCGGGCCAATGTCGAAGAGCGTCTGCGTGGTCATCGGCTTGCCCACCGACGGCGGGTTCTGGGGCGTGAGAGAGAGCATGCCAAAGGCCCTGGAGGCGGTCGCCTTTCCGTGGACGATGGCGACGGTGAGGCCTGGGATGTGGAGTTGGTTGAGAATTCTCATGGTGCGGGTGTGAAAGCTGACGGAGTTGAAGAAGTCCATCATCTTCGCCCCTGGCGGTTCACGTTGCGCCATGGTATGTATATGTAATATGCGCTGGATGATGGATATGTTTGGTGTCTCTTTGGGATGATGTGTACCATGATGAAGCAGGAAGATGACAAAACTGGCTTTGGATGCTAAAATCCAATCTTCAAACAAGTTGTGAAGGAGCTGTGCAAAGGTGTATCTGGAGTGACGAGCTGCGTCCAGCTTTCCTTGTCTTCCTTCCATCAATTGACAACTTCCCCGGCGCCACTGAAGGCAGGAAAGAAGTTGACTGGCAACAACCTGAAAGTTGCTTATGCTCTAACTGGCCGCTTTCAAACATGCCCATGACTCTCAGGTACAGTATGGTGTTTACTTACAGCTAACATTGAAAGTGATATCGCGATGTTGCGGGTTTTGGCGTTATACTTACATCTTGTCCGTCAGTCTGTTCATTGCCGGTAGGTTACGAGAGGCACGCAAGGCAGGTACCTACCTGGTACGAACACTTCATGTTTTTTTTCACAGCATTCTAAACCTCACCTGAGATCCTGTTCCCATTAGCACACCTTTTTTGGATACGTAAAAAAAGAAAAAAGAAAATAAAATAAATAATAAAAAAATAATAAAAAATAAAAAATGAAATAAAATAAAAATAAAAAAAAAAAAAAAAAAAAAGAAGAGAAAAGAAAGAGAGGGGGCCTTCAAGGCATATTCTTTCACAGCATTGTTAGCCTCACTTCGAATCCTGTTCCCATTAGCACACTAGAAAGGAAAAATCTTTTTACTCCCTTCTTTTCGCTTTCTTCTATGTAAGATCACAAGGGCTATGGTTAACTCTTCGCAGGATGTTGCCTTCACATATCCGTACTACAGGGACATACGAGTTGTCACATTGCGCGTATATAGTCTAGAGAATTGTAACAAACTGAAAGTATATGGCACATCATGGCTATAAGAGTTTTAGAGATAAACACAAACTATGCCTCGTAGAAAGTCAGCAGAAAGAAGGGGGAAAGGAGACATATTTCAACCGCCTGTTCGCCACATGAACAGGCGAGTTGGAGCAATTCATACCTTATTTAAGAAACACCAGCTCTCATATAGGTCCATCACCCCGTCTCTCAAGACAGCAAAGGTCTAATCCAAGTAGTGCATCATTCACATCCACTGAGAATTCATATCCCCAGACTTTCAAAGAATGATTCATTATACACGCTATGAAACAATACATATAGGCCCTTCAAAACATCCAAGAAACCCTATCGCTAAGAAACCCGGATATAGTACATACCTTACACAAGGGTACATATTATCTCTATATACGTTCATGCCATACATACTCCAAACAAATGAAAACTATAACCAAAGACAAAAGGAACAAAGGAAGGAGCAGGCAGTAGCAAGTAGGTAAGTAGTGAAAACATCCAATATCCCTTCCCATATCCATACCCAAATATCCCTTCCAATTCCCAATCAGGCCGTTGACGTTCGTTTCAAAGGCCCAGATCTTCCGTTCCCATCCGTTTCTAAGCCGTCCATTACCATGTTAAATACCTTGCCAATATTTCCTCCACCGTCAATAATTCCAGATAGATCCGTCGCGACTCCTCGTACATCGCAAACCTTGTCCGCCTCTTCCTCAACAGGGTATAAAGATGCCTAGTAAACAAAAGAAATAGGACAAGATGCGTGGGGTCATCATAAGAAGAGCAGTCTGCTCCCCTTATGCTGCCCAACGATGACTGTATAGTGACAAAGGGACTCTAGCATGGTCTGTACCATAGCCATGCGTCTTCTTTGAAGCAAAGAACAAATCACATGGCCTAGTCCTCCACGCATAGGTAAATAGTGAAGATATAGGGCCGAGTCCGAGGTGACCCTGGTGCGGTGCCTCACACATGAGAGCGCATCATGAATGTCAGAAGAGCGCATCCAACACTTGCATCATGCATAGTCAAAGGCGATGACGGCAAGCACTGAAACACGACTCGGCACTTGGATAAAATGACCAGTCGCTGACCTGGATGATGATGCGCAGCATCAGACACCGCGACTCCATATTTGCGCTCCCGCATGGCCAGTTCCTGATTGGGTAGGCGAAGAGGCTGTAGGGGGGTGGGAGGGATGGACGCTGATTGGACCTGACGAGGCCACATGACTTATACCCAAGACCTCCCAAAATGTGTTCATGGGATTCCGTGACTCCTGCAAAGAGAAGTGAAAGGACATGTGGTAGCGATCGCTTCTGACCGAAATAACAGGGAATTGTTGCTTGGTCCCCGTCATGCCCGACAGACAAGTGTTATGCTTGCGAGAGTCATGAAGCGGATGCGGCACAGGGTAGTCCCTATGTAAGCCCTTAAGCTCGCGGCGGCCCGTCGCCGTATGCAGAAGCGCCATATACAGATGATGCTCCCGTGGGCTGCTGAGAAGTGAGGCCCGGGTAGCCACTGTCCGTATAGGCCGCAGGCGTGGTGTCCCAACGAGGAGGCGTTGCGGTCGCAGGATGGTGGCTGATGGGCGTGTGCAGCCCAGTGGTGCCGTAAGGGCTGGCAGCCACTCCTCTCGTGTCATATGCCGAGACGGCTGGCAGCTGCGACGTGCTGGTGTTTATGCGCATGGACGACGGTTGCTGGGGGCTGTGGTGGGTGCGGAGCGTGGGACTGAGACCCCGAGCCGCGCTGGTCGAGTATGCCGAGGCGGGCCCCCAAGACGCCTGTGACCGGGGCGACGGGATGGCGTCGTGATGTGCCGAGCTGTAGGCAGAGTGCATCGGGTACTGGCCGTGGGCATCGGCATGCTGCGAGGACAAGCCGTGCTGTGTCCCGAGGCCATGGTGGCTGGGCGGCGCGAATGACGACGTGCTCACGGGGGTCAGGATGCTGCTGGGGCTGGCGCTGTATTTGCCAATGATCTTCTTGAGCGCTGGCTCGAGCGCCGTCCAGGGAAACACCTTGACGTCCTTCTCAATGTTCCGCGGCTTGGGGTGAGGGAAGGCCATGATGATCTTGAAGAACTCCTCGCTCTCGGGCTTGGCCTTGGAGACGGTCGACGGGTGGAATCCCTCCAGGTTGCGGCGGATGCGGTTCTTCTCCTCGACGCTGAACCGGTTCGGCGCGGCCACGAGCTGCTCGAGGAGGTGGATGGTGTCGACCGAGGTGACGTAGCACTCGGACTTTTCCGCCCACCAGATGCACGAGATGCAGATGCTGTTGGTGGGCCTCTCATTGACGGCCACGGGCTTGAAGCTCACGCTCAGCACGGCGCCGTTCTGGGCCTTCTTGAACATGACGATCCGGCGGCGGTTGTCCCACTCCTCTTGGGTCCAGTCTCTGGCCATCTCGCTGAGCTTGCCGTGAATCTTCAGCACCGCTTTGCTGGTGTACAGGGACATGGGGTGGTAGGAGCCATTTCCGCTGGCGTTGGTGATGGTGCTGGTGCGCACCAGCTGAGGCGTCCCGCTGTTCCCCGACGACGGGATGGGCAGATGGTGTCCGGCAGACCGGCCGGAGATGGCAATGGGGTCAAACGACGTCGACGTCCTGGCCAGGGTGCTGCCGTAGCCGCCTCCGCCCCATCCCCCGTGGGAGCGCCGGTGGTGCTGGTGGTAATGCGGGTCGGTAAAGCTGCTGCTCGCTCGGTACGTGGTGGTGATCATGTCGGTGTTGTTGGCTTGAGGGAATGCGTTGCCGTACTGGCTCTGCTGCTGCGGATACTCATACGTATTTGTAGCCGCTGAAGACGTCCCCTCCGTCTTCGGTGAGGGACTCACCTGATCCAGCTCGGCAGCAGGTGTCGTAGTGTCATCTTTGGGGAGCTTGTCCGTCCGCGTGATGTCGTCCTCGGACCCTTCCAGGTACTGGAAAGTTCCTACAAACGTCGTCCGCGACATGTCGCCTCCCCCAAGGGCTTCGACGACAAATGACAGTGGCACGCTGTGGTTGCTGCCTGTGACCACTGGCTGCGGCGCATCTACACTGCACGAGTATACAAAGCCACTGCTGTCCAGTGGATCGCGGGTAAGGCTGACGGGGCACTTCATCGTCCCAAAGAGCATAAAGGGCTGCGTGGAAGAAAGACTGAAGAGGTCCTCAGAGGACGAAATCTTCAAGTGGACCTTGGTACCGGAGATGCCTGCCAGGGGTTCGCAAGAGACAACGCTGAGGCCGGGCGGCATATACTGTGCTACCCCGTTGTTGCCTGCATATGCCTGCTGGTTCATCTGGGCGAACTTTTCGGTCTGCTGGGCTGAGAAGGACTGAGTAGAGTACGGTCCATAGGTGGCATCCTGATATCGCGTAGTATCGTAGCCTATCCAGACGCCATCGTAACGGCCTTGTCAGCTTGTGCTCACTGACGTTTCCTTGCAACCCCTTTCGCATCCTGCGTGGATGAAACCATCACTGGACACTCACCATTCATGGAAGGTAGCTGAGCTTTGCTATAGGCAGCCATGCTGAACTCGCTCGGCGGGGAGTCCCGGTTTGGATCCCCCCTTTGTGCTGCCTGAACGGCTTCCTCGTATCTAAGAGTCAGGGTTTCTGGCGACCCAAACTCGTCGTCGACGTCGACAATGATGGGTTTGTTGGTTACGAAGCCCGGCTTTGGATTTCGTTTGCTGTTAGCGTTGTTCTTCTCCTCTTGCGATCAAGAACAGTCTCATCAACTTGACTTTGCCTGCTCCTTGATGCATACAACCAACGCAAACAAGAATAGCGGGATCAAGTTGAGTCAAAAGACAATCAAAATCTCTCGTCGTTCTTTGTTCGATGGCGACAACAACGGGTTGATATTGGAACAAAGTCTAGGACGCGACTCACCTCGAAGAGTCTGTAGGATGGAGACTGGAACTTGGCAGTAGACATGAAGTAGAAAGAGGGAGCAAAAGGCAGTTGGAGAGGGATTGCTTAAAGAAGGAAGTAGAGACTGCAGGTCCTCTTGTCTTAGCTAAGAGACCGTGGGCGTGTAGTAATGTTTTAAACCAGGTCTTGACGAGGAGGTTATCCGGCAAGGACCACGGAGCCAGGATGGGGCCCCTTCCTTCGCGTAGCTTGGGCTCGGAGATTTGATATGCGACAACCCTCAGAGGCAAGGATGGAGAAAAGGCCTACACCTCTTGACTGAACGTGACTTGTAGACTGAAGCTGCCCTCGTGAGTGACTTGTTGTTTTTTCTTCGCTCGAAGGGGTGGGGTGTAAGTGAGACACTCGCTGGGTCCGAAGGAATCTTACAGGAGTATCAGAAGGTGCTAGCAATGGTGGAGAGGTCTTCCGACTGTCACAGAGAACCAGTTGCATTCCAAAAAAGCAAAGAAGAAGACGAATCGGGATATGCTGCGAGGGAGAAAGTTGCCTTCCCTTGCCCGCGGTATGCTTGCGAAGCCCAAGGGCTAATGGTCGAGAAGCAGGGCAGCGGTGACCAGGGTGATGGCAAATGCCGAGAAAAGCGATAGCAAAACCTCAAAAGGCAGCAAGAGAGGTGCTTCGTTGAGGCGAAGAGCGGATGGTAGCTTCCGTATGTTCCCGGCTGAGGCTGTTGGCGAGCAAGCTATTGAACAAATGGCAGATGACGAACAAGACCTCGTCATGAGTTTCACTATCGTTCGATCGAAAAGAAAAGTCAGCATTCTTTGCATCCACTGGTAAGTCAATTGCTGGTATTGGTGATCAACATAAGCCGGGACATGCATAGCGATGCGCCAACGCAAGGGAGAATGACGCCGAGATTGGCCATCGGAACGATCAAACATACAGGCGGCAGCGTGTGAGTTCGAGACTTTGGAAGAGTGTGTAAAAGACAGGTACCGATGCGTTGTATGCAGCAACAGTGGGACTACTGTGGCAAGGCTATCGGGGGTGGTTTGCGGACAAGGGGACGAATACTATCAGTCGTATTCAATAGCGAAGCTCAGATTTGCCGAGCGAGTCGCAGCGACGACCAGTAGCCAGTGCCAGCAAAGAGGGAGGTGTGGGCATAAACGTAATGGAGCCAGCAGAGACCGAGGCAGGAGGAGAAGTGGTATGCAAAGAAGGGCGAGCCACGCATGCAGGTAAGATTCGAGAGAGTCAAGGTCTCAGGCTTCCACATAAATAATGCCTCCAGGTGGGAGAGAAGGTGGAGGGAAGACGCGAGAGGAGTGTCTTTTGAAGACCAGATGGTGTCTGCCAGTCGTCTTCTCCACGGCACTCGATCGGGCGCCAGACAGAGCAAGATGACTAGGGCGACATGAAGGTGAACAGGGACAAGGGAAGTGCAGATGGGGGACTTTCAAAGGCAGATGAACCAATCAAGGACGGGTTGCAGGGCCTGACTGTTCCCACAGAGGACCGTCTCCCTTGGGCGGGCACGTCAGAGCAAGGTACGAGTGCCACTCCAGGGAGAGGGGAGAGAGAGACTGACGGGGCTGTAATCTCTCTTTCTGATCCCTTTGGGACGCCAGTTATCGCCAAGCCCAGCGTCAGAGCGGCCTGCCAGCGGCAGCGGCAAGGGGAGGGCACATTGTGCGGAGATGGCACTGACGCCAGCAGGTCAGGCTCGTCCGAAGATGGACAGAGCAGCTCGGATCGGATCTAACAGCATCGTATCTGGGCAGGGCGTCATGAACGGCGGCCGACCGCGGCCCCTGTGGGCCCGTAGGAGAGAAAGAAGAAGCACGCGCATCCGGGGATGGCAGGGATGGCGGAGAGCCATGGCCGAACCAGACCATAGCCGCGCCTCTCTGTTCATGGGCCCTTGGTACGCCAGATTTGCACGTCCAAGTGGGTGGATTCGGCAAGGATGAACGAGCAATAGGCCAAAGCGGGCGGGCAAGGGAGAGGGGGGTGTAGTGCAAAGATGCCAGATGGGAGAAGCGGAGCTCGGCGATGATGTGAAGGAGGAGGGGCGCTCATACAAGCACAGTAGCCATATGCCGACCAAAAAGGCCAAAACAGAAGACGGCTAGCTGTATGCGAGTGCTCCAAAGGGGGGGTCGGCGCTGGTTCTCTTCTCCCAGGTGCTTCTGGCTCCTGGAGCAGTAATTGGGCACTTCAGATGCTGCAGCTCTTCAACTTGCTTGCTTCTTTCTCCCCGACAAGACGCTGCAGTATCCGGTCCTATGCCAAGGCCGTGATATAGGAGGTCGGGAGGGTATTGCCAAGCAAAACTCGGACAGCCCGGGCCAAGGCAGCGGCATTGCCATCCCTTGCCGAACAACAGCAACAACACATCAAAAGCAATAGAAGGATAGCAGCAAGAGTGGAAGTAGCAGCCTCACCTCGGGATGTGCGTGTGCCAAGAGCTCTCTCTTACTGTTTTTCTCTAAACCCCCTGTAGTTCTGGAAGTGACCCTGTATCGGCCGTCGGATGAGTTGAGCAGCGTGTAAGTGGCCAGCAGCAGCCAACGCCAATGCCGTGAACTGCAATCAACAAGCTACCACCGGTACGGGTATACGCTGCGGGCTCGCCCTCTGGCGTCGTCTCGTCTCGTCTCGTCTCGTCTTGTCCTTCCGGGTGTGGCTGTATCCGTCTATCCTAGCTCTTTTCCTAGCCTTGACGTGGTCAGCACGAGCCAGTGATTGGGTGCTCCTCGTGTCACTCCACGAGAGCAACACGACCACTTGGTCGGGCTTTGGCGGCGGCGGGCCACCGGTAAGTGATGGGCCTCGGCAGCACCGCAGGGCCTTGCATCGCAACATTGCAGCACCGGCTGGGAATGAATTGAAGGGATCAGCAGTCGGGAGATCCACTGAGATCAGAGCCAGGGGTGTGTGAGGCCAGGCCAAGCTTAGCGCCCAAATGCCACCTGAAGACCGGCGCAGCGGGTGACAAGAACAGGGGTCCTGAGAGGTTCAAAGCGCCTCAGCTGGCCAAGGAAGACCCCTGACGGCTCATGCTGGGAAACGGTACCCGTACCTGTACGAGTACCTTCTTGGACACGGCAGCCACCGGAAGGCTGAGCTGGGCCCTCTCCCCATCATAGAGCCTGTTCCTTGTGCGCTTAACAAGGGAGGCAGGAGGGCAAAAGGGGAGCGCGGAGGCGGTTCCGGGCCTCTTGGGGAATACCAAAAGGGAAATGAAAAGAAAACAAAGCAGCACCAACACGACCACTTACCCGTCAGTACGGTGCTATTGCTCCGGACTCCCTTGCAGGCTCGAGTCACCGTTCGCAAGAACAAAATAAACAATACCCTGGCTGAACCTCCCCCAAATCGAGGCAATCTGAACGTCGGCCTGAGCTAGACGGAGCGGTCGACAGCGTGCCAGGAGCTTGCAATGTTCGGACAGGGGATCGAGCAATATCGACGTGACGTGTAATTGCTGCGATCGGGAACTGTCTAGGGCAGATCAACGCCAGCTCAGGACTCGAGGAGATTTCTTATGCCAAGGGTCGGCGATCCTTGCGGCAACAGGATTCAGCCGCCTGCTTTTCTGGTATCGCCGTCGTCGGCTGACGGTTTTGCTTTCCCTGATGGTATCCATTCCAGTCAGCGGCGGCTCATCACGACGTGCGGACTTGCGGGCGAGATCTGTCATCGCGATATCTCCATCGCTTCAACGGCAACTGCAGGGGTAGTGGACAGTGACGGGCATGGGTGCACGCACCCCCACCGCCAGCATGACATCCGTCCCAGAAAACTGCTGCCTGCTTCCACTGCATTTTCTACAACTTGTTTCAAACAGCACAGACGAAATCAGAAGGATAGAGAATGTGAGGGGCAGCCAAGAAGGCAAGGCTGATTAGTCGTTCCTGTCATGAGGCTGTGGTCATTTCCTCACGACAGCACCGACGCATGGGTTCAGGCCATTCGTCGTCGTCCAAGGGCAGCTTGCCCGCTGTCGGCGTTGGTCACTCCCGCGCTTATCACCGACGCGGCGGCTGAAGATCCATCGGCGGGCCAACGCACCATCGCAGTGGTAAGATTGGTAGAAGATGCTCGGATGAAATTACCAAGGGAAGAGCTTGAGACGGCGTGGGAGTGAAGAAGCAGACCCGCTGCCTCCAAAGAGCACAGCTGAAAGAGAAAAGAGGAAAAAGATTACCTTCTGTACGTAAGAATAGCTTAGTACGCTCTCTCCGAGTTCGATGGCGGTGCGTCCAGAAGGAAGCATCTACTCCAGCAGTCTAGACTAACACTTGGCGGTTTGCAATCTTTCTAGAGTATTGTGTGCTGGCTTGCTGTCTCTCTATCATCATCGATCATGTTAGCATGATGTGTAATATCAGTCATGCTATCTGATGCTCTCGTCTTATGTCTCACCTCTTCTTTCTCTTCTGAAGCCGCCGCCCTGTTATAGTCCTTGAAGGTATTGTCGCCTGATTGCACAACTGAGGAGGAGCTCAAGGCTCGGTATGATTGAAGCTTTAAAGGTCGTAGATGGTCGTGAGAACGAGAGAAGCAGATCCAGAGGCAATTCTGAGATTGTCTGGCAACGAACTTCTTATACTCGCAGCTCTCTTGACCTTGCGACACCATATCTAACCGCGAAGACAGCAAAATGGGCGTGTGGTAGAAGCTAGACGGTTCCCCACAGGTTGATTCAGGTACGTCTGAGCCATCGGTAGCGACGACTGACGATACAGAGTATGATATACGCCGTACATACTTACTCTATACTCAATATCCAGCGCCAGGGAGCACCAGCTCTGGCAGGAGATACTATGGGTGCAACTCGGCGGCAGAGTTCAGCCATAGTGTACCTACCGTGTACAATGTACAGGGCCAGAGGAGGACTCTTCTGCGAAAGGCATGGCAGCATTTTCCTGTTAACCTGAGCTCGCACTCCCGTGAAAGCAATGGTAGCGGACTCTAAACCACTGCTGTGAGAGTGTGAGCAGAGCGTAGTCGGCTTTGACTACTGGTGCTGCGGCCCATGGTGGAGGGGTGGCAAGCGGATTGGCATCCGAGAAAGTGAGTCCATGGCAGGGATCAGATAAGGTTCGGTCCCGCGCAACAAGACGGTCTCGCGTTTCCGCCGTGGAGCGCAGTCGGTGAAGGGCCCGTCGAGGTCGCGAGGCAAGCATCCAGGCCCATCGTATAGCGAAGGTGAGGGACAGCCAACCAGGCACGGCGCATGTATTGCTGAGCACAAGTATGCGCCACTTCGGCTCTTGAGAACGGGTTGGCAGGTGGCATTTGGGGTATGCAATTCCGGACGAATGGCAGACGGGACTGGGGGAGAACAGAGCCGGCCATGCCCAGTGCTGAGCTGCTTGAGAAATTGGCATCATACTTCGGCGTCGCAAGTCCGTCAGCTTCTTGAGCGTGATCCCATGTCAAGATCCGCCCATGAGTGGCTATCTAGTAATTGAATCAGCCATCAGCCAGTCGTTCAGGGCGGCAGTTGGAGCTCGAGCCGCGCCAGGTATTAGGGGGAGTGCGTTGGAAGCAGCACTGCACCAGGAGGGGCGTCTGCGCATCACCAAGATCGACACAGGGGGGGCGGGGGACTCGGGCACCTCCAGTTACAGGGGTTCTCTCTTGGGGAGGTCGTCTTTACCTACTGTAGCCGAATGGACGGCGCAAGGCTTGCATGGCTTGTACTTGGTCGCGAGTCTGCGGTTCAACAGCGCCGGCGGAGAGAAGAGAGCGGTTGAAGTGGACTGATGATGAATGGTAGCAGTGAGGAGAGAAGAGAGACGAGGGAAAGAGTCACAGCCCAGGGATTTTCCGTTTCGGAAGATGATAGGCGAGGGTGGCTTGTAGCAGGCGCCCAACGTTTACAGCGAGGAGACTCCAGGTTAGCAGTGCGGCGATGGGAAATGGTCAGGTACCGTGCTGGTACCGCACTACTTCGCAGCTTCGGAACTGCTGTGAGGCCGGCAAGGTCACGATACCGACAAACTCAGGGCTCTTCATTGACCAGGACATGTATATCGTCGACAAAACACCAGCAGAAAGATGGAATATACAGCATCATCATGATGCGTTGAAGATGACTTGCAGTGCTGGTATCATGTGTGTACACCCGAGTCTTTTCCCAGAAAACATCAAACCATTGCCACACGTCTGGCCTGTGTAAGTAGATGCCCCATCCTTCCAGCAATGCATAGCTTCACAAGGATCCTCATCGTGGCATACCATGTCAGGGCCCCGTACAAGTGGCCGCTACCAGCATGGGACGTGAGCCCCAAGTGGCGGCTTTGCATCCGCTTCTGCCACTGAACCCAGACATGACCACAATTCCGAGTACGACACCCCCTCCCCCTCTCCCCCTCAAGCAGACAGCCGCGACGATGAAGCAGATACCCGAAAGAAGCGGGGGCTACAGGCCTCTCAGGCTCTGGCGTCTGTCTTTCCCCCATCGCCTGGCCTCTCAACCATGCCTCAATCTGGTAAAACCGTCGCCGTCTGACACTCTCTGCTTCTGGTCGCGCCTTGTGTATCCCCAGAGGCTGCGCCAACCCCCTCCCAGAACCGCTCCCTGATGCTACGATGACTGCTCCTCCACGACCTTATTGGCATGCTTCGACTACGAACCTGGTTCCTACTACTACTAGTACCAAGACGGTCTTCTTTGGAGCAGAAGTAAGTATGTGGCACCTGGATGCTCCCGAGGCCCATCCACACGGCTTCTCCACTCCTCCCGAAAAACCTCCCGCGACAAAAGGGAAGACACACGTTTGCTGCCAATCGTGCCCACCCCGTTGCCATCCCACAACGTTTATTTGTCTAACCCTCCACGAGGCAGTGCGAAGCAGTTACAGCGTTCGTCTTTCTGCGCTCTCGCTCGCCATTGCACAGGACAAGGCGTTTGGGTTGGCGGCCTCAGCTGGAAACTGCTCGCTCGCCATGAGGAAACAGGAACGCCATGCTCGAGATTGTAACACACTGTTGCTTGGCCAAGCTTGGTGTCTCTTGCCAACTTTGAACTTTCCTGACGATACTCGATAGCCAACGGGCTGTACCGAGAGTGTGCGATAACATTGACTCCGGTCACTCACTTATACCGAAGAGGAGACTACTCAGGCCGATTCGACCGTAAACGGATCGAAGGCTAACCAGCCACGGAGGTAGAACACAAGAGACCAAATGTTCAAGGAACTTTCATTCATGAAAAAGCGTGACTTTGTTTGGGCGGCCCAGAAACGGTGCTAACGACGGGGTTGCTCAGCTGGGAGCGTGCCTTAGCATCTGCTCTATTGCCCGGTAGCCCCATGCCTGCAGCCATTGCGCACCATGCCTTGCACTTGAAACCCATTCGTTCTGGCCAATTCCTCAAAATAAGAGCGTTATGCCGCATGTGTGCTGCCTCAAACTCGCATCTATGCCACTAATAAGCTCTCACGGCCGTGTAAACCGACTCATGACACTGTCGAAACTCTTCATCTGCCGGAGCATATTGGCGAGCGGTGAATGCTTTACGGCTCAATTGATGAGACTGTTGCCGACCATTTTGAAGTCGTCATCAAATCTTGTATTGCACTTGATACCCCCCAGTTGTGTGTTATGGTTTACATGAATGCATAGGGAGGCCATACCGGCTTCAGATCATGCTGAGAAGGCCTATACGTTACATCTCGCTTTTTTAGGTTCTGCTTCACTTCGCTTCTCTCTTTCCAGTTTCTATTAAAAAAAGGGAGAAGAAAAAACCAGAGAGAAGGAGGCTTTCTGTAGGACCGCCCGTACACCTTGTGCGGTGACAGGACAAATCCCAGCTCCCTCGTATCACCACCCACCCCCCTTCAGCGACCACAGCATAAAGCAGGCTCCTATTCATATCACGGCAGCAAAACCCAAACTCCTCGAGGCGAAGGCATGGATGAGGAAATCTCATACATGGATGAGGCTCTTCCGCCTTCTACAGATCATGCACATTGAAGTCGTACGCACATCTTTGTACGCAGATCTCGCGCGTTCCCTAGCGCTCCACTGTCTTATTGGCACGCTGGCCGTCCTGCCGTGGCACCTTGGGCCGTGGGCTCCGTCGTCGTCCTCAGCGTTCTGCTCCCAATGGGATGGGCGAGCTGGTGTCGTACCGGTGCGCCGGGTCGGACAGTGCCTGCTGCTGCTGTTTGGCGCTGGGGGGGACGGATCGCTAGGGAGCTGAAAGAGGTCCCAGTTGGTATTATTAAAGAGGACGATGGTGGTAGCACTGGATCGCGAGAGGCGGGCCAGTCTGAACCAGCGCGAGTGAACCGTCACACCCGAGAGACGATTCAATTACAATGTCGCCTCCACGCCAGGCTGGAGGGTGTCGTCATGAGCCTGGGACGTTTAGTGTAGCCGACTGAGGGCATACAGTAACTCATCGGCTTACCGTGTCTCTTTTGTTGCGCGCTGCTTGTATTTGTCCACAGAATAGCATGTGCTTTGGTTTCTCAGCTTCAGCTGCGATTCAGAAGCAATACAGGGTGCCTTGCTCCCGCTACTACCCATGCCTAAGACGAATCGAGATATGCGGTAGGATTCGCCAGATCCCTGCCGACCGCAATTCCATTTTCGAGTACCCTTGCATCGATATGATGGGGAAATTTTGGCGGTGGTGGGTAGTCAAGCAGGGGATGTAATATATTAGTCGATGGCTAACGGGGGTGGACACTTTGCTCATATCCCGCCCAAGCTGAAGTCCAGGGAGCTGAAAAGAAAGGCTTGGGAAAAGCATGCATGTACATGCTTGTACAAGTGCGCATTTGTTGATACGACGAGGCAGCGATTCAATGACAAGATGCCAACCCCTGTTGGTGATACCTGACTCGATGACCCCCCGGGTTCTAGCTGAAGAGGAGGAAGAGTCCCGAAACGCGCGATGATGGAAGCAGCTGCTTGTGTTCGTGCTGATGGCACACGAACGACCTGTTGGAGATGACGCCCCAAATCCGCATGTGCATCTACCGTCACTTTGCACATACAGGCATGAATCCACTACTCAGGCTCAATGACAGATCTCAACCTTTATACTAGTAGTATTCCGTTACGGGGGTGCCTTCGTCTCTCTCGTCACTTCTTTCGCCTCACACGCGCACAGCCTTCAGTCAACACCAGTTTCCCTATTAGGAATCTCTTCACGGGCGTACTCGTAGCATCGAAATCCTCCGTGTTTGAAACCACAGACGAGAACGACTAAACTAGTTGACTCAAACTGTCGCAGCCCCAACCGAACAGCCGGGAAGAAATGGTTCTCGAGGGGAACGGAGGCGCAGCCTACGCGTGTGCAGCCCAACACTAGTTCTAAATAAAGGAGCCGCAGAGAGAGTGTGTGTGGCATCAAAGTTAAGAGAGAGGGAGACAAAACAGACAAGCAGACAGACAAGGAGAGTAGCAACAATAACAACCACCGTGATACGGCATGGAGGTCGCCTTGGGTAAGAAATTGTTAAGCTGGTGGTGGGGGACCTCGATGCTTTGACTCGCTCCTTTAACCGGAGACCCGTTCGGCGACCAAAGGATGCAGATAGACGGGAGCCGGCCCATGAGCATGCCCTGTTCTCAGCTCTGCTAGTCGCAACGACTTGTCGCGATTCGGCCTTCCCACGTGCCGGCGCGAAAGGAAAGATTGCGCTTAGATCAAAGCTGCTTGGGGGTGCTAGTCATGATCCCGGCACCTTGCCGGAGAGGGCTTGTACTGTACATGTAGCTCGGGGGCAGTTGTGCCACCTACACGAGGTCAACTCGTAACATGACTGCCTTGTACGCAGCAACTCGTTCATTTCTACTCTCTCTCCCTCTTTCTCGTCAGTCGCATGCAGGCCCAAGTTTCTGCGGCCTCACGAGTCTTGCCCAACCCACACTTCGCTTTCATACATCATCTCCTGCAAGTTGTGGCTTTTTGTCTCGATCCGGCGGCATCGCTCCCGTAGCCAAAAGAAGTCGACGACCTCTCCACATCTCACAACCTTACATTGCATCCCGCTCTTCCTCCCCCCCGCTCCCCTTCACTCTTTTTGGCGAGGTTCTATTGATACGGGGACGAGATATCCATGGCCTCTCGCTTGCAACACTTGGTCAGAGTTCAAGCGCGTTTTGTGGCTGGAGGCTGTGTGACGGCAACCCTGCCTGCAGTTGGAAGAATTATTGGTTGAGCAGCAGATCCCACCACTCCTGTGACTTTGCATCAACCGCATCTTACAGGAACCTGGTTTTGGGCGTCAAAGGAATTGCAGGGCTTATATAGAGAATATCGTGATCTTTCAGGTTGTCATAAGTGTTGTGTCTGGGCTTCGTTTACACGAGTAAGCTGTCGCTTGATCTCGACGATCCCGTCACTTATACCGTAAAACAAAGCCTGAGTCCGGACAAGCCAGGAGCAAAAGTTCGTTCCATTATACCCAGACTCTACAGCAGCGAGCTACCGTAATGCCGTCCAACATCTTCTTCGCTTCGGATGTCGCATCGCGAGAAGAGGCTTGCAGGCCCAACCGATGGCGCAGAAGGGGGGTGGCAGGGCGCAAACCACACCAAACCGAGGCAGACACCAGCCCCTTCTACTAGCACGCATCTACTTCTCAGAATCCGGCTACGTTACCTACATGAGAGATAGATTGATATGGAAACGATCCTGCTGCGTCCCGTCTGGAGGTTGAAACGGCCGCCACGATTGCGCCCTCGCTCCGTCCATCGTTCCTATTGGTAACGCCCAGGCTGGCTAACGCATGCTAGGCCTCCTCTTCTGCGACCCTAGAGGAAGGATGTGTGCGCAACCAGACGCTCGGGAAGGGCTATAGCCGGTGTAGTTGAGGGTGTCGATATACGAAGCATGCGTTGGACTGGGCGCCAGTGGTTGCAAGCCATGGGGGCGAGATACAACTATACGAAGTGAGTACAGTAGACGAGTTCTGCTCGCGGTATGTGGGGAGCAACTGGACTGCTACCAGGTAATCGGGCGAAATCCGAGACCCATGATGTACCTCGTATGTTACCCTTGAATACTACTACGGGTAGGTTGAGACAAGAGGCGGCTGTTCTTGACTGTATGTATGTATGAAGTATGCCGATACGGCTTTGATTAGAGGCTCGTTGATGGCGGGTGCTAGGTAGTAAATCATGAGAGCCACTCCCGTCTAACTCCCATCACTTTTACGAAATACTTGTCCTTCACTTTGCATCATGCTTGGCTTTCTTTAGGGCATCTCACAGAGTATATGGACAAGATGCCTAGGCTCACCAAATCGCTACCTACAGCCACCAACAAATACTGGGACGAGGTGTCTAGTTCAAAGCTGCAGCTCTACAGACCCGCAATGATGCCTTATTGCTCGTTCGTTTACTGAAGATTTAACGCCATTGCAGTTGACGAGGATGCCAAACTGTTATCCTACTTCTGCTCTGCTTCAGGGTATCCTGAGAGCAACGTGAGACGCCTGTTGTTACGACCGTATTGAGCGCACACCACTTAAAGTCGAGATCATTCATTGCTTTGCAGCCGATACTTATTCAGAAAGGCGAAAGAGATACTCATAAGCTTCTATTATCGCTCCCAAGGCTCTCGGTATGTTCACTTGGCATCGTATCCTCTTTGTACTGAACGGATAACAGCGCTGATATAAGCTGGTACAGGGAGGGGCGTAAGCTGGTGCCGGCACGAAGATCGTACGGCCATCATAGGATCGTATTAGCAAGAGAAGGTCGTTTAGTCTTATTTACCCCAATCAAGATACTCTCCTCATCAAGGAATCCCCGCAAGATGGCAAGTCACGTCTCACGCTGTTCTCCACCAACGTCATTCACTGTGAACATGGTAGTAAACGCTTCGAATCTCATCCACTGATGTCTGCGATACGCGAGAACACTAGACTCATGGGCATATTTGGACTAGTTCTTCTGCCAGAAATCCTACTCATCGTCTCTTCGAGTAGAGATCATCCAGACCCCAACATGGACACCGTCTATACCCGCCATAACCGGTCAGCACTGCGAAGAAGGAATCCTATGCACAAAGCATTGCTAAAGCAGTGCCTTCAGCGTCCATGAACGACCCACCTGTATATACAACGTAATATTGAACCCCACGAACTATACTGGAACGAGCCCAAGACGGATGTAAATGGCTGCACCAAGAGGCTATCGAATGAACCGTTGCAAAGAAGTCATTCGTCATATATCACATCGAAGGAAACGACAAGTGACAGATTGCCTACATCGAAGAACAGGCTACGGAAGACAATGCTTCGTGCCGGTGTTTGTACACTCCTGGTCCAGAATCGGCCGCACTTGCTTGCCTGCTCGCTCGGCCATCTGAAGGCAATCTCACCGGCCGGCCAAGATCGTCGCTGCAACGGTGACGGTGACGGCACCGGCACCTGTGCTCTGCCGCCTCTTGGAAGCATCCCGGGATCGGATCGCGATTGACGGAGCATGGGTTGTTAAGAGTGACTACATTCTGCAGGGCATTGCCCACATGCGGACATGATCAATCCAACCCATGATCTTCTGCAGTCTATCTGGTCACTAATATGAGCCCTGATATTACTACAGATCACAAAAGAGGGCATGACTGGCGCCGCTGCACGTATCCATGATTGCTTTGGGCAGACACTGGTAGACGCCGGTTTGGCCTAGCACCCCAGCAAGGAGAGAACGCGGCTGTGCCCATTCTCTTCTGCAGGGAGAGCGCCGATAGTCTCCAAAGTCCTCCATACCATCGGAGCAGTTGGGGCACGGATCTGCTGTAGGGTTTTGGGTCACACACATGCAGATACCAAGATGTCCGCGGAGCCCATTCCCCGAGAGCCGAGATGCCCTGACTCTCACTCTGAAGGTAGGACAGAGCGGGCTCTTCATGTAGGGAGCAAACAATGGGATGCGGGTATGAAGAGTCCTGTATGAAGACGAAGATGATGATGGCCGGAAAGCTCCACGAGATTTACTTGTGGCACAAACCGAAAGGGGATACACCTGGCTTTCAGAGTCTCGTCCGAATATCGGACGGTCAACTGTCGTCGAGAATTCAATCTGTCCCTGAAAGCCCTAGGTGTGGGATGCCATGTTCTTGTCAGTGAGTCCCCCCCAGATGTACTTGTTCAGATGCCCTCGTGATAGCCTTGGATCATCATGGGCCCGCTCCCCATTGGCACCAACCAAAGCAATGCTTCTCGGGCTCCATTCCGAAAGACAGTGATTGGACACCGTACATGGGGGCGGGGGAGAGAGAAGGCCTGGGCGGAATTTGTCATTCTCCTTCTCCCATATGCCTTAGTAGTATGCCTACCAGCACGAGCACCAGTACCAGATGCACTTGGCCGAGAAGGGTGCCCTGCAGGGTAGGATTCTCTGCGTCATTGACATGAAGTGCCAGTAAATGGAAGCACTCTACAGGGCAGTTGAAGAGCATGGTGAGCACCAACAAGTCCGACGCTGGACACGTCAGGTACATGTCCTGGAGCCGCACATCGCCCCCAAATAATCGGCGGTAGACAAGGAAGGGGGGCAAAGCTGTCGGCCGCCGCTCGTCGGCCTTGAGAAGAAGCAGAGAGCTGGTACTGTCGTTGCGGAGCTGGGGTGGTTTAACGCCGATCAAAATAAGGCTTTCGCTGTCACTGTCCCGAGCTTCCACTTGACTCCATGCTTGAACCCTGGCGTCGTTGGCTTTTGAGAGGGAATCGTGGAGAAAGACTTACGAATGCCAGGGTGCGTGTGCGATAGGGAACCTTTGAAGAGGCGGCATAGAGTAATATGACCACCCGTACTTGTACATCCTGCCATCCCAGAATTATCTACGTCAAGATTGTATCGCTACACACGATTCCTTTTTGAGTACACTTAACAGGGGCCTCTCCGGTGAGGCGCGGGCACGCGCACGATCTTCCTCGTCGTGATCTGTGGGAAAGCTGGCCCGGGTGACGCTCGTGGCGGCAGAACGAGCCTGCGCAATCCCTGCCGAGCTGTGCGGGTGACGACAAGGGGAGCAGCCGGCTATAGCGCAGGTTGCTCTTCGATGTTGGGACCAGGCCATTGGTATCCGGGCTGGATGGGATGACTTTCCCGCATCTTTCTGCTGGGGTCTGTTTACATTGGACTAGCAGGGGTGGACAAGGCCAGATGAATGGGCAAGGGGGAGGGGGGGCGTGCCATTTGGTCCACTTCAGCGGCTGGGGAACGAGGGGGGCGTGTGACAATTGGCACTCTTGATTTCTTTGCTTTCCATCTTGAGCCCCCTTCAGTTGAAGGGAGGAAGATTGAAAGAGAGCAGTAGAGGAAGATATGAAGAGTGTTCCGAGAGTGTCAAAGGCCGAGCCCCAAGGGGAAAGGCGATTAATAAACTCGTACTTGTACTAGTGCCAGTAATGTCTTGCCCTACGACGGCAGAGGCCGCGTCCAAGTGAGACACGGAACTGTCAAACAAGGCAGCCGGGGGAAGGGACTTTGTCTCAGAGCCACCGGCGTATACAGCACTTACAGGCGGCGGCGAAGGGGGAGAGAATCAACGGGGAAATGCTGAGACTGACTTGAATTGAAGAATTGGGCTTTTGAGCGCCCGTCTCTGGAAACTCCAGTCAGTCACTAGGCCAGAGGTAGGCTGTTGGCAACCCTTACTCTTGTCAATCTGACGGCTTCTCCTCTTCTGCCCGTTTCGTCTTCCGTGGCCTGAGGAGAGGCAGAGACAGACAGAGACAGGATCAGATAGACGACACAATCTTGCATGTCGTGAAGAACAATGTAGCGGTGAATGGATGCGCGAACAGCATGCGGTAATCTCAGGCAAAGTACCAATGAAGTCCAAGTCGAGTGCATTCTGATCCGGAAGAAGCGGTGCGGATACGGCGGTGCGGCCCGGGATATTCTGAACATACTCGCTAGGACGCGGACAAGATGATACTGCGCGTATTGGCCAACCATGTCCATGTGACTATACTACTCAATGACGCCAGAGCAGATCCCATACTGTCACTATCACATACAAACACTACTCGTAGACTCAGCTGCAGCCTAGCCTACGGGACTGAACCCGTCTATCTCTTGCCTTGGACGCAATATGAGCGATGACGGGATATGCGAAAAGAGGCGGCTCAACCCCTGTGGCCAATTTCTCTGCAATAAGCATCGGTGACGCTGATGAACCTATCCAGAGATGAACCTATCCAGAGATGAACCTATCCAGAGACTCTCTGATATCTTCTCTTGCTTGGAGTGATTGCGGAGATGGGTTATGAAGCATTCGCACTGGTTACCACCCGAGGCGTATTTCCTTCCATGCCTTACTGTCAGGGATACTTGAATGGCCCTGGAAAAATAACTCATCGGAGAGGGAAAATAGGATCAGCCCGTCTTCAAAATGTCTTCTTCCGAAGTGACATGCTATGTTCTCTATGAAGTCGAAAGGGTCACTGGACACTTGAACTTACAGCTCCTTGACCGTTTCAGGGATCTTGCTCTGCGAATACAGGCGTCCCCGGGAAAATCCGATATAACAAGACCGGGCATGACGATAAAGAGCTCCGACAGACTGCATGCAATGGAAACAAAACCCTCAAGACGGAAAAGTACCGTCCTCAGCTATGCCACGTCAGGCAGAGGCAGGGCGAGACATGTAGGGCGTTGGGCTAGCCGACATGGCAACATCCGGCCATGCTTTCGCTGGCCGTGATGGCACAGAGGAATTAGGATTCTCATGTTACATGACGAACAAGACCTCGTCAATTGGGTGCCTCGGCTACAGCGAGCGTGAACTTTGTAACACCGGCTTCGGGTGATAAGAGGACTTTCGGGTTGAGTCAAGATTCGGCCGTGGATCGGTGGCGCCGTCTATGCTGGTTCGTTGTGCTACGTGGCTTGGGGTTGGCCATTCGATAGCCAACGGAGCCAAAATGGTTCGGGCATGCGCAGTTTGCATGTAAGCCACCACTTTGTAACAGTCGAGAGAGCAAACTTGAAATGGCCAATGGCTGGGGCTCATATACGGAGTACAGAGCATGATGAAGTGAGCTGTTGCGCTCCGAGCCCTTGTGCGTGCTTCTTGGTGTGCTTGGCAAGGGTCGCAAGTCTTGGAGCAGAGAATTGATTGAATATTTAGGAGTTCCATGACGCTTATAAGGGGTGAGTAGCTACATGATAGTTGATCCATCGGTCGTTTGGTTGCTTATAATGAGCCATTGCAGTGGTATAGAAATACTGGCTGCTAACATGGAATGACATTCACTGTTGAGCCATTCATCAGATGACATCAAATTGGTCAAATATGTCAATCTGTGATGCAGAGCACGAGAACGACCACCCACATGATGCCAGGTCCAGATGGTGAATCTCAACTTTCGTAGTATTAGTTAATACATAGTTTGCACATCAAAACAACAATACATCCAAAACATATCCCAATTTTCCAACTACACTGCTTCAACCAGACCCTGTCGCAAACCACGAATCGCGACCATTGCCCCCCAAGCGCCCGGATCAGGAGGCAGCTCCTTGTTTTCACTCGACACTCCAACATATGTGGCTCTTCCAAGCCTTGGCTTCATCGTCTTTGTCGCATCCGCTCCATCCTGTGCCGCCTTGACGCCGTCATCAAAGCCCGACTCGCTCATCACAGCGGCAAAAGGAATGAGCGTGTCCATGACAGTGCGGTCTCCGACCTTGGCAGGCGTATACCTCCTGAGGCTTTCGAGAGCTGTTGTAACAGCTGTTCCCCAGAGCAAGATCGGATTATGAGCTAGTCCGATATTCTTCTCGATGGCCGCACGTAAGGAGACAAAGAAGATGCCCAAGATGCCGCCCAGAGTACCACCCATCTTGCTCTCCACAATGTCCTCGAGCTCCAGCAGAATCTTGACAACTGACCCGGATTTTGCTAATCCTGAGTCGAGGGCCTTGAGCAGAGAAGTGGCACCAGTCTTGAGCGTCTCTCCGCAGTCTCCATCACCCATGACAGTATCCCACTTGGTGAGATCTGGCTCAGCTTGGATGAGAGCATCGCAAGCATTTCTTAACATACTCTCCAGAAGCGCAGGATCAATCGTCAGATCGCTAAACTCGTCTACCGATCTGATTCCTTCATTCGGCGGCTGAACAAGCTGCTGCTGCCGCGTCCGCCGCCGTGCCTGGGACCCAGCCATGGACTCCCAGAACGTCGTCGTCCTGGCGTCAAAGAAAGACTTGATCTCTTCGACAGAGTAGCTGCAGTTCTTTGCGGCGGCGGTGACATTGATGACGGATACGGAGAATGCAGGAGCGTTGAGAGATGTCTCGAGGAAGCCGGCGCATACCCGTACCGGCTCAATCTTCCAGTCTCTTGCCAACTGCTCCAGTATCTCGTCCACAAGAGCGCCCATTTCGAGGTGCGACATGCCGCCGAAGTTGCTGACGAGCAGTATGGATTCATCGCCAGGGGCAAAGCGGACATAGCCGCGTTTGGGATCGTTTTCATCAAGGCAGTGTTGTAGAATCTGTGAAACCAGTTCGGATGCAGTTGGCGCGGGACATAGTTTCTTATATCCAGGTTCATTATGAGGGCCTGTGCCTAGTTCGACCTCGTCCTCGTGAAGCGTGCCATGTTCAGCGCGTCCTGGGACGTGGCAATGATCCAAGGTTGCCGCAATGGACACAATCTGCTGTGAGAATGCCACACCCAGATTGTAAACGTCGTCCAGTGAGCCTCCAGCACCAGCAGCTCCGCCCATGACCTTGAGGACGCCAATCTGGCCAGCCAAGCCTCTACGGCCAACCATGCTCCCGTTCTTGCCGACAGAAACATCGTCGCCGCAGATGATGGTCCGGCAGTTGTGGCCCTTGGCGTTGGCTTTTTCGTTGGCTAATCCAAAGTGCAGACAGTCACCGGTGTAGTTTGTGATGACCAGAATGGTGCCTTTGTCGCTTGGAACGGCATCCACTGCGGCAACGATCTGCTTGGTGCTGGGGCTGGCAAAGATGTCTCCTTGGACAGAAGCTGCGAGCATGTTTTGGCCTACATAGCCGGTCCATGCGGGCTCATGCCCGGAGCCGCCTCCGCTGATGATGACGACTTTGGACTTGTCGTAGGTGGTGTCGTAGACGACTCGGTTGGCTTCGTCCAAGCTGAGAGAGGGGTTGTAGGTGATGATGCCTCGGAGTGCCTTGTTGACGAGGCCGTCAGATGATGTAAACAGATGCCTAGCTGACATTTTTTCGTTCTGTGAATGTGTTCAGGGATATAGTGAGAGTACCGTCCGATTGCTACTGCGATGAACGGGTCAAAAGCAGAGCATATAAGCAGGATGCAGACCACCACAACCAATTCTTTCCTACTTCGGGGCTTCCCGAAACTTCCCCGACCACGGAAGGACAAAAAAAGGCTTCCATATCATCGTGATCTCACCCAAGGCCTTGTGCCACCACCCACATCTATCGTCTCGTGGTCGAGAACCACGGAGTTCATGGTGCCCCCTTAGTCCTCAGCTGCTCCGCCTCCACAACTCACGAACTACGCTCCGGATTCACTGTAAATCGATGACTGCAAGCAATAGTATGATAATACGACTTCTCCGCAATTTACCTTTCCTCTTCTAGCATAGACCAAGCGATTCCATATCCGTCGTTCTGGACCTGCGTGTTCAAGCATCGTGTCTGCCTCTGACGGATGCCAGCCGGATTTCCTAATCGGGAAATACCGAACGTATAAGCCATGGAGGTGTTTGCTTCTGTCCGACCTGAACGGTCACGAACCCCGCGAACAATACCATCTCGATGAAGCCGGATGTCATTCTCGTGGAACAGGAGAGTCCCGATTCGTGATTGTATTCGGTTGTGTGTGTGGGGGATGTTGTAGATGGGCTGTACAAAGTAGACGAGAACATGATGCCTCTAGACGGAATCCCGCGTCTGACTTGAAGCCATAAAAGCTGAAAGCTCTCATATTCCGGTCAATACTCCCGAGAATGCTTGAGAACACAATTTATACTGTTTGAATCAGCATTTAGTTTATCCTTGCCTTGATAGCTACTGATATACACATACAATGGCACCGAAATGGAGAATTGCCATGGGCTGCGATGTAAGTACATCAGTTTCTCCTACTGAATCAAGGCTGTCCATCCCAGGACGAGTTAAAGCGTCAAATTGAGAAGCCTCAACTGTTATAACTTCACCATTGTTGAAAATACAGGCTCGAGGCCATCGAGACAGACAGTCACTAACACGAGCTCGCTCACGCTTGCACAGGACGCCGGCGTCAACTACAAAAACACCATCAAAAAAGACTTTGAGAGCGACCTCCGGGTAGACGAAGTCATCGACGTAGGATCCGACGAACCCTCAGACAAGACGCCCTACCCCCTCCGCGCCGCCGCTGCCGCCCGCCTCGTCGCGGAGGGCAAAGCGGACCGCGCTCTGCTCATCTGCGGCACGGGTCTGGGCGTTGCCATTTCTGCCAACAAGGTCAAGGGCATACGGGCGGTGACGGCTCACGATAGCTTCAGCGTCGAGCGCAGCGTCAAGAGCAATAATGCGCAGGTGCTGTGTATGGGGGAGAGGGTTGTTGGGTTGGAGGTTGCGAGGAGGTTGGCTACGGAGTGGTTGGGGTATGAGTTTGATCCGTCGAGTGCGAGTGCGAAGAAGGTTGAGGAGATTGGGCAGCTGGAGGCATCATGATACGGTAGACACGAGAACTAGACATGCGAAACCAAATGTTTCTTATCTTGTTTGTTAGTTTTTTCTGGATGATGTTTGAAGTGTAATGCTGGGTGTGGCCGAAGCAGGCACATGCAGAGAACAGCGTGTTCTGACAAACGGCTGTCTTAGCATGAAAAAACCTAACAGCTCGTGGCGTCGAAGTTCCATATGCTAGCAATAAGCTGGTATCCGTTTATGACACGGTTTTTATCGTGGCTTGAAGGAACTACCGAGAACAGTGTAACGGACTGGCTGCTTTGGTGTTTCCGACCAACTGCTCACGGGACCAGCTTGGATGCACGATTCAAGCGAATCAAGACCCTGTAATATGGGACCAAGATCGTATAACCTTGGACCATATAGATGTCGATATTTAGGCGGAATGGTAGACATACAGGGCCCGGAGAGGCCGCAACTGGGTATCGTGGGCAGAATAGCGGCTGCTATGCCGGCATCCCAGAAGTGGAATGGGCGGAACGAAGCCGGTGCGCGGGGGAGGAGAGCTGAGGTGGGTGGCAGGAATTCGGATAGATGGGAGTAGCTCCAAGGGCCACAAGAGCTTACTTACATAGCTTACATAGCTCTGGTAGCTCTTCGCTATTGCTCGGTTTCGGTGCTCCTGGGTTTGGTCAGAAAGAGATCACCCATTTATCGCCACTTACATGGACGAGCTTCGTGTGAAGCGGCGCAATCATCCATCCCCCTTCCACATCTCCATCACCAGCCAACATGTCCAGCACAACGCCGAGGCGGCGCCTCATTGGCCTCTCGACCAAAATGTACTTTTCTCTCCAGCAAACGAGAGACTTCACCAATAGCTTCTTATGCAAGCTGGCAGACGTCCCGGCAGAGCTCCTATCCCGCATAGACATCTTCATCGTCCCCGACTTCATCTCCCTCACCACCACAGTCGCCCAGCTAAAGTCCAGCTCCGTCCCCATCTGGACCGGCGCCCAAGACTGCCACTGGGAGGACCAAGGCGCATTCACCGGTGAAGTCAGTCCCTCCGTGTTACGCAGCGCAGGCGCCAAGCTCGTGGAAGTCGGACATGCCGAGCGGAGGCGCATCTTTGGCGAGGACGATACCATGGTGGCGAAGAAGGCTGCGGCCGTGAGTCGCAATGGCATGATACCGCTGGTGTGCATTGGCGAAAGGACTCCAGGCGATGTGCATGTTGCGGTTGATGAGTGCCGGGCGCAGGTGGATGCTGTGATGAGTGCTGTGCCCGACGAGGCGGAGGTCATCTTGGCGTATGAGCCTGTGTGGGCGATCGGTGCCAGTCAACCTGCTGGAGAGAAGCACATTCTCGATGTTGTGGCTGGGATCCGAGGGCTGGAGTGTGTCAAGAGAAGGACGGGGACGACGAGGGCTTTATACGGGGGCAGTGCTGGGCCGGGACTCTACGAGAAGTTGAAGAGCGGATTGGACGGATTGTTTCTGGGACGGTTCGGACACGATCCCGATCAGTTTGTCAAGACGATACAGGAAGTAGCTGGAGCGTGAGGAAGAGAAAAGCATCGTCTTTTGGCTAGCTGACAGTCTGCTCCGCACCGTTGAAGAAGTTGTTACGTTTCCTCGGAGCGTGATTGCAGCTTACTTTACCCCGTACACCAAAGGTATTAATGAATTGACTTGAATAGAAGTCCACCCTCCAGAGACTCTTTCAACAAACAATGAAAAGATCAGCAATGGCCGCAACTCCAGCATCCAGTCAAAGGCTCCAAACAAGTGGCACAATAGCCCAATCAGTCCAAGTGTAGGGTCCTCATCAACTATCCCGAGTCCACCACAACTTTCTTAACAAATGATATCTTCACGATAACACACACACACACACACAGCCCTAAATTCTCTCATGGCTAAAATCAAACGCCCGGATACCAGCGGACCAGTTGCCGCCCAGCTTTTGATGCGAACGGTTGCTCCAACTGCCGACATCGCCGTCACTATGATAGTATCGAGAGCCGATCCATCGTCCTACCCCTCCTTTTTACGTATAGGTTGGTGAGAATTTGGTCGACTATAAATGGGATGAAAATCACGCAGAGTTGGAACTCGTCTTCTTTCTCTTTCACATCACAGTCATCGTTCTTCATCAAGAAACAATTGACAATCAACTCAATTACACACAATTGAAACAAAAGTATTCAGTGATATAGTTCACACCCCCTCCAAAACCCCCTCTCTCCAATGCATCTAACACACGGCAGGCCAAACACCGCACACTCCTGTCGGTACAACCTCGTCCGTCGCCATGGCGTCTTTCGGTGGTAGTCCGTCCAGACGGGATTCTGTCTCTTCATCTTCAGGTAATGTGTATCGCATGAGCCGGTGCCCGGGCTCCCGCTTCTTTTCCCACTTCACTTCTCTCCCCCCTCGTCTCTTGTCTTACACAAGAAACACATCATGAGATGGGAGAGAAGTGATAGTAGGAGAGGAAGAGGGAGCTCGGGCTGAGAATATACGGCCCTGAACTTGATCTGGATAATACCAGCGAAAGGATCATGCTCTCCCCCCTTTCTATCCCTTCAAATCCCTAACCCTCGTAGGCCCATCATGAGCCCCCCCGCCGCCGTCTCGCCCACCCAGCGCACCGCTGAACTCGTCACCCCCCCTTCCAAGCTGGCCGTCTCCCAGCCGCAGCAGCATCTCGAGGCCCAGGCCAAGTCCGTCGGCGACATGTTCGGCCAGTGGGACTCCTTCACCTTTGCCCCCATCCGCGAGTCCCAGGTCTCGCGCGCCATGACCCGCCGCTACTTTGAGGACCTCGACCGCTACGCCGAGTCCGACATTGTCATCATCGGCGCCGGCTCCTGCGGCCTCAGCACCGCCTACGTCCTCGGCACCCAGCGCCCGGACCTCAAGATTGCCATCATCGAGGCCTCCGTGTCCCCTGGCGGAGGTGCTTGGCTGGGAGGCCAGCTCTTCTCCGCCATGGTCATGCGCAAGCCTGCCGATGCCTTCCTCCGCGAGATAGGCGTCCCCTACGAGGACGAGGGCAACTACGTTGTCGTCAAGCACGCCGCGCTCTTCACCTCCACCATCATGGCCAAGGTGCTGCAGCTGCCCAACGTGAAGCTCTTCAACGCCACCTGCGTCGAGGACCTCATCACTCGCCCCTCTGCCGAGGGCGTCCGCATCGCCGGTGTGGTCACCAACTGGACCCTCGTCTCGATGCACCACGACGACCAGTCCTGCATGGACCCCAACACCATCAACGCGCCCCTGGTCATCTCCACCACCGGCCACGACGGCCCAATGGGTGCCTTCTGCGTCAAGCGCCTCGTCAGCATGGGCCGCATCGAGAAGCTCGGCGGCATGCGTGGCCTCGACATGAGCAGGGCCGAGGACGCCATTGTCAAGAACACCCGCGAGGTTGTTCCCGGCCTGATTGTCGGAGGAATGGAGCTGTCTGAGATTGACGGAGCCAACCGCATGGGTATGTCTCCTCTTCACAACATCCCCCTTCCAGTCGCGAAGCATGTATTAACCTTGGTGTTTTTGCAGGTCCTACCTTTGGTGCCATGGCCCTCAGCGGTGTCAAGGCTGCCGAGGAGGCTCTCAGGGTCTTTGAGGCCCGCCGCAAGGAGAATGCTCAGTAAATGAGATTCGTGGCTATCTTCCGTCATTCATTTGATTGTACTTGGCATGACTGGTCACTCATTTGATGTAAAGCAGTAAAAGTACAAAAGAACAAAAAAAATCACGCTGCGAACCAGATTGAATACACTGCAGCTATCTCTGTTGAAATATCCGGTCTCATTCCGTATGTGATATTCCAACTTGACTTCGAAGTAATCGAGCACCTGTGAAAGACATACTCATCCATACCTATGACATGTGATGCCTCAATTGTCTTCATATGGTCGATGACTCTTTCAAACCTCGACCTTGTCTCCATGTGAAGCCTCCCCGATGTCAGCCTTTCCGGGAGCCACAATGGCATCTGTCGCGGTCGGAATCGAATCGATAAAGCTTTTGGATTGCCCCTTGATTAAGTCTCCGACAGAACCCCGTCCTACGCGCATCGCGCCGTCTTGCCCAGTTTCGACTTTGTTCCAGCCCGCTAAGCCTATGGAGATAATCTCTGGCATGTTAAGAGTCTATGGTGAACAAGAGAAAGCAGAACCGGGGAGCAATAAGGAGTATGTAAGGTCAAAGCAAATCGACTCTTCTTTTCTCTGCCTTTTCGACTGCAGGGAACCACCCGACACCCAACTCTCCTCTTTTTCCACCAAAGAAGAACGCGAAATCTCAAGGATCATTAGAGGGCAAAACCGAGCGGCGAGCGATGTAATAGCGAGAATGACCCATGCTGGCAAGAATTCAGAAGAGCTTATAATGAATTGGTGCGACGGCTACAGGTCATTGTTATTCTCTTCCAAGGATGCCGATCGTTGGATGGAGCGAAGAGCACAACGGTAAAAGTTTCGCTCAACGTCTGGAGATGGAAGCCGAGCATGCATTATGCCGGGTTGGAGTGTAAGTCGTCGCCTGTGTGGTGGCTTGCGAGGAACAAAGACGGCCGTGGATGAATAGCGGGCTCACCACCCACTCCGCGGCCATGGAGAAGCCTAGTGGGCAGGCCACCCCCCTGAAAGCAGAGTTTGGCCACTTGTAGGCATCAGAGAAGTTCCATCTTCATATCGGCACATCGTGCTGCAGAAGAGAGTTGGCCGAGTCACCAGCAACGAACGACTGAACAACTCGAGATGCTATGCTAGGAGGGTGTAGATCCAGGCGGCATTAGGGATTGGAAACCCAGAGCGAGAGTTGCTCCAAATGACGCGTTCTGAACAGCGCAGTATCAACTGTAATCTCAATTCAAGGCCGCTCGAGAGTGACCGGGGGACGTGTGCCGACATGAGACGAAATAAGCATGCAGCCCAACACACGCCCAGCTGCATGCCCGTGCATTGTTCGACTTACCCCCTTCAGAACACCCGCAATCCACCACCTCGAAGGCCTCTAGCGGACCGAAGCGCCGGGTCGCTGGGCTGTCAGTAACATGATGCGCATGAAGGACATTGGTCAGGGTGTCGAGTTGAAAGCGCGGGGAAGAAGCTGTCTCTTGTTGACTCTGCTCTTTGTCCTCATCCAAATCTTGCTGACCACGCCCGTTGCGGTGAGCCCGCGCTGACTAAAAGCGGGAGCCAGATGCTCCCTGTCGATGGCTTGAAACCAGAGGCTTGGCTGGGTAAAGAAGCCGTCGGATCCCTTCTCGTGCGTCGTTACACTAGCAAAGGCGCGGTTACCTCGCACACGCACTCCGTAATTTTCTCGTTATCTCTTAGTCGGGCTTGCCTCGTGAAGCAGCAGACTACTAAGCATTGGCTCAGCTGGAGTCGACTTTGTTTGACACGAGCTCGGAAAGCCAAACGTCTGCTGTCTGTTCCCCCTTTTCATCATCTCAACCTCCGCAAGGGCTCTTTGGCTGTCTTACGGGAGCTGGCACCGGTCGATTCGCCTAGCCAGACAGAGTTCGACGGCGACAAAGTTCGACGGCCGACGGCTCCTCCCGATCGCGCCGCTGCCGCTGCCTGCTGGGCCGATCTGTTTGCGTCGCATCGCGTTGGTTGACATCTTCTCTTGTCCCGGATCTCGCCCCACTGTTGGAGCCTCGGGGCCCTGTGACGGTCCAGGCTCCGGGTCTTTTCGCCGGCACAAGGGGGTCGGTGTCTATGCGCGTCTATGCGTGTGTATGTTGGTCCAACGGAGACAGATACCTACAAGAAGCAGCACCGGCTATCACCATACCCGTTGCGTCTCAAGCTGCGAACTGAGCATAGTCCGAGAGTCTGACTGAGCCTCGAGTCAGAGCGCGGCAGTCTTGGCCAGATCTGTGCGGGCGACACCCGCGTTCAAATGACCGCGACAATGGGTGTAGGCGAACTCATTGAACGCGCCAGGTTGCCTTGCGTCTCGCAATGGATCGTAAGTTGTGTGTGCGAACGCCGCTCGGCTCTTCATGCCACTGCCGACCGTCATGTTGTGCTGCCGCTCATGTTATCGACAAGCCCGCCCACCCGCGTGAGACTCTATGCAGCTGGCTAACCAACAACCTCCGCCTCTGTGTCATAGAATGAGGACATCCGACCCATAGAGTCGGCCAGGCGGACATGGACGTTCTGGACCTTTCACAATTTTTGTGAGTGGCGGCCCCCCTGGGCGAAGGACGAAGTCAAAATTGGGTTATCGGCGAACTGGCGAGCAAGGTTGCTGACGAGGAGCGATTCCTCTTTTCCTCCCGTCTTCCAGGGTTGCTGATCAACTGCAACATTGCGACCTTCCTGACTGGGAGCTCGCTGATACCGTTGGGCCTCAACTGGTGGCAAGCCATCATTGGTATGTATGTCCATTATCCCGATTTGACAGAGGCCATTGCGTCGATTGGCTGACATGCTGCATACGGTAGCAATTGTGGTGGGAAACATCATAGCCACCGTGGCAATTGTCATTAGCTCGCTTGCAGGTGCCTACTATCACAGTGAGCCTCCTGTTTTCTCATACGCCCCAAAAGTAATTGGTCATGCTGAAGACGACTTCTCTCTCTAGTTGGCTTTTCCGTCTATAGTCGTGCCGTATGGGGCATGTGGGGATCCCAGTTTGCCATCTGGAACCGCATATTCTTGTCTCTCGGTATGATGCTTTCCGTCTGGTATAACGTTGTATGGAGTTTTGGCTGATATATGCTTACGTACCTAGTTTGGTTCGTTGGATGAATGCTCGAGACTGCATTGTACATTCGGCGTCTTGTGCTAACAGCTGTTGTCCGTAGGTACGGTTTCCAGACATGGGTTGGTGGCCAGTGTTTCGAGCTCATCTTGCTGTCGTGGGATCCCCAGTATGCATCTCGCATTCCCAACCACATGCCCGAAAGCACGGGCATGACAACAGCTCAGTTCGTATCGTACATCATCTTCTTCGTCATCAGTCTTCCGTTTCTGTGGATCCAGCCTCATCGCCTGCACAAGATGTTCCAGTTTTCCAGCGCCGTGGCCATAGGCTTCTTCGTGGCCCTCCTGATATGGGCCCTGGCAACCATGGGCGAGGGAGGCTTTGGTAGCACCATGGATTCGTCAACTACCATGCCCAGAACCGGCGGGCCAGGTAGCGTTGCCTGGTTGATGATGTACGGGATAATGTGCACCATTGGCGCGATTGCGGCCGGTATCCTGAACCAAAACGACTTTGCGCGTCTGGCACGGACGCCAATGGACGCGCTCTGGGGCCAGCTTATCCCATACGGCGTCTACAGTATCTTGACATCCGTCATTGGGATTCTAGTCGTATCAGCCACCCAGAAGCGGTTCGGCGGTGAGGCCGTCTGGAACCCGCCGACCATCTTTGTTCGCCTGCTGGAGAAGGATGATAGTGCTGAGACACGGGCCGCAGTCTTCTTTGCCGGTGTTGCGATGTGCATCTCTCAGATTGGTAGCAACGTGCCCGGGAATGCGCTGGCTGGCGGCATAGACCTGTCGTCCGTGTTCCCGCGGTACATCAACATCCGCAGAGGGGCCTACATCACGGCCCTACTTAGCCCAATTGTCAACCCCTGGCAGCTGGTTTGCAAGGCGACGACGTTTCTGTCCGTCTTGTCTAGCTACAGCGTCTTCCTCGCGCCGATGACGGGCATGATGTTTGCCAGCTATGTCGTGGTGAATAGGCGCAAGATTAAGGTCGACGACTTGTACCAGGGCCACAGCGGCAGCATATACTGGTATACCCACGGCATCAATTTCCGTGCGCCGCTTGCGGTGAGTCCATGTTTCGGTTCCTTTGGTAGATGCGAGTGAGAGAATGAAGAGGAAACTGACTTCCAGTGATTTCTTCTGCCAGTGGGCGGTGGGAGTTGCGCCGTGTACGCCCGGCTTTATCGCGGCGGTGAATTTATCCGTGGTGCTGCCCTCAGGCATGACGGAGCTCTTCTACCTCAACTACCTGTACGGCTTCCTGTCGAGCGCCGGCGTCTACGTGCTTCTCCACTGGCTCTTCCCTGCCAGGAACGTCGACAGGTTTATCAGGACGTCGCCGAGCCCGAGGGAAGTGCAGCAATTCTACGCTGACCGCTGGGAGGTGAATCTTGATCAGGCAGTCCAGACGCTATCAGACGATGGTTCGGGCATCATCCATATAACAGATTTGAACACCAAGTCGGAGCCTGCCGTACTCTTTTGATGGTTGGGGGGGAGATTGGTCGATTCTTCCGTACTCTTTCCTTGTCTTGTCTTTTCTTTTCTTTTTAAGAGACGCCATGCTAGCGAGTCATTGGATAGTACGTGAGCAACGTCTGATCTCTCTTATCTAGAGAATACTTACTGGGTATGCTGGCATGTACATACTTGACAGATGGGCCCTCATATGACCAAGCTGTGAATACATCCTGGCAGTACTTGCCTTGCGAACCAGGATGCTGGATGATGCGCTGTACCTGAGCTAGGCTTGACTCGCAGCCCATAAGCACTCTACTCTGGATTAAGACGATAGACATCGTGGGTAGGTATATTGTTGCGTCTTCTTGTACCTCGTAGTCGGCCAACTGTCGAGACGAGACGAGGACCAGGTCCACTGGTCGGCCTACTTATTGCTCCTGCAGTATCACCATCCATCAATTGTACTGTCAACGGAGAGTAGGGCATGGGAACATAACAAGTGGACGCAGCAGAGAACGCAAACTCAACCTGATCGTGCTTCGTTGTGATAGCTTGAACATGAAGTGAGTCCCGTCTTCAATGCTACAGCACTTATAGGGCTCACCCTCCACTACACGGCCGCTAAGACTACCTCCCCGGCTCCTAACAGCCTCCCGGTTGGCGGCTCCAGAGCCTAAAAGCGCTTAGCTGCCGAGCCCAATAGGCGAACCGGCCAGCCCCAAGCCCCGTGCCTGTCACGTTACCGGCAAGCTGGGCTGCCATTGGCGGCGTCTGGTGATGGCCTCGAGTGCTGCCACACGCAACCTACTCGCTCGTTCCCCGCCCTGTCGGCCAACTTGAATGACGGTCGGACAGGCGCTGAGGCTGCTTCGCCGCGGTGTTCGCCGAGAGACTCGACCGGGAACCGACTAGGCGCTGTGCTGCCTCTCAACCGCCCAACTCCACCAGCCACGGCGCCGCCGCAGAGACTGACCGACCAACCAGCCGGCCAACCAGCCAACCCGCCCAGGTTTGGCCAGGCCCGGGACGGCAAACCACCGCGAAGTCGCCTCGTCACATTTACCTGAGACACGGGAGCTGCCCGAGACGAAGATGAGCGGCGCCGACTCGGCCCAGGGCCGCCCCCGCAAGTTCACCATCCAGAGTCATTTCGGCCGGCCTCGACAGCCGCGGAGCCGCAAGAACCGGCCCTGCGACGCCTGCCGGAGGCGGAAGACGGCTTGTGTGATTACCTCGGAGCCTCCTTGTAAGTCCTCGTTTGATCGTCTTGCCGTGTGTGCCCTTGCGTCTGTCGCCATGTTGCCAGTGGGCATCGATTCCAACCGAGCCCCTGAGCCTCACACGTTGAACAAAGTATGTTGTGCGTGTCTATCTGCTGCGCGTCAGTGTGGGTTGATGTCGACAAACCAGCCCCGGCGGCTCCCGCTCCATGCTGCGCAAGCTTTCCAGTTGGGTCGCACGTGTCCGCCTCCCGCTCGGCCACAGATTGCTGGCACCATCGTTGGCTTGGGCAGCTATGGAGCTCGAGCTGCGTCACTGGCACCACGGAGGTGTGTGCTCAGGGCTGCTTTTCCAAGTGGGAACAAGCGGGAGCGTCCCCTCTCCAGCCGCCTGTTGGTCTATGCTTCACGCACAGGCTGCTGCATGCGGACCTCCACAGCTTCTGCTTTGATCCATGGGGCTGCACGGCAATATATGCTTAATCCCCGCCTCGTACCGGACCGAGTGCTAAACCTCTGCCTGCAGGTCTCTTTTGTAAGAGCAGAGGGTTGGTCTGCCAATCTACGCCGACCCCTGATGAGCTGTCTGCTCAGCATGAGAGTGCCGGCGAAAGCACCACTGACAATGGCGCCTCGGATGCTGAGCTCGTCACGCCTTCGGCCATGGGCTCCTCGCCGGGTCTATCACGCCGCAGCGTCTCGCACTCCAGCCCGGCAGACACGGTCCAGTCGTCTACAGGCATCACTGTTGCTGTGGCTTTGAGTATGGAGCGGCAGCCGTCTGCCCCCTCCGCCATGGTACATCAGGGCTTGGTTCGCCAGTCTGGGCCGCCTGCAGATGGCCAGGACCAGCCCTTACATGGCGTCTCACACCCGGCCGTTCTGTCATCCAACCTTCCTCTCCATACGCTCGAGGACAATTTCAACAGGACCGCGCACTCCATGGGACCGTCGGCTGAGCAGGACACGTATCTCCTGGATGCCTTCAGGTGTCTAATTATTAGTGAAAAGGATGAGATCGATGCCAACATCATCCAGGTGTATCCTGGTGGTCACACCGCGGACGATCGTCCGGTCCACTTCTTACTCTTGGAAAATGAAAACCCCGAGTTCACAACTGAGGCAAAGCAAGCTGCCTCGGACGGGACGGAGAGGCTTGTGTGGCCCTATGGCGAACACTTGATACGTCTATACTTCAAGCACGTTCACCCTATATACCCCGTCGTCACCAAGACGCGATTCCTTCGTCAGTACAAGGCCAACAGGATGAAGATCCCGGCCTCGTTGCGTGGTGCCATCTACGGCATGGCGTGCGTTTTCTGGGACCGTGACCCAAGCATTACAGAGCCATGCCCCTTCCAGCAGCATCAATGCATAGACCACGCGCACGAGGCTTGGAGGCGTGAGCATGAGAACCCCAACCTCTTCAGCCTTCAGGCAGGCCTTTTGCTCCATCACATCACGCCTCCTGAAATTGACAGTGTTGAGACGCCGAGCATGTGGACCATGACGGCGCAAACCACTGCATGTGCTCAGACAATAGGCCTCCATCAAGATCCCACCCGCTGGAGCATTGAGCCATGGGAGAAGAGAGTCAGAAAGAAGCTCTGGTGGGCAGTGTATGCCTCGGATTGCTGGTCCGCAATCTGCCACGGGAATCCTCCGCACATCAGCCTAAGCTCATTCAGCACCATTCCACCCGACATGGACGACATTCGAGCGGATGAGACTCTGCCTGAAGACTTGCGATACCTAGTTGAGCCCGACGATGCCATCTTCCAAGCCTCAGTGGGAGCTCGATTCTTACAGTTTATCAACCTGACCATTATCTTGAGGGAGGTGCTGGACTGCAGCTTGTAAGTCATGGCGAACCCTGCATAACATCTTGTCGTCGATGGTGTTTGCTCACGCGGCATCGTTGATGCAGCCAAGTTCGACCCAACCCGTCAAGCCTCGCCGACAGGGAAACACAGTTGGTCATTCTGAGAGAGAAATTCAACGACTGGCATAGCCTCCTCCCGCAATGCCTTGCTCTCGGCCCCGACAGAGGCCAAGACGTGGTCAGCAACTGTAAGACTTACAGGCAACTTATTGACCGACCATCGGAAGCGAGCACTAACTCTATCGCCAAGGCCCTTTGCATCTCCATTATTACGCGAGCCAGGCACTCTTGTACCGAGGGTTGATGTATCCTGCTACCAGAGAGGCCAGGGCCAATCCCGAGTCGAGCCTTCGCAGGTGGTTTCTCTCTGCCCTCAGCGAGTTTCGAAACTTTGTCTGCTTTTTCCACTCTATTGCCGAGGAAGATTTGCGAGGCTTTTGGTGTCGCCGTAAGTCTTTGGATCCTTCCTGGCTTGGCGTTGTGAACCTGGAGTTTGACTGCGAGTTGCTCCTTGGCTAACAGAAAGCAGATGCCCGATCCCAATTGATCTTGTGCGGGAATTTTCTCATTTACCTCTTTCTGCTAGCCACTGACCAGCAGGACATTGAGGCTGCATATCAACTCCTGCAAGAGTTCCACCACTCTCTCGAACGACTAGGCGAAACCACTCACAAGCCGGGACGGCTTCTGCTCCGGCCTGTCAGGCTCAGGCTGGATTCCTTCTTTCGCCAGGCGGCCACGGTTCTTCGAGGGAGCGAGGCGCTCATTACGTCGCCTACGAACGCAACAGGCTAGACGCCGCGAGCAAAGGACGAGTTGTGAATATTTCCTTTCGTTTTGGATATACATGTATCAGTCGAATATACTCCACGGACAAGCTGTATGTGTATATCAGCTTTATCTCGGCATTTACACGGCGCGTTGATAGCCTTGGACACTTTGGGCAGAAATTATAGACTGAATCGACTCGCAAAAAGCGGTATTTTACGCTTTCTAGATTATATCCGTCATCTTTATATACAAGGCAATACATATCAGACAAAAGCGCTTCTCGAAACGAATTACAACAACACATTACTCTGCCTGCACGGCAAAGCATCACTCAAGAACAGTTAAACAGACCTCTGCAGCCCCAGCTGCGACCACAGCTTCTGCGCAAACACATCGCCAACCTCCCACTTCCTCGCCCCATGCGACAGAATCGCCGCAAAAGGGGACAGCCACACGTCGACATTGCACTTGCACAGATGCACCCCATGCAGCCAAACGTTGCCCCCCGTCAGTATCCAATGGTCCACCTCGGGACTCTGTCCCGCCCCCAGCGGCACGAAGCCAAAGTCCAGCTCGCCTGCGAGCGGCATCGGGCTCATGCACGTGCACGCGGACGTCGTGTTCTGGATCCACGTCCAGAGGATGGCGGCGCCGGCAGCGATGGTCATGTGCGCTATGGGGTCGACGACTTCGGCCTTGAGGTCGGAGGGAGAGGACGTTGTCGAGCCGTAGACGCGGTAGGCGAAGAGGGCGTGGGAGACAGCGATGCGGCAGTCTGGCGAGGAGGCCCATTCTTGGACTTGGGCGTTGTCGACGGCTGTTGCCAACGAGGAGAGATTGGCGGCGGATGCTGCGCCGGCAGGCGACAGGACGGGGAGATTTTGCATGTAGCTGTGGACGTCGGCGTAGATGTGCATGTTGAGGAGGTGGTACAGCATGGTGGCGCTGAAGACGAAGGAGAAGAAGCGGTTCCGGGCGGCCTCTTCCCAGCCTTCGTGGAAGGGCTCTTCCTTGGCAGAGTATGCTCTCAGGAGGAAATCGATGTGCATCTTGTTGAGCTCTGGTTCTTTCCATATGGACGTCATGCTGTCGAGCTGCAGCTTGCAGCGCTTCAGACGAGCCGATATCAGCTCCTTATGGTCGGGAGACACGCAGAGCGCCGGGTTGGGACTTCCTCGCATCTTATTGAGGATCCAGACGTAGTTTGTCACGCCCATCATGCGGATCTGGAGATCTTCAACAAGGATTACCGGCGGAATGGGCTGTTGTGAGCCCAACGCGAGGTCGCATATTCTATACTGTGAGCGCTCGACGGGCTCGGAGGGCCATCTCCGGAAGAAGACGTCTATGCCCCAAGCATTCCATTGGCCAAAGGTGGATGTCAGACTCAGGCTCATTTCCTCACGCTGTAATAAGGGGGGTTGTTGGGTGAGGAGGGATATATATGAATCGATCTTGAACATGTTTGTGCAGAGTCTGGGAGAGGTTAGTGCTCGCTCTATGGCATTGTTTGAGGGAGTGAAGGGGGCTTTGAGTTCACCTTTTCCATTTCTCCTTCATGGAGAACACCCAAGGAGGGAAATCGCCGCTGAAATGGATCCGTATCTGATGCTCGATGGCGTCGGCGCTGAAGACTCTGAGATGTCGGAACACGGTGACGAGGAGGCTGAAGAGGAGGCGGGCCTTTTTCATGTGCTTTTCACGCTGCAGATGGATTAGTCGCCGATATCGAATGGATATCGCCATGTGAGTAGGTACGTACTCCGCTTTCGAATGCAAAAATGATGTTCAGGAGAGAGCTTTGCAGTGTCCGGAGGGGCCAGACGCCGGCTGGGTCGGGACTCGTGTCTATCTGCGAGCAACATGTAAGTCAGCACGCGGGAAAACCCCCCCTTATAGTAAAACACAAACCACTTACCAACTCGTCCAGAAGGCGTTTCACCAGAATGCTATGAATGTCGAATATGAGGTGATTGTTGCCCTCATTCTCGTGCCGCAGCCAGGATCCTATCAGGAGGACGGTGCTACGCAGTCTGACGGATTCCACCTCCTTCTCAAAGGTAGGACCATGAAGCACCGGCCAGCGGTCGTGGAAGCGGCCAAAGTACGTATCGATGCACGCCGCGGACCATTTCTTGACTTGAGGGGTCAGATGCCGCTGGCTTCTCGACGATGTTGCTGATTTTGGCCTCGAAGCGGCTTCGAGGACTAGTTGCAGGCCCTCGAGGGAGGCGGAGGACGGGTCTTGTTGCTGAAGTGACTCCTGGCTTAAGGGTGTACTGTTCATATGAGACACGGGCGCACCAGATTGTGAACCGCTAGAAGAGACCGAGGCCCCTGTTGAAGATCTCGGACCGTCTGGCGAGCGTGACCCGTGGCTCGAGTGCAAGGAAGAAGCTGTACCTTGCCGGGTGCTGGATACGAAATTAGGCCCAGGTCCTCTGGTGAAGGCACAGTTGATGCCTCTCTTTGTGCACAGACTGCACCGAGCACCCCCGTCGCAACGGATCTTGCTTGCGTGACAGGCATCACAGGCGCGGACTCGTTTCGAGTCTGAGGGGGCGGAGCCATCGTGGAGCGTCAGGTGGCGACGGAGGAGATCACTGCGACGACGAAGTTTTCTAGCATTCAGCGTGTGTCTCTTTGATTGTGCCATAAGATGCCCTTTTCTTCTTTCTCTTCTGCTTCATCTACTCGCTTTGGAAGGAAAAGGGGCACAAGTGCCATTAAACAGAAGGGAAAGATGATAGAAGAAGGAAACTCACCTGCGGCTGAACGACCGAGAGCACACATGGCACGTGAAGGACGGACTGCCATGAACCGCCTGATGCCGCCGGAGATGCTCCTTTCTGAGAAAGCCTCTTCCGCAGTGGCAGAGATGACGCTCTCCCGAAGGGGGCCCCATCTCTACCTTGAACCCGAACTCGCGAGAGAGTGATAGATCTTGTCTCTCCCACTTCCCGTCCGACACGGGGGAGGGGGTCGGTTGGTGGACTCGCGTTTGATTTCCGCGTTTACCTAAGAGCGAGAGAGAAACGGGGAAATGCTGCCAGGGATTCTGGTGCAGATGGCGATGGCGGTTCGGTGGATCCGGTGATGATTGGAGGGGAGCCGTATCAGGCAAAAGTATGACTTTCTCTCTGTGTGACTCTGGCGATATGCCGATGAGGGTTGTTGGTCTACTTTCTCCCACCGGCGCCGAGACCAGTAGGTTCCAAGATGGCACCCGGAAAGCGGATTTGAGAAGGGAATCTCCAGAAAAAAGCAAGCATAGACGAGATACACGGGGGCGGACTTTAGGAATTAGAGAGCGAGTGCAACCCACAGCCGCAAAGTCCACAGTTTGGCGATGCAAGACGTGCAGTTGGCTCGGGCGAGATGCACTTACAATCGGGATCGCGTTGGTGGTGGTGAGGCGGGATCGGAGCCGCGGTGGGATGCGACCTTGAATCTGTTCGGTCCAGGCCGATATAATACACACGCCCAAAGGAATTAGAGCACGATGAGGCAAGACAGCCGAAGAGTGAACAGGCGAAAAACGAGAATATCGAAAGTTAAACACTGAATGACTCAGAATGGCAAACAATACAGAACACCAGGGCAAAGGAATTTTGAAGGAGAAGAGAAAGAAGTGAAGACACGGAGCTGTCGGTGGGATGAGCGGACAGGATCCTCGGGCTGCAGATGGGGGATGATAAATCTGATCTGCTCACCCCGGCATTAACTGACGGCTTACACACAAAGCTCAGCGACTTTTGACGCGCCTTTTCCCCCCCTCCCTCAGCAAAGAGCAGAGCCTTTCGGCCATCCCACTTCCGGGGCCCTGGACAGCGGCTCCTTCGGTGAGGGCTGGCATTCTCGGCGTCTCCCACTCCCAATCGAGGCTAGTCGGGGCCTTGTCTCAGCTTCTTCTTCTTTTTTCTTAGCATGTGCTTTTTGCCCTCAGCTTGGCTTGTCAGCTAACACTAAGTGACTACTACCTCTAGTGAAAAAGAAGGATAGGTATGGAGAGGCTTGGAGTCGGTTTGGGTGCTAGAACTAACTTGTAGTAACGGCGGACAGACGGGCTCGGGAAAGGAGCCGAAGTGTGTCCACACTATGAACGGCCAAGGGGGGTGAAAAAATGCTGTCGATGACATGTGCAGATTGCAGATGGTGCTTTAATAAGAGAAGACGATGGAGCGGAAGTTTGCATATCGGTAGCCGACAGTCGAAAGCGCGCGGCTGTGGCGCAAACAGGAGGATCGATGAGATAACCGAGGGCAAAGTGGCGAGATCTATCGGAGCATCTCGATTGTGTCGATGGCGATGGGGATGGCACAATCGCGGGGTGTGGACAGGCAGAACGGAGAACCCACGGAGTTGTGATGATGCGAGGCTGCTTGGAAATCAGTGTCGGCATGGCAAAGATGGGCTCTGCTGCCTCGATATGGAAAGACGAGGCTGTTGCTACGATTCACGATGGGGGAGTTGTGAAGATATAAAGACGGCCACCATGCCTTGATCTATTGCTTCCACTCCAGTTGACAAACTCTCAAGCATCTGTACAACGATCCACAGCGTTTTCACTTACACGACGTCTCCTAACAGCAAGAGCAACATCATCTTTCAACGCAACAAACAATGGCCACCGTCCTGAAGAACATCGCCCTCGTCGGCGCCAGCGGCAACGTCGGCAAGGTCCTCCTCCCAGCCCTCCTCGCCGCCAACAAGTTCACCGTCACCGTCCTCCGCCGCCGCGCCTCCTCGCCCTCGACCCTGCCCTCCGGCGTCCGCGTCGTCGACGTCGACTTCAGCTCCGCCGACTCCCTGGCCGCCGCCCTCGCCGGCCAGGACGCCCTCGTGTCCACCGTCGGCTCCGGCGCCCTCAACGACGAGCAGAAGAGGCTCATCGACGCCGCCGTCGCCGCCGGCGTCAGGCGCTTCCTGCCCTCCGAGTACGGCTGCGACCTGCAGAACGAGCTCGCCGCCAAGCTGCCCGTCTTCGCGCACAAGGTCGAGGTCGCCGGCTACCTCGAGGACAAGGCCAGGACGACGCCGCTCACGTACACGCTCGTCTACAGCGGGCCCTTTTTCGACTGGGGCCTGCAGCACAACTTCATCTTCAAGAGCGCCGGCTCCAGGCCGTTGCTGTACGACGGCGGCAGCACCGTCTTCAGCACCTCGACGCTCGACGCCGTCGCCCAGGCCGTCGTCGGCGTCCTGTCCAAGCCCGAGGAGACCAGGAACCGGGCCGTGCGGTTCCAGAGCGTGGCCATTTCGCAGGCGCAGCTGCTTGCTATCGCGAAGGAGGTTGCGCCGGAGAGGGACTGGCAGCCGGAGGTCGTCAAGCTGGATGATATCACCAAGGCTGCTGATGAGAGGCTGGCAAAGGGGCTCTTTGACCAAGAGACCTTTACGCCGTATATCCTGCGTGCCATTAATGACGAGCGGTACGGGCCCAAGTTTGAGAAGCTGGATAACGAGCTGTTGGGGGTCAAGCAGTTGACTGAGGAGGAGGTCAAGGCGATTGTGAAGGAGAAGCTCAGCGACTAGGGTGCCACATGTGGTTGCTTCCAAGGGTACTTTTAGTGTAGTTTCCCCTGTTCTGCAATAGACAAAGTTGAGTCCGGTAATGCAGCATTCTTAGTGTCTTTCCTCGTAATGTCCTTGATCTCTATGGAGAAAGCCGTTGACGACACAGATCATCGTATGACGCCAATCTTACCAACTGCTAAATCCGGACTTTTGTGTAATCAATAATCAATAGCTACGGATTCTCGTAAAAATAGAGGCGAGCATCTTCCATGCTAAGTAGCCGTCGGGCTCACGTATAAGTCGTTGAGCCATCTTGGCAGTGGGCCAAGTGCAAGGAGCAGCAGCTCGACACTGCGAGCTTCGGCAGGGTGTCGATGATATAAGAGACTGTGACTCGCGTCGCTCTTTGTGCACGACTGTTGAGGCTCGATGACTGCTTAGATCTACTTGATTGACTTTGAATGCAAATCCGCCGTGATGTATATATCCGGATCGATGTTACAATATGTATAGTGACTGCATATCATGACTGGACTATGACTCGTGTCAAACGAGCGAGGTAACTGCAATCGACCCCTCGACTATAGTAATGAGGCGTGATACACACGTTGAACGACAGGCGTGTGGTGAATAGTTCGCTCAAAACTATATCTATAGCCTCTGTAATCTCCGTCTCAGCTTGAGCACATCCAAACAACTCCCTAACCTCAAGGTGGACGTGACTCATCGCACCCAGCATCTTGCAAACCTCTAGAGATGGAACACTCCTTGCACGGCTTCAGTTTCAGGCCCCAGACTTCTCTTCTCGTCTCCGATCGACACGAGATCGACGATGCTGAGATAGAGCCCATGCAATGGCAGGAGCCTCAGCAACACGAGGTGTGATTCCGAAAGCAACATATTGATAGCCAACCTCTCGCTAATGATTCAAGGCACGCAATCTGCAGCCGCATCTCAGCTACTTCGAGGAAGCAACCCAGACGCCGAACTGGGAGTATCAGAATCAGCGTGCCGATACTACCACAGCATCTCAAACATACGAAGGACATGAACGCCAGAGTGGTCCCACAGCTTCGAACATGGCACATGTCGATTTTGTCAGAGCCGAGGACGAGGTGAACGCTTACCAAACCGATCACTGCGTCCCTCTGGAATGGTCCAGGTTCCCGACAGTGCAGCCTATCCAGCTCAAGCAAGAAGAAGACGTTGACGAGAGCATGGAGTTAATCGCAGAGACTAGCCCATCGGGGGCAGACAATGTCTGGTTGAAAAAATATCCAGCTTTGTTTTCGCCTCAATATATCGAGCGTAAAAGCGACTTCGACCCCACGAGAATAGCAATGCTCGATTCGTGCGAAGATGAGGATATTGAAAGCGAAGATGACGAGGATGCTGAATGTGAAATGGTGGTTGACGAGGATTCGTTGGACGTTCAGGACGGAGTGCTTCCTGACTACGAAGACGACTTTCTCTATGATGAGCCTCATGGATGGATTCGACAGCGACTGTATGATCCGAGGAGCGAAGCCGACATGGGTGAATAGGTCGGCATCGATGAATGGACGAGGCGAAAGGAGGTGGCTCGCAACAGGGGCAATAAGAGACAAAGTATTCAATAGGGTATTCTATATTGAAGTTGTGAAAAGAGACATGGCTTGCTCGCTGCTCCTCCTTTTCGCAACTTTCCACCTTCCCAAGAGATGCCGTTGCTAGACACATACCAACCAAACAACAAGACGAACAAACACAAATTCCAGACGCAAAACCACCAAGCGACAGCATCAACCCCCCTTCCAACCCACCCCAGCCCCATCAACACCCCCTACTCATCATCCGAATCATCCCCAACACTCTTCACAGTCGCCGGCTGGGGCGGAAACTTCATCTTCCTCGTCCCCTCCGCTCCCCATCCGCCCAGCCCCTCGCCCGCGCCCGCGCCGACGAAGCCCGACGCCGACCCGACGCTGATCTTGCCCGCGGGCTGGTTCTTGCCCACGCCGGGCTGCGTCTCGGCCCAGGCGTTGAGCTGGTCGCGCGTCTTGCCGGTGTACTTGAGGATGTCTTCGTCCGTGAGGCCCGGGCCGCGCTTCTTGTCTTCGTAGCGTCGGTAGACACTCTTTTTCTCGTCCGTCTTGTTGATGTCTGTGTTGTTGGGTGAGTCTGATGGGGAGGAGTTGGAGTTGCCCATTTTTCGTGGTTGCTGTAGTTGTCGGCTTCTGATATATATAGTTGGCTGAAGTGTAGAATCGTTTCTGCCGTTATATCCAGGCCCGCACCATTGAGTATATGAACGACCAAAAGCATCCGCGGAAAAGGCAGATCGAGAGCCGACTTATATACTCGCCCGCATGCCCATAGCCTCACGCTAGACGCTCAAGCCTAGAACACTCCCCTTTGTTAAGCATAATCCGGGTTATGCTTCCCAAAGCAGTTGGATCTGCTCCCCCATTCACCACGATTCGCCTCGCCCCAGCTCCTTCAAGGCTGATCGTGGAATGCGGGGTCTCGGTCAGACGGGCCGAAGGGAAAAGGCGTCTGTGGCACCTTTCAGCCTCACGGAAGGAGGGGGATCAGCCGAGCATTGACGCGTCTTCTCGATGCTAGTTGTTCATCCATACAGATGCCAGAGACTTGCCGTTGGCCAGAATGGGGGCGAGCTTGAAGTGGTAAACACGTCAGCAGCTCGGGGGGTCACGAGGTGCCTCCTCCCAGTTCAGCTTCAGCCTCATCTCCGGCTCCGGAGTCAGGTTCCGGCCCGGGCACCGGAGCAGCTGCGGACGCAGCCGATGGAGCAGCTGGTGAAGGTGAAGCAGCAGCAACTGGTGAAGCGACGGAAGCCGCCGAAGACGCCGCACCAACAGCCGACACGGATGGGGATGCCGACACAGAGCCAGCCTCAGCCTCAGCCTCAGCTGCAGCCCCAACATCCCCCGTCCTCTTGCTCTTACTCTTACTCTTAGTGCTCTGCGCTGCCGGATTCACGCTCCTCCTCCTCCCTCCCCCCGCAGGCCTCTTGTAGCCCAGCTTCCGCAGCGCGTGCCGGATGCAGTACTCGCCCACGTCCCAGCCCAGCGCCTGCGGGATCTTGCCGTACGGCATGCGCTCGTTGGCCGGCGACGCCGCCATGAAGGCCTTGAGCTCCTCGACCTGGGCCTCGCTCAGCTTGCTCGGCCGGCCGGGGCGCGTGATGGGCGTCTCGGCGTGCGAGAGGGCGTACTGCACCTGGCCCAGCGACAGGCCCAGCTCGCGGCTGATGGCCGACTGCGTGTAGCCCAGGCGACGCATGAGCTGGGCGTCGCGTCGCTGGTCGCGCGTTGTGTCGGGGCGCCGGGACGGCTCTGGCTCTGATGAGTCTGGCATGTTGGTGGTGGATGGTATATCAGGCTTAGAGAGAGTGTGATAGACTAGATGGATTCCAGTCAACGGTAATACTAGCACGAGGAGAATCAGTGTGAATGTCCGAACAACTAGCAGAGGTAACTGGTTGATTACGAGCAGGTATAATTTATCATAATTTATAACCGTCCCCAGTGGCATGTGGGGAAACAATCTAATGATACCGTGGTAATCCTCCTCCTCCTCCTCCTCCAGCTTGACCCTGTATTATGTGGAATATGTTGCTTATCACATCAACCACTTCCGTCTCATCTCATCAAAGCATTGATAACATGCAATACTATCGCTCTGCGCCTATCGAGTTCGTCTGCGTGCATTATGAGTACGTAGTAATAGCATTCATGTCTTGCCCCTTGCGGCATAACGCACTACAGAGCCAGGGGAATACGAGGAATACCGCAAAAGATTTCAAATTATCCGTCGGTTACGGAGTGAGGGTGTTCCACAGCACAACAAGGCCATCGGCAAGCCTTCAATGTTCTCTACAACAACAAACCCTTACCCTACTCTCCAAGGATACGGAGGCTTTCTTTACTTGATTTACCGCCAATCACGGAGCATTTGAAGGCTGTTGTTTTTTAGACAAAGTCTTTTTCATCATTTCCTTTTCTATGCTTGTTTCTATCCTTCTCTTTTCATTCCAGCGTTCTTTCATCTCGCCTTTCTCGCCTTTACGCATGAGGAGCCAGGCCCAGCGTGTTGTTGCCAATGTTGAAAGCCACAAACTGCGACTTGAAGAAGATGTCGCCATAGACACCCAGGCCGCCCTGCGTCGTTGCCTGAAGACCACCAAAGCAAGCTGTTGAAAAGGAACAATGTCAGCCATTGAAATTCCATGTACATAACTTCTGGAAAAGAGGAATAGGGTAGCAAACTTACTGTTTCCCGACACGGGCGAAAAGTTGAGGTCCGAACCGCTGATCCGGGCCACGTACTTTCCGCCAACGTCCAGGTCCAAGTCGGGCAGCTGGGCATCGCACGGGATGGTGAAGCCGCCGGCCTGCGCGTCGTTCTGCGCGCCCTGGACCTGCGAGTAGTAGCCCTGGACGATGATGGGGTCGGCCAGCAGCAGCGTGGTGCCCGTGTCGGCAATGGCCTGGCCGCCGGCCGTGGCCTGCTGCGTCGCGCCGCCGTTGACGGCAAACGACTCGCTGCTGAACTGCCAGAAGCCCTGCGAGTTGTCGACGTCGACCCAGGTCAGGTCGCCCTGGAAGGCGGTGGCGTCGACGGCGCCGAACGTGTAGGTGCCGGGCTGGCCCTTCTTGAGGTCGGCCGTGAAGACGGGCTCGGCGAGGGAGCTCTGGACGTTGTCGAGGAACGTCTTCTGCTGCTGCGGCTGGACCGTGTTGAGCGTGGAGAAGGCGAGGCCCATGAGGCCGTCGTTCTGCTGGTCGTCGACAAACTGCTGCGTGACGGCGGTGGCAATCTCGACGGCCTGGGCATCGAAGACGGCGCCGCCGACGTCGACGACGTCCGTGCCGACGACGCCCTCGGCACCGGAGCCGTCGCCGTACTGGACGAGGAACTGCGCGCCCTGGATCTGCTTGAAGGTCTTGCTCTTGGTGGGATCGTACAGGATGTGGCCGGCCGTCAGCGAGGGGTCCATGGCCGTGTTGAAGACCCAGAGGTCGGAGGAGCCGGTGTCGAAGTCGAGGTTGAGCGTCTGGCCGCCAATCTTGACGGGGGACAGGAACTCGACGTCGTTGCCCTCGGGGGTGTTTGTCACGCTGCCGACCTGGCCGGAGGCGGGCTGGGTTGCGGCCGGGGCCGCCGGGGCCGTTTGCGTTCCGTTGCCTCCGATCTGAGTGCCGTTTCCTCCGGCCTGGCCCTGGCCTTGACCGTTTCCGTTGCCGTTGCCGTTGCCGTTTCCATTGCCGTGGTGATGTCTTCCACTGCCAGCGTTGCCATTGGCATTGGCATTGTTATCGTTTCCATTTCCTCCGTTTCCACCGTTGCCCCCAAGCAGGCCAAGCTCACCCAAAAGATCCACCAACGACCGCCTGCTCTTCTTCTTCGCAGCAGCCTCCTGCGCGGCAGCAGCAGCCGCCGCAGCCCGGCGGGCCACGACGGCCGCCTCCCGCACCGCCAGCGCGTCCTTGAGCTCCTGGGGCATGGTCCATCCGAACTTGCGGTACGCCTTGCCCATGGCCTTGAGGCCGTCGTTGCCGGTGAAGTTGGGGTTGGCCCTCCGCTCGACCTTGAAGGAGCCGCGCTTCTGGATGGGGATGGCCGAGGCCGAGACCAGGGCGATGAGGCCCAGGAAGAGGGCCGTTAGAAGGAGTCGTGAGTGCATTGCGGATGATGTGTTTTTGTGACTTGGGATAGGTATATACTCAGAAGGAAAAGGAGCTTGTGAAGAGAGGGTTGATTTGACAAGTATGTGTATATACAAGAAAAAAGGGGGGGATGAAAGAAAACCACACCAGGTGGCTTTGTTGAAGAGAACTGAAGCAAAAAGGGAAGAAGAAAAGGAAACGAAGAAAAAAAAAAAGACTTTGTTATTTCGGTCCCTCGCAGAGGTCTGGCCAAGAAAAGAAGAAGAAAAAGGCAAAGAAACGAAAAGAGGGCATGATATATATATCTATATCTAGTATATACACGTCCGTTTACTTGGCGATAACTTGGCGATGGCCGATCGGAACCAGGGGAGGCACCAGAACAAGGAGGGAGACGCGGACAGTCTCAGCATCTACCAGCATCCGCTCCCCCTGTCCACCACTAACAAGCTCCAAATCCCCATGTTCTTACTAGTGATTCTCCTCGCAGCCTCTCGTCGACTCATTTCCTCGCATGAACAAGGCCATACGGACGTAGTATTGCTGTGTAAGTCGTCCCCCTTGGTCGTCGACGGGCACAAGTGGAGAATGGCTCTGCCCTGCCCCGGGGAGGCAAGCGTCAGACAAAGAACGCCTCACAATGGGTGGGGCCGCGAGGGCCTTGGGCCGGCAACTGGCTGGCCTTGGAGAATCCTGGTCCGTTAGCCTGGGGGGGGACCGGAGTCATGCTGCTGTGCCGCGGATCCGGAGGGAGGTGGTTTGCGTAGGCTGGGCAGCAGACGGAGGAGGGTTGTGCGAGATGATGTGGTGAGTGTAGTACTATGTAAGTTGTCTCGTGAGGTGGTACGTGGCAGTCAGTATATGATTGATGTTGATGATAGTTGCTACTACAACTGAGATGTGCGTGTAATAGCCTAAGCAGAGCAGTAGAGTTGCGAATCTTGCCAAAGGAGCTGCTTCATCATCATACCAATTTCCGGCTATTCATGCTTCAATCTCGGCCAAATATGGAATACAGTGTGCCATCCAAGCAGCAGCATCAAGAAGAACACCTCGAAGCCCTAGCCCATTGATTTGCCTAACAATACGCACTCATAACACGAGTGAAAACGCGGATTACGCACTCCATACGCTTCCACGAGACGCCTCACCTTCAACCAAACTCCCTCCTCTCCCCGAATGGACGTTTCACAGCCAAGCGATAATAAACACCCCCAGCAAGAAAATTATCCCCGAAACGCCTCCCCAGCCAACCAAACCAAGGCCGCTCCACGGAGGCAGTCGTTCCATTAAATGCTGATGTTTCAGAGGCTGAAACAGCGCCAAAGTCTCCAAGAATCCCGGCGCTTGGCGGTTCGACAGAAAAGACAACCCCGTTCCTTCTGAAACTGGCAACGTAGCGCCCACTTGGGATATCCCATAGTAATACAGTATCACTGAACCACCATCATCAAAAAGCCTCTCTCTTCATCTCTAGTACTTATTGATGTGATTGTTTCTTCTCTCCGCTAGTGAACGCATCTATCGAAAACAGGCAGCTTTGAAGGGAAATGGCCGTTTGAAGTCCGGTACAACCTTCTTAGAAGGGCCCTTGAAGCCGGCGATCATGTCATGCAATCGCTTGATGTGGATTGCGGTCCAGACCTGCCGTAAACTAAGCTTGTTCATGCGGCGGCCTCGATTGATTGCTGCTTATTCTGATCGGCTCCTGTTCCGGATGAATTGATGATGCCGAGAGGCACTGTGCATTTCCATGGAGAGAAGTGGTTGAAGCGAGTGTTGGCTGGCCTTGCAGCTTGTTATATCAATACATCATCGAGAAGACGTCGGCTCAACTACCTATTGTTGCAGTGAATCCTCTACAGTTGACGAGGCAAATATTGACCATCTCTTTCAAACGCTCGATTGTTTTCCCAAACACCCCCTTTGCATATTGTCCATAGACCTTCCTATGGGTGCAGGGTAATTCCGAGCCTGACGAGCCTGGCAAGCCTCGGAGAATCATGTACGGAGTAGTATATGGAAGAACACAGAGAGTCATGAATTACATGTGCTGGATGTCTACTTCCCACACGAGGTGGTTCTTCTGGAACGAATCAGTCACAGCCTGTTTCTAAGCTGAGAACCCGAATCCCAGCTTGCCTCACGTCTCTCGTTCATGGTGTTCATCGTTCGGCATGCTTCATCCCGGCTGGCCTCATACCTCTTGTTTATTGAGCTCATCGTTTGGCATGCTTCATCCCAGTAACGCCAACGTCTAAACTGACAAACCAAACAACATAATCTGCAAACCTAATCCTTACCTTCTAGGTCCCCAAATCTCCATCTCCTCAACCATCCCCAGCACTCTTATACTCCCCCTTCCCAACCCTCTCCACCAACTTCCCCAACGTCTCCGCCCCATACTCATAATCCCCCAGATCCAAGTAAACCTGCGCACTCATCCTCACCCAAAACCTCCTCCCCAGCCAAAACATGGGCACAATCGTGTTATAGTCCCTCGCCATCGTGCTCATCATCCACACAACCACCCGGTCCCCGTCCTCAGCCGCCACAACGACATCCCCCTCCTTGCCCTCATCAGCCCCCTTCTCCCCCCTCCACAGAGGCAGCGCAATGTTCGCCATGGCGCAGTTCGTCAACGTCCCCTTGCTGTTCTCCAGCACCTCCGTCCCCAGCCTCTCCGCAACGAGCCTGCTCCCCTTCTTGTTCAGGTCCCACAGATACGCCAGGATCCTCTCCTCCCCACCCAGCACATCCCTCCGATACGCAACCGCGTCCTTGACACAGAAACTCGGCGAGTAGTCCCTCGTCCCCGTAAACTCAAAGTTGTTCACAAAGAAGCTCTTGGCCGCGTCCTGCTTCGCCGGCGGCCCGCTCCTCTTGCCCGTCAGCGAAGCATACCCGTGGCTCGTCGCCAGCGTCGACGGCAGCAGATGCTGGTTCCGCACGGGCACGTAAAACACCGCGCACCCCCTCGGCGTGAACAGCCACTTGTGGCAGTTGCTCACGAAGAAGTCCGGGTCCGCCGCCCCGAGATCCAGCCTCACCATGCCGATGCCCTGCGCGCCGTCCACGAGGCTCAGCACCCCCAGCTCGCGACACGCCGCCACCATGCGCTCCCACGGAAACACGACGCCCGGCCGCGACGACACCACGTCGAAGATGCAGATCTTGGCGCGCTTGCCCTCGCCCTCGACCCGCTTCACCGTCTCCCGGAAGCGCCGCAGGATCTCGTCGTCCTCGATCGGATACGCAATCTCAATCTCCCGGCTCGACAGCCGGCCCTCGCCGTGGTAGTCGTACAAGAAGTCAATCACTTTCCCGCACGACTCGTACACGGTCGAGAAGTAGAGCGCCACGTCCTTGCCGTCGGCGTCCCACTTGATGTTGCGGAAGACCGTGTTGACGCCCTCGGTCGCGTTGTTCACGAACACGACGGCCTCGACGGGCGCGTTGACCACGGAGGCCACGGCCGCGCGGGATTCGTCCGTCAGGCGGGCGTGCTCGAAGCGGATGAAGGGGTCGGGCCGGGCCTCGATGTCGTCTTGGTAGCTGCGATGTTTCGCTTGGATGGCTCTGGGGATGGTGCCGTACGAGCCTTGAAGGGCATCAGTATGAGTACAAATCAATGGGTATGCATGCGAGGAGAGAAGAAGAAGAAGAAGAAGAAGAAGAAGAAGAAGAAGAAGAAGAAGAAGAAGAAGAAGAAGAAGAAGAAGAAGAAGAAGAAGGGCACTCACCGTGGTTGAGGTTTGTCCACTCGGGAGCAAACAAAAAGTCCTTCTTCATCTCGCCGCCAAACACCTTGAAGCCATCCTCACCAACCCTCGCCTCTCCTTCTTCTCGCTGACGAACCGGCAAAGACGCCATATTTCGGCCAAAGTAATGATTCTTTTAGACACAGTTTCTCGAAGGAGTGTCGGATTTCTCGTCTAATCCCAGCCAAGTGCCTGTGACAGCTTCAGTATTTATCACTCGCAGTCTCAACGCCCATGCGCCACTCACCCTCTTCTGGAACTCTCCGGCGAATAGACTCACTCGCTTCCGCAACCGGTGTCTCAATCGATATAGCAGATGAATCACCGTACGAACAAGTAGACCATATCACGCCCTTTTAAGCAATGACAGGTCAAACTTCACATCTCAGCTGCATTGACAAGTCTGACTCTTTCCTCCATCTCACACATGTCAATCCTCGCTGCCCCGCCTCCAAACGAGCGGCTTCGGCCTTACCATCCAGACCCCACCAAAGCTTAAACGCACAACGAACGGGAATAGGTCAGTAGTAGATCATCACAGATTCACGCCAACTGCCCTCTTTTGGTACCGTATCAGGTGAATTGCGGACACGGAAATCAAGTACATGCCGCGTATGACCGTCATCGCCAAGGCTAACGCCTAAAAAGACAAGCATCTGCGCCCTTTCGTGAGGGGGAACGAGGGAATCCTCCTGGCTAGAGTCATAGCCCGCCACTAACCGACTGTAAGCCCTCTGCATGAGAAGAGAGATACGCGAGACATGTGAATGCGAGACCAGATGTAGAGTCTGCCAAGTCTATTCATCTGTGAACAACACCTAGGTATAAGCAGATAATAAGAAGGAGAAAAAAGGCGCAAATATGCACCACGCTCAGAGCCTTGTCTAACACCTCGGCCAAACCTCATGACTTCCTAACTGTGTGCCCCATGAGCAGTTGAGAGACGAAGAAAAAAAGGCACAACGTCCTGTATCCCTAAACCCTGTCCTGTCAAACATCATTATAACCGCCAACACCGGTGTAAATGCTCATCATATGTGTCGGCTTCCTATGGTACCGCTGTCCGCTGTGGGTGTCTATCAAAACCACAATCCCTATCGAAAGAAAGAAGCCAAGAAGTGAAAAGAAAAAAAGAAGGTGTTAAATGTGCAGGATACTCCCCGCATAGAAGATTGGAGACCGTCAGTCACCAGCAGTTGAAACACCAACCCGACCTGCAATCCTATTTCTTGCAGCTCCAAGTGGCCGCCCAGTTGGCCAGCTCCGGAAAGCCGCCGCCGGGCACTGAATGAGCAACCTCGGCCATCATGGGGCTGTTCGTTTTCAGGCCCGCCAGTGCGAGTGCCGCGTTGGCCTCAGCCTGCGCCTTGGTCTCCATCTGCATCGGGAGGAATCTCTTGGATACGCGCCGCTTGCTGCGCTTCGCCTCGCCCTGCTTCGCCTCCAGCGTCTTCCACTGCGGTGCCTTTTCCAGCAGTGTCACCAGCGGATCTTGGATGTAAAAGGCCTCCGGCCGCGCAAATGTCGTTGCTGCTGCTCGTACGTTGACCGAGATTGACGCCAGAGGCTCCTCCGCGGAGCCCCCGACTTCCAATGGCAGGGCCGCCACCGGTGATGCTGGTATCGCCTCGGGCGTGGGGCGCAGAGGCGGCAGCTTCTTCGTGTCTCCCTCCGGACCCTTGTACAGGCTATCCACCGCGCCGCGCTTCTTCCCAACCGCGGGAAATACGAACTCCTCTCCGTCAATCATCTTCCTCTTCCGTATGCGTGGGTTGGACTTGACAGAATGGAGGATCGAGCTGAATTCCTCTACCGTGCTGGTTGGCGGCTGGCTAGGCGTCTCAGGCACCTCTTGCTGCTGCTTCTCTGTGGCCTCCGCCGCGGGTTTCTTGGACCGGCCATGATTTGGATTCAATGTCGATGGCGTCCGCTTAGGCCTGTCCGTGGCTCCCGGCGCAGACTTGCGCGGTCGCTTGGCCTTGCCCCTTGGCGTGCTGATGCGCGGAGAGTCCATGGTTTTAGGTCGAATGCCGGCCTCAACAGAAGTCGGGGGCTCGGATGCGGTGATATCGGGGTGCGTAATGGCAGTCGAGCCACGGCTCAATGGCGGCTGAGTGACTGATGGAGATGAAGGGGGAGCCGCACCTGCAAGGGCGACAGCAAGGGAAAGGGAAGAAGGAGGCGGAGGGGACGTGTGCGTAATCCTGCGTAGCTCTTTTAGGATTTTCAGCGTACAGTACGCGCCATTCACCTTGGTGTCGCGCAAGGCAACCGGGTTCTGTGCAGGCGGTCTCTTCTTCTCCTCCCGATTGTCGTCGGCGGCCCCTCCCGAGTCGCGCTTCTTCTTGGGCTTTGGCGGCTCCGGATCTTGCCAGAGCTTTGGGATGCGCACCTTGAGGTCGGTCACCCACGCGTCACAGTCCCACTGGATCCAGTAGTCGATGATGTCGCCCCAGGAGCTCTCCGGCGGCTTGGTGAAGTTGACAAAGACCACCCGGCCGCCCCGGCTGTGCACCGTCTTCGCGAACTCCCTAACCATGACCTTGAGCCCGTGGACCCGCAGGCTGGTCCCCAGGATCAGAAGCATGTCCGGGTACAAGGCGAGATCGTGCGTTACGATGGGGCTGATGAGGTGGGCGCTCGGGTGCTCCTCGCCATACAGCACAATGTCGGGACGCAGCTTGCCCACGCCCAGCGCTCGCTTGCCCCTTTCCTGGCGCGCTTCCGTGGCGCCAACGCAGTGAGGACATTCAGGCTGCAGGCCAGACAGCGTCTCCACCTCGCGATCGTCGTCGTCCCAAGAGCACACCTGCCCGCAGAGGAAGCATCGCAGAAGCTGCAGCGAGCCATGCAGGAAGACGCACTCCACACCAGAACGCGGCGGCTCCTTTCTTGGGGGCGGCTTGGGTTGATCTGGCGGTGTGGTGGTGGTGGTTGTGGTGCTGCTGCTGCCAGCACTGTCTTCCTCTTCCGTCTTACTATTGGGCTGGGAGGAGTCTGCTGGTGATTGCTCACTCGATCCGTTCGATGATTGGCTGGACGCACTGGCATGACCAGACGCGCCGCTCTCACCGCTGGATACTTCTTCCACCATCTTGTTGAGCTGCGAAGCGTTTGCCGTCGACTTGCGCGAGAAGCGTCCTCGACTGCCCGGCCCCTCCAGCAGAGACGTCGACAGGCCGACTTTTTCCTCAATCTGGTCAATGTTTTGCGTATAGCAGCGCACCAGCTTGCCCCGATCCCTCAGGTGGCTGATGAACTTGTGGGAGCTTGTAGGCTCGGCGTCGCGGACCTTTTGCCGTAGAGACGTTGCAAACTGGTAGAAGACGGAGGTTCTCGTAGGATCCGACCATATCGAAGCGTCGAAGAGGTCTTTGCCCTTCATGTTGGGTAGTGTCGCCTTTCCAAAGTTGGATGTCTGGGAAGCGGGCATCGCATTGGGTGGGTTCTCTTCCGCTTCGGACGGCGTGGTGCTACTACGGCGGCTCCTACTCTCGTCGGAAGGAGAGGATGGGTGGAAGGGATCGAAGAGGACCGGCGGCGGCGAGGAGAGAGGAGACGAAACGACATTGTGAGAGGCATCGGTGATACGCTTACGATCTTCGGCTCGCAGAATCGATGATGACGACCATGAGGGCAAGGGAAGCATAAAGTCTTCTCGGGGAGGAGAAGAGAGGGGAGACGTCGTCGGCTGGGGCGTGGAGGGAAGCGCGGGCTTGAGACGCGGAGTGCTCAAGCCAACGCCCTCTGACGCGTTTGCATCCGAAACGGCCACGGCTGGCTGCGTGCCGGCGGCTCGACTGGACGCAGCGGGTATCTTGGACTCGGCGCGCGCTTCGATATCCTCTTTCAGCTGTCGAGTAACCTCGTCCAGGTCTGGGGAAGCCTCCCGCGACGTCATCCTACGTTCCGTCGGGCGAGGCTCCTCTCCGCCATCGCTGGTGTCGGCCTTGCTTCGTTCGGCCGGTCGCGTAGGCTGGCTCGCAGCGTCGAACTGAGCCTGTATGAGCGAGTAGAGGCCATTTTCAGAGCGGAAATCCTGATCAGCAGTCAGCATGCGCCAAGTCCCAAGCACCTCAGCCAGGTCCAAGGACGAACCGGAATGCCCGAGTTGGTGCTGATGCCCGCGCCGGTAATCACGACCACCTTCCGCGCCTTGAAGAGAGCATTTGCGACATCTTGCAGCAGAGCGTGAGACTCGGGCTCGACGTGCTGCGTGGGCATCTTGAAGCGAGCGAAGCCAGTCGCCAGGCGTGGAAGATGCTATCAGGAGAAGAGGGAGAAAACGAAATGAAGGCAGAAGCGGCAGCTTCAGCCAAGATGATATTGCGGCGCCAGAAGTTCCAAGGCTGTCCGAGCAGTAGAGCCCGGAACCGCGCCCCGTATCTGTATCACCCGAGGCTTTACACTTGTATCGAGTTGATGCAGCGCACAGCAGGAATCGGCATCGTGGTGACGGCGCTTGCGAGAGTGCGGAGAGGAGGCGGTTTGTGCGAGACCCTTGCAGCTGCGCCCGGCCAGATTGTTCGGGTAAGGCGTTAATCCGAAGGAAACTGGATCTGGAACGGGATCCCCAGCTTCGGCTATTGAATTTATCGAAGATGACTCGAGGATCTGATACGAAGACAAGAAGAATTGGCCGAAAAGTGATGGTTTGTTTTGTTGGGGGCGCGCGAACCAAGAGGCGTGGACGTCGTTGGCGAGAGGCCCGGATATTCGACGCAAAGTGTTTTGTAACGGAAAGAAAGGAACGATTGCCGACGCAGAAATGATGCAGACGCTATGCAGAAGCGGGATTGGAGTCACTCAAGACACGGGATGCCAGAGAAACGCGCGAATCTGAGGTTCGAGCTGAGCCCCCGGTCGATGTCGGTGAGAGGCATCAGACGCGCCAGTGATTTCGAGGTTCGAGCGTCGCGGGTGTTGTCCACTGCCGAGGCGGGCTTAGCGGCGCCGGCGGTTAGTGGCCCGCAGGCGCCGTCAGTGGCCGTCCGGCGCCCTGAAGCGCGTGGCTAGCGACCCTCAGCGGGCCTGGGCTGCTAAGGTGCGCCAGCCCTGGCGGGGGATGCGCTGTGGGTACCGCTGGAGCTCTTGATACATAGCACTGCGGTTCAGTTGACAGCTTGAGCGCTAGAGCAGTTGGGGCATGGCCGGAATTGACCGATTCAACCTTCAATGACAACGACTGGATGCCTCACTTTACTTGACATCAACACTTGACATCAGCTCTTGAACAAGCCATTGATATCTCTTGATATTCTTTTACAGTACATGTCGTGCTCTTTATCTGACTAGAAGCTAACAAATCATACATTCACCAGCACCTCCATCAGCTTGTCGAACCGCTTGGGCACGCCCAGCCCCGTAATGGCATCCCAGCCCTGCGTCGCCGGCCAGCCTCCGGGTATGTCCGTCTCGTTGAAGATGCAAGACGCACTCTTTCCCGCCGTGATGTCCTGCAGCACGGCTTTGACCTTGCTCGAGTACAGGTGCTGGTTCAGGAAGCCCAGCGACTTCTTGCCGGCGCGCATCCGGGCGTCGTTGATCAAGGCAATCATCGAGGCAAACACGGGGGCGCTGGCGCTGGTGCCCTGAAGAGACTTCTGGTAGCCGCCGGAGATGATACTAAAGGCGACGCCGACTGCCGAGACGTCGGGGATGGCTCGCATCGACTCGTTATAGTAGCCGTCCAGGTGACCATCAAGCTCCTTGACGTAGCCGTCGACTGCGTCGTCCTGCCACTTGGGTCGGGAAAAGTACTGCGAGAAGCCGCCGGTGCTGAACCTGGCGCCGTTGGGAGGCTCTGCAATGTTGGTGACGGCACCAACCGAGGTGATCCAGGGACAGGTAGGCGGGAAGGTAGCCATGGTGACGGGACGCTTCGTGCCGTCGTTGGTCACGCAGTTGGAGGCTCGGCCGCCGCGAGCGCCGCCGTCGCCGGACGCGAAGATGATGGAGGTTCCGCGAGCCGTGAGCAGGCCAAACAGGCTGCAGACGCGCTTCGCATAGTCACGGGGCACGGACAGCTCGTCGTCAGAGTACGACAGCGAGAGGACGTGCGGCACCTCGCCGTCGGGCTTGGCCAGCAGGTACTGGAAGAATTCCAGGTAGGGCTCGTTATCGTCGTCTTCGCCCTCGATGGGCTGTCCGTCGTCGTTCAGCTTGACGCCGCGGCCTCCCGTAGAGTAAAAGGTGACGTTGGTGGGGAAGCCCAAGGACACGGCATAGTCGACGTCCAGGGCTGCTTCATCGCCGGACTCGGCCAGCACTTGGGAGTTGACGCCGCCGTTGACCAGCTCGACGTTGATGGTGCGTCCCGTCTTAGCCACGTTGGGCGCCGACTGGTTGAGGAACTGCCGCAGGTCCTGCAGATTGGCGTTCTCCTCAAGGAAACCAGCCACGCCAAAGATGACAGGGCGAGCTGGTGTTGGCGGGCGAGTAGTTGATGTTGTAGAGCTGGGAGATGCACGACGGAGTCACGCTGCCGGCGCAATAGGCCGTCGTGTTAAATGGGAGGACAGCGCCCTTGGACGGAGGAAGTCGGAAAGTCAGGCCTCCTTCCCGATGGCGCGCCGACATGAAGTTGGTGATGGGGTTGATGAAGCTGATGGAGTCGGCAACGGAGTCGGGGATGGTGTACTTGGTCGTTCGCAGCACCGACGGCTTGCCTTCGTACGAGAAGCGGCTGAGCTTCATCTTGAGCAGCGGCTCGGCTTTGGCGACGGTCGTCCAGACACGGATGAAGTCCTTTTCGACAACACCGTAGAGATTGTTCTCCGCGAGCCAGTGCAGCACGTTGTCGATGTCCTCCTGGGCTGGGGTCTGCAGCTCGCGGACTTCTTCCATTGACAGACGGTTTCCTTTCTCTGCCATCTTGGCCTCCAGTTCGTCAATGTAGGGCTGCTTCATAGCAATCGACAGCCGTATATGCTGCGAGGGATCGACGGCATCGTTCAGCTGCGTCCATCCTTCCGGGACGTCCAAAACCTCGTCAAAGGCTTTCCCGCAGGCACCGAGGCCCGCCAGCAGCGAGAGGGGAGCCGCCCAGAGCAATGCCGACTTCATATTTGCTGTGCTTCACGAAGCGATGCTGAGGAAGCGAGACGAAGACGTGGTGGGAGTGACAGGTATATAACGGCGACCTCTGGAGACCAGACCACATGGTGGCATTGTTCCGATCGAAACTTGCTCCCCTCCCCCTTCGCCTTCCTGCCATGGCTAGGGAATGCGAAATTGGCAGCCTGTGATCCGTGCAATGACTACTAGTCGTCCGCCTAGTGGTAGACATTGCTTGTGTGCCCGCGTTTATGTGAGACATCCATAAGGGCCATTTGTTTGCCAAGAGAGATGGCAGCGCGGTAGCAAATGCTAGCAATGCCGAGCTCGGCCATTCACAGGCCTAGCAAATGCCTTGGAGGAACAAGCTATCTGATGCTGGGGTACGGAGGAGCAGATGTCAAACCCTATCCCGGCTGATACTACCCCTACCTTGTAATTGCCTTGTTGAGATGCGGCTGGACGACGAGGACAGGCCAATGGAGGAGGAGCAACATTGTGTGCTCCGATAGTTGCATCTCACGAGGACGAACAAACATGCTCGGCTGCGACCCTGCAAGGACGCCATGTTACCCTGATTTCAGCAATAGACGGCCTGCGAGTGTTAGGTACGCAATACGGATACTAGTAGTACAGTCCATTGCTCTCCAAGGCATTTCGAGGCATGCTAGTGACGGTACCAAAGATGCATATCTGAAGCGTTGTCTGGCGATTGATCCTCGAGCGAGGATAACTTGCGAGCTGCCCAACTGGGTTACGCCCGGTTTGCTTCTTGAATACAGATACTAGTCATAGTATGATACTAGTCCAAGATTGCCAAAGCTGGGTATTGGTTGCTGCTAAATCGCGATCCTAGAGGCGGACGATATGTGGAGATGGACGAATATCTCGAGACAGCACAGCACAGGCAGAGATCGGCAGGGCCCGATTCATGTAAAAGCCGCCTATTTTGGAGAATTGACTGAAATAGCGTCGACGCGAAATGAATTGTGGACTCGCCGCGTTTGGACATTTTCTGTCAATAGCAGGAGAAGAATAGAAACGATGGAGCTATTGAGGGATATTCGAACACGTAATAGTACTACTACGTATATAGTGTCTGTACTCTATATTCGTGTCGATATTCCAAGCCATTGTTCCGCTCGTCATTCCAAGCATTCATCCTGGCGTCTCAGTACCTTTGCACGGAGGCGCCCGGTCATGTAGCATTACATACAGGGCAGATGAGTAAGGAGAGACAATTTGTTGGCTCCCGTTGCTCCACGCCATCCTAGGCAGAATGTCTCTCATGAGATCCACGGCAGTCTGAGACAGGCAGGGCGGGCCGGTCGAGATGTGAGCTAATCGGAGATGCAGGCCAGGAAAAGGAGGTCGAGAGGAGGGAACTTTTTCAAGCCCTCGTTTCTTGGCTTTTAAGCTTCATTTGACACTGCCGCTACCGTATCTCTTGGCTTTAATTTGCGGATCGACAGGGGATGTGGCGGGTGGTTGAGAGAATCGGGTATCAATAATGAGATGGAGATAGACGGCTCCCGAGATGTAAGTGGCTAGTACATGTATGTAGTCTGCTGACAGTCTTCTTTGAGAAAGGATAGAAATGGAAAAGTGCCTTGATTGTACTAATAAGTTGTTACTAAAATGATGTGAATACTATTCCTGTCCCTCCGAAACGCCTTCCTGCTGTGTATCTGACGCTGTATTACCCATGCAAGCCATGTGAACCGAGGTAAGACATCGCTGGAACCCTCTTAGTATCACCAACTACCACTACAAACCTTGAATCACTGAGCCTTCAACTTTACATCCACATCTGCCCCGTAAGCAAAAACGCACGTCCAGTATCTCTCATCCCTCATCACCGCCGCACCGCCGCCACAGCTTCATCCCTCGGCGGCTTGATATACTCCGCAATGCGCTGCCCAAACGACCTCCCCGACAGCTGCTGCCCCTTCGCCCCAGCCGACGACGGCAGAGACGGCGAATAAGGCCGCCCTCCTCCTCCTCCTCCGCCGTTGGACGACGAATAGTACCCGCTGTCACGGTACTGGCTGCTGTTGCGCACCGCCGCCACCGCCGCTCCTCCCTGCCTCTGAGACGCCGCATGGCGCACGCGCTCTTCGTTCTGCGCGGCGGCGATAAAGGTGGCGTAGTCGGTGGTAGTATCCCGCCCAGTCGGAGATGCAGGTTCGAGATCGGACTCGGTGGGGACGTACAGGTGGCCTGCTGCGAGATCGCCAAGTGGTGATCGAACGGAAACGTTGATGCCGGTGTCCTTGCTAGATGACGACGGCTCTTCTTGCCGGGACTGTTTCCGTCTGGACTGCTCGCGTGGCGATGATGCTGTTCTCGCGAAGCCAGAGGCCGCATTCGTGGGAACGTAGGCGCTCTTCTTGACGGGACTGGGCTGACTCTTGGAGATGACATCGTCCTCGCCGTCGTAGTTTGCGCTGGTCCTTGTCCAGAAGCGATCACGGAAGGACGGTCGATGGCGCAGCTGTGTTGCCGAGGTGGAAGCTTGTGGTACGGCAAGTTGCCGACTGTTTGATCGATTGTGTTCCATGATATGTGATGATGTTGTAGTATCAGGTATGTGTACGAGTGTTTGCCCTTGTCCAAATGAGAAAAAGTCTATATGTGATCAGGATGCCGATACAGCAATAGAACCGATGGAAGAACAACCTGATGATGGAGAATGAATGAGGAGGAGATCGGAAGAAGGCGATCACAGAGGGTGAATATAAAAGTGAAGCAACTCAAGGGAGAGGGAGGTCAGAGATTAGATGCCCTCTGCAAGCAGCCGTCACAAACAACCCCCAGCCAATGGAGATATGCGCCGTCCGGCTCAGCTACCAACAACAGAGACACCAGCCTGATTGCGAACAGGCGTCGGCCGATCAGTCGAGCCTCTTATAGACTCAAGTTGAAACAGGCAGCCTCTTCGCACCGCTGAGCTGTGGATAACGTTCCTCATCCGCCTCATTGGGCGAATCGCCAGAGAGCTACAGTAAAGCCTACTCGGGCCGGCTAGTAAGAAGAATGAAAACACTGGAAAAGCTCTCCCGTCGTTGTGATAGGTGGCGAGTTGCCCTCGATGGTTGGGTATCTAAGAGGCAATAATCGGAGGCTAATACCAGACGTTGCGCCACGCTAAGACCGACGCCAATACGTGAAATTGACAAGGCGGAAGAGAGGCTATCGCCGAGAAATCAGATGTCTTTGACGTTGGTTGAGATTGAGAGCATGCGGTTCCCGTCCACTTTCGGGTGTGTGGGCGTAATTTCAACGTCTGAGACTGAGTCAAGCCACTGCATGTGCGCAAGGCATGCTCAATTTCAAGACAGGCCAGCGGTCTGGAACTGGGCATCGACGGCGATTATAATTGCGGATGGAGGTGCGGATGGACAAAGTCACGGGCCCTGCCTTTTGACGGAGTAAGTTGGCTGCCTTGCATTCGAGCCAAAAAAGGTGGTGTGCAAACTCCATACTATTATCTCCTCTCATCTCACTGTACATTGGTATAAGCACATGTCAGCTTCAAATGACTTGTCACCATTGGGAAAGATGGCCACATGCGCGTCATCCAAAGACGTTCATAGGCCTTGATACGCGCATGCGGCGAAATTACCAACGTGACAGGTGACAGCTTCAGTTTCTTCGTGGTGTGGTGTCAATTTCCAGACAGTTCATCTTTCTTTCTTTCCTCGGCCAGTCCGCAAGACTTATAGACGATACATAGAAATGAGCTGATATTGTGACTCGGCAATATGAGTGGACTTGATAACCTGGAGCAGCTCTTCAGGTTAATTCAGTAGTGCGGCCCTAGGTCGAAGAAGCGTTGTAAGACGCGAGACTATAGCCTCACGATCCGCCAATAACCTCATATAATTCCCATCAAGGCTGTCACTGGTGCCCGCTCTAGCCCTTCTTCACCGATTTATCGACTGCAGCCGGCTAAGCCATTGCCGGACGCCAGCAGTTCGTTCCGCAAAGGGGGATCAGTCTCAGGCCTCTTTCAGTTTAAAGAAGCAGCTTGTGTTTTGTGACAATACGGGAGACTGTTGGGTTGCTGATGTCGCAACTCACCTACATACGGACGGAGAGGCACGGCGTCGATCCGAGCGTCATCAACCCCCTTGTGGTGTATACGAACGCGTCTAGTTTTCCACTCTTGCGGCTGTGGATGCAGGTAGTTGAGAGGCTATGCCGTAAGATGGGATGCCCATTCGCCAGCATTGGGCCAATCCGGGCTATCGGCTGCTCGATGAGATGTAAGTCGATCACGAGTAAAGGGTAAGCTGAACATGTTCCAGTGTTGGCATGGTGTGTAGACAACAACCGTGCATTGCTGATCAACCCGGTTTGTCGTGTTGAATGCACCTCGAGCTGGCGCATCACGGCCCAAACATGTCAATGCTACATTTACCTACATAGCAATCAGGACTTTGGTCTGATAGGTAAGATGGATTGCCGGTAAATAGTTCAGAAGTGTCGGACCCAAGGACTTTGCCAGTCATGCGATTAAGAGTACTCGCATCCCGGCGTGCCCAGGATGTTTAGTGTATTCATGTAAATGACACGCTGTATTCTCGCCTGTGTGTATGTGTAGGTAGGTATGTACATGTTCAGAAAGATAAGGGGAAAGAGAAGCCTGTAAGAGGAGAAGTCATGTCATAGCATCATCAAGGCCCCAATCGTAAAGCCCATTCCCATTATCGCCCCAATACTCACACACCGAGTCGACCGAGAAGCTCCGTTTGCCGTGGCTCCAGCCGTAGGCCTCGTTGCCTTGACCCAGATATTGCTCGCCAACTTGTCCTTGTCCGGGCTATATTGCTGTGAGGGAAAGCCACACACAGACATGATGACTTGCATATCTGCATCACTTGGTCAGCTTCCCGTGTCCGCGATGCAGATGTATAGATCTTGAAGAATTTACCGTTTTGCGTATCTGCAATCATCCCGATGCAGCTCGCGCATAGCCCAGCAATCTCTGCCACATTAAAGCTCGTGTTTTGGCATACACACTTCTCCTCTGCGTTCTCCATCTCCTCCCGTCCATTAGTCATTTCACCAATGCTTCCGCCAGAAACTGTCTTGGCTGGTGTGCTTGATGTGCGATGCCCAGAGGTACTCGTCGGTAATACAGTCATTTGCTTCTTCGTCCCTACGGAAACGGTCGGTGGTCGTACGCTCGACGGCGTGGGGGACGGAGGCGCCACGGGAGGCGGCGTCGGGGTCAAGCTATTTGACGTAGTTGGTAGAGCCGGTGCCGGGGCCGGAGTGGGTTGCGGCTGAGTCGGAGGAGCGTAGTTCTGTGCCGGCGGTTGTGCCGGCGCTGCTGGTGCTTCCCAAGCCGCTGGAGACGATGCCGGAACATACGATCCAGCTACCAGATCTGGAGGGAACGTCGTCGGCGCTGGGATGATCACCGAGAACCGCTTTTCCCTCCTCTCCTCCTCCTCGACTCGTTTCCCATCGTGTCTCCTAGCATGTCTGGCAGGTTCTCTCGGATTCAGAGACCGGCTGTCCAAATCCCCCAATGACCTCTTTGGGCTGCACATGGAACTCAGCTCGACGATTGGCCCGCAGATGGCGGCACACTTGACGGGAATTGCATCAGGGGGCAGCGCCTCTCCGGCTACAACCGTGAATAGGACAAAGAAGATGGCCCTCATGGCGCAACCCTGTGCTTCACCAGTTCCAGATTGTCAAATGCAAACCGTCAAAGCTCGTGAAATTGACGTTGATCGTAGCAAAGGTGTGTTTGGTGCATGTAATGGAAAGCCGGAGGAGACAGACAAGATGCCGCTCTGATGAAGATTCAGATTAACATTGTAAGGTAGGACCAGAGTTCGTCTTTTCCAGGCCTTTATTCTGGAAGGTGTCGTGTATTAGAAGGCAAGGGACGTGATGACAGCTTCATTACTCGTTAGCCTGGCAGGAGGTTGTTTCACTGAAACGTGGCCAGCGTCGCTCGACTTGGACAATTAACTTGATACAGCCGTCTTCTCCGGCATGCACCGTGGGATGGATTGCTCCAGCACTTCAAAGATATGCAGACAATCAATTGCCAAATAGATCATTGAAGCCTTCCCAACGGATCGAGTCGCCCATTGAACGAGTCATGGTTCTGCCACGTGGAATCAAAACCAGCCGATTGTTCCTCTAGCAATTGAGATCGCATCATCGATGAAAGAAGGGCATATAGAGATGTAATCGCACTTGTAGGATAAAGTCAATGGCAAAACGACGCCCCCAGGCTCCTTGACCGGGCGGTGAAACAATCTAGCTGCGAGTGATAAGAGCCGGACTGAGCCGTGACAGGGCGAAACGCCATGCGAAACGAGATCGCGACGGCCGTTTACCCGTTTCGGGAAGAGTCAGTCACGGCTCTCTGCCGGCTATCAGAAAGACGGAAAGAAGAACGCAATGGCCTTATGGTCGTATCTACTGATAAGTTATCAATATGCATTTGCCTCCTTGAAGCTTAAGCTGGTATTGTTTGGCTGAATCGTACGAAGCTAGATGTAAACTACAACAAAATTCGGCTCACGCAGATACAGCCCACAACACCACAAACAATAATGAATGATTGAACAAATTCCCAGGATATGAGATGAGGAAACATAAAATCCGCACAAATCTTATTCATCATCTCCATCTGCCTTGTCATCCAATGCTATAATTGCCTCAGGCAAGGAGATAGAAAGCGAATCAGACGTCGCACGGCAGCAAATCACTTGTTGACTGGCGACGCTGTTGGGTGGCTTAATGCGGGAGGCCTACTACAACAACAACAACGCCCACTGGCCGTTTACTGCCAAACAACATCTGGATAAGTACCCCGCACTTGAATATAAGATACTCTGGCTCCTTACCTTTGGGTTCTGATTCTTTTACTCATATTTGATGTCTTGAACCATTCTGTTGCCTCGAGTCTTGTTGGCAAATTCTCCGTCCTTTTCATGGCCGAGATACCGTGGCAATTGTTGATCGCGCAAGTATTGATCCCAGTCGTGACAAGTATGGGTGCTGCACTCTCTGGCCTATTTGGCGGCAATGAGGAGAGTGAAAGATTGAGACAGAGGGTGGAAGAGCTGGAAGCACGGCTGAAAGCAGAGGAGGAACAGCGTTCACGCGAAGCACAGGCGAACCAGCTGAGAGCAGAGGCGGACAAGCGTACACGCGAAGCCCAGCAGCAGCTGAACGAGATGAGAGACCAACTGCGCGAGATGCAGCAGAGCGAAGCCAAACAGCGAGAGATTCTCAAAGAACTGTAAGCCCTTCCGTTCCTATCTTTAGCAAATATCGCACATATGTCTAATTGTCATGATAGAGGCTACTCCCCAGACGAGCCGAAAATCACGAAGAACCTTATAGCCAAAGCCCGAAAGGCGCTCGGCTATGTCAAGGGCAAGCAGAATGTTGTCTTTGTTGGAAATGTCAATGTCGGCAAGTCATCGCTGGTGAATGCTCTCCGCGGCGTGCTCAACAGAGACGCCACCGCCGCCCCCGTGGGTGCGAGCCAAGTCACGTTGACTTCGGGTCGTTATGAGACTCGCCACCATCCGGATCTGGTTCTATTTGACACTCCCGGCGCGGGCACCCTGGACGTGCCAGCCTTTAGGTACTTTTATGAGCACCAGCTATTCGCCTTCGACACTGTGGTCCTCGTCCACGATACAACCTTGACGATGGTACGTTGTGTCCTTGTTAGGCTCCAACCATAGACACTCAACTGACATATCAACCACACCAGCCCGACATTCGACTGCTCCAGCTGTGCAGCATTGCTCAACTACCATATATAGCCGTCCGAACCAGAGCTGATAATCATATAAGGAACTACGCAGCGGATGGCTGGACGCTTGAGGAAGCACGAGAGAGATTCATTGCCGAGGCTCGTCAAGACGCTGCCCAATGCCAAAGACAAGTCAGGGAAAAGTGGCCAGAGCACGGAATCACAATTCGAGATCACATCGTCTCCGCCACGGGAGTCCGGAGTATCCTTGAGGGTGCAGCATCATCCAATGACCCGGCCACTGCATACATTGACGAGTGGGATCTTGTGTGTGCACTGTCGCTCCGGGGTGCGGCCCCAGCGATTACCGCAAACTAGGAGCATGGAGATAGTAAAGGCAGAGGGAAGAAATCTCATTTCTGCCTTTGTTTCCACATGGAAATAGGATAGCAAAGTGGGAAGCCGACCTAGATTGGTAAGAAGGCTTTAAGGAGGATATTTTCTTTAGATCATCTCATCAGGATTAGATCAAAGTTCATCGCTCTTCTTTACTTTTGCTAGTGCCCGTATATACTCGGCTATTGTTCATAACTACTATGACAGTGGTAGAGGTACCCTAGGACTGTGTTTGATCAAAATATCTGCTGGCCAGTTAAATCGTGAAGACATAATGTAGTTAACCAGAAGACGGTGTAAGTATTTTTATAAACGCTTATAGACCTTGCTGTCTGTACATATACCTGCTTTATCTACTCCATCTTCTATACCACCCCTTGAGACAATACTTTCCTATTTGGAAACTTGTGCATAACTTGCGTGCCAATTCTAGGAGTGTCATAATCGAGCAGCTAGACAACATGGAATTACCATTCAGCCATAATCAACTCTAATCGTTGCAAATAGCTCAGGTGTTTGACCACCACATCGCGGCACTGTTGCACGAAGCAATCAGACTAGTTCACCAGCGTCACTGACACTCGCATCAAGTCTATGAATCATCAAGCTCTTGTCCCATATTCCCTCGACACCTCGTGTTAAAATACAGACTCCAAGCACTACTGCGTATCTTAACGTCTGTATGAGGATCATCATCTCGCATGCTATCAAATCCCCTCGCGGCTCAAGCATCGAAGCCAAGCCACCCCAACCTGAGGAAAGCATCAACTAACACCGACTTTCGCACTAGAAGAAAAGCCTCCAGGCACTAGATCAACGAATAGTCCAGGGTTAAGCCTAAAACGGCTTTATGCCACGAAGTCCCCCGCCAGGAACACCAATCACCATCAAGCCCCAAACAAATGTCTAAGTCATGCTGGACCTCCCCCCTTCCAAACTTATAAGGTCCATCAAAGCTTGAAGACGCATATGACAAGGGTTCATTCCCCTTAAGGTATCATGCCACGAGCTGGTCGCCGCGCGGCAAACAATCTCCCGAGATTATCCTTGAACCTCCACATGGGCATTCCGCACTGCCGGGTTCCGGGGGCGGACGAATCGCGACGACGTCAAAGGAGGCTGTTCATGCTTCAGCTGAGGCGGCTTTCTTGCGTGGGGTTGCTGGCGGTGGGTTGGGTTTGGCGGTGGGCTTTTTCGTCGGTGTTACGATATGAGGCTGAGACTTGAAAGGCGAGGGGATAGCAGCTACTTGTTAGATTTAAGAAGGGCTTGATACCCTTATGTTTCGATCTAAGAAGTTCTTCATGTATACTAAAGCCTTTCGATTCGAGGCAACACTCGACAACTAGTTTCTATCGACATTCCAATAAACTCTTTGAAAATCCTTACAGGGCAAGCTACAAAAGATGCTCAACCCGCATGAATCCCTGGGCATAGCCCAAATCATCTTCTACGTCCCCATCGTCCCAGCCGCCATCAAGCTCATGCACCGCAACGGCCAGATCCGTCCTCGACTTGCCTGGTGGCCTCTCATTCCTTTCAGTCTGAGTACGGACCTTCACCTACTAACTTCCCCCCAACTGTCCCCTCAACAAGAATAGAAAAAGCCAATACATGTTGAATAGCATGCTGACCCCTCAGCAACGAAACAGTCCGTCTCGCAGGCGGCCCCGTAACAATCGCCCTCGAGCAATCCCCCAGCATAGGCCTCTACTCCGCCGCCATCGTCCTCCTCAACGTAGGCGTCGTCCCTCTCATCATAGCAACACTAGGCTTCGTCCGCATCATGTAAGTCCCGCCAACAACTTCCCTCTTCCCTCTCCCCCCTCTCCCCCTCCCTCATCTCCCTTCCTAAAAAGCAACATCGAACGAAATTCAAAGTTTAATACATACGAGATAGCCTCCTGGACAACTACACCACCCCCTCCCGCGCCAAAACCATCACGGCCCTCATGCGCGCCACAATCATCATAGCAATCGGCCTCCTCGCCGCCGGCGGGGGCATCTCCTCCCTCGGAACACCCTCCGCAACGCATCTCAGCCGCACGCTGACCCTCGTCGGATACATTGTCTTCGCCGTGATGCACGCCGCCCTCGTCGCCATCATGAGCTTCTTCTACCGGCGGAGAAAGGATACTCTTGTGCCCAGCAGTCGAACCGTACGTCCACCACCCACCGAGTCTCACAGACTCACAGCAGAAGCAACCTTCTTCTAATCAAATACATGCATGGAATAGCTAACAATGCTTTGATGAGCACAGATCATCCGAGCCGGCCTCCTCGCATCCCCCTTCCTCCTCACCCGCACCATCTTCGGCCTCCTCCAAGTCGCCCGCCAAAACGACTCTTCCTCCTCGCCCTTCTTCAACCCCGTCGTCGGCAACGCCGCCGCGTTCGGCCTCATGGCGCTGCTCCCAGAGTACGTCGTCGTGCTCGCTTACATGTACGCCGGCTTCTCGATTGCGCCTGATCGGGGAGTTGCTGTCCGTGGGGTTGTTGTGGGGGGAGAAGAGACGGTGACGAGGGTTACGCAGGAGGCTGCTAAGAGTAGTGTCTGAGTTTTGGATTTCCGCTTTCTAGGGACATTGGATGTTTCTGTGTCCCTGCCATAGTATTAGACTTGGGGACATTCCCATTGGCGATGGGCATTAGAGAAATGGATGGCGTAAAAGACAAGCTGCACTTATGATGGTCCAAGACGTTTTAATGATCAGAGGTTGGCTATCCCTTTTGAAACTCTATATATGCTTGCCTACCTATACAAATTGTTCGTCCACATTCTTCACAAATAAAAACTCATAACAGGTATTCTTCGCTAGATTGTTGAATCTATCTCTAGAGGTTGTGATCAAGTCACAACCCGTGTATGGTGGCCGTTTGGATCACCCTTTTCCTCTTCCAGCTGGCCACCAAAGCCAGCAACGCATATATCCCTTCCCAAGTCAAGCAGTGTGTCTCACATCTGCCGCCATACAATGTCATCCCAATGTTTAATTAAAACAGATACAAGGAAGTTTGTTATAGGCCCGCCTGCATTTACCGATGCACAGCCTCAACAAAAAAGGAGTAGCTCAAAGGTCGCAGCATTTGCCCTCGAACAAGAAGAAGAACTGTTGACAAAGTAGTAAACGCCCTTAGAAGCGGTGCTGGCGGCCGACACTCTCGACGCGGACTCCCAGCTTGACCATCTCGCGCGAGTCAATGACGCCACGGCCGTCAAACACCCATCGAGGCTTAGCCATGGTATCGGCAATGCGCACCCAGTCCAGGCGCTCCTTGGGCTTGTACTCCTCGGCGCTGCCCATTCCGGTGGCGAAGCCGTGGTCCTTGCTCTCGCGGGCCTGGATACAGTCGGGGCAGTCCTCGGGGCAGTCGGGCTCGACATTGAATCGATCCAAGGGATCGTCCGAGGTCTGGCCGTCGCGCTGCACCAGGTGCTTGTGCAGCGCCAACAGGTCGTTCTCGGTCGGGGTCGAGTCCTTGAACGGCCTCGGGTCGGACTTGGGGTTGGGCTTGCGGCCCAGCATCTTGGGCACGACCTGGTCGACAGGAGCGGGAACAGGCACGGCGACGGGCTGGTTGCGGAACTCGTCAAACTCGGTGGCGATGACGACGGCCGTGCTGTCCTTGCAGGCGTCGTAGGCATTGCCGTACACATGGACGCTGGCTGCGACTTCGGGGCCGAGGAGGGCCTTGATCTCGTTCTTGACGACGAACGGGTTGCAGCAAGGGTCAAAAACGGCAATCTCTCGGGGCCGCTCCTCCAGCAGCGTCTTGATCATCTCCAGAGCAGGCGCCTCACGGGTGTCAGAGGTGTTCTTCTTGAAGGCATAGCCCAGGATGGTGACCTTCTTGCCAACGAGGGTGTTGTTGAGGCACTTGATGACGCGGTTGGTGAAACGATCACGGGCGTACTCGTTCATCTTAACGACCTGTCTCCAGTACTCGCCGACTTCTGGCAAGCCCATGGTATCGGCCAGGTAGACAAGGTTGAGAACATCCTTCTTGAAGCAGCTGCCGCCGAAGCCAATACCGGCCATCAGGAACTTGTTGCCGATACGGGGGTCGACACCGATGGCGCGGGCAACCTCGTCAACGTCGGCGCCAGTCTGCTCGCAGACGGCGGAGATGGAGTTGATGCTGGAAATACGCTGGGCCAGCATGGAGTTGGCAACCAGCTTGGCAAGCTCAGAGGACCACACGTTGGTGGTCAGAATACGGTCGCGAGGAACCCAGGCGGCGTAGACCTCGAGCAGAGCCTCGGCGGCCCGCTTGCCAGAGGGGGTGGGGGCAGAGCCGATGAGGATTCGGTCGGGGTAGAGAAGGTCGTTGACGGCGGTACCGGCGGCCAAGAACTCGGGGTTGGACAGAATCTCGAAGTGGACGCCAGGGCGGTGCATGGCAAGCTATAACGAAGAATTGGGTCAGCATCGGATCACGACCAAACCGCCCAGGCCACGGAAGCCTTGGTATATGCATTATACTGCTACTTACCGTGTCGGCTACCAGCTGTGCAGTTCGGCAGGGAACAGTGCTCTTCTCAACAATGATGGCACCCTCGCGCGCATACTGGGCCACAAAGCCAGTGACGGCCTCAAAGGCGGTCATGTCGGTTGCGCTGCCGGCACCAACACCGCGCTCCTTGGTAGGGGTGTTGACGGCGACGAGGACCATGTCAGCCTCGGCGATGTGGCCGGCGACGTCGGTGCTGAAGAAGAGGTTGCCCTCTCGGCGAGCCACCTTGGTCTCGCCCTTCTCGGAGCCAGTTCCCTCGCTGGGCTCGCCCGAGATGCTCGTCTCGCGGCCGCCATCACGGGCAATGCGGACGATGTCGTGCAGGCCGGGCTCGTAGATGGGGGGATGGCGCGAGTTCCATCGGCGGATACGGGTCACGTCTCGGTCGACAACGGTGACCTTGATGTGCGGGTTCTGGAAGGCAATGACGGCGGCGGTAGGGCCACCTGTTGAGCGAAGCCTGGTCAGCACAGGTCGGCGGTTGAGGGGGATGTGACCATGACCGTGTAATGAATCAATGAACGGATGAATGGCATCTCGGCAGAGTTGTGCACAGCCAGCCGGCCACGACGTGTCCTCTGCTCGCCCCGCGGAGCTCCCCCAGGCGGTCGACATACAAGACACGCCAGGCTCCGTCCACCTACACAGACGACGGCACATGGTCGAAACGCAGGGGTGACTCACCGACATAGCCAGCGCCGACGCAGCAGATGTTGCGGATGGCAATCTTGTCGCCGTTGACTTGGTTTGCGGAGCCATTGAGGCTCAGCGACTTGACCGAGTCGACAACTGCATCGGTGAGGGAGGCCATGGTGTATGTAGAGGCTGGTGGATCGCAAGGCCAAAGAAAGAGAAGCGACCAAAAACTTGCAGGCAACGACTTCAACGAGGGGATGGGGATCCTTGAATGAGGGTATATGGATCGAGCCCGGTGCCGTCTGGCTATGGTTTCGTCTTGCGAGATATAAACGAAGATAGACGAAGACACAATGCTGGCACTAACAAAAGGGCAAAAGAAAAAGGAGTTGGGGATAGGAAAGTCGCGGCTTGGCGGGAAAGGCAATAGTCCATGTTGGCTGCGTGTACGATTTACTCAGCAGAGCGGGAAATGCACGCGCGGCTAGGCCCGGTTGGGCAGCAGCCCGTTATCGATGGACGCGGGCCTGGAGAGAGCCCCTGCAAGTGCCCTGCAAGTGCCCTGTACGAGCCTGGCGAGCCTTGTAAGACTCTGGTTAGCGTCGTCAATTTTTTTCTGTCTCTTCCATTGTTGGAGGGGTCGATGGGATGATCAGATGGTGAGCACAAGACCCCTGATGCTAACTCAATTCGACCTCAGCTGTTGTGGCATGTGAAATGTGAGTCCTCGATAAGTTGCTGAGTGGTTGAGTTTGAGTTGTCGTTATCTGATGGAGTACAGAAGCATCAGATGCTACGGACAGCAGTCCCAAGGCCGTTCATCACTCAGCTTCCTATCGCAATGTACCTGAACCGCGTGCTGCAAATCAGGCACTTGCACGTATTACGAGTGATTTCCGAGTGCGGCCAGCCCGGTGCAAATCTGTCCCCGCCGCGTCCGGATCCTTCAGGGACGCCCTCGCGCTAGGGAATACGGAGGGGCAGCCACTCAACCCCGACTGGCGACGCAATAGGCTGAAGGCGTCGTGTTTGATTACTCGTACGAGAAGTGGCCAAGTTGGGACCCGGTTCCGCGGTACTGTAGAGCATTACGAGTACGACCCGGTGGCTGTTGGCCGTGCTGTCATGCCAGGTACATGTACGAGTCCCAGAGCTCGTCAGGAACGTCGTCCAAAAATATCCGCGATTCCGCACAAAAGCGGTGAGTTTACTGCCAAGCCTTGTCTCGGAGCATGCAGCCTCAATCAACGACCCTGTTCTTTGATCTGTGTACCTCTCTCGTTCTGTCCTAGATACAAGTATCTACTACTACCATCACTTCAAGTCAAGTACATCATCCTTTCTATTGAGAGCTCTATCATTCTTGATTTTGCGAGTGTTTCCTCATCTCCCGTCATCGCGCCACCCCAAGGACCAGCTGCCATCTCTTCGTCCGAAACAACCTCCCTGCCAGCCAATCCAAACCCGGGCCACGCACCGCGGATACACACGTGGTTCCTGCGTCGCCGCTTTCAGGCTTGCGCGCTTTTGGATGCTTGTGGCTCATGGAGCTCACGGAGGGTCGTTCAGGCTGTGGCCGCTCGGCATGACAGGCCTACTAACGTGGTGTGACGAGGCACCATGGCATCCTTAAGCCACAGCCATGATGATGATGAGGGCACATGCCTCGTTGGAGGGAAATTGCCAGCAGGTACATACGAGTCTCCGTGTACCTACAAGAAGGGACAAGCCATCACAAGCAGACAGAAGAGAGCATCAAGATTCTGCCTGTCAGTTGTACTCCGTACATGCTACGGAATAGATACTTGGTACCCGCATCCCGTCCGATATTACCCACACCATCGAGAAGGACCCCTGTTGCATCCCCATGCAGTAACGCCATATCTATCAAGTGGAACGGCCGTGCGCGCCTTGAAGATTGCATGTCCATATCCATGCCAGAATACGGAGGATTGGCGGGAGGACGCGCCCATCACCGCTGGCATCGCCGCTACAGGGCTCACGCGACATGAGTCTGTCTGCCAGTCTGAGATGCGACAACTTTGAAGGTCAATTCTCGCTTGATATCGGGAGTCACGACCAATGTTGGCGTTGCACGACCAAGAGGTGACGGACAAGGGGCTTGATCTTTCGCAGCTGTCAAACGGAGCAGACTCAACCATCTCCGAGATGGATATGGAGGAGACGAGACATGAGTCCTTGCGCTTGCTGAGTGTCGTCTGAATTTTGATGCCGTGCGAATTTCTCTTCTCACCATTCGACCGAACACCGGTGACCTCTCCATGATTCTAGGTTAGGAGGCCGCGCCGCCACCAAGTCGTAGCCCGCACATCTACGAGGCTTATCACCACTCCATGAGAATCTCCATCACTGACCACCTAGGCCAAATGGAAGGGGAAAATAATTCCCCAGATGAACCGAGCTCTAGCCCATCCATTTATGCGCCCCATGCGCGGCACGCGAATCGTACATGCTGCACTCCATCCCGCGTCAAAACTGCTCGTGGCTAGCTTCACCAGTCGCTCCGTGTCTCAAAGACGCCAGTCACTTGTCCAAGACATCACACGTGACCCCGTCCTGAGTGACTCCTCGAAAATCCCCTCCATTTGCCGCAGAGACACAAACAACTCGATCTCTTCCGTTGCATCAAAGACGCTCTCGGCCAACCAGACAAGACACGAGGGTCCTCCCCAAGGCTGTCATTCGCAGTTCCATCACTTTGGACGGCACAGCATCTCAACTCGCACGAACGTCCTCCTTCTGCCGCGCTTCCATTGGTCAGCGCTAGCAATGTGGCTGCTCTGCCGTCGCTGATTCGTCCATCTGGGCTTTGCGGGAGATCTCGCGAAATGTGCCGCTTGTTGAAGCTTGTCTCGACTTACACAAGGCGGAAAAACCGTGTGAACAATGCACGGTGATTCTTTGGAGAGACATGCCGGTCGTGATTTGGGCTACAGAACATGGGGACACGGGGCACACTGCCTGTGTTCAAGTCCTCCTCCAAGTTGCAAAACGATGCAACCTACTATACACAGCTGGTGATGAGGGATGAGGATGCTTCGCCTCTGGACTACCACTCTACTGCTGCCTTACCGTGAGGTATCTACTGCGGCATCAGGATCAGCCCTACCTCACAGAAAGTGGTGTCCTACCTTGTAAGTCGTATAAGGTAGAGGATGGAAAAGAAAGATGTCAAGGCTCGCTACGGCATGAGGCACTGACAACGCGCTTACCTCGCCACATGACGACCGGCCATACCATATCCAGATCGGGGGGCAAGTATTACACGAGAGGATATGCCTCTCTTTATCTTTCTGTTTCTCTATTCCACTTCTTCTCTCCCCCGCGCTCCCAGACTAGGCAGTCGGCACTCCGTCTCGACGAACTGCGTCCAGAGCCCGTTCCTCGTGCCCACTCCCGCGCCGTCCTATTGCAGCTTCCCTTGCCCTTGAAGCCACTCCCATCATGCGCAACATATCAAGCCGATCCACGTGGGACGGCACCTGTCCAGAACTCGTTGGGCGTCCAAGTCTGCGGCACCTGGGGAGACAAAAAGCAAGCTCACTCGCTCTCTGTGCCCGTTGTATGTATTTCGTATCTGTATAATCCTCGTAGGCCACCAAACCTCCCTCACCTCCGCGTCCTATAAGCCACTCCCTCACCGCAGAGCCTTTGCGCCTGTCTGTCTCTCTCCTTGCTCCCCCTATACCCTCTCTCTTTCACCCATAGAGCCGCCATGGCGTCAATGTCGTCTGCTGCATCCGCATCAACGGAGTATCCAGAGCATGATTTGTCCGAGTTCCCGGCCGCCCTCAGAGGGAAGCGCATCCTCCTGTGCACCGAGTCCTTCGGCCCCGTCAATGGGGTGAGCCGGACGACTCTCATGCTAGTCAACCACCTGCGCGATCACGGCGTCCAGGTTGCGGTGGTTGCTCCTCACAACCACACCAACCACAACACCTTTTCGCCTCCTCCGTCTCCCAGCCTCTCTCCTGCCGACAAGCAGCCCGAGGTCCGCGTCACGGGCTACCCCCTGCCGTTCAACCCGGAGCTGTCCATCGTCTATCCCGTCCGCAACTCAACGCTCTACTCTCGCACCTTTGGCGACGATGCGCCGCCAGATCTCATCTACCTCGCCTCTCCGGCCAGTCTGGGCTTTCAAGTCATGCTGCAGCTGAGACAACAGCCCCAGGAGAAGCAGATCCCCATAATTTGCAACTTCCAGACCGATCTGGCGGGCTACTGCTCGATTCTCTTCCCGGCGCCGCTCAGCCATGCGGCCGTCTTTGCCTTTGACGCTGTACAGAGCTACCTCTTCAGACACTCTTCTATCAAGACCATCTTCTACCCTTCCAGATTTGTCAGGCGGTACTTGGAGGGCCAAAGAGTCCAGCCTAGCAAACTCGAGGTCCTGACAAGAGGCGTCAACACGACCATGTTCAACCCGAGCCGCCGGAGCGAGGCCCTCCGAAAGGAGATTGCGCCCAATGGAGAAATCATCTTTGTCACTGTTTCTCGAATTGCAGGCGAAAAGGGCTTCGAATTCCTTGCTAAAGTGGCAAAGGAACTGGACGCCAGGGGCCTTCCCTTCAAGATGCTCATTGTCGGAGGGAACCGAAACCCAGATGTCGAAAAGGAGGTTCAAGAGCTTTTCGACCCTCTCAGGGAAAAGGGCACAGTCACCTTTGCCGGCTTCAAGGTCGGTGAGGACCTCGCTGCGTACTACGCCAGTGGTGACGTTTTCCTACACTGCTCCGTCACGGAAACCTTTGGCCTGGTTGTGCTCGAATCCATGGCCAGCGGTGTCCCGGTGGTTGCTCGTGACGAAGGAGGCCCTTCCGATATTGTCGCGGATGGCAAGACGGGCTACTTAGTCCCCCCTAATGACCTCCAGGGATTCGTTGCCAAGGCCGCCCAGCTGGCTGAAGACCACCAGCTCCGCTTCAACATGGCCAAGGAGGCTCGCCTCGCTGCTTGTGAAGCCACCTGGGAGAAGATCAACAATAAGGTTGCCTGGCGCATGGCCGACACCATTGCCCAGCGCGAGCTGGAGCAGGGCAAGCCTCAACCTACCAAGGCCGTGACAACCACCGCCCAGCAGCTGGTGCCCGTGTACGGCTGGCTCATGATGAATAGTGCTCTGCGAGAAACCGTCACACGCAGCGTCGTCGATGCAAAGCTGATGGGTGGCTTGGGCGTTATCCTGAGTTTCTGGGTCGTTACCGGTGCGTATGTGGTCTTTTCCGAAGGTCTCCTGTGGGCAAAGGGCAGGATTCGCAAGTCCGCACCGGCGAATTGATGTTGTCAGTTATGGTAGGATGTGTGTTGACCTTCTTTGGACTCGGGATATCTTGTGATTTATTGGATGGGAGGCTGGCGCCGGTGTTCAGGGGGGCGCTATATGTGAGGCTATTGCGATGTTATGTTTTATCACGTTTCTCTTGTTTTATTCCCTTGTCCCTTTTCTTTTGTTTCTTACGGAGATATATGTGCATATGGTATAGACTTTGAATTTTCTTAGGAAGTAGGAAATTACTAGATGTGCGATAGATGCACGTCGCATGAGGATGATGGATTCACGGGTCTCCTTTTTATTATTACTCTCTTCTCGATATCTCCTGTTTTTTGTTTCGGAGTATGTGGCGAATGATGATCGCCTGCTGGATATACCCTACAAGATTAACATTGATGACTGCATTCGCATTTCTAGTACAATAGACATGATTTCATTATTAGAGAGCACATATACATATATACTTCTCAATGAAGGCATGGGTTGCGTCTTTTCCTCAATTCGACTGAGTTTTTGATCTCTCTGAAGTAAGATTGTAAAGAAATGCCATGCTATATGGAGTGCATATGTGTGTAACAGTGATAATATATAGAGTAAAAAGTGCCAAGTACGCCTGGGGAATCATAACCATTCTCACCCGTAAACCCATTCTTTTTAACCCAAAAACGCTCAGACTAACCAACCAGTGCCAGGTATCTCATCCTTCCTCACCATCCTTCCAAAGCGGGGTGAATGCGTTGCCATTTAAAAGGTTCGGTAAGCAGCCGCATCCCTCGAAGCATGCACAGTCCTACGCTTGTAAGCCGCAACGTGCTGGATGCGCTCATAGGTGCCGAGGCCGTACGCCGCGAGCCCAATGGCCAGCCAGACGGAGGTGACGATGAGGCCGACGGGGAAGATGAGGATGTTGACGCCGGGCAGGATGAAGGCGACGGTGCCGTTCTTGAGGGCGTCGTGCTGCTGCGTGACGGCGAGCTGAGCGGCGGCAAAGTCGGACAGGACGACGTCGGTGGAGAAGACGCCAACGAGGAAGACGGCTTCGTTGAGGGAGACGTTGGAGCTGATGCGGCCGTTGGGGGTGTCGGCGGAGAGGGTGAGGGTGGGGAGGACGAGGGCCTCGAGATCGGCGCTGGGGGGTGTGTTAGTTTCATGATTCAAGATGTTTCGTTCGATGAGTTGTATATGTATAATGCACATCGGTTTATGTAGATGAATGTGACGCAGTTCTGTGTTTACACACACACAGAGTGAGAGAGAGAGGGGGGAGGGAGGAAAAGAGAGAAAGAAAGGCAGGGCGTGAGAGAAGAGACTTACATTGACAAGTTTTTCTGCATCTTGTCCTTGTCAATCTGGCCAACCAGCATGTACGACTGCAGCAGAGTCGGGGAGCTGGTCTCGGTATCGGCTCTCTTGGTGACGTTGACAGACGGACTTGACCCAGACGTTGAGTTGGCTGGCTTCATAGGCGTCACACTGGCGCCTGAATACACAACGCCGACCTGGATCTCACTCGGCGGCACGCCAACAAAGTCGTCTCTGGGGGCCGAGATGCGATACAGCCGCAGGTCCGCCTCGAACATGCCGGTGGTGACGTCCAGCATGGGCAGGTTGTAGCAGATACAGTCTCCCGAGGGGTTCGAAGTTCGGCTGATCGTGGACAGGCGTTGCTTACACGCCGCATCTGTGAGATTGTTCCAGGCAGTGAAATCCAGCGATCCGTTGGGCAGCAATTTCACATCGGACGGTATGCTGGAGTTTGCTGCAGCTCTTTCTTCCAGGTCACGGGCTACAGCTGCGCTTTCTTCTGAGAAGCTGATGAGTGAAGCATAAGGCTTTGAGAGAACATCGTCGGCGCGGAGGACAGAGCCTGCATGGAGTGCATTCTGAGCAAGAGTGGTGGTGGCAAGGAGAGTTGCCGCCAGGGCGAGTCGAGAGAACATCTTGAATGAGTGGGCTCTGAAGGATTTTTGATGGGTTTTGAAGACGAGGCTGACGGCTTTTGAGCTGATGCTTCCAGAGCAGGCTGTGCGAGGCGAATTAAGAGGAGAGAGCAAGGAAAGAAGAAACAAATAGAAAGAACAAATGTATTATTAAAAGATGGTCCCGTCCAGCGGCGAATAGAAGAGAACGTGACTGGTTTGTTGCCTGTCCAAGCAAGTTGACAAACAGGAAAAGAAACCAAACAAAACGAGCGAGATATATGAGCAAAAGAAAGAGAAAGAGAGGAAGACCGTCACGAAGCACGGTTGAGGCGTGAAACGAAGGCCTCGCTTAAGACACTTTTCAGATTCCACTCGACACAAATCCATCAGAGGATTAGCTTCATAATCTCCTTCTTTCCCCTTGTCGACGGCATCGGTCAGGCCATTTTGACAAGCTGCAACAGCTTTTGAAAGCTTTTCAGAGCAAGCCACGGAGCCAAGGCGGTGTCAACTCGCCCCGGCCGTCGCAGGTGGGTTTCTAGGCAGCGTTAGAGAACCCCCAGGGGCTTGGCCTCCAAAGATGTTGCCTCTCTGAAGAGTAGCACTACCGCTGCAGCTTCGTACAGACAAGAGACGTGCGGGAGTCGCGGGAGTCGTCCAGCGTTGTCTTGTGTGGCGTTCCATCTCGAGGTCCATACCTATGCTGGTGCCCTGTCGGCCGAGCCAATACGGCGGTTCATGCAATCCTTTCGGCTGCCCAGCTTGAGCAGTCGCCTGGTTTCGCTAGCGCTGATAATGTTACGCTGGCTGTTTGGGAGGAGTGGCACCGCCTCGGGCTGGTGGGGAGTTTGGGCTGCGCAGCCAGTCGGACGGCTTCATCTCGCTGTTAGGCGCTCGAATCCCTGCGCAAGGGAACAATTGGCTTTCGATCGCTGTACCGGAGAAGGACCAAGAGATTGCCCAGCCGTCGGCGCGAGATTCTTGATCATTCGCCCGCTGTTGCTGTAGGACGAGATACGTATACAGGCAATGCGATGATGGCGGATTTTCTCGTCAACATCTCGTGACTTTCGCAACTTTGAAGAGTCGCATCTCGGCCTCGTAGTTCCGTTACCGTCTTCCCTGCTCTTCTTCAGTTTCGCATCAGAATTCTTCTACTCACATCGCATCGTGTCTGGTGTTCTCATGTAACGTCTCAGGCCAGGAGCTCAAACCAAATCTCCGACGCGATGCCCTGTAAAGTCGCGGCTTAGCGCCACCACCACCCCGTGACGGCCTCAATTCGGATTTTGTGGTTTCAGGCAGTCGGAGCTTTCACAGCTGCTTGTTTGTCTCGCGTGAAACCGACAGAGTTGCCCGCTGCTGGCGATGCTCTTGGGCGATTCAGGCAGATACGAACTGACCAGCTGCAGTGCTTTGTCGGTTCGTCCTTATCTGCTATCAGCTGGTCGTCTGTATGCGGCAAGCTGCGGCCATGGCGGCTTCCCTTTAACCCGCGATAGCATCACTTCCCCATTTGGCAGTTACCACATACGCACTGTATATGCACTGTTCTTATCTCAATACTCGCTACCAGTTTCACGTAGGCGATAACCCCTCCCCACAGTATCGATCCTTTCCGCAGCCAGCTCTCATTAAACCACCAACAGCCTCCTCACCCTCTGTCATTCATCCTTCCCCGCGATTGTGATGCGGAGAAGCAATAATGATTGACAAAGAATCAGCGCCAGATTTGTCGGCGAAGACTGGATATCCGAAAACAGGCTGTTATGGCACCCTCCATCCCACGTCTATCTTTGCGAGCCCGATACGAGCGAATGAGCAGCAACAAGATCCTGTGGCACGACAGACATTCCGATGGACGTCCGAGGAGAATGTCGATTCTGCCGTGCCTTGAACCGAAAGGCGAAGACGATGTGATAGCGGCTGAAGATGCGCGACGATCGCTTATCATGGCGGGGGATAAGCACCCGCCGCCTGCCATGATATGAGAGGAGGGTGCTTGCTGATACGGATATACCTGGTGATGGTGATAGTCATCGTGCATGCACGCTCAGCCAGCACCCGGCTATAAACGGCCAGTTATCGACCTCTACAGAGCGTTGTATTGCAGGATCCACAGCTTTCAGTGCATATATCTGCCACAAGTTGCCACCAGATCGACCCGGACCATTTAGAACATCTCGAGTAGTGTCACAGAACAGCTCAAGTCACCATGCCGGGCAAGATTCGAGTCGCGCAAACCGTCTCGCTGGAAACTCCAGCTGCAGAGCAACCAAATTTGCACAACCGATGGCATCCCGACAGTGAGTTCACGAACCCATCTTCTGACTACATACCGGCCAGAAGACAGCTTAGCACTGAGGCATATTGACTCGTTGACAGTCCCTACAATCGGCACCATCCAACCTGGAGAAACTGTCAAGATTGAATGCGTCGACTGGACCGGTGGTCAGATTGGCAACAACGATAGTGCTGAAGATGTACGCACGGTAGACCTGAGCAAGATCCACTACTTGACCGGTCCCTTCGAGATCCAGGGCGCCGAACCAGGTGATCTGTTGGTGGTCAACATTACGGATGTCCAGCCATTTGAGGACTCACCATGGGGATTCACGGGAATCTTTGATCGCCAGAACGGCGGGGGCTTCCTCGAGGATCACTACCCCAAGGCTGCCAAAGCCATCTGGGATTTTGATGGCATTTACTGCACCAGCCGACACATCCCCGGGGTGCGATTTGCCGGCCTGATTCACCCTGGAATCCTTGGCTGTGCGCCATCACATGAAGTTTTGGCTGAGTGGAATCGTCGTGAGGCTGAGCTCATCTCTTCGTGTGTCCATAGCCATCCAAATAAGGTGGTCGCGCAACCGCCGCTCGAAAAGAATGTGCATGCCGGAAGAACCACTGGGGATCTCAAAGCAAAGATTGCTCGTGAAGGAGCCAGAACTATCCCTGGACGGCCGGAGCACGGAGGAAACGGTATGTCGGTGAAAGAAGCAGCAGAATATGTGTGGCGCTCTCTAACAACATTCAAGTGGACATCAACAACATTTCGAGAGGATCGACGACATATCTTCCAGTGCACGTCGAAGGGGCCAAATTCTCAGTCGGCGACCTCCATTTCAGCCAAGGCGACGGAGAGATTAGCTTTTGCGGTGCCATTGAAATAGCAGGGACCATCACGATTAAGTTCGATCTCATCAAGAACGGCGTCAAGTCGCGAGCCATCAAGAGCCCCGTTTTCCGACCAGGCGATGTAGCCCCCAATTTCGGCCCCGGCCGGTATCTGACGTTTGAAGGATTCTCGGTCGATGAGCATGGCAAGCAGCACTTTATGGATGCAACGGTGGCTTACCGGCAGGCATGTCTTCGCGCCATTGAGTATCTCAAACAGTTCGGTACGTCATGAGGATCTTGTGCCTTCACCTACTGTCGTTCTCCTTTGATACAGCCTCTGACAAGTTCATCATATGGCACAGGATATTCTGGAGAGCAATTGTACCTCCTGTTATCGTGCGCCCCCATCAAGGGGTCTATTGCGGGGATCGTGGACATTCCCAACGTCTGCACAACACTGGGAATTCCGATGGACATTTTCGACTTTGACATTTCCCTTGAAGCTGAACCAAAGAAGCGAGACCTCGGATCATGTCCAGTTTCTAGCGTGTAACAGTACTGAAATGGGAGCTGCTTATTGATTCCGCTGCTTTGACAGAAAATGAAGCAATGCCAATGTTTACCGTTCAAGAGCAAGACGACTGCCAAGCTCCATCCCGCAGATCAACTCCCAAAACTGATGGTGACGTGACAGAGCCTGATCTTCGCCGTTTATGACAGTAACAAGGCTGTCGTGTAACCTGGGTGATGAATTATTCTTTCCAAGACGGCATGTTCATTGGTGTAGAATTATCCCTGCGGGCTGATAGTCAGCAGCTAAATGCTCCTGATCCCCTCAGCTTGACGACGCTCTGTGACCCTCCTCCATCCTCCTCGACGGGCTATTTTGTTGGTTTTCGGAGCTTCTTAGACCACACATGGTGTCTCTACAGACTTCTAGCTGGGATATGTCACCATGTTCTGCATCCGAATATGCGGGGGAAATATTGCTTTCAGCCGCCAGGCACAGCTCTTCAGGGCATCCCCATATTTTACCCCGGACTCTGAGGAGATCCGGTTTGCCGGTATTCCTGAAAATATCCGCCAATCAGGCAGACGAAGCATTTGTCCGCCAATGGGACGAGTCATGCTCCTGTCAGCATGGACGAGTTGGGAAGGAGATCTCCTTTTTTTGCTATGGATATAATGAGGAATCTCCTTTTCGTGAAGATTGAGTCTGCTTTGTGATCTAGCAACAGCTCAATCGGCCTTTGCGTCTCATCATCAAGAGGCTGCTGCTGCTTGTCTGCAACCCCCCCGGACCAGCACCTAGGGATCGGACTTTTGGACAATACGAGTTTGACAAGGGCATATCATGAAGGTTAATTCCTTGGTGAGCCTTGCGGCTGCGGCAGCGGCTGCGGGAGTTGCGCGAGCGGCTTCCTCGTCAGATGATGATCTCGCGCTCTTTGCGAAGCGAAGGACCGCGGATCTCGCGCAGTTTCCTGATCCTACGTGGTTTGCGAATATCGACACGTGGTTGTCCTCGCAAAAGGATGATGGCACCTGGTCTGATGTAAACTATCTGTCTGGCTGTCCTGCGCGTGAGTTTGTCCTTTCGAAAGCCGCGTCTCGTTTGGCTTGATGAATGCGTGCTGACATATGCTGGTTGAAGAACGTGCCAATTGGCCAATCCAGGAGCATTGGAACAGACTGATCACCTTTGGGGCTGCGTGGAGCGGTGTCAATCCTGTCGTTTCGAGCAGCTGGGCCAAAGACCCGAAGCTTCTGGCTGCTGTTCAGAAGGGTCTGGATTATTGGTTCAGCAATGACTATACTCCGGCTGACTGCATGGGAGATGGCGGAGAAGCGTGAGTGTTGCGAAATACCTGCATCGCTTTGTGCTTTGTGCGAGGGTTATGGCTGCTAATGTGAGCTTTAGATCAAAGGGATGTCCTTGTGGTACGCCTGGTTTGTGGAATACGGTATGTTTTCATCTAACTACCAAGGATGGCAGCTTCACGAACTTCTTCACTGACACGTGCAACAGAACTGGTATGATCAGGCCATCCTGATTCCTCAGCTGTGCTCGACTGCCTGCCTCCTCGTCAAGGATGCAAACCTCACCGAGACGCAGCGGGCGGGCTGCGAGCGCATTCCGTATCGAGCGTATGCTCTCCGAGACGGTACCTACGGTACTGGTGGCCGCATGACCGGAGCCAACGTGAGTCCGACTGGTCCCTTCCGTTGGATATATCTCATATAGACACGATACTAATTTGTCGTGTAGATGGTCTTGGTTATGCAAAACTCAGTCACCTTGGCGCTTTTTACGGATAACAGCACGATTCTGTCGGATTCTATGACTAGAGCCATGTCTGTAATGACTGTGAGTGAATCGTGGGATCTATATCGGGAGGAATGGGTTGGACTAACCGAGAGCTAGTTTGAGGATGCTGCTGGTGTGGATGGTATCCATCGAGACGGCACGTTTCTGCAGCATGACGGTCTCTTGTACAACGGCAACTACGGCAAGGATTTGGTGAGACTGAACCCCCTTATCATGTTTAGATGTGTTACTGACCTGGTATGTAGTTGAATGCGTTCATTCAGCTTGAAGGAGAGGCAATTGGTACCTCATTTGCCGCGGACAACAGCACCAGGGAGGCCATGTCCACTTACATCAAGGGCGACGAGTGGATGATTTTCACAGACTCTGAGACCAGAACCGAGCACTGGGACTTTGTAAGCACCCGCTCCTTACAAACCCTGAACAATAGGAAAGAGTCCGCCACTGACCATGACAGAACGCCATCGGTCGCTTTGTTTCTTTCCCTACCGTTGACTTGCAAGCGAGCGCAGACATCAACTTCAATGTCTCCAAGCTCGCGGCCGCCGTTGCCGACTTCACGGGCTCGTACGCCGTCAACGATACCATCAGCCGACTCCTATCCAACGGCACCGAGAAGCTCACGGGCAACAAGGGCTTCTGGGCGAGCGACTACATGGTCCACCGCAGACCCAACTTTGTCCTCACGAACAAGATGATTTCCACCCGGTCGGCCAACTCGGAGAGCGTCAACGGCGCCAACCCGTACGCCTACCACATGGGCCAGGGCACCCTGTACTCGTACGTCACGGGCACCGAGTACAAGGACATTATGGGCGCGTGGGACTGGAATCTCGTTCCGGGGACGACGACCCTGCTCGACCAGCCCACGCTTCAGGCTTCTCAGGTAAAATACACCGGGCTCAAGGACTTTGTGGGCGTCGTCAGCGACGGCAAGTTTGGTGCTGCTGTGGAAGACTATCTCGATCCGTTGACGCAGAATCTTTCGTACCGCAAGTCGTGGTTCTTTGTGGACGAGGGCGTCATTGTCATCACCACGGATATCAAGAAGAACGCGACCGCCCCCGTCATCACGGTGCTGGACAATCGCGCTGCCGAGTCTTCCAAGACAAAGGCATTCGTGAAGAACGGCCCCCTTGCGCAGTTGACGGGCGAGCAGCACGTCGCCACAGACACGCTTTACTACGCAAACAACGGCTACCTTGCCTACGACACGCCCTTTGACCTGACGCTGTCGGTGGGCAAGCGAAGCGGCAACTGGTCCGAGATATCCACCTCGACTCAGGGCGTCGAGACCGTCGACATCTTCTCCGCTTACACGACGATCAAGGGCGACAAGTTCACCTACGGCTTCTTCCCGTCCATCTCGTCCCAGAAGCTGACCAAGGAGCTCGTGAAGCCGACCTGGACGCCCATCACCAAGAAGGGCATCTCGGGCATCTACGGCAAAAACCGAGCCAGCCTCGCCTTCTGGCCCGGCGGCGCCAAGTCCGTCGCGCTGGACCTCAAGGATCTGGGCTGGGCGAGCGCCGGCACGCTGACGTTTACGTCCGACCAGCCGGCGGTGTACCTCCTCAGCGCAAAGAGCAAGGAGGGCAACAGCCTGCGGTTGACGGTGACGCTGGCTGATCCTACGCAGAAGCTTGGCGCGGCTTCGTACTCGATCAAGATTGCGGGTCAGAAGCACGCGGTGAGGGAGATGGGGGAGAGGAGCGAGGGGATTGAGAGGAGGGGGGATGGCGGGATTGGATTTGGGGTGAAGTTGCCTACGGGGGGGCTGGCTGGTTCGTCGGTCAGTCGGGAGGTGACTTTGGAGTTGAACTAAGGGGACGAGTGTTCATGGGCGACTTTTGCTTATTTGGTCCAGCTAATGTATTTATTATGAGAAGATGGTAATGTAGTTGGCTTCCGAGAGGAATACACCGTACCCTGAAAAGACCAAGGAACATAACAATATGAGCACATGATTTCAGCACAAGATGAGGCACGGTTACAAGCCACCCACATGGACCCGTATGCATGCAAGCAGGGCTACACTTCTAGAAGGAATCCTGTTCTTGCAGACGTTCCTCCTGTGCTCACCTCTCTCGGTCTGTTGGCCGATTGGCTTGTTTGCATGTAAGCGCATGCAGTCACGCCAGCTCTAACCCTTCCGAACGACGTAACAACTACTACTATATACATACATAATGCTTCGACTCTACTACTAGGTAATTACCTAGGCGTGTGTCTCTCTACCTAGTATGTTCCAACGATTCATATTACGGAGACGTCAAAAGAAAGTCCTATTATGGCATGAAGTAGCAATTGCGTGATGCGCTAGGCTATCGAAGCGACTGCGGACATGGATCTACAATACAGGTTGCAGTGGAGTTGCAGCGGCACAGACGGGCCGTGAGCATTTGCATTCATGCAGGCGGAGGAGTAATAGCAGAAAGACACGAGTGAGAATCTCTCCGGAAGGATGTTGGAGCCTCGTTGGATAATGTCTTGGTGACTGGATCACACCCGCGGAGCACATTCCACGGCACTCTTCTTCTCAGTACTCGCATAAGGTGCGCCTGGCCGAGTAACGACTAGGTAGTACTCGGTAAGGCACGCGCATTTCATATCATGTCATCATATTTGACTGATGCGGAGCAAAGCTCGTGTCCCTTCCACACTACTAATACCTCCCGGTGAGGCGTCGATGCCGCTCTGGCAAGTCCCCGCCACTCCATGCCAACCCACAACAATCCGGCCAAAGCACATACCGTTTCTACAGCAGGCTTTGAGTTATATCAGAGCAAGATACGCCCGTATTGATGCAACAGCTTCCTCGGTCAGATCGGGAAATACCACCATCGGAAAAAACAATCAAGAATTGCGGCTTGAAACGCGGCCAAATCCGGTCACCCAGAGGCGGCCGAGGGCACACCGGCTCGAGGAGCCATAAACGCCACCATTTTCCGTTTCCATCCAACTGCGCTCTTGGCTACTTTCGGTGACAGCTACAAAATACATGGATGTCAGAATGCTCGTTGCGGGCGTCTTTTCATTGCGAAAGGGAAGCTTGGAAAGTTGGAAGAGCTCTACTGGGTGCAAAAGTAGCTTTCCTACCCCCTGTCAATCCCCAGGAGCGGCAATTTCGGTGAAAATTCGAAGCCTTGTCTGTACGAAGCTCCCGCTGGGGTCTTGTCAACTCGACAAGGGAAAAGAGACGACAGAACAAAGCGGAAAATATGGGTAATATAGTCCGTAGAGGAAGGCCAAACTGTCCAGATGTAACGACGTGTGAGGAATCAGAACAAGACAGGGGAGCCCGCGTTTGATATTACTACTTCTCTAATACCTAGTAAGGTACGGAGCTCACTTCCGCACGCACGTACCTGTAAGATTCTCGACTCCCCAGGGCTGGTCGGGCCCTGGCGATCTGCGATGGGGCGGGATTACGCTCACGTTAAGGTTCCACGCCTGCTGGAGTACTGCCGAGGCCAGGGCGACTTGTCAATGATGATGGGTTCGTTACGTTGTACGAAGTAGCAGCCATCGAGACTCTACATGCCAAGTGTCCTAGGCAGTAGCAATAAGTACAAGTATGAGGACGTCTTGATGAACGCTTCTCATCGTAACTTTGAGGACGAATCACATGCATCCCGTCTTCCCCCAGTTCCAACAACAACTTTGCGAGACTTCTTCCTCCTCTGCTTCACACACCCTCACCAGCTGAGCCTTTCTCCCATCAAGCATACCATTACCTTATTACTTGTGCTACTTCGTCCGCCCCTGCTTACAGCACGGCCTGGCCGACGCCTCGCCTGCACCCCCAACTCTCCGGCAAGCCACCGAAGCTGCAGCTCCGTCCCCCCAAAGCTGCCGATCCCGTCCACCAACAGCCCTTGGACGCCTTTCCCTCCCGGTGGTCCCTGCACGGCATCTGTATCGTGATTCGTGCCCGGGGCAATCACCAAGAGCTGCACGATATTGCGCCATCGTCATCGGTCCAGTGACAATCCCAGCCTCAGCTCTTGAGTTGCCTTTTGGGACGTTGAACACTTTGACACCCAGGCTTTTGCCTTCGGTATTGTCAGGGCAGAGACGGTGAACCCTTGACAGGGAACAACAAGGTGGATAGTGAAAGAGACTTTCTTTCCGGCTGGAGGATCCCGCGTATTGTACCCCATTCTCGCCCGTGTTAGCGTCTGCGAGATCAAGGCATCCAGAGGTGTGATAGAAGCCTAGCGTCATGTACGACGGGCCTCGACGGTAGCATCAGCTTTCCGGGTTGCCTTTGCTGAGCACCACCATCTTTGATATTCGTGTGCTGAGGTTGCATTGCGCGAATCCTCTGCCGCGTACATAATCGTCGCTCCGTCGCGTTTTTTCCTTTTCATTTTGGCATCAGAGCGACACGCCGGGCTGGGACTCTTGTCTTGTCACTCATCATCGCCATCTCACTCGTCTCCCCGATCTTTAGAGTTGAGGCTTGCCTTTGTGTTGGCTTGCACTGCAGGTTCCTATTTATACCGCAGGAATTCCCTGCCGGAGTTGATTTACACTCTATTTTTTTCTGTTCAGTATCTTTCGGTGACACGATCGCTTTCAATGGCTGCTTCGTCAGACGACAGCAAGACGGCGCCAGCCCCGGACCCCGTCGAGACGAACAGCATCTCGGCCAGCAGCGGCGACGACGATGTCATTCCCAAGGGCGCTCTCGACCCCGTGTACGAGGCAAAGGCCAGGGTGCTGAATCGTGCTGTAAGTCTCATCTCATTGGCTGTGTCGAATGTTTCTGCAATGATTCATCAAGGCGCCGCGCACGTTTGATCAAGCCAACTGACACACGGATTTGATCCAGATCCAAGACATCGGGATGGGATGGTACCAATGGCAGCTCTTTGCCGTCGTCGGATTCGGCTGGGCGTCGGACAATCTGTGGCCCATCGTGACATCCCTCATCTTCACCCCCGTCAGCAACGAGTTCTCGCCCAACCGCCCGCCGCTCTTGACGCTCGCCCAGAACATTGGTCTCCTGGCCGGTGCCGTCTTCTGGGGCTTCGGATGCGACATCTTCGGCCGCAAGATTGCCTTCAACTTCACGCTGGGCCTGACTGCGCTCTGGGGCTTGATCGCCGCGGGAGCGCCCAACTTTGCGGCCATTGGCATCTTTGACTGCTTCTGGTCTTTTGGCGTGGGAGGCAACCTGCCCGTGGACTCGGCCATCTTCCTCGAGTTCCTGCCCCAGACGCACCAGTATCTGCTGACGGTCCTGTCCGTTGACTGGGCCGTCGCCCAGGTCGTTGCCAACCTGGTGGCTTGGCCTCTGCTGGGCAACCTGACGTGTGCCCAAGACGAGAAGCCCTGCCTCAAGCACAACAACATGGGCTGGCGCTACTTTCTGATTGCCATGGGCGGACTCACGCTGCTCATGTTTCTGGCTCGATTCGGGCTCTTCTCTCTCTACGAATCACCCAAGTACCTCATGGGCAAGGGCCGAGACGAGGACGCCGTGCGCGTTGTCCACGAGGTGGCCAGGCGCAATGGCAAGACGAGCACCCTGACCATCGAAGACCTCAAGGCTTGCGAGCCCGAGGGCTACGTGGCCCAGACGGACCTTTCCACCGCTGTCAAGAGACACTTGGTTGAGCAGATTGACACCACACACGTCAAGGCTCTGTTTTCTACCTTCAAGCTTGGGCTGTCCACCGGCCTCATCGCCGCCATTTGGGCTCTCATCGGCCTCGGGTTCCCGCTGTACAATGCCTTTTTGCCCTTTATCCAGGCCAACAAGGGCGTCGATTTTGGGGATGGAAGCACGTACATTACGTACCGTAACAGTCTGATCATTGCCGTGCTTGGTGTTCCCGGAGCCCTCATTGGAGGCCTGCTTGTCGAGCTGCCCAGGATCGGCCGCAAAGGAACGCTCGCTCTGTCTGCGGCTCTGACGGGCGTCTTTTTGTACTGCTCCACGACTGCGAAGAGCAGCGAATCGCTCCTCGGATGGAACTGCGCCTACAACTTTTGCAGCAACGTCATGTATGCTGTCTTGTACGGGTATACCCCTGAGATTTTCCCGACGCCTCAGCGAGGCACCGGCAATGCCATTGCTGCTACTGCCAACCGAGTCTTTGGCATCATGGCTGTAAGTGTTTCAGAGCGATTCTGTCAAAATTATCCGAGGATGAGTCTGACTTGTTTGTAATAGCCAATTATTGCCATGTTTGCCAACCTCGAGACGTCTGCGCCAGTGTACACGAGCGGCGCCCTGTTTATCGCGGCCGGCATTCTCACCCTTTTCCTGCCGTTTGAATCGAGAGGCAAGGCGGCTCTGTAGTGTTTTGAACGGTTGTCAAGGGGCAGGATGTTGTCGATAGAGTGCTTGTATATAGAACAAAAAGATTGTTGGTGTAGGTAAGTCTCGGGTGAAGGAGTAGCGAGGGGAGAAGTGTGATAGATACCCTGGGTGAGGCAGTTTTCTATGATGCATGTTTAGGTTTTTTTCATTTGGCATAATCTGATGCCAACTTGATTTGATTCAAATGGTCTCAGAAACAACATCCCATTGCTCTACATGAGTTCGATCTCGACGGTTTCATTGACATGGGCATGCGAGATACCTTGATGGGCCTGTTACCGGGATCTCGCCGTCAACAACATCCCATATCCGATATGGTGTAGTGGCTAACATCGCTCGCTCTCAGTAACTTGAACCGAGCAGCCCTGGGTTCGATTCCCAGTATCGGAGAGAATTTCATTTTTTTTGACCTCAAGCCTGTTTTTGTTCCTTTTTTTGTTTCTCGCTCTCGCGTGGAGGAGGGTCGTATGGTAGAGATTTACACCTTAGTCAGCATCTCAACATCCGATATGGTGTAGTGGCTAACATCGCTCGCTCTCATTTACCGAGCGCCGAGCAGCCCTGGGTTCGATTCCCAGTATCGGAGACGTTTCATTTTTTGCCTTTTGTCGCATTTTATGCTTTGGTGAAGGCGTTTGCCCTTTTTTTATGGAAGTATTGCTCTGTGTGGATCATCATCCTTCTTGACGCTTGAGACTGACGATTGAAGCCAAGAGGGCTTGGAACATGGTAAGAGTACGAAAGGGGTTGCGTTGCACTGGCGTTCTAGGGTTGGGAGACGTCAAGTGGCAAATGCCGGTGCTGGAAGGTATATCTAGAACGAACCTATGTACTTGGCACAGAATTTGGAAGCCACTCTTCTCAGCCGGCTGAATACATAGTTTTTAGGCGAAAGCATCAGGATCTTAGCCGTTGGCCTCAGGGCCAAGGGACTTCTATCCATGGTATGCTGCGGGTAAATTCCAACTTGTCCTTCAAACCCCACTCGGAACGGCATCCTCTTCCAAGGAAAATGCAACCCCGTCATACGGTACTTATATAATCACGGTCTCATGAATAAGAGATGATGTGTATTTGCAAAAAAAGGGGGATTGATTCTAGTAGGACACCTCCTATTCTCTATACTCGCCTTGATTCTAGCCCAAGATCTGAGCGACACCGGCTAGGCTCAGAGACATCATCATGAGATCTTCGAAGCATGAGCACGACGAGGAAGAGGAAGGACAAGCTTTCCTCCCGGCATCCGTCGAAGAAGGACAATACTGTCTCCCTTCCGATGTCCCGGGCCCATTTCCGGGAAAGCAAAGCCAAGCACAGCGAGCATGGCGGTATTTGAGGCTTCTGATAGAGCTCGCGATGGCTGGCGTCATCGTTCTTTTACTGATGCTCAAGCCGTACTGCGCAAGAGACACGATCAGGAGAACGCCGGTGCCCAGATGTATGTATGCCTGGCCACAATCGCACTTGTCATTGCCTACCCGCTGCTGACATACAGTGTACTGTCAGTGCCGCAGAAGCTCTACACGTTTCGGGACAACCCGCGATATATGCGTGGTGAGATGTGGTTCAACTCTTCAGATACGCTTCATACGCTCCACAACTGGATTGAGCTAAGCTCTGGTTTGTTCCGCCCCCTCGACGCATACGAACCGTACCGTAGTCAAAACTGACTGGGGGTTCTCAAGCCAGCCGTGGCTACGTCGTTATAGGCGACGACGCTGGCCCGTACGATCTACCCGAGCCCTATACGGTAGCCGTTGATCGCCAGAACGACGGGCCGGCGTACATGATGTCCGTCTTCCACCAGCTGCACTGCCTCTCTTACATCGCCGAGCACTACCAGCAGGGCTACGGCGGCGTCAACTTGACCGAGGAAGTGGCCCACCACTCGGCGCACTGCTTCAACTACTTGCGCCAGGGCATCATGTGCTCGGCGGACACGACGCTGGAGGGACAGACGAAGGAAGGGCCGGGGGAGGGCTCGGTGCACGAGTGTGCGGACTATGATGCCTTGCTGGAGTGGGCCAACGAGCACGCGGCGATGAAGTGGCGCGAGGGACTTTTGCCAGGCGAATCGACGCTTTGAAACTTGGGTTTATACTAGAAAGAACATTGTTCTGTCTTCTTCGGCTTGAACGGGCACCAGAGAGTATACGGCTTCGCCCGTCGTATCCGTCTCCAAGGTCAGCACTTTGAGACTGGCTTGCACTGGAGTCTCTTTGCTAGCCCGTCTGCCCGGAACTGGCCATGACCATGTGCAATATGACTCGCTCAGAAGAATCACTCATTTGCATACATGTAGTCGAAGTCAGTGTGTCCTTCCCCTGGGTGAAAGCAAAATAGCCTCACGATAATATCGTTAGGAGAAACAGACTTGAAATTCACAGTAGCCTAATTACAAGTCCGCAATATCGCAGCAGATCTGAGCGCTCTCCCGCTGCCTTTGCTCCCCTAAAGTTCCTTTCTCTATCTAACAAGTGCCGTCGCCAAGGTCGCAAGAGAACCAGCTCTGGATGCGTCCAATATCACCGATGCTGCCCGAGGTATAGCCCGTGTTTGGGCCGCAGAACAGGTTGGGGGTGTTGAAGCCCGGTCCCTGAATGTTGATGGCATAGCCGCTGCCGGAGGGGCCGTTGACCGTTCCGGAGCACTGGCCGACGGAGAAGGACATGGGGCAGCTTTGGCCCGCGCAGAGCTGCCCGTTGCCACCGTTGCTGGTCGCACTGCCAATCGCAGTGGGACCGATCGAAGGGTTGACGCTCGTGCCCTCACTGTACCATACTTCGGGCTGGGTGTCCAGGCCGCTGGAGAAGGGGTCGAGGATTTCAAAGTCTCCGAGGACGAACAAGTTGGCTCGGACAGAGGTGGCGGCCAAGGCCGAGGCAATCAAGGTGAAGGTGGTCTTCATGCTGTTTCTACTGAATACGAGTCAGTAGGTAACCCCTTTTCCATTCGATAGAAGAAACGAACTTACGGCGTTAATGCAAGAGATGCGAGAGGCAAAGTGCTTGTAGTGTTGAGTGGAAGAGGAGGATTGTGAGAGTAAGGCGATGGTTGATTTCCTGCACCGAGGAAAGGGGTTCAGCTTTCCCCTTTATATACACCCGTGCAGGCAGGCTGAAGCAGAGTGAAGCGAACTCTTCAGTGAGCAACTGTACCATTCAGAACGAGCATGGAAATTGACAGAACTATACCCGTCACTGATGCCTCATACGGAACTATTGGTTGTGATCCGCTTATGGGCAGTCAGCATGCCAAGAACTCGTGATGCAATGGGTTCTCGAAGCTGACCTTGGCATATGCGGAAACCCGGTTTGCTTACATGAACGAGACAGTCACGACTGGGACTAGATCGGCATTGTGCAGCACGTCGAGAGTGGGAGGCAAAGGGCTATACTACTTGTCACAACACGATCAATGCTGCTGTAGCATTGGCCAGCGAGGTGGTATCAAGTGCGATGTGCCTAGGTAGGGACTGCGTACAGGTTGCCTTGGTGAATGGAAGTATACAACTCGGGCCCTGGCGGCTGGCTCTTTGCCCTCCCGGACCGCCCTGTCGGGTCGGCGAACCATGACATACACGGGTCGAGGTTGCCTGCAGTAAGACAAGCCGTTCCATGATCTGCAAAAAACGAAGTTATCCGAGACCAAAAGGAGAAGGTGTTGGAAATGAAAAAATGATGAGTCCAAAACGAGCGCGAGGGCTCGTAACCTAGTATTGGAAACGAGGAGAGCAATACGTAACGTAGGCGGTATTATGATGTGTAAGAAGCCAAGTTCTGTGGCTACGTTATGCCCGGCACGGCCTTCATATTCTCAACGGTGCCTTTCCCCGGCTCGACCGTTCCTCCCACAATCCACCAGACGAAGTTTCCCTTGAACAAAAGGTACTGGGGGTCATGGGCGGTATAAAGCACGACTCGGGGAATTCATGAGTTTCGGACAGCTAGCTCATTCAAGTGCTCTTGCAAACGGCTGCTGATAGAAGCGAGACATCAACATCACTTTCTACGCTGGGATATATAAAAGAGGCCCAGTTCTGAACTTGCCCTATACAGTCGAGACGCAGTCAGAAGTAATAAACGGTTGGCAACGCGGAGAAAGCATCGTATGCAGCCTGCACGTCACTCTGCTGCGGCACGGCCAGCAGCAGTAGATTATAGCCCAGGAAGGTACACAACATGCAAACTCCGAGAGCGTAATACGTAAACGCCGACGTAGGCTACATGAGTTGATAGACATGACTGACGCAGTTCAAGAAGATGGCAGTCCCGTGAGTGCCAAGTTTCGAGGTCCAGGCCTGGGTGTTCATGCCTCGGACCAACATCTTCTTCCCAAGTCACGGAAGCGGCACTGGTGACGCCGGGATGGAAGTCTTCAAGATTGAATCATGGCTGGAGTATTTGACCAAAATGGCGAGTTTCTCAGAGAACAATGACCTGGATAGTGACGACTCGCCCGCTACTTAGGCGACGTCTCTCCTTAAAGAGCCTGGAGGAGGGACTTGAAAGATCCGAAGCGGTAACTAGTAGGTAGTAGACCATTCCATTCCAATATTAAATCTGGGGTTTGTCCCTGCCTCTTCCTTTTTCTCTTCCTCTGCTTCTGCCTTTTTATTCTGTCCAGTTTCTGAATTGAAGAAGCCACTCGTGCGTCAGAGAATATAATCAGATAGTCCGCAGGGAATCTTCAAGCACCGGCGCCAGAGCTCGGTCTACCTTATATATCAAGCCTAATTAAAGTGGGGCACCCTTAGGTGAAGGTTACTAGGTAGGTACCTATTCACCAGGGGAATACACACCGAATACTGACTGCTTAGGCATAAGGCCTTGGAACAGATGATGCCATGCTGTGAAATACCCATTGAAGGCTCCTCGGGGTACGGCCATGATGTAACCATCCAGTCATCTATTCAAAGGTATTTCATAGCAACACGATGCATGTGCCCATAAAATCACGAAAGAACATCAAATGGGCTCGTTCAGCATGCATGAAGCATCACGTGAGCCTCGGAACACCAAGCACCGGCATTGGGTTGAAACTCGGCCTGCAGACGCTCGAGCTGACCGAGGCGGTGACACGACACAAACCGCCCAGTTGAGCTTAAAAAGCAAAGAGATAGAGCGGACTGAAATCTTCAAGTCATCTACATACGCCGTCATTCCCGCCTGAACCAGTGCAAAGCTCCCCATTCCATCTCATCGCGCTCTCATTCTCCAGCAATGGCCGAACAGACGGCCCCCACGGCCGAGCCTCGCGTGACCTTTGCGTCCGGCCGAGACGCCGCCTCCGAGGCCCCGGACCTGCGGATCCTGCACTACAACGACGTGTACCATGTCGATCAGGCGAGCGCCGAGCCGGTCGGCGGGCTGGCCAGGTTTCTGACGCTGGTCAAGGAGTACCGCGGCGGCCAGCAGTACCGCGGCCAGCCGGAGCTCGTCACGCTCTTCTCGGGCGATGCGTTCAATCCCAGCTTGGAGAGCAGTGTGACCAAGGGTATGTATTTGCGTCTCACGCATTCAAGTCATGGTGTGAATGCAGGCTTACTGTTGGTTACCTCAGGCTCTCATATGGTGTCTGTTTTGAACGCTATAGGGACGCAGGCCACTTGCGTGGGAGTAAGTTTCGATCGTGTCTGCTCATCTTATACAAAGCCACGTCAGTTGACCGAGTCCTTCTATAATCAACTCAGAACCATGACCTCGACTTTGGAGTCGGGCAGTTTCAGCACCTGGCCGAAAAGTGCGAGTTCCCCTGGCTACTGGCCAACATCCTGGATCCCGCCCTGGGCGAAGACGTCCCCCTCGGCAACGCAAAGAGAACCCACATGATCACCGCCTCCAACGGCGTCAAGATCGGGCTCATCGGCCTGGGCGAGCGCGAGTGGCTCGCAACCATCAACAGCCTCCCGCCCAACATCATCTACAGGTCCGCCACCGCCGTCGCTAAGGAGCTCGTCCCCAAGCTGCGCGAACAAGGCGCCGACATTGTCATCTGCCTGAGCCACATGCGCGAGCCAAACGACAACAAGCTGGCCGACCAGACCGACGGCCTCATCGACATCATCCTGGGCGGCCACGACCACTACTACGCCCACAGCTTCCGCAGCGGCACGCACGTGCTGCGCTCGGGCACCGACTTCAAGCAGCTCACGTACATTGAGGCACGCCGGAAAAAGGACAACCCAAAGCGATGGGACTTTGACCTCTGGAGGAGAGACGTCACCTCCGAGGTGCCCGAGGACGCGCCCACGGCCGAGCTGGTGCACAGCCTGACGTCCAAGCTGCAAAAGTCGCTCTCCAAGCCCGTCGGGTGGACGGCCATGCCGCTCGACGCCCGCTTCGTCACCGCCCGCCTCAAGGAGTCCAACATGGGCAACTTTGTGTGCGACATCATGCGCTCCTATCACAACGCCGACTGCGCCATCATGGCCGGCGGCACCATCCGCGGGGATCAGATATACCCCCCCGGCGCGATCCGCATCAAGGACATTACCACCTGTTTCCCCTTTGAAGATCCTGTTGTTTTCCTGAGGGTCAAGGGGCAGGCTATCTGGGATGCGTTGGAGAATGGCGTCTCGCTGTATCCTGCTCTCGAGGGCAGGTTTCCGCAGGTTTCGGGCATTGAGTACGAGTTTAATCCGTCAAGGCCGTCGGGCGAGAGGATCTTGTCGGTCAAGATCAACGGCGAGACGTATGAGCCGGAGAAGGAGTATACGCTTGCAACGAGAGGGTACATGGGTCGTGGAAAGGGTACGTCACAAACCAATATCTAAAAAAAAAGCAGGCTCTTTGTTGCTTGAGCTAACTCGTCAATGTGCAGACGGCTTCACCAGCCTCCTCGTCAAGTCCGAAGGCGGCCAAGCCGAGGAAATCGTCGACGAAGAGAGCGGCATCCTCATCTCCACCATGCTCCGCCAGTACTTCATGGCCCTCCGCACCGTCGGCCAGTGGAAGAAGCTGTCCGCAAACTGGACCTCCATCGTCGACCAGTGCGGCCACACCCAGCTGCCCTCCCAGGTGCGCCGCAGCGAGGGCGACGCCGTGCGGCGCGACCTCCAGCAGGACAAGGGCGCCGACGTGGAGGCGGAGCCCTGGCGCAGGTTCCTGCGGAAGCGTCTGGGGTACAGCAAGAAGCCTCACAACGACAACGACGACGACCACCACTTCGATCCCACGGCGGCGGCGGCGGCAGACAGCGGCAGCGATCACTCGGGGAGCGACTCGGACAGCCAGATTGACCTCGACATATTGCTGATGAGGAAGTTTTGGGGCCGGTGGGCGCGCAGGGCCGGCATCAAGGCTGGGGTCTGCGATCCCTTGAAGGAGGCCGAGTGTGCGGTGGACTGGACGAGGGTGATTGCGCCGGTGCTCGAGGGGCGTATCAAGATTGTCGAGGCATGAAATGAGCTTCTTCATCAAGCTGTTACATGTTCCGCACATGGACAGGAAAAAAAAAGGGGGGGGATAGGAGAGCCATTTTTTGCATGCGTCTAGATTTTGCAGTCGGATTGAGAAGCTTTGGGATTCTGCTTGGGTAGACCGATCGATATACCAGCCATACATATAGGTACGCTTGGGTTATATACTGTCAAAGATTCTGTATATAGAACTCATCTCCCAAATCACCCCGACCTCTTGGAAGTCATATATATATATATATATATATATATACAAGCACTTGACAGCTCCGCATTTTGCTATCTCACTCTGACGAAAAATCCCCCGATTCCTTTTTGCGACCCCTCAGGTAGAGAAGCATCCATCTTTTATTGAGGCCTCTTCCCCCAAGCCATCAGGATAAGTCGACCGCGAAGCCCTGTGGCAATTCATTTGCTGCCTTCCGTCCAAGTCATTGACCGCAGGAAGTTTCTCTTCCATTTCGCGAAAAGCAGAGCAAATCACATCCTTGCAGATCCCCAGATTCTTACCAGAAAGCTTGCTGCTATGGACCACTCAGAATAGCATCGGCATTAAAAGGATTTAGTAGTAGTGAATCCCATAAAAAGAAAAGGGGGGCCCGATCAAGCCTCAAGTGGTTCGTACTCTGTACCTGGAGTCTCAAAAGGGGGGGGGGGGACCAGGGGCGGTGTAAGTCACCCTGTCTGTCGGATTCCATCAACGGCCACATGGCAATTCCGATAGTTGCCGACTTCACTTAGATCTCCTTTCCATTTTCCATGAAGCAAAGGCAGAGGATGTGATGCGTCAAAGACTACGCCAGCCGAACATGATCACAAATAGCTTGTGGAAGTGCTTGCATGGCGCATCACCGGGGCATTTCGCAAGTCCGAGCCTTGGTGATTGAGTGGATGCTGGTTCATTGATTAGATCAGCCAGCTGGTGGATGACAGAAGCGTCAAGATCCCCTGAGTCGAATAATTGCCCAACCACATGCTCAACATTAATTCCGTCCCCCGTTCGTGTCCGTTCGACGCCCCTCGGTATTCATCTTTATAATGGTATATGGAACGAAACGAAACCAAACCAAACGAAACGAAAACAACATCTGTAGTAACAGCTCGGTCAAATCCCCCTCCTGACAAATGGGTATCTAAAAGCATATGCTGCTTCTGCGCGGCTGCAAAAGACTCTCTATAAAAAGAACAACAAGAGGCAGCACCACCAGATTACATCTTGAGAAGCACGTCATTCTCAATGATTCTGTTTTTCCATCCCTCACAAGCCACCTTGACCATGGCTTTGCCGACTTGAGCGGTCGTGATGGCGCCGTAGAGGCTGCCGACAAGCCTCTTGGACAATGGAGCGTTGGGTTCGATGAAGCCGGATGGCCGTAGGATCCACGTCTCGAACTTGGCCGAGTTTGCATCGGCAAGTTCGCACAAGCCCTTCTCGACTTCCCCCTTGATACGGCGAGAGTCGGCCAAGAAGAGAAGAGGTCTCTTTTGATTCCACTCCGAGTACTTGCCACTGCAGAAAACGAAGCGGAATTTCTTGCCTTGTGGCACCTTATCGGCAAGGTATTTCAGCATCGCGTTCGCAGCCGCGAGCGTGAACTCGACACCCACTTTGCGGCACAGTTCCTTGTCGTTGTTGAACTGGTTCACTCTTCCGCCAATCGCCCTGCAAAGCCTTCGTCAGCGAGAAGCTGGTCAAGTGGTCAGACTGACAACGCACAGTACCAAGCATAGGCCCTTTCGTGCGCTGCCCGTCCTTTCTCGCACCGCCCCCTTTATACCGGGAGTCGCCCTTACCATAAGCAGGCTTCAGCCCCTTCATATCTGCGCATCATATCCTCGGGATATTGAGAAAAGTCTTGGTGCATGACGACCTCGGCCTTGGGATGGCTTTCAATGTCAATGGAGACCACTTTTCTTGTCACGATGACGACCTTGGTGATGCGCTCGTCCGCAAAGCAGTGGTTGACAATTTCCTTGCCGGCATTGCCAGTCACGCCAAACACAAGGACTTTCATGGTGTGGTAATGTCTGTGACGCCTCTGGGACTCGCTCTGTCGATTGCTTTGGAGAGTCGGAATCGGTATGGCGTGTAGTAGGCAAGCCTGCTTCCGCTCGGTGGCGACGCTCGACCCGTTGTTGATGGGAGGCAAAGAGAGCGGCGACGATGACTATGATGGCCGCGGGCCTGCGACGGTTCGGCCCCGACGTCCCAAGTCTCGGTATGGCAGGGAAACCAGCTTATTTATATCGAAAGAGCAGCATGATTCTCGAGCCCCGGCCAGGAAGGGGTGGGAACAGATGGCAGGCCAATCGGGGCTCGCTTGGTTTATATTAGCCTGGCAGTTGACAGCAGATCGCCTTGTCGTCGAGGAACTAGCACGAGTAAATTAAATATTTCTTGCTTTGGAAGCTTTCAGAGCAAGGGTCCTAGTGTTGGGCCGAGCCGTGTAGCCGACTGCAGCAGTGCCGGGGTGGGTCGAGACGACACAAGTCGACTCTGTTGGTGCACACCTTGGTCCCGTGGGTTGGGTTGAAAGCTGCTGTGGTGGTACTAGTATGTAATTACAAGTACGGACCGCTGTCCTGTCGACAGCGCGCGGGCTTGAAGAGAGCAGAAGAGCCCAGTTGGCGATCCGACAGCTTTCGTGGCGCGTCTTTGCGCCGGAGCCGATTGGGCCTTGTCCAGGACTCCGGTCTCGACAAATGACATGCTAACCGCACTCCGCACTCCCAGTGCTGGCCACGGCATTGCCCTCGATGATGGATCTTTCCAAGGCCCAAGACTGGCTGCCACCCACTGGCAGTATGAATCAGCAATTGGCTGCGTCGCCTAGTGTCCCGTTAGTCGTCGACCATGAATCATTCGGCAAACGGCCTCGAACTTCGGAGGGCGTCTTCGGTTCCAACATCCGGCCTGAGGTGAGATGAGATGAGGCAGCAGCGATGTGCGGAGATGGACCGTCATCCATGCCAGCAGCTCTATGCCAGCCCACAATCTGCAGCCGCTCTGCACCCAAAAGTGTGCCCACGCGAACGACCCTGGTCGGCAGTCTGTGTGGCTCTCCTTTCTTGGGGGTCACTCCCTGTGTTCCATCTCGTCCGACACACGGTTCGAGCGTATCTCGATCGGCTCCGTGCAAGGATGCGGCATGTCTGTGTAACTGCTGAGCTCGCCTCGCTGCAGTCGGATCGTGTCTTGCGGTGACAAGAGGAGAGAAGAAGAACACTTGGCCGACACATATCGATAGGATATCGGCGCATGAAGAACGACATGGCGGTGCAAGCACTATGCAATACGAAGCAGTGGAAACTAGACGTGTTCCATCGCGCGTCGTATTTCGTACCGTAGAAGCCCAGAGCAATGGCAATTCCAATCGACTCCCTGCAGTTTTTGCTCCTCTTGCCGAACGTTGGTACTGTGCTGTTTCTCACGCGGCTCTGCGACTAGCCTGGAGGGGAGTCCAGCCTGAATTGGGCCTATCAGAGGATGCTGTGATGCCGTATTTCCGTTAAAGTCTGGCGGCCTTCATGCCGCCATTTTACAGCACCCTCTAGACTGTCGATGCGTTGCGGCAAGGTCGATAAGGACTACCCAACAGATAAGACGGGCCGTGCGGCAGCTTCTGAGTGGCGACGCTGTGGCATCCAGAGCGAAGCAGGGATCTGACATGTTGAATGAGGGCCGTCTTTCACTTCAAATGGTTGACATGTGAGAGGAGAATAAGCAAGATGAAGCATGAAAGGACGTTGGTGAAGCTAAGGTACTACAGGTACTACTACTAGGTACTATGACCGAACTTGTGAGACCCTGGATCTGGCAGGTGCGATTGCTGGGCCGTTCCTGAGCAGTTGAATCCGGGGTCTTGGCGGGCAAGGACGGAGGACCAACGGGATCCGCGGATTTCAGCAGTAGAGGCTTGGCCTCCCGCCTTGGCGTCTTGGCCGATGGGCTGGAACATCTTGGCATTTCCTGCAGGAAGGCGACGAAGGGCTGGCTCTTTCCGCGACTACAGACGACGGAGATCGTGAAATTTATCAAAGAGATTCCGTGGTGTTTCGCTTTGCAATCACTTCAGCTCTTATCACGACCACGAAATGCTCTGGCGTTTAGCCGTTGCGTTTGATCAGTTCTGTTGGTAAGATTTACAGAGTATAAATACCTACTACTTGATACGCATCCCCTGACCACGTCGAGAGGAACCAAGTGAGCTGAGAACACCTCATCCAGCATCGAAGACAGCCTCATCTCTTTCTGTTGAGCTACCTATTCTGTCCAGTTCGGTGTCACAAAGTACTTCGTACTACAAGCGCGACACAATCTATGTAGAATCTGACCCAACACTAATCTTCAGGGGCTGCAGTAGATGAGCATCGATGTAACACACCATCGGCCATGAGGCGGTCCATCCTGGAGCACTTTCGACAACTGCGACGCTGAGCTACGGGATTCAGCCAGATACGAGCACACAATCACGGGTGCCTTTCGGTCGATTTCTCAAAGAACAGATCGCGATGCAGCTCGACTTCATTCATACTCGCGGTAGCATCGAGCCACTCTCCTGTCTTACGCTACTTGGTACTGCTTCCGGTACTTACCAAAAAGGAAGCATTGCTCGCGACTGGCAAGGCTCGGAGTTTGGCATTTCGACATCTTGCCCTCAACAGCCGTGACTCGACACCAGACCTATTCTCCTACTTGTTTGCCAAGCCAGCATCCAACTTGCCATCTCCAGTGACACCGCGAGGAGCCCCAATAAGGCCGCACTGGCACTTGACCGGGTAAGTAGCAGCACAGCTCGACGCTCGGTATCACTCGAGTGGTAGTACCGCGCCGTACCAAGTATTCTAGGGAAATGTCCCTGGAGCGGCTGCTCTTCCGATTGACGCGACCCGCTGAATACGTACACGGCATAGGCATCCGTTGAGGCGGTTCAGTCTGTCTTGCAACTCTGGAGTCGATCCGGAAGCCGTCGTGATCCCCTAGGCCTGGGTCCTCGCAAATGCTATGGGGTGGCTGCATGTTCTGACCTGGTATGGCCTGTCAAGTCCGTTCAAGTAGCTTCCCGGATGGACCAACGTGTACCTTCGCGCGTCCTGCGCTAACGAATAGCTGGGGCTCAAAAGTCTGATATGACCCAACGAGGAATCGGAGTGCCTCTGCAGATCACCAAATTCAGATTGCAATGATCGAACCTGCGACATCACGTCACCAATGACATTCCGTCGCTCTGCACTCTTTCTCCCAAAAGCGTAATAAACATCCAAGCTGCCTTGGACAGGTCCTCAGTCGCGTCTGCCGTTTTCACAATCTTGATCCGAGACTGTGAGAGGACGAAGCCGCCGCATGAGACCTGGGTGACTCGGACGCCCGGGTGGAATAGATTCAGCGCCATGTGGTGATCCAGATGATGTGCCAAAGCTTCCATCAGGGGATACGCGGGTCCCTCCTTGTTCTTCAGCCAACCCCACCCATCATCGATGTGCGGGCCAGCGAGCCTGCGCCGCTCTCTGTTATCATGCTCCCATGAAGGCTGATTGGAAGATGGAGTCGAAGCCGTTTTCGAAGCTGTCCGCTTGGACTTTTGCAAAGCTTTTCCAGCTCGTAGGAAGCGCCTCAGATCCGAGGCCGAGACGCTGATTTCCATGCTCCTCAATCCTGGTTCGGCTACTTTATCCTCCTCTCCGTCGTCATCCCCAGTGTCCCCGCTTAAAGGAAGTGCAGCTTCTCGGCCTCTGTCTGTCACTGGAGCGTTGAATGCAAGAGTCAGCACGAGGTCCGAGTCGGCTCCGGGCAGTCCAGTCTCTTGGATCCAGCCCTCTAGGATATTGACCAGTGTTCGAGTGCCCAGATTGAGCTTGGTGACACGACAGTCAAATGTTGTTGATAGCCATTCGCCGATGACTGCCTTGAGAGGCTGGGGCATTCGGAGGAGGAGTAGAGGTAGGTGAAGAAATTGTCTGCTGTCCGCCTCGCCAATGTCAGGCTGGTCAAGGCTCATGCTCCATTTAGACGCGGTTGGTATGTTGGATCCCCTTTCTGATTGCGACAGTCCGGGCAATAAAAGCGCGACATAGGCTGCGTTCTCATGCCGCATCTCAATCCAGAGCCCCTTGTTCTGCTCATCCGACTGCTCGTCGTCGCCCTCTGCGTTTCTCTCACCGAGGATGTCCGTTGGCCGAAACCAGCGAAAGTTCACTGCCTTGAGCGGACCAACCTGCCCCATCGGCGTGTCCGTGGCCTCCAGCCCAATCTGAACGCCGCGAACGACATCGCCAACCAGCGTGTCACGCAGCCGGTGAGCCAGCCGGTCAAGGCGAGCCTGGTCCAGCTTTTGCGTGCCGATGTAGAGCGGAGACGCGCGGTGAGTCGAAAACGTGGTGTTGAAGAACTGCGGGACTGCCATCTCCTCGGTTTCGCCGTGGTCTGCTGATGCTCGTCCAGATGCCTTTGCTTGTCGCTGAGCCGAAGTCTGGGCCTTTTGGCGCGCCATGTTTCGGAGCGCGTTTCGGTGGCCACGATGCTGAGGAATATGAACAAAGGGTGTTGCCGCAGATTGGTTATTGATAGAAGCAACGCGCTGGCCGGCCATTGATGGAACAAGGCGGAGTGTTTTGCAAGATGAACGAGGTTTGTTGTGGTTCAACTCACGCTCAAAGAAGACCAAGTTCCAGTTGACGCTCTTTGATGTGATGACTAATCACGTGCAGCTGCCTTATACTTTATGCTGTGACCTCCTTTGGATGCTGGATGTTTACAAATGCCATGAACATAAAGGAAAGAGAAAGAAAAGAAAACGCGTTATATTATTGAAACGCATTCAAATTTCTCATGAACATTTTCTCGTTTGACGTCGACTTTGAGGTCGAGTTTAAGGGCAATGTTTGTCCGCCTCCTTCAGGAAAATCAGCTTGGGCGATGCACTTGCTCTTACGTGTTGATAGGACTGCTCTGTCAGACGAGGAGAACAAAATAAGAAAGAAAGTAAAGAAAGACTAGATTAGGAAAGAAAATAATGGAGACCTACACGGTTCAAGATGTTCAATGTCTGTTTCTTCTTTTATATACCCTCGTCTTCTTTGTGCGTCAAAAGTCATGTCCACACCCAGGCACTCACTCGCTCACAATGCTCTTCCGAGGACAAGGCATTGTATGAACAAAACTGGGACGGCAAACCTTCAAGGCGTTGCATTCTATTTGAAAGTTGAAGCCGGTCACCCTGTGTATCACATATACACCCTTTATAAGCGTCACAGATCCCACCATGTTCTTCATAACCGGGATCGTGACGCTCAACGATCTTCTCATTGTCAGCACTATTGGAGTCCCTACTCGCTCAACAACACAATCACCATGTCCGAAGGCTTCCTCGCAGAGCCATATGAAAACTATGCCGGCGAAGCCCACCCAATCTACCTCGGCAAGAACCGCCGGCTGGCCGACCCCGTCTTCTTCCCGGCTCCCGGCGCAGCTGCTCCCTTCATAGGAGATGCTCGGCTCTTGATGGCCCATGAGGTAGACGAGCATCCGGACGGAGGATTACACGTCGTGCAAGACGTCATGCACGCATGGGGCGCAGGGAACATCTACAGGTTCCCCCCCGGCGGCCCAGCCCCCTCGCTGAACGACTACGAGAAAGCCATGAGGGCAATGGCCGCGGAGGTGTACCAGACGTGGCACAAGATCCAGGCTCTGGTCCGAAATCATGAAGACGACATCCAGACGTGGGTAATAGAGGCGTATCCGCGCGCCGATGCCGACGTGGAAATAAGTCCCCTCCATAAGCTCCTCAGGGGCAGCTGGCTGCCCACGGTCCGTGACTTCAACAACTGCCACCCAGACATCCGCATGTTCATGGAGAACAAGGACATCGAATCAGATTTCCAGATCGACGCCCCCCTCTACAATTCACCGCGCAAGTTCCCCTTTTCCTTCATCAACCAGTTCTTTTCCAGGGTCCGCGAGGTTGATCGTGAGATGGAGGGGCCGAGTCGAGACCACTACGCCGCCTTGTTTCGCCCTCCCTATAACTTCAACGACAACCGAGCGCCGGCAGGCTGGCCGCATAGAACGGAACCCATGTTCGGCGTGGACAATGGAGTCGGATACAATCACCCGGACTCGCGGGCATGGTTCCGGCGCAACCGCGTCATGTTCCTGGTCCCCGACTTGGTCTCCAGCGAGCTGCAAAATCCTGTCCGGCTGCTGTCCTTCATCCACGCCCGCGGCCGGCAGCATCCTTCTGTGTTTGCCAAAATAGACAGCGACATGACTTACACTGGCAGGAGGACGACGTATCTGACAGGCCCCTTGATTGCTAACCGCATGGTGAGCTTCAACCACTCCGGACCGGGTTCCGCAAGTGGCTACCAGCCAAGGCTGTGGAGAGGATGGGGTGGCCAGTCGCAGTTCAGTTCGAATCAAGTTGTCACAGATGAGTACGCAGATCTTTGGCATCGTGGACAGCTTCTGGGGACGTCGGAGGCCTGGATCATGCTTCAGAGCCAGCGAGCCACGTATCTGTATCTCTGGAATCTCCTCACTGGCATAGCAACCGACCTGAAACTGGACCCTCGCACGAGTCTGACGCCCAGGCCGCCCCAGGAGCAGAGCGAAGTATTCGCCTTGGCCAGAAAGCGCACGGAATCCTTGCAGAGCAGGAATCTGAACCACTGGCTGTACTTCACCAGACAGCAGCCATTCGTCTCACCGCCGACATCAATCGACTCTCGATTTCTGAGGGAGCTGCAGAACAAGGTTGAGATTGCCGAAGCCCATGTCCAGGAACTGTTCAGTGACCCAGGATACTTCTTCGACCGCATCGACGAGCTCAGGGACCACCATTGGGGACACATTGGGATGAAGAATGACGCCAAGAATCCGGATGAAAGCGATGAAAAGGCATCGTTCCTAGAGCATTACGCGGACGAAAAGGCTCGCCATGTGCTCTATTTTGACCTGGTCCGAGGGGTGATGAGGCGGTCCATCTTCGAGTTCTACATGTGGCACTCCATCCACAGCCGTCTCCTCGAGTTCGACAACGCGATGAAGCAAGAGTTTGAAGACTACGGCAAGAAGGACGACGCCGACTCGGACGGAACCCACATGCTCCAGCAGCCGCCCGTCTTCCTCTCCCCAAGGAAGAAGCTCAAGCACGCCTCCGTGTCGGACAAGTACCTCGCCCTGGTTGTCATGCTCCGCTACCACGCCGTCTTCTTCGTCAACGAGTTCCGCAAGAAGGGCATCCACGCCGGCTCCCCCCAGATGAGAGACATCGCCTACAGCATCGGCCAGCTCCAGAAACCCACCACGGATCGCATCTGCGACATTGCGAAGACGCATTACGGAGCCCCTGACCTGAAGCACCAGTCGAAACTCCAGGCGCCGTGGCTGCAGCAGCTCAGCAAATCGGGCGGCAGCCACCCACGATACTTCATCTTCGAGGCCATCGACACGTTCATCGCCGATCCGCTCGACAGCACAAACGCCGGCATCAAGGACGCAGCGGCCTTCCTCCAGGAACTGACGCAGTGCCCAGACGACCAGCTGAAAGAGCTCTTCACAGAACTCCTGGACGACACAATCGACGGCCTCGACCTCCTCTCTTCGCTCGCCGACCACCTCGAGTACCTGTGGCCGGCCATGGACGTGGTCGGCGGCGCGGACGCCACCGAGGTCGACCGCCGCAAGTGGTTCGACATGGGCAGCAAGGACGTCTCCATCAACTTGCTCGACTTTGACGCCTTTGACTTTGACGACAAGGTCCCGATGAAGCGTCTCAAGCGGCTGTTCCTCTTCTTCGACGAGCTTCAAGGGTTCAAGAAGGAGTCCGTGTCGGTGGGACACGCAAAGGGCGACCTCAGGCGGTTCGGGGCCTCGCTGCTGCGCAAGCTGGTATACCCCCTCAACGACGCGGCGAAGGCCAGCAAGGCCAGCCGGGAGGCCGTTTCCAGGCTCAAAAGGGCCATGGACGTGACCGGGGCCGAGTACATCTACCACGAGCAAGAGAAGCCGCTCAACCTGGACGAGGAAGAGGCAGGCTTTGGCGTGGCGGTGTCTCTTGTGGACCAGCCGCAGAGCTACCGCAACATTGCGGCTCGTGAGCGGCAGTTGGCCAAAGAGCGCCAGGAGAAGAGGGATGAACTGATCCAGCAGCTCCTGGAGCCTTCCAAGGAGGAAGCGGCAAAAGAAAAGAAGAGGCAGAGGAAGAAGGCCCGCAGAAAGGACAAGGCGAGGAGGCGAAAGCTGACATCCGGCGAGCCAGTGTCGGAAGAAGACGACGACGACGATGGAAACGAAGAGGAGGAGATGCCAGACGTCGTCCTCCGACCAAACGCCGCCGCGGCTCAGAACGAGTCACGATGGCAAGAATCGCTCCATTCCATGCTCCAGCAGTTCCAGCTGCCCTCGGTCCCGGAAACCCGCACCTTTTCCGTCTCCTCGGGGCCACGAGCCGCCGTGCCAGCCCCGTCATCCAGCAGCAGCAGCAGCATCTCCTCCAAGCCCCTCCCCAAGGCCCCCGACGGACGCCCCAAGCGCATCATGAAGAAGCGCGAGTGGGCCACCCTGGAAGCCATCTACGGGATCCACGGCAGCGCCAACGCGGCGGTTTCCTACGCCCAGCTGCGCGCCATGATGGGCGCGCTGGGGTACGAGGAGGTCGGGCGCGGGGGGAGCCACATGAGCTACGGCAGGGTGGACGGGCGGTGGCCGCATGGCGCGCTGCCCAAGGGGGAGACGATTCAGCTGGCGAGGACGCATGGCAGGGATCGCGCGGCGGCGGCCAAGGGCAAGTCGAGGGATTGGGGGAGGAGGTTGTGTGAGAGGGGGTTGACGTTTGAGTTTGTGAAGCAGTGGTTTGTAAAGGGGTGATTTGTGGGATGTGTTTGGTCATGGAAGCGGTTCTGATATGTCGATGTGTGTCTGTCAAGATATGTCTGGATTATGGTTTGGTGTACATGTATAGATATCTTCCTTGTTGAGTGTTGGTTGTCTCCTCTGGGGTTTGAAGGGGGAGATCTGATGTATGTCTGTCTATTTGTTTCTCTTGTTTATTCAAGGTATTTTCCTAGACCAAAACGTATCAACATATCATAGAAGAAGATGTCTGTGCGTAGCTGATAATCCCCAGGCAAAGACAAGGAGGCAAATATTCACTCCATGTAGCATAGACATACCTTCAACGCCAACCGGAAGAGCACTTTCCACTCAGCTCTCCATCCCCTGATTTGCAACCCCATCATACTTCATCCAATCAAACGTATCAAACAGCTCAAAGCTGAAATCAAGCTGCACATCATCCAGCTCCTCCGGCCGCCAGCTCAGATTCTCACTCGCCGCCGTGTAGTTGAGCACATGGTCCAGCACGCGCCTCATGACCGCGCTCGCCGTCATGCACATGTCGCCGTTGGGCCTGGACGGATCGATCCACTCGAGGAACCCGATGAGCAGGCTGAGCTGCTGGATGATGTTGGATCGCGTGATGGAGGCGTCCTTGGGGTGGTTTCCCTTGAAGGTCGGATTGAGGAGTTCCATGCAGAGGATCCCGCCGCTGGGCGTTGCGAAAGCCATGACCTAGAGGAAAACAACAGCTGTGTAAGTAAACGAAACTTGACATCAATAGTAGAAAGGGGGTTATATTGTATCTCACGAGCCACTCAAAGTCGTTCCGAAAAGGCGCAAACCGATCCTTGTGCGTCCAAAACAGCAACGTCAACGAGACGAGTTGAAAGGCAATCAGCAGTATGCCGCCCTCGTCCAGCTCCCCATGCTTCAGCAGCAGCCTCTCCACCAGGAACAAGTTCTGTAGCTGCTCGAGCTGCAGCAGGATCCGCGCAAAGATCAAGTTGACGTTGGCGTCTGGGTCGGCGATGTCAGCGGGATTGTAGGCGAGCGACGGGGGGAACTCTTTGACAGCCTCAATCTGCCGCTCCTTGAGATCTCTGCAAGAATTAGCAAAAGGAACAAAGTCGGAAATTGATATGAACTAGATACGCGAGGAGCTCTTACCGGAGGAGAGCGCTGGCAACCTTCTGCCTCGGCTTGCCAATGCCAATCTCGACCAGCTCATCCCGTATCAGTGCAACAATGCATCTCGCCCGCGTCACCGTCGCAGAGTATATCTTGCCGCTCGTGTTCCACCCGTTCTCGTCCAGCCCCTGCACAGCCCGCTTGAGAGCCTCTCCGCCCACGAGCAGATCCTCGTCCCTCAGGTCCAGGGGAAGCGGCGTAAAGGCATATCGGTGCGAGAGCCGAGGCGGCCGCCCCGTGAACAAGACGCCGTCCTTTTCTCCTACAAACAGCTGCGCGAAAAGGCGCCGCCTCGACTCGGACGCCAGCGTCGGCTCATACGAGGGAACATTCGATTCGGCATGCATACCAAGGAAGGTCACCAGGGCCACCGCCTCTGCTGTGCTCCTCCATGCGGAATAGCCTGGCACCGTTAGCAGTTGTTTCCAATAATAACATCACCGCACATCGGAGCTGGAGTCACAAGAAGCCCCCCGGACTACTAATGGTAACTACAAGTACTTCGCGCGAACTGAATCATGGAGGAGGGCGTTCCCACTTACTGGCATCCCCAGCATGTATGGACTCCAGCGTCGCTCGCCGGTGAGAGAGCTGGGCCAGAAGGCCGTTTGCTGAAGCGAACCGCCTGCTCAGATCCATGCAGAGGCCAAGACAGACGCGCGAGATCTCGGTCCATTCCTTCTGGGCGGTCTTGCTGTCGAGCCCGCCGTGAGCCGGGTCGCCCTCTGGAAAGACCAGGTCGTTGTAGCTGAACACGAATCCGAGAGATTCCCACCTCAGATTCGGCCCGGTAAACTGGCCAATCCATTTCTCAGGATCGGGCTCCAGTTCATGGAAAGGCCTGGTAGTGTTATCGCTCAAACACAGCGCAATCTCTTCCAGCTGCGAGTCCACGCGGCAAGGCCCCAGATGTGACCCAAACCTTTCATGTAAGTCGGCCAGCACGCGCCGAGCCATGACCCTCTGCCAGCCATCTCGATAGAAGGGAGACTCCTGGATAGGCTCAATGTAGCCCGTGTTCGGCGCAGGGATGCCCCGGAGCACCACGAGGCACATCTCCCTCGTCGGCGAGCAGAGGCATCTGGAGAGCTCACCGGTGTCCTGTCGTAGCCTGTCGTTGATCGGCTGCGGCAACCAGGCGTGGAACCCCTGAAGCATGGACAGGCTGTTCTTCGTCTCTTCAAAGACGGACGAGTAGCTGGTGAAGCCCAAGTAGCCCGGGGCCTGGTGCAGGGGACTCGACGCCCTCTCCGAAGGAAGATGCCCCCCAGGGGTCGTCGTAGCCGAAGCGACAACGTCACGGCCCCGTTGTGAAGGATCCAACGGCGACGACGATGACGCAAAAGAGTAACCTTGAGCAGCTCGGCCATCGTGAATCCCAACGCTGGCCTGACGCCGAACCTCTGCACGGCGGAGTGACCTGCTGTGCTCCCCGGCAGCAGCCCCCAGCCGAGCCATCGGCCCCATCCCGGCCGTCCTCGGAGCTGCAGCCCCAGCATCGCGCTGGCTCGTCGTCACCACCCCAGCCGAGGGCCCGGCCTCGCGAGGTGCGGAATACGTGTAGACGCACTCGGCCTCCTGGCCTCTGTCCGCGCAGCGCCTGCACACCGGATGTCGGTGGTCACAGGCGACCTTGCGCGACCGGCAGTTGTCGCAGGCCACGGGGCGACCGTTCGGTCTCCGGAGCAACACCGGCGAGGCTGCTGACGATGCTGACGATGCAGCCATCGTTGGTGTTAGCTCGGAGATACGATCGTTATTCGATCATACGTCAGTTACGGCTGCACTGTGGCATCTCAGTATGAAAAGCTGCAGCAAAGACGCAGGCTCAAGGATCGGGCGCTTCGCTATGAGGTCGTCAAGCAACAAGAAGCAAAGCAAGCCGAGATATAACACAACACGGCTTCGGGCTCGGGCTCGGCTTCAGCCCAGCTCGGAAACACTAGTCCCCAGTCTGGCAGCATAACGCCAGAACAAGGGCGCAGTGGTGGATCGAATCGCGGTCCCAGGCCAATCGGCGTGACGTTCTCGCAGGAGCCTAACGACTCATCCCTTAGCGATGACTTACACGGGGCCACGCCATCTGACTGACGGATACTAGATTGATTGTTCGGGCAGGATATCAAATACGCTTTCTGGCGGTTCGGTACGAAGTCGATGACTCAGGCAGCCGAGCTTGTGTTGGTGGCATGTAAGAGCCCGCACGCACGGGTGAGCATCCCGGTCATCAGGGCTGAATAGAGTTCCGTACGGGATGACTGGAATTGGGCGCGTCTGACGATAGTACTTGTATATGCTAGACTAGAAGATAGACCTACTTATATATAGCCTCCCTCCTCCACTGGCTCCAATCTCCATGAATCTTCAGAATAAGCTTACATTCAGTTCGAATCGCCTCTGAGACATCAGCCTTAGACTGGGCTTCTTCCTTGCCTACATATAGCTTCAGAGACACATCGTCAACACATACGAACAACTCCGTTTATCGATTCGAATTACTCCTTCATCAGCTATTCGACAAGGTTACTCAACCTTCATCGATATCAAGAAGCGAACCTCGAAACTTGACACACACGCATACATCATGCCTCTCCGACTCTCAACAAAGAAGGGCTCTGCTGTCGCCGCCAAGCCCGAAGCAATGTCGTCCGAAGTCACATTGGTCGAAGCCTCAAATACACCCGACAACAAGAAAAGCACAGCTGGTAAGTTCATCACTTCCACCGCTCCCGCATACACTTCCGGGCCAGCCAACTTACACAGAGCCCATCCCAGGACCATCCAAGCGCACAAAAATGTCGTGGAAGGAGGCGCAAGAACTTTGTAAAAAGGAGCGGAACTGGGAAGCTCGAGTAAGTATGTCAATTTCCAAGAATCGCACATTTACATCTTGCAACATGCTAATGATCTTGTATAGGCGCGTCTCTATAGTGTGCTCTGAGTCGAGGACGACATACCGCGGATTCAAACGCTGCGGATGACTTTTGTCTTTTCTTCGTTTTGTTTGACTAATGTCTAATCATGATTGTCGATAGATGCGTCTTTGATTTCGGATGGATCAGATTGTCTGCAACAAGTTCTGGTATATAAAGGGGACACCGACTGCATGTGTGTAGCCAAAGCTGCATGGAAATAGCTAGGATAGATACCCTTTTGGAGTTTATAAAAATTCATTTGTTCTTCATCCTGCATATTTTTCCGAATACTAGATAGTTCGAAGTGCAAAGCTGTGGCCTTATTCCAGCATGTAATACCAAAAGAAGGCCGTCTCGTGGCTGTTTTCCGGTATCCCTCGGTACAGATATTCATCATAGCCACCAAACTTGAAGCCACACCGTCGATAGAACAAGCACGCCGCAACATTGTTGGATTGGGACTCCAGCCGAACACCAGCAACTCCAAGCTTCCGAGCCCACATCAACACCCTGTCCAACAGCACCCTACCGTAGCCCCGTCCCCGAATGGTCACATCCAGCGCGATCCAGCGAATTTCTACCATGTTGTTCCAAGCCTTTGTCGCATGGACATATCCATACACCTTTTCCTCTTCCACCACCACGAAGAGAACACCGTCCGGCTCTTTGATATTCTCAAACTCGGCTTCATCGAACCCAAAGTCCTTCTTGACAACCTCAACAGGCGTAGTGACGACCTCCGCAACAAGGGCGAGGGCCTCGTAGGGCTTGGCCACTTTGGAAGATATCTCAAAAGAAAAGTCACGGCCGGAGATGTCCTCCTTGGTGAGCTTGGTAACTTGTCGTATTTCCATGTGAGAACGGGAATGCGAAATGATTCCACATCGATGTTTGGGATAGATCCAGCTTCTCCATTCTCCGTGTGAACTCCCCCCAGGTTACCCTTAGGGTTACGTGTACATGCAGACAAATCGCTCGCAGGTATCCAGGCTCTCTGCTCGTGCATGGGTAGCTTGATTGGCTAGCGGCATTAAGCATATAATTAACCACTTTCTGCTCCATTCCGTCCGGGGTGACTCAGACCGAAATCGTTGTAGACTGTGCTTTTGATTCCACACTCGGGTTCATCATTACAAATTCAGCATTGTCATCAATTTCCATGAGTACAATTGGCACAGATTCCAAATCGTGGGTGGTCCGCCAAGGTTCAGCTCTCGGAAACGACCAGGCCAGGGTCAAGCCGAGGGAGGTCTCTGTTCAACACAGACCGGCTACGGACGTCAAGTAGACCCCAAAATCCGGCTGACTAAACTGTCGGCCTCATCTTCTTCTTGCAATACATTTTCCAAGGCCAAAGTCTTCAAAGCTGTGTATTTCCTAAGGTAGCCTTGACTCCCATGTAAGTGAGTGCGGAGTCGGAATAGTTTCGACGCAGTCATTCTGCACACAAAAGCGATTTTGCAAGGCGTATCAGTCACATTTCGCCAAAACATCAAGTTATCCTTCATCTCTCAAAATCACCTTCTTGCAATGGAATTTCCATTGTCGTTTTGTAATTTTGAACAATACATTCTTCTCTAACACGACCAAGCAACAACTCAAACGACTCTGCACATGGCAACTAGAGCGGGGCCGTTCCGCAGAGTGGGGCACACCTAACCGCTGAAATTCCGCGCCTCAATGGAGCTGCTTATCGCGATACAAGAAAAAAAAAACTTACACTATCCGGACTCTGTTACTGCGAGTCTGTCCGTGATATCGCTTCACTGCACCTTTTCGATCCGCCCGTAACGCAGCCACACACACACAGGTATTATACAATTCTACCAGTTCCAATGGCTCCTTCACTCCGTTCGCGGAAGCGGAAAGAAGTTTCCGAAGTCGTCGAGTCCGACGACGACCTCAGCGGCGCGGAACTCGAGGGCATCCTGTCGCAGAGCGAGGATGAGAGCGACGTGGAGGAGGAGGACTCAGGATCAGAAGGCCAAGAGCCCGAACTCGACGAGGACGAGGATGAAGACGAAGACGATGAAGATGAGGCCGACCTGAGGAGCGACGACGAGCAGGGCGAGAAAAAACTCAATGGCGAGAAGTCCAATGCCAAGGCAGACGGCGCCACCAACAACGAGGCGGAAGAGGAAGACCAAGACAAGCCCAACTACAGAGTCGTCAAGGACGCCAACGGCGGCGTGCGCTACGAGTACGAGGAGATCGACCCCGTCTACGACAGCGACGACACGGACGCCCAGGGCCCCGTCAACACCATCGGCAACATCCCGCTCTCCTTCTACGACTCGTACCCGCACATCGGCTACGACATCAACGGCAAGAAGATCATGCGGCCGGCCACGGGCGAGGCCCTCGACGCCCTGCTCGACAGCATCGAGCTGCCCAAGGGCTGGACCGGCCTGACGGATCCCGAGACGGGCAAGCCGCTGAATCTCAGCCAGGAGGAGCTGGAGCTGCTCAAGAAGCTGCAGTTGAACGAGGTTCCCAGCGACGACTACGATCCCTATCCGGTATGCTAACCCCTTGCCTTGCTTGTCTGAAATATACAACCGCTGACATCGACATCAAAACAGGACATGATCCCCTACTTCACCAGCATCGAGGAAAAGATGCCCCTCAGCGCCGCGCCCGAGCCCAAGCGCCGGTTCGTCCCCTCAAAGCACGAAGCCAAGCGGATAGCCAAGCTCGTGCGCGCCATCAAGGAGGGCCGGATCCTGCCCTACCGGCCCCCCGAGCCCGAGACGGAGCAGGAGGACAAGTACTACGACATCTGGGCCAACGAGGAGCCCCGGGACCGGCACGTCATGCACATCCCCGCGCCCAAGCTGGCGCCGCCGGGCTACGACCTGAGCTACAACCCGCCGCCCGAGTACCTGCCGACGGCCGAGGAGCGCGAGGCCTGGGAGAAGCTCGACCCGGAGGAGCGCGAGAAGGAGTACCTGCCCGCCAAGTACGACGCCCTGCGCAAGGTGCCCGCGTACGGCGAGTTCGTCAAGGAGCGCTTCGAGCGCTGCCTGGACCTCTACCTGGCCCCCCGCGTGCGCAAGAACAGGCTCAACATCGACCCCAGCTCGCTGCTGCCCAAGCTGCCGCGCCCCGAGGAGCTGCGGCCCTTCCCGACCGTCTGCCAAACAATCTTCCGCGGCCACGCCAGCCGCGTGCGCAGCGTCGCCTTCAGCCCGGACGGCGAGTGGATCGCCTCCGGCAGCGACGACGGCACCGTCCGCGTCTGGGCTCTCAACGGCCACCAGGAGTGGTCCGCCCAGCTGAGCTCCTGGGACGAGCCCGAGCCCGTCAACGTCGTGCGCTGGCGCCCGGCCAAGGACACCTTCATCCTAGCCGCCGCCGCCGGCGAGGACCTCTTCTTCATCGCGCCCCCCGTCGTCAGCGACGCCATGGAGCAGGCCAGCCGCGACGTCCTCGACGCCGGCTTCGGCTACGCCGCCAACAACGCCTCGTCCTCAGCAGCGGCAACGACAGCAGACGGCGCCAAAAAGGAACCGCCCGCCAAGTGGTCCCGCCCGACGTCCTCCCTCGTCAACGCCGGCGTCCTCCTCAAGCTCACCGTCCGCTCCGCCGTTAAGGCCCTCAACTGGCACCGCCGCGGCGACTTCTTCTGCACCGTCTCCCCCTCGGGCCAGCGCTCCTCCGTCGTCATCCACACCCTCTCCAAGCACCTCAGCCAGGTCCCCTTCCGGAAACTCCCCGGCCTCGCCCAGACGGCCCAGTTCCACCCCTCGCGCCCCTACTTCTTCGTCGCCACCCAGCGCATGATCCGCTGCTACGACCTCCAGCGCCAGGAGCTCGTGAAAATCGTCCAGCCCGGCGCCCGCTGGATCTCCTCCATGGACATCCACCCCGGCGGCGACAACCTCATCGTCGGCTCCTACGACCGCCGCCTCCTCTGGCACGACCTCGACCTCTCCAACCGGCCCTACAAGACCATGCGCTTCCACCCGGAGGCCATCCGCGCCGTCCGCTTCCACCGCGCCCTGCCCCTCTTCGCCGACGCCAGCGACGACGGCACCCTGCAAATCTTCCACGGCAAGGTCGTCGGCGACCTCATGGAGAATGCCACCATCGTGCCCGTCAAGCAGCTCAGGGGCCACAAGGTCGACAAGAAGCTGGGTGTCATGGACATCGACTGGCATCCCAAGCATCCTTGGATTGTGAGTGCCGGTGCCGACATGACGTGCAGGCTGTGGGCGTAGACGTGGTAAAGGACAAAGGAAAAGTTAGGGGGGATGTTTGGGTTCAATTTGATGCATCTGTTGTAGTTTGGGTTGATATTATAGTAATAAAGCATAGAAAGTATAAAGCCAGTCGTACCATTGTGTGCCTAATTGTGCATGTAAATACTACGGAAATGATGACCAAATATCTACTGTCTTGGGTATGAAGAAACTCGAGCGAGTGTCAATATGGCTCTACTGGGGAGAAATTATTGTGAAAAGGGTCACATGAATCACGTTGATTGATACTCTGCCATGAAATGCAAACGTTGGTATTGTCCGTTACCTGAGACTAACTAATTCATTCGTCATTCGCGGCCATCCCCTACTTGCCTTTTGTTGCCAAACCCATTCCATCACCCATAGCTCATAAGATAGGGAAAAAAAAGAAACATCGCATGATACCTCTTTCATCGTACAGTTGGTGGCCGTCTCTTCCCTTCTCGGCCACCCTTCACCTCGCCTCGCCTTTGCAGTGCTTGTAAATATGCCAGCAACGTTACATATGCGTTGCGGAACATTTACAGCTCGTTTCGCAGCTTCTCACTCTGCTTCTTGGCTTCAGCCGAGGCCTCGGCAGCCTCCTTACGAGCGACCTCGCTGCCAAGGTGCAGCTGTTCGGCGACCCATCTCCAGCCCTCGCGAGCCGTCTCTCCGAGCTTAGCAAGGACGGTGCCTCCGGGCGATGAGGAGCCATATCGGAAGTAGGTGGACTGCTTGCGTGCTTCGGCGCGGAGCTCGTCAATCTTGGAGCCCTGGGGAACGGGGACTCCGTAGCTGTCGAGGTAGGCCTTGAGCTCGCTCTCCGACCAGGTGTCAAAGGCGTTATGCTTGGCGGCAGCCGTCACGGAGGCAAGGTAGCTAGTGGCAGAGGCGTACTGGGAGCCACCGGCGGATGAAGCAGACGAGTAGGCAGACTGCGCGGCGCTGACAAGCTCCTCGCGAGTGGCATCCTTCTTCTTGGCGGCGGCCTTGGCGGCGGCATTGCCGTTCTCCAACAGATAGTTCTTCAGGTTGTCGTAGCTAAAGTCGTCAAATGTCCACGCCTGCCAGCCGCTGGCAGCCTTGTGAGAGTGCTTCCGAGCGAGGGCTCGGAGTTCGTCAGTCTTGCTGGCATGGGGAACGGGAACACCACGGGCATCCAGATACGCCTTGAGGCGGGTGTCGGACCACTTGTTGATGGCCTGGTCGAAAGCATCCTGAGCGGCAAGGGAAGCACTGTCAGTTGCCTTGGCATACTGGTTGGCAGCGTTAGAAGTAGCGGCGCCAAAGGCAGACTTGGCAGTGGCAGTGACGGTATCGCCCAGGAGGTCAGCGCGGTGCTTTCGAACGAGAGCCCTAAGCTCATTGACCTTGGTGCCCTGAGGAACCGGGATGCCGTTCTTGTCGCAAAACTCCTTGAGCTGGGACTCGCTCCAAGCGTCAATGATGGTGTCAGTCAGATAGTCATAGGTAGACTGGATCTTGGCAGCAGCACTGTCAGACTCGCTCTTAGCCTTCAGATAGGCGAGACGAGAGTTGCGGCGGACCGAGGCAACCAGCTTATCGCGGGTGGTTGGCTGAGGGGCAGGGAAGCCGTGGGTATCGAGCCACTCCTTGAGATCAGACTCAGACCAAGTAGCGTACAGCCAGTCTCCGGGATAGGCAGCGGTTTCTCCAGCCTTTTCAGCGACCGTCTGGTAAGCCTCACGAGCCTTTTGAAGAAGAGTATCACGGGTACGCGGCTGGGGAACTGCAGATTCACCATTATTAGCATGTATGCTACCATATAGTGTAGCGGGGGCTCAACATACCAGGAATGCCGTGCTTGTCACAGAACGCCTTGAGCTGAGAATCGGTCCAGGTATCGAGAATCCAATCCTTGGAATTGGCCCACGCCGAGTTGGCGGAATCCCCAGTCTCATACCAGCTGGACTTGACCTGAGAGAGCAGACTATCCTTGTTCTTCTGGGCACCCTTTACCACATCGTTGCCTTTGGACTGCAGATAGGCGCTCAGCTGAGAAACATCCCAGCTGTTGTAGGGCTCGACGACGTAGTTGTTCCAGTGCTTCGAGACGAGATCCTCTAGATCCTTGCGGTCGGCCGGAGCCGGATAGGGAATGTTTTGGTCCGAGAGCCAGCGCTCAAGCTCCGTCTCATGCCACTTGTTGTAAACTGCGTCACCTGTTGTCAGCTAATGGTCAGACTCGCTCCGTCACGCGCTTCTCGTTGAAAAGAAACAAAGACTCGAATCGATACTCACCAGTCTTGTGGCCGGGGAACCAGTTGCTGGCTGCCGCCCCCGACACGGCGAGTCCCACGACGAGGATATCGCGAAGGCGCCACATGATGAAGCGTGACTGTATTCCCGCTAGAAGTGATGGCTTGTTTCGCAGCTTGGCTGTACACTGTTTTTCTTTCTGTGCTGGTGTTGATATTCGAGATTAGGTGGGAAGAATTAGAGATAGGATCAGGCGTGAAAGGTGGGAGATGGATAGGAACCAGCGTTGAAATAGCAGTGACGTGAAGAAGAGGAATCAAGGCCAACTTGTTTGCCAGCTGTCAGAAAAAAACAGAGTATGAGGTAATGCCCTGCTGCACCAAACACGTCCATCACGTCACTTCCATGACACCAGAAGCCGGCAATCTTGCCAGCTCGAAGGCGCAATTCACACAAGCTTCTGCTGCTCGCCCAAGTACCGCCAAGTACCGCCACCACGTGCGCAACCTGCCAATTGCACGCATAGCGGCTGCATGCACCCGTACTCGATCGCCCTCAGCTACTTGCTTCGTGATGCCACTAAGGCTCTTCCCTGTTTGTACTCCGCAGGTGTAGATCGAGGTTGAGATCGAGAGCATCGCAGCCACTTGGCGTCACGGAGCTTGCCTGTGATTGCGCTCACAATGACGTAGCCGCCGGTGCTGCAACGGGTGGGGAAACAGCGGCGGACCAACCAGGAGACTCTGGTCCGGCATCAGCTCGCCACTGCAGATTGGCCTACCCGGGAGCAGGGCAAACAAAACAGGGATGGGATTTGCGGCTCTTTGAAGGTTCGTGAATCTTCTGGAGGGCATTGAAGCGGCTGGCAATTATCTGGCTCTCTAGTTGTCTAGATACCGAGGCAGATTGCCAGGGTAAGTTATGCTTAATTCTTGATTTAGTATCTGGATCTAGGTAGGTAGTGATAGGAATCTTAATCGGAACCACAGTGCACGCCTGCATGAGGCACTATCAACACCCTGAATAACAACATGATACCACATCCGGTTACACAGATCGGGCACAGCATGTAATTTCACAGCACTCTATTCGCTTTTGCAAACGATGGCATCTGTCGCTCATCTACCGAGAAACGGCACGCCTCCGCTGGGAATATCGTCACATGCGTCCTCCCAGGCTTTGACCTTGTCTTTCTATGCCAATATAACGTACCACGCCTTGTCAGACGCCAGCCGCCCTGAGCATCCTTCCCCATGCACAGCCTTGCCATCCCAACCATCTTCTCCCGCGTATGGAAACAAATTATGCGTAAAAGTTGACAGTCTGCATCGATAACCAGTCAGTAACCCATAAACACGATACAGTCAAGGACAATGTAGGGTATCCGTAAACACTTACATCCTTCTTCTTGGCCTGCACCTCGGCAATGGCGTCGACGTAGTGCTCGTGGCCAATCTGGTTCTTCCCTGACCGCAGAGCAATCATGCCGGCCTCGACGCACACAGCCTTCAGCATGGCACCGCCAAACTCATCCGTGCTCCGAGCCAGTTCACCCCAGTTGACGCCGGGGTCGACCTTCATCTTGCGAGAGTGGATCTTGAGAATCTGGGCTCGGGCCTCTTCGTTTGGCAGGGGAAACTCAATCTTTCGGTCCAGACGGCCAGATCGCAGGAGGGCAGGGTCCAGCACATCGACTCGGTTGGTGGCGGCCAAAACCTTGATGCGGTCGTCGGATGCAAAGCCATCCAGCTGGTTGAGCAGCTCCAGCATGGTTCTCTGCACTTCTCGATCGCCGCTCTTCTCACTGTCGAATCGCTTGGTACCGACGGCATCGAGCTCGTCGATGAAGATGATTGCGGGAGCCTTTTCTTTCGCTAGGGCGAAGCAGTCACGCACCAGCTTGGCACCGTCTCCGATGAACATCTGCACAAGCTGAGGTCCTGCAAGCTTGAGGAAGGTTGCTTCTGTCTGGGCTGCACAGGCTCGGGCCATGAGAGTCTTGCCGGTACCGGGGGGTCCGTACATCAGAGCACCTGCATAGTTCGCGTTAGCTTAGTTTCCCCTTGATAAGAGTGCTTCAAAAGCTCCCTCGACCGTACCTTTGGGTGCCTTGATGCCAATCTTCTTAAACCGCTCTGCCTCCTTCATGGGCCATACGATGGCCTCCACCAACTCTTCAATCTGCTTGTCCAGACCTCCAACGTCGGTGTACTGCTCCGTTGGCTTCTCATCAACCTCCATGGCCTTGACTCGGCTGTCGTACTCTGCTGGCAGAGTGTCCAGAACGAGGTACGAGTCCTTGTTCACACCGATCAGGTCGCCCGGCTTGAGCTGGTCGGAATCAACAAGACCAATCAGCGGCAGGAAGATGGTTTGCCTCGTGGAGGTCTTGATGACTGCTGACTTGCCCACCCGCGTGGCATCGAGATCGATGTTGGCGCCCTCTTCGGAAGACTCCGCGGTGGGATCTAAATCTAGCAGCTCGACAACGTTTCCAACCAGGTACGGAAGTTGTCTGTGAAGAGTCCATCCAAGGTTAGCCACATGACAAATGGATCCGCGGGGGCGCCAACGCAAGCAAAGAGGAGAGAGCTCCAGTTTCTCTTGTGCATCACGCTGAAAGGACTTGCCTGTTGTTTGCAATCTTGTCCTGGTTCTCCTTAATCTTCTCGCCCATGGCAGCCTTCTCGTGTGTTAACCTCGAGAGCTCGCTCTTCATGATCCGAGAGTCGTTTTCCAGTAGTCGCTTCCGGGTCTGGATGTCTTGTGTGCTCAGGCTCAGGATTTCGTCGTCGAGGATGTCGTCCTTCTCCTCCGCATCCTTCATCTCGTCGTCTCCATCGGTGACGGTGGCCTTCTTGCCATTGTTTCTTCTCTTGTCCTCCTTCTCCTGGCGGTCGAGGTCATCGAGCTCTTCGAGGGTCGACATGGTGGCAGCAGGCCCTCGGCTGGAACTAAGTCTAAGCTGGAGTGGTCGGTTGCTGCAAGACTGTGGCTGACGGTGCCGAGAATAGGAAAAATGCTGGTAGAAGCCGCAACGGATATCGCAAGGCTGACGGGCTGGTGTTCGTGGGTGGAATGCGGTGGAAGAAGCAGGTGCTGCGGCTCCGATGGTTTGCTGGCCAGCTTCCAACAGGTTGAAGCTGCAGGGCAGCAGCAGGTCGACCTGTCGCGCGCAATCAGCCTGGGTGCCTGGGCGGCTGATGTGGCCAAGTACTGCAAGGTATCTACGTAGGGTGATGCAGTTGTAAAACGCGCATGAGGCTGCCCCTCTGTACTTTTGGGTACCTTTGATGACAATTGCAGCATCGGAGCGGCGGGTAATTGATCCGATGCCATCCCATCCCAGCTGGTGGGGCCTTGAAAGTTCGCGAGAGCCTTGTCGAGATTCTGGTTGGAAATAATCGTCAGTCGGCCCAGATCCCATACATGTGAGCGCCCTCACAGCATGTCCCGTTTGATGTGAATGTGACGGCTAATCCAGGCAGAATGACAAGAATACTAAGTCGGGCAGCTCGCCCCTGCCTGCGACGGCTCAGCCGGGAGGCGACACACGCGCGAGGGGCTTTCGCTCTCGGCTCTCACAACTTCTCGACCTCAGAGGCTCAACATGCGTCGCCTGGCCTGCGATCCGTCCCCGAAGGCGTCCCGCTGCCGATTGACGTTGTCCCCGTGACGAAACCGCCCAGCGCTCGCCCAATTGATACCCGAAAGAGCCAGCTGATTCGAACCTACACCTCCCTCCTCCGCACCACGCCCCTCATCTTGTTCTTCCAGCACAGCAACCTCACGGCGGTGGAATGGGCTGCTGTAAGGAGAGAGCTGAAGAAGGCGCTGGAGGGTGTCCCACCCATTACCCCTGCGCCGGGCGCCGAACCTCTGGATCTCTCTCCGCTGGTGCAGCTGCAAGTGCTGAGGACGAACATGCTGAACGTGGCGCTGAAGCTGGTGGAATTCTACAAACCCGAGGTCGCAGCGGCATCAAAATCCACGAAGCGAACGACCAAGGGCCCCATCGTCCACGACCTGTCCGAGGCCGCCTACGAGCAGGTCAAGAACGCCGAGATCCCCCCCGAGTCCGCCTATGCCCAGATCGAGCCTCTCATGGTCGGACCCCTGGCCGGCCTCATCATTCCCGCCGTGTCGCCAGCGCACGTCGCAGCGGCACTGAGCGTCCTGGCGCCGGTGCCCGGAAAGTTCCCCGCGCCGACACGGAAGAAGAGCCCCGGGTACTACGATCCCACGTTCCAGAACGGCCTGGCGAAGCTGGTGCTGATAGGAGGGCGAATCGAAGGAAAGGTCTTTGACCAGGCGGGCGTTCAGTGGGTTGGCGGCATTGAGGGCGGCCTTGACGGTCTCCGCGCGCAGCTGGTGGCCATTCTGCAGGGCGCAGGATTGGGCATTACGTCTACGCTGGAGGGCGGCAGCCGCAGCTTGTGGCTGGCGTTGGAGGGCCGAAAGGGACAGCTGGAGGAAGAGGCGAAGGGAGGGGAGTCCAAGGGAGAGGGGCCTGCGTCTGCGTAGATGTTTTGTATGATGGAATGGACAAGGTCAAAAAACAAGAGCCAGCGGTTTGGACATGGGGCTGTAGAAGTATTATACATGTACAATAAGGAGGATGCTGATAGAGAACGCAAGGGATATAAAAAGGCCATTGAATCAAAGGAGATGTCAACTTCTCATCATCTCCAAATGCTATCAATTCATCCATGGAAACGAAGATGGTTCATCCTCCATCCTCAAACCCCAGGCAAAAGTACCCGCCCCCGGTACGCAATCATTGATCCCCCCAGGCACTCATCCCACCAATCGCCCAGCGCCCAGCCACCAAAAGGCCCTGTAGCTTTACCAATCCACAGCTGTAGCTCATCCCAGCAACCAAGCATTAGAACCCCAGCTTTAAGCCTAAAGCGAAAAATAGAACAACCCGCCAATCGCGCCAGTCTCATGTGATGCGCCTTGCAATCGCAAACCTCCACTCTAAACAGCATGCATATGCATCTCCCTCTCTACCTTTAATTCTCCCTCACTTTCCCCCCCTCCAAAGCCAACCAACACCTCTTTTACATACCCTCACAAATCACAGCAGCATTCCTTAAGGTACCTCAAACAACTGTTATCCTCAGGGCCGCGCATGCTGAAATAACAGCCAATTCATCCCAGTCTTAAAACTCCCTCGCCCTAAACGTCCTCGAACCAACAGCCCGCCTCAAACCTCCCAAACCTCAAACCAACCACCCACTACACACAACAACAGCAAACGCCGGCATCACCAGATATCATACAGCACTCATCCACAGAAAGCCCGGAGCAATGGACTTCGCCCCCTACCAGTCCTCCCCCCCAGAGCACGCCCGCTCCCCGATATCCTCCCCCCGCGCCTCCGCCGACCTCGCCCGCCGCCCCTTCTCCCCCAGCTTCACCACAGCCGCCGCCGCCAAAGCAATCGCCCGCAGCCCGCCCCCCCTGCAGCACCCGCAGCCCCAGCGCGCCTGGAGCGGCGACCTCGACGGTGCCGCCAACAGCAGCAGCTTTCTCGGCGGCGCCAACGGCAGCGGGAGAGGAAGCAGTCTATGGGGTTTCGGAAGCGGCAGCGCGGGCCTGAATTCGCCCATGCCGGGGGCGTATCCTGCGGAGGTTAGCGAGTTCGACACGAGTCTGGGGATCAGGCTGGACTACGAGGCGTGTTTGGCGTATTTGGCGTTTCCGCCTGTCGGGGCGGTGATTCTCTTGATTCTGGAGAGGAATAGCGACTATGTCAGGTATGTACACGCACTTATATCCCCATATCTTACCTATCATGCTCTTCTTAACCCTGAGAATGGGGAAGAAAGAACTTGGCGCATTGGAGACTGACGAAATGCGTCCTGGTATCTAGGTTCCACGCCTGGCAATCCGCCCTCCTCTTCACAGCCATCATGGTCTTCCACGTCTTATTCTCCTGGTCGTCCTTCCTGAGCTGGATCTTCTTCCTCGGAGATCTTGTTCTGATTGGATTCCTCTCGCTGAAAGCATATCAAGACGCAGAGATACTGGACAGGTAAATATAAAATTCAAACCCTCCCAACTCCTCTCATACAACCAGGCCAGAACACCCAAATCTCACATTCAACAAACTACAGATACGAAGTTCCCTTCTTCGGAAGGATAGCGAGCAGATTCCTCGACGACGAGTAGAAAGCAAAGCGCGCGCGCACACACACACACATACACACATCTTCCCCTTTTTGGTGTCTTTTTGGCGGGTTGGTTCTTTTGGCTTGTGGATTCGAATGGTTGGCCTTTTGGGTCTGTTGGTTTAGGTTTTGGCTTTGTATCTTCATGTTGTTGGACATTTGGTTTAGATGCGCTTGTTCTGTCCCTACTACAGTTATATACCCATTCCCTCTTGCTTGCATATATACAACTGTTTGCAGCTATTCGAGTTCTGGAGTAAATCGTTTGGTATGCTTTTCGACAGGAGGTGATTTGCATATATGTAACCATGCTATATATAGGGGCGCCTCTAGACAACCACTTTTCGATACAAAGCACATCATTTCGAGTCAACCTATTGAATTGTCTTGCTATTCCCATCAAACATCTCTTCTTTTGCTCAAAACTTTTACAACGCCATGCACTCAAAGCAAAACAACCACTCACTCACCCTCCGTCTTCACCTGGACAAAACGCCCTGGACAACTCCCTTGACGGTAGGCTTCTCCGTAAACACCACCTCCTGAATCCCGTTTCCTTCGCCGCCGCCGCCGGCTCCCTCCTCCAGCCACTTGGCCAGCAAATCGTTGCTCTCCTTTGGCTTCACCGAGTTGTCCCGCGTTCCCACCGTGATGTGCGCTACCCGGTTCACGCAGTCCCACTTGTTCTCCTCGTCGACGATGCGGACGACGATAGCCATGATGCGGTCATCAAAAACAACCTGTTACAAAAACTGTTAGATAGATGTAGACTGGAATTATTCACTTGAGAATATAACTTACCCGCTCAAGGACCAGATCGCATTCTCCAAGCTTGGCATCATCACCCCCCGCAGCCTCATGAAGCTCGGTGTACCGCTTCCACAGCTCCGGGTACGTCGGCGCCGTGGCCTTGTGCATCAGTGTAACATGAAACTTGCGCTGCACCCTCCTTGTGTTCTTGAGCTGGAAGAAAAACCGCGAGATCTCGGGACCGGACCCCTTGAATGCCTTGTCGAGAACCTTGTCGATCGGATCCGTCGCCATGTTGATAGCCATATATTCCAGTGTCCTCTTCTTCGGCTGCGTCTTCTGCTGCTGACCTTGCTTGGCATGATCCTTCTTCCCTCGGTCCGGAATAGTATGCTTAAAGTCGGGAACGTAGCTCAGCGCAAAGTCCATGGCCTCGTCCAGCTTCTCGGGGCTGGGCATTTCTTTGACCACGTTGGGCAGCGACAGGTGCAGCTCCTTGACCACTGTCTCAAGGTTCACTCGGCTGCCAGCCGTGGGATCCAGGTCAATGAACAGATCGAAGCCGGCATCCGGAAGAGAATTGGGGTTGCATTCCTCGAATCGCTTGATGAATCCTTCCATGACCTCCAAATACTTGTACTGATCTGTCGCCGCATGGATCGTCTGGTGGTTGTCGCCTCGTTCAATGACACGCTCCTGTGTGACGCGCCGAATCTCATCAATCGACTCCTCATCGTGTCGAAAATTCAAGCAGACGATTCGAACTTCAGGGTTCTGTGCCTTGACATCGCCTATGAGCTGCTTCCTCTCATGCTTTTGCGCGTTATTCCGATCTGCAAACACAACTGGACGCTCTTTCAACTGGTCCATGACGGCCTTGACAAACCTCGGCGGACGTCCCTTGCCCGAGATGTTGTCGTTCTGGATGTGGCCCCAGCCAAAGAGGTGCGTCAATGCCAGAGCCAGCGTAGTCTTTCCGCAGCCAAGAGTGGCAATGGGTGCCAAGATGACATCCTTGGTAACTTCCGTCATGACTACGCGATCCAGGACGTCCATGTTGGCGGCGTCTGCCCCCTTGAGATTCTTGTACGCGAGGAAGTCGTCTCGCAATTTGATGATGCCATGGTTCTGATTGTAGAGCTTGGCCAATTTCGGATCCGCCGCAAGCTGCTTCCGAGCATAGACGAGGTATTCCTCGGTGATCTTGACGTGCTTCTTGAACTTGGGCTGCTTGCCAGAGATCATAGCTTTGGTGCACTCTCGCCACTGTCGGTACATCAAGTAAGGCTCCTCGAACTTGTACTTGAAGAACCAGTCCTGGTAGGGCAGCTGAGCAGGGTTACGGGACATTTTGCAACGAATGACGAATCCCTCGACGTCGCGGCCGGAATACGATCCCGTCTTGGCGACATCGTCCAGGAACGTCTTGACCTCTTGAATGTCGTCCATCACCAGCAGATCAACGTGGTGGAACCCCCACTGCTTAGCAAACTCCTGCACCTGGCTGCTTGGATAGGTTGCAAACTCCGGAAGGTTGAGATTGATGCCGTGAAGGTAGAGGCCGGCTTTGTCATCCTCGTAGGCCAATATGTGCTCTTCGAACGAGTCGTCGCAAAGCTCCGCCACGGCAGTGACATTTCGGGCCCGCAGCTCTCGTGCAAGGTCCTCCTTTGTCCTGCCCAGGGCAGCCAGCTGCTTCTCGAGCCGAATCTCTCCAGCTCGCGCATGGCTAATCTCGACATCGCCGCGATCACCAGTGGAGTGCTTGCTGCAGACAAGCAGAGTGTCGTCTTCGAGGCCCGCCACGAAGATGATGCAGCCGTTCTCCTTGAGCGTCAGCTCGTAGGGCCCCCTTGTGTTCTTGAAGATGGCATCCCACTTGGTGTCTTCGGTTTCGCCGACGTTGAAGAACTTGTCGTAGCCTCTGACGGCGATTTCCGGTGTGTTCTTGCTGGTCTTGGTGGTAAAGAGACCGCGAGCGTAGGTGGGCAGGTTCTTTTTCTTGTAGTCCCAATCCTGCATGCGCCACGAGTCCACGTTGATGCCGTCTCGAGACGGCTTCACGTTGAAGGTAGTCTTTTTGCAAGAAAATCCACCGTGTCGCTTGTCTTTCTTAGCCGCCTCCAGAGCTGAGATCATCTGGGAGACGGCAGATACATCCTGTGGCGCGTACGGGACCTCCATGTTCTTCACTCTGGATGATTCCTTTGCTGCAGCAAGCTGTTCGAGTAGTGAGAAGATAGTTGGAGGGCGGAAGAAGCTGTGAAGGACGAGGTTGGAGAATCGATGTCCAGTTCGTAGCGCACAAGTCATACACCAGCTTTCCCCAGCTGTTGCTTCGATGGTTTTGTCCACGGCAACGAGAGACGACCGTTTAGTGATCTAGCCTTGAACCACAGCTGAGTCGTCTTATTTAATACCCTTCAGCTCTGCCCCGGCGTTGATCCAAGGCACACACGAGCTTCCCTTGCAGAACGTCTCGAGCCGGCTAGTCGCACCAAAACACTGCCCTCTTTTACTCAGCCCTGTAAGTTTGGTGAGTCAGACGGGCAACAAGCGCGGCCGGTGAGCTCAGGATTACTCCTCACCGAAAGATCTGGGGCATGCACAGACCCGGCAGGGGACGATCGACCGGGATTTGAACGAGTCCTTTGAAAGAGTTGGATAGGTGAGAGAGGCGAGGTTATGATCTCTCCCAATGATAATGACGAGAAGAGATGCAATATTTTAGCTCGGAGCCGTGTGGGTCAGCAGTCGAAAGATCCAGGCCTGTGCAGATCGCCAGCTTTGCCGCCTGAGGGCACTAAAGGTCCCTGGGCTCGGGCAGTGACAATGCCCACTACAGCGGTCCGTGGCCCTGGGCTACAGGGGGCCCAAGACATCAGCCAAATCGATGCATGCATGTCACCTGCAATGTCATGGTGGGGGAGGGGCAACTTCCAGATATTTTTTTCCGAGACAAAACTCTACCCCTCCATACCTTACCAGCCAACCTCGTCTTCGCAAACACAGAGCTTCTCCCACCAAGCTATTCCGCACACAAGGGCCCTCAATTCGCCATGGCCTCATCAAACCCTTTCCTGCTGGCAGCCGACAACAGCCCCGCGCTGCTGCCTCTCCTCCGCGAAAAGCCTGCGCTGGCATCGGCCCAGGACGAGCATGGATACTCGCTTGTCCATGCCGCCGCCAGCTACAACCATCTGGACCTGCTCCGAACCCTGATCCAGGAATTCAAGGTCGATGTGAACCTCAAGGACGAAGACAACGAGACCGCGCTATTTGTCATCGAGACTGTGGACGCCGCCAAAGCTCTGATCGAGCTGGGCGTGGACGTGATGCACAGAAGCTTGGAGGGGCTCACAGCAAGAGAAAAGATTGAGGGGGAGGCCGACTTTCCCGAAGTCGCTGCCTATCTATCTACCGTCGAGTCCACAAAGGTGGGAGAGGAGCTCGAGGCCACCGCCGCCGAGTTCAACAAGAATGCTCCCGAGGGTATGAAGGTCACTGTCGGCACCATGGACGAGACGCAGGATATCCCCGCCCAAGTCGATCCCGAGTTCCGCCGGCGGATCGAGGAGCTGGCTCAGCGGGAGGACTTTGACACGGCAGAGGGCCAGGCGGATTTGCGCAAGCTGGTGGAGGAGGCCCTCTCTGACCAAGGATTGGCCGAGGAGCGAAATGTGCGGTCTAAGCAGGCCTAAGCTCTGTCCCGCTGTCCCTCTTTCAGTCTTGGCTTTTGATCTCCCACATGAGGAACTCTCCCGAGCGCTCAGGCGGCCGAAGGAAAGTGAGCTCGTTGCACCCGCCGAGGATGTTGCGAGAGAAGGTCGTGCTGCTAAGCGCGAACCACGACTGCGACGGGCAGCTGGTGATGACGTCGACGAAGAGGCTCCGTAGCCAGCTCGAGGATAGGAAACCTTGCCAACTCAGCTTGCAGACTGGTGTCTGGGCCACGGCGCCGTCGGCTTCTGGCGGTGCATATCGTGAGAGATAGGGGTCAATGTTGTCTCCCGCCACGACGCGAGGACTTTCTAACCGGACAAGCGACAGCCACTCGTATATTTCCGTCGCGGAGTATTCAAGAGCCTCGCGGTCTCCCTGCGCGAGGATGGTGGGCGGTATCCTAAGGGGAATCTGGTTGATCCCGGTGTCTGTAGATAGCTTTGGCGACGACGTTCTTTCCGTCGCGCCCAGACTCTGCAGCAAATCTTCATCCATAGCTGACCGGGTTAGCATGTGTATACTTGAACATTGGGATGATGGGGAATAACATCAGAGCATAGACCTACCAGAGTCGGAGGCGTTGCAGACAAGCCATGTCATGGGCTGGTTCAGCACCTGCTTGCATGCATAATTCAGTCTGTCGAACTTTTTCCTACCGTGCAGCATTGACTCTTCCCGCAGGTTATATGATACTTCTGTGATACGAGTTAGCAACGTTCTTCTGCAGATGGACAGAGACAACTCATGACCTACTCCACCTAGGCTTAGATCCTCGATCACCCTTGATGCCGTAGGGTTTCCCCTCAAGCCCAGCGCGTTCATACGTCTCCCTATCAAGGTAGAGGTCCAGGATACCCTCTCGAAGGGTGAAGAGATTTCCAATGGTCGTTTTACCTTCCGACAGCATCATGATATTCCCTGAAGCAGATCAGCATTGAAACCCCAACAGTAGATGGCTGCTATTCAAGCACAGCAGAAGCCACATGGACGCACCTAATTTGATATACCGAGTGAGGAACTTGGTCTCCAGCACCTGGCCCAGCGTCATGACGACTCTGTAGTAGGCCGGCGAAGCACGCTCATCCATCTTGTGGACGATGATGTCGCAAATGTCTTGGGGGATGATCAAGTCAATCTGAAGTTAACAAGATCAGCAATCCTATCCCCAGATGGCATCAAACGGCAAAGCATGAGGTATGTTCATTTTATTTCACCGAACCCACCTTGTGGACAAAGTCGAGCTCCGAAATGGCCGTCCACGGCTTGCCTTTACTCGGAGGCTGCTTCGGATCGACGTGCCTCATGGTGCCGTACGTGACGAAGCATTTCGGCGACTGGTATATGGAAGGAGCCTGATGCCGCATGTTCAAATTATTCACAAACCAGTTCTTTCTCTCTTCAGAGAGACGGTAATGAGATTAACAGAGTTGCTGTGCCTCGAAGCTTCGACTGTTTTGACAGGTTGGTGGCTGTTTAAGAGGGAAGAAGCTGAAGATGCACCCCAAAAAGATGGAAGTGCAAGGTACAAAGAGCGATGTACCCTTTTTGAGCGCCATCCCGCCGAATGAGATGCGGCGCTTTCATCGTTTTTTCTTGATAGCGGGGCCACCACTTTTCATGTACAACAACTTGACTTCTTATGACAATCTCATAGACTTCTTCATTCTCTTGAACGACATATGAATTCTTGAGAAGTAGGTACAACTCTATTGACAGAGGATGGCACAGCAATTGCTAACCCATGATTGGAACCAGAAATCACCACTTTCATTGATTATACATCGAAGCGGCACGGCTCCTACAAGTTTTCCTTCTTTAGATCCTTCTCATAGAGACAGACATCGTCCTGGCTTCATGATACCCTGAAACTCACCACATTCATCCCTCTACAAACACGACGGGGCAGTTATAACATCACAAAGCATCCTTCAAGATGGACTTTCTCATCAAGTTTGCTTCCGAGCACGAATCCTTCAGAGTCCCCGAGATCGAAGCCCTAGCCATCATCGAAGGCCTCGATCTCAAGATCAAAGAATACGACCCCCAAGTAAGCCCCCCCCCCGGCCTCAACCACCCATCTCCGTCATAACACTCACATAAACCTCCCCAGTCCCCCTTCTGCGTCGTCCAGCTCCCCTCTGTCGACGCCGCAAAGAAGCTCCTCCGGCGCTCCGTCCTCGCCCACTCAATACACGAGCTCTGGGGCACCGCCCCCTCCCTCGACGCCCTCCACCCCATCATCAAGTCCCAGACCGCCCACCTCTGGCCCAGCTACAAGGACTGCTCCTTCAAGTTCGTCGTCGACGCCTACCAGGGCGCCCACTCCAACAAGGAGCGCCTCGCCATCATCGACACCTTCAGCTACCTCCCCTTCGACGGCCCCATCCGCATGGCCAACCCGGACGAGACCTTCACCGTCTTCGAGTTCTGGCCCTTCAACAGCGTGCCCCTCAAGATCGCCCGCCCGGACATGGTCCGCCTCGGCCGCTTCGTCGCCGCCTCCGCCCGCGACGTCATCCACAGGTACGACCTCAAGAAGCGCGGCTACATCTCCACCACCAGCATGGACGCCGAGCTCTCCCTCGTCACCGCCAACATCGCCCTCGCCGCGCCGGGCAAGCTCTTCTACGACCCCTTCGTCGGCACGGGGTCCTTCCCCATCGCCTGCGCCCACTTTGGCGCCATCGGCTGGGGCAGCGACATCGACGGCCGCAGCATGCGCGGCGAGGGCGACAACAAGAACAAGAGCCTGCCGGGCAACTTTGCGCAGTACGGGCTCAAGGCGCAGCTCGGCGGCTTCTTCTCCGCAGACCTGACCAACACGCCCATCAGGCGGCGGCGGACCTGGGACGGCATCGTGTGCGATCCCCCTTACGGCGTGAGAGAAGGGCTCAAAGTCTTGGGGCTGAAGAATCCCGAAAACGCAACATGGCTGATAGAACTCGGCATAAACGAGTGGCAGTAAGTCCATAGCCCCCCCCATCTCCCCCCATCTCGGTATCCCGCAAGATGAGAGTTTTGACATGATGGGAAATCGCACTCGCATAGATCTCCAGACTACGTGCCCCCCAAGAAACCATACAGCTTCCTCGCCATGCTCGACGACATCCTCGCCTTTGCCGCAGACACCCTCGTCGACCACGGCCGCCTCTCCTTCTGGATGCCCACCGCCAACGACGAGGAGCAAGAGATTCCCGTCCCGACGCATCCCTGTCTGGAAGTTGTCGTCGTCTGCGTCCAGACTTTCAACAAGTGTATGTAACTCTCTCTCTCTCTCTCTCTCTCTCTCTCTCTCCCCACCCCTTAAAAGTTTTCATGCTGACTTGTTATGTATTTTCTCGGCCAGGGTCAAGAAGACTGATCACGTATCAACGGCTGCCCGACTCACAAGTCTCCAGCGCCGACCTTGAAGCACACGAGAAGCGTAGACGGGAAGCAGCAGCTGCAAACACAGGCACAACAGCAGACGATCTCAATCCCTTCCGACGAGGCTACTTTCGAAAATTCGAGTCTGAAGCGTCACAGGTAGATAGCAAATAAATTATAAGACACACGTAATCTGCCATACAACTGTTGCCGAGTCAAAACGACATGACGAAAATCACAGAGCGTCTCGGGGCTCATATCCCCCTTTCATGATTTCAATGGCCATCAAATCCCTTGTATTGCATATTTCGTCACGCGTCATTCATCCCTAGCTTAAAACGTACTCAACGACCCTTCATGACAGCTTTCAAAGATTCTCGGTTCCAAAAAAAGACCTGTGCAGTGCCATCCCGACGTACCTATACTCAAAAAGCCGAGCTCCTTGCACGCATGCTATGTATCCCGTAAAACACCACTTCCCGAATCAATCCACCCGAAAGACAGAACAAAGCTCAGGAAATATGTCAAAGAGTAGAAAGCGAAGATGGAAAAGGAAAAAAGAGACGGGAAAAAGAGGAAAAGAAAGACATTCCGAGCGGACACTAGCGTTCCAAAACGACATCCGCTCCCAATTAAGTCCACCATCATGCGAAAGGAAAAAACACTTGACATCATCACCGGAACTCCATGGCACTGAAGCATCCCCGATCAGGAACATGCTTCAATTCCAGCTGTTGAAATCTGTGCGCGGAGAAGTTAGTCCCGTTGTTTCCAAGTAGGGTCGAAGGGGAGGCGTAAGAGATAGGGGCAAGGCTTACTTTTCGCTCTTGGAGTGGAAATAGATGCCGCTTATCTCTCCTTTGACCTGATTGAAGCAGATGTAGTAAAAGCCCTCAAAAGAGGCCCCGGTGATGGTTCGAACCCGGTGGTCGGGGACCAAGAAATGCTCTTTCCAGCGCATAAAGATGTGGTCTCGTTGCGCGAGGTCAGTGATGGTAACGGGCCCCTTGCGAGCCATCTTCTGGTAGGGCCGGAAGGCGCTGAACTTGGACCAGTGGCTCAGGTCGACCTTGGAGTTGGCCCCCCAGTCATCGTGCTTGGTGAAGAAGTTGTACTTGGTGCCAATGATTTCTCCCTCAAAGTAAGTGGTGAGGGTTGGGTGGTCCTCGGTCAATCCTATCGGCGGGGGTCAAGCTTATTAGCCAGGTACCGCTTATGACGCAATGGAGGGACTATGCAGAGCCCAGGGCGACAAACCTTGGATACGCAAATAGCCACAGAGAAAAGACTCGCGCAGGTCGACGTGCTTGATCTCGACCTGGACTTCGTAGACTTGTCTCTCAGATTGCTGTGTGCCGCGGAACCTGCTGCCGGGGCGGAGGAATGATGACGGTGAGATGGGGATTTTCTGTATCCAGCGTTAGCAATGCCAAGGATGCCCTATCAAACAGCAACACAGCATCCCAGCAGTGGAATCCTTACTCGTAGATTTGTGCAGTCAGATGGCATGGCGGGCGAGCCATATGCATCTTCTTCATACCACTCCAATGCGTCGGGCTCACGTCGGACGGGGATCGGATTCTCGACCTGTGAATGCCCAGACAAGGTGGACGACTCCCGACTCAGGCGATCAGCCGTGTCGGTTCCCTGGTGCTTGAGGGTATCGTCTCGCCCACTCAGGGTGGGAGATGTGGCAGTCGTCCCGCTGGACGGCGGTCGGGGAGACGTGGTATCCATGGGCGAGCCGCCCGCAGACGCCCGGCCATCTATGAATACTGTTTCTTCCGCTGCAGGGCCGTCGCGAGCTGCTTCGGATGAAAAGGCTGTAGAGGCAATGCTTGTGGATGGGCTCTGGCCGGTCTCCATGTCTGACGTCGGTCGCGTGGTGTCTTGAGCCGGCCGGGAGGATCGAGACAAGTGCGGCTGATCCTCAGGACATGACGAGAAACTGTAGGGAGGCGGAGAGGATTGGTCGGGAGGCGGGTTGGAGGAGGGAGTTGGCATTGTCGCAGCTGTGGACGAAGATCAAGACAAGAGGCGCCGGCTCGGTTCGTGGCAGGCAAGGCTGGCGCAGGAAGCCGAGAGGAAAGAGCAGGAAATGCGCAGCAGCAGAAGAGGGAAAACGAAGACAAGAAGAAATAATCTTGTGCCAATGTCGTGATTGGCTTTCGACCACGAATCGCTAATCAAAGACGATGATGATGCTCCAGCCCGTGTCGACGTGAGGAGTGCCGTTTCAGTCCGAGAGCGGATCGAGTTGCGATTCGAGCGGGAGGATGGCGGTGATTAAGTGCCCGAAGCAGCACAGCACACGTACAAGTACAAGGACAAGCAAGGACAAGCAAGGAGCAGGACGACCCACGAGGCCGGGACGAGGGTCTTCAGGGATGGCACGCAGCGTGCATCTCGCAGGCAAGCCACAGAGACGGGAGACACAGGCGATGGCGACAAGAGGCGGGCCAGCGGAGCGATGGAGACGAGAGATTGGGAGCGCAACAGCCACTGCACAGGATGAGGATGGGATGGATGGCTTTTCTTCGGGAGGCGAAAACTGGACGTTGGGCGCTGCAGTGTGGAGGGTTTAGAGGTGCAGGCTCGCTGAAGACGGGAGCCAGAGGCGGCGTACCCGATACAGCGGCCAGCCCGCGTCCACTAGGGGCGGCGGCAGGTATGGAGTACCTTGCTTCTATCCTCTGGATGCGGTTTTGGCTTCAAGTTGCTGGGCACCCACTGGGTGAGCTGCCATTCATTGATCCATTCAATGTCGACCTTGGATAACGCCGTGGTGACGAGGGGTTCTACTGGTGCAAGGCAGGCGGTTGATGGGACAGATACCACGCTGGTGAGAGTAGCGAAAGTTCACCTCTTGTCTGTCGACACTGACGAGGCTGGATTGGGGAAGCTGGGGCAAACACGTGCGAGTACCAGGTACTTTGCGCACGCAAGGTGAGACGGGATGGAGCTGAGGTTTGCGGAGGTGCTAGTGGCAGCTTGGACGGCCGGCAGATGCTACGATGTACTGGTACTTGCTGTAGGTTGGGCAGCAGTCAATTGCAGTGCGATGCCCGTATTGTACACCAAGACGAGACCCTGGATCTAAGACACACAGTGATAGGTACACGATGAATTGATTGTAAAGTAGAGTTTGGCATCGATCAGCGTACGTAGAAAACAATGAGTTGGTGACGGGCACCGGAAATAGTCGTAGAACGATTGAACCGACACAGGGTCGCAACCGGGTTGACTCTCGTCTACCGCAGGGGCACGGCACATGTACTAACTGGCGGCGACAACTTGAAGCCAGCCACACACCTGGATGTGGATCAAACAACAAAAGAAGATGCAGCCCAAGACTTGTTGTCAAACCATGGCTTGGTCCAGGTTCGGTTCGGTGTCTTACCGCGAGGCAAAGCAAGGGGTTTTGTCGCACTCAGTGGTTTGCTTCGCGAGTAACGTAGCCAGTTTGCCAGTGTATTGATGTTCCGGTCCGGATCACGGGAGCTTACTATATCACTAACTTACACGTCTGATAGCGCTTACTTTGCCAAGTCGCGGAATCCGACGCAAAGAATTCCAGGGCCAAAGATTATCCTTGTCAAAACGCCTTGAGAAAGTCATTCTAGATACTCTTTTGACTGTTTTCCAGAAATGCTAATTCACAGGAATCGCTCATCTTGTCCGCATGTAGCTGCTGCTGATGGATCAATGAACTGCTTTTGTATCTTCCCATGCGCCACCCTAGACTTAGAATCTCTTGCGCACGACGCTGCCGTCTATCCACCATCATGCGAATCGCAGATGCCTCGATAAGGCGAAGGGTATCATAACTGTGCTCTGCCTCTCTCTTCAGCTTGCCATGTCGACTCAGATTGGCTTGATCTTGAAGTGGAGCGCTATCAGACTAAACACAAGCGCCTTCAGGTCCTGCACAAGGTAGTAGAACACCCGGAGGCCCTCGGGGTCGGCGGATTCGGTGACATCGACCAATGATCCAATCTTGGCCGTCTATCGAAGGGGTCAGCTTTGCATGCTTTGCATGTCACTTGCATTTTGTTCGGGAGAGCAAACCTCGAAAGAAATGTGATCTCCTCCCAGCCGAATTTCCAACTCTTGGCGACCGTCCTTGTTCTTCTGCGGCCACTTGGAGTCGTCTTCCTTGATGATTTCGCTCTGCTTGACAATTCGCTTGATCTCGTCGATAACCGCGGAGCTGACACACACTATTGACCCAGCAATCAGTTTCCCATTCTCGCCCTGCGCAATCTCTTTTGATATCGGATGCAGTGTCTCCTTACTCTCTTTCCGGATCAGGCTGTCGTTCCTGTAGTTGGAGTTGTTTGCATATCGGGCGACCGCGCTGCGGCCATCTCCGACGACGCGGAAATCAAATTCTGTCGCACACGTAAGTATTCGAGCTGTCAACCGGAATTGAGGTTGAGCCTCGGTGGGCGGCTGTTGGTGTGGTTGTCGTACCCAAGAATTCGTGGCCAAATCGGCCCATGTGGCCCGAGCTGGACACATGATCAGTAGCTGAACTGAACAATCGCTGTAGGTCACTTCCAAAGGGGTCTTTCTTACTAGTATCGGATGTAGAACTGGTCGTTTGGTGCCGCCATCTCTGCTGTTGAGGCCGTGTCGAGTTGCGCCCAGATCTGTCGCGAGGCTGGAGCAAGTTCGAAATCATTCATAGGCCAGCTTCGTCACTGGATGGTGGGGCGCGGCAGAAAGCAGCGGGCGGTGAGCGAGTCCCTGCTCTAACTGCTGCACTTTGAGGCACCAGCTCCGTCACGTGAGCCCCCACGCCTCGCTCCAACTGCTGCTTAGTGCCACCTTTGCCCAGCGAGCCATCGCCAGTTGCTAGTAAAGAGCCAGATTGTCTTGAAGCAGCCCAACAGCAGCATCACCTCCCCCCAGTCGCCCGCCTCTCTCAACATTCTCGACGCTCTCTCCGGCGACTCTGGCTGCTCCAGCCCTGCAATTGGTGCGGTAGCGACTCTCCGGCACATGGCTCTGGTGAGCTCTCCGCTACTCGACGCTCCTCCCGCGCTCTCTTGAGGCCCCTTATCCCTCCTCGCCAAAAACCCCCCCACCGCCGCGGCTTCGACGCATTCCCGCCGAGCCAGATCTCTCGCAGCTCCTCCGAGCCCTTTTGCGCCCTCGAACGCCCCCGAATCACACAGCCGGCCACCATGTCTGGGTTCCTGGAGCACGCGTACAGCCTGGTGCACCAGGACAATGCCGCGGACGTGCCCTCGCTCTCCGATCTGCGCATGCAGCTGGAGAAGGGCACCGACGAGAGCAAGGTCGACACCATGAAGCGTATCCTGACCATCATGCTCAACGGAGACCCGATGCCGTCGCTGCTCATGCACATTATCCGATTCGTCATGCCTTCCAAGTACAAGCCGCTCAAGAAGCTCCTCTACTTCTACTACGAGATATGCCCCAAGCTCGACTCGGCTGGCAAGCTGAAGCAGGAGATGATTCTAGTCTGGTTAGTCACCGTCGTTCATTTTGCCATTGGCATCTGTCATGAGCCAATTCATGCAACCGAGGGCCGGCTGACCACCCCGCAGCAATGGCATCAGAAACGACTTGCAGCACCCTAACGAATACATCCGAGGCAACACCCTGCGATTCCTCTGCAAGCTCAGGGAGGCCGAGCTTATTGAGCCTCTCCTTTCCTCAGCGCGATCCTGCCTTGAGCACCGACACGCCTACGTCAGGAAAAATGCCGTCTTTGCGGTGTCATCCATTTACACACACTCGCCATCTCTCATTCCCGATGCCGCGGAGCTGATTGCGACTTTCCTCGAAAGCGAGACGGACGCCACGTGCAAGAGGAATGCCTTTGCAGCGCTCGCCAGCATCAACCACGATGCCGCTCTATTATATCTCAGCTCCGTCTTTGATGGGATCCCCAATGCCGAGGAACTGCTGCAGTTGGTTGAGTTGGAGTTTATCCGCAAAGACGCTGTTCAGAACTCGCAGAACAAGGTATGACTTTTGCTAGACAAGCCTTGCCAGTAGCTAACAAGGGAACAGGCTCGATACCTGCGATTAATATTCGACCTCCTGGAAGCCGGCGCATCCACTGTCGTCTACGAGGCGGCATCATCGTTGACGGCCCTGACAAATAACCCTGTTGCCGTCAAGGCTGCCGCGTCAAAGTTCATCGAGCTGAGCATCAAGGAGGCCGACAACAACGTCAAGCTCATTGTCCTCGACCGGGTCGATCAGCTGCGTCAGAAGAACGAGGGCGTCCTCGACGACCTGGTCATGGAGATCCTCCGGGTCCTCAGCAGCACAGACATTGACGTCCGCAAAAAGGCCCTCGAGCTGGCCCTGGCCATGGTCTCCAGCAAGAACGTCGAAGAGGTGGTGCTGCTGCTGAAGAAGGAGTTGTCCAAGACGGTCGACCAAGAGTATGAGAAGAACACCGAGTACCGATCCCTCCTCATCCACTCCATCCACCAGTGCGCCATCAAGTTCTCCGAGGTTGCTGCCAGCGTGGTGGAGCTTCTCATGGACTTTATTGCCGACTTCACAAACACCGCTGCCGTTGATGTCATCAATTTCGTCAAGGAGGTTGTCGAGAAGTTCCCCGAGCTCCGAACCAAGATTGTCCACCGTCTCGTCTCCACCCTCAGCGAAGTGCGGGCTGGAAAGGTCTATCGCGGTATCCTGTGGATCATTGGAGAGTATTCGGTGGAAGAGAAGGACATTCGGGATGCTTGGAAGGGCATCCGAGCCAGCTTGGGAGAAATTCCCATTGTGGCGTCGGAGCAGAGGCTGTTGGAAGAGCAGGACGGCGATGACAGCAAGGACGATCAGCTCAACGGCCACTCGAAGCCTTCAGCGCCCACTGGCTCCCGCAAGGTGCTCGCTGACGGCACTTATGCCACCGAGACTGCGCTGACCAGCCAGTCTTCCGCCGCCGCCAAGCTGGAGGCCGTCAAGGCCGCCCAGAAGCCGCCCTTGAGACAGCTCATCCTCGATGGCGACTACTACCTGTCAACCGTTCTCTCTTCAACGCTGGTGAAGCTGGTTATGCGCCACTCGGAAATCTCAGCCGAGCACGCTCGAACCAACGCCCTCAAGGCCGAGGCCATGCTCATCATGATCTCCATCATCCGCGTCGGCCAGTCTCAGTTTGTCAAGGCACCGATTGACGAGGATTCCGTCGACCGAATCATGGCGTGCGTGCGTTCACTTGCAGAGTTCACCCAACGAAAGGAGCTGGAGGAAGTTTGGCTCGACGATACGCGCAAGGCATTCCGTGCGATGGTGCAGGCCGAGGAGAGCAAGCGCGCCGCCAAGGAGGCTCGCGAAAAGGCCAAGACGGCCATCCAGGTCGACGACGTGATTCCCATTCGCCAGCTGTCCAAGAAGAACGCCACCGAGGGCCTGGACGAGATCGAGATGGACTTGGAGAGGGCAACTGGTGGCGAGGGAGGCGCCGAGGACCTCACATCCAAGCTCAGCCGGGTCGTCCAGTTGACCGGTTTCTCCGACCCAGTGTACGCTGAGGCGTACGTCAAGGTGCACCAGTTCGATATTATCCTGGATGTGCTGCTGGTCAACCAGACTACCGACACGCTCCAGAACCTGTCGGTTGAGTTTGCCACTCTTGGTGACCTCAAGGTTGTTGAGCGACCGACTACACAGAACCTGGGGCCCCACGACTTCCACAACGTGCAGTGCACCATCAAGGTGTCGTCAACAGACACGGGTGTCATCTTTGGCAACGTCGTGTACGATGGCGCGCACTCGACCGACACCAACGTTGTCATTCTCAACGACCTGCACGTGGACATTATGGACTACATCCAGCCGGCCACGTGCACCGAGACGCAGTTCCGAACGATGTGGACCGAGTTTGAGTGGGAGAACAAGGTCAACATCAACTCCAAGGCCAAGTCATTGCGCGAGTTCCTGGACCAGCTCATGGCCTGCACGAACATGAACTGCCTGACGCCCGAGGCCAGTCTCAAGGGAGACTGCCAGTTCTTGAGCGCCAACCTGTACGCTCGCAGTGTATTTGGTGAGTCCTTTCTCAAAGTCTTGAGAGATCCAAGATCCGTTACTAACTCTCTTCTGCAGGCGAGGACGCGCTGGCCAACCTGAGCATCGAAAAGGAGGGCGAGGACGGCCCCATCACAGGCTTCGTGCGGATAAGGAGTAGATCGCAAGGCCTGGCGCTGAGTCTGGGCTCACTAAAGGGCCTTAATAAGATTGGCTCGACCGCTTAGATGTCGGAACGCAAGCCAAAAGACGTTGCGCGCGCATTGCACTAAAAAAAAAAACACTAGATAATTTTACGAATTCCTTTTTCTGCTATATATCTTGTCTCTCTTTCTTCGCGTGTTTGTTGAGGGAGTGTTTTGTAGACATGGCTAGACGATGGTGGCATAAGATGCAGAGATTTCCAACGTGGTTCAACGAGACAAAAGGCTTTGGCGATGGGAAAGCGGGGAGCTGGCAAATGGGGGATATATACAAAAAGAGTCCATGGGTGGCGAGCGTGTCTTGCCAGGTTTTGATCTGATGAAAAAGGGGGGGAATTACTGCTACCACGGTATTAGTAGGTAGACGCCCATGATGGGAGATGGTCAAGGGGCTGTTTCAGTCGTGTCATTTATTAAAGCCAGAATTCTTTACAAGTATCAAACCATGATCTTACGTTTTTTTCCATTTCGTTCCTTGTCAAAGTTGTTTGACCGCCTATAGATGGGTAGGTAGTCTAGTCCGCATACATTATAGAATAATATATCTCGTCAATTGCCGAATAGCAGAGCATCACCGTCCGTCTGCCAACATCACAGATCACATCTTCCAAATGGAAATGAGCCCCGGGCCCTTATCCCATCTTATCCGCCCTTTGTCGCCCTCATCTGTTGAATTCGACCAAGACATCCGCCAACCTTCGACACCGTTTCCCCCACTTTCAGCTTGCCCGTTCGTTCACGCCGTGATACGATACTGTGTACAGGCGAAATATGTGCAATTTATTGTGATATGGGGTATATATGAACGCTCTTGCGGAAGTAAAGAAGCAAAAGGGCATTGGAGAAAAAAGACATTAGAAAGGCTAGAGGGGGGTGAAATGGTTGGGAAAGGCAAAACATACCCCCCTTAAAATCAAGAGAATTGCGCCGTTAAAACTCCATTCTTCTCGAGCGTCAAATAGGACGCGAGAAGAAAAATGATAAGTGGGGGTATTGTTCAAGGCGTGAACAAGGGGAAAGGAAATGGTAAGAGGGGGTAATTATCCAGAGGCGTGAACAAAGGGAACTGTATACGAAGTGAAGACAATGTGTCATGGTATTAGGATTGAAAGATGGGAGAGGTGAGGAGTGAAAAGAAAGTAGAAGGAGTGTCATCGGTTGAATACCAGAGCATTGATGACGTGCCCGGCGTGCCAGCCTTGGGCTTCGAGGGAATGGCTCTCCTTGAGCATCTTGCCCATGTAGGCCAGACGGATCTTCTTGTCCGCGGGAAGCTGTGAGCAAAGTGTGTTAGCTGACCAGTATCGAGGAGCAGCGAATGACAAAGAGGACTCACCGACGACGACTCCGTAATCTTGCGAATCACGCTCCGCACATTGTCCTTCTTGGCCACGGACACTTTGACGTCCACGCCCGTCTCGCTCAGGCGCGCGCAAAGAGCAACCATTTCCACCTCGCCAAGCACCCCCTTGCCCTTCTCCTCCCGCCTCCTCTCCGAGTCTTCGTCGTCGTCCTCGTCCTCGCCAGCGGTCTCCTCGCCGGCGGTCGTGTCGCCCTTGGCATCCGGATCCTGGTCGTCGCCGTCGTCGGCCAGGTTATCCGGGTCGGAGACGACCCATTCGGGCAGCGCATACAAGTTGCCCAGGGCATCGTAAGCACCGTGGGCAAGGTCGCCGGTCGGCAGCGAGATCTCGGCGGCCGTGAGGATGGACTGCGCCGTGGCCAAGGCGTCGTCGTCGTCGTCATCGTCCTCGGCCGGGCTCGACTCCCACAGGACCTGCAGCGCGGCGTGCAGCGTCTGCCAGATCTCGGGTCGGCAGACGACCCTGGTGTCGAAGAACTCGGCGCGCTCCTTGTCGATGTCGCGGCGGGTCCACGTCTGCGCAGACGTCCACTGGTGGCGGCGCAACGGCTTGTTGATGTGCTGGTCCAGAGGGCGCGGGTCCCGGCGGCGATGGCGATGACCCAGGGTCGAGGCTGGCGGGCCGCTGGAGAGGATGCCCTCGGGCAGGCTCAAGGGCGGCGGGTTGATGGCGCGCGAGGAAGCATCGGAGACGCCTCCGGGGTACGGCGAGTTGGGACCCGCGGAACGAGAGAAGCAGCAGCCCTGAGCGCATCGTCAGCATGTGCACATTTCGAGGCGGGTGAGCTGAGGGACTGAGGGAAAGCTGGGGGAGCAGCGCGCACCATGATGTCGCCGCCTTGATATAAGGTATGCGATGAATGAGTGCGGTTCTTTCAATGTCAGATATCGGGTCTCAGCTGGTGGGCAGAACGGCGGCGCTTCGCAACGAAACGGCGACCAAACGCCATGCCAGGTCTGGCTGCAGATACCGAGGGCCAGGACAGAACACAAGGCACAGGGAAGTCGTTGCGCTGGAGAGATTGGGAAGCCGGGCGTGAGGTCACGGCCAAGATGGCGTCGAGGGACCACGTGCAGTCTCTCGAGCTCGCCGTTATCTTTCGACTTTCTTTCTTTTGTTCTCCAATCTGCCTCGAGACAGGGTCCAAAGGTTGCGTAGGAGGATGAAGACGAAGGCGAGAAGTTGGGTGTTGTGTGGTCTCGCAGGTCGAGCCGCTGGCTGGCCGGAAGCTGGCCGGGAAGCTGGTCGGGAAGCGGCGCCGCTGACTGGCGCGCACCAGCGCAAACAGTGTGTGGCTGTGGAGGGACAGAAAACGAGGCTTATCTTGGTGCGGTTTTGGCTTGGATGTCGAGCCGAAGTGTGTTGCGAGGCGTTCTGGTGTGTCGAGGAAGAGGGCCGGGGTTCGGGGGAACTGAGGAGGAGGGCCAAGTCCGGTTGGCTGCGTATGTATCAGATGCTGAGTGGGCGGGATGGAATCAAACGCAGCAGATGGCTATAAAGAAGAAGACTGTCTGCTGTAGAACTCCATGAGCTTAAATGCAAAAGAAAGAGGAGATCATGCACAATGCAAGAGAAGGAAGAGCGTTGCTACTCGTATTTGCGAACCATTTACACGTGCCTGTGAATGGCGACAAATGAGGGCCCGCAGATGCAGCAACGCTCACTTAACCGAGCAAAGCTTAAGGTGAGAACCCCCCGCCGGAAGTTACAGCGGGGTGATGCAGGCAAAAGCCCGCTGGAGGGAGTCCTGTCCACTGAGCCGCTGGAGCTTCCAGGGACTGGTGGGGAGATGGCGTTTGCGCTACAGCGTGGATGGATGGATGGATGATGCTTCCATGGCTTCCAGCCGGAGTGGCGGCAGACGAGCAGCTGCTAAAGATTGTTGCTTTTTGGAATCCCAAGGTTCGGGCTGTGCAGGAGATTCGATTCCAAGGCCTGGCTTGTGCCGAGACTCCTCTACGTGCTGTATCTCATACGTGGATGTCAACGGACAGTGCGATCTAAGTTGCTGCGTTTGATACGGATAGTACCTACACGTCCTCACCTCATCTCAGATGGCTTCATGCCATTTCAAAGCAGATAGAGGCGTTCATGCGCAGCTGACATGCATCATCAGTTGGATCAATATCCAGTAAACTGCACAAGACATCTCGCCTCCTCACCGGTGCCTCAGCTGCAGAGACTCAGCCCTGGTAACTTGCCACGGGTTGCTCACCCGCAGCTCCAGGGTAGGTCCTTGCCACGACTCGTCCAATTAACTACACCATGTGGCAGGATTTGCGCCGTGGACAATCTCATCCCTGTCTGCTTCATTCTCATAACGCACGCATCCGCATTCAATGCTGTGACTACCGCGCTGCCTCGTACTTTGACTTGAACAACTCAGACCGCCGAATACTCCTGTTCTCCTGCAGCAAATCAAGAGGTCATGATTAATGACCAGTTGCTCCATTCCATAAAAAAAGTCGACATCACAGGCGCATCCATCAAGTGAGCCATCTCAAAGCCATGGAGGCCGTCACGAGACAGCACTTTTTCTTCCACGACCAGCCGGTAAGAAAATGATATTGTAGTAACCGAATGAAGAAACTCCAGGAAACAAGGACATTGCTAACGATGCAAGCAAAGGAATACGCAGAACAAAGGGAATCCTGCCACTTCTGCCAGCTCCGCGCCTTTCCCACCCACAAGACCATCCCCGTCACCATCGTCAACGAGGTCGACCAGGCCGTCATCCCGCCCAACTTCCGCTTCGTCGACCGCATGGTCCTGCGCCCCGGCGTCGAGCCCGCTGAGGATAGCTTCCGCAGCGGCTGCTCCTGCGAGTCCGACGCCGAGTGCCAGTACATGGGCTGCCTGTGCCTCGCCGACCTGGACGACCAGGACAGCGGCAGCGACGACGACGACGAGGGGGATGACGGCTATCGCATCGCCAGCCAGCTCAATGGGGACACGCTCGATGGAGGGTCGCTTAAGAAAGACGAGGACAGGACGAAGAAGAGGAAGGCGTACGCATATCACTCGCACGGGGCCAAGGCCGGCCTGCTGCGGTCCAAGATGCTCAACTCCAAGGAGCCGCTGTACGAGTGCCACGCCGGCTGCTCGTGCTCCATGGACTGTCCCAACCGGGTGGTGGAGCGAGGGCGAACCGTTCCGCTGCAGATATTCCGCACCCACGATAGGGGATGGGGTGAGTCTTGAGATCATATATACGAGTTGAAGACGTGAACACTGAAAACGTTTTCCCCCAGGAGTCCACGCCCAGGCGGCCATCAAAAAGGGGCAGTTCGTCGACCGCTACTACGGCGAAATCATCACCTCGGCCGAGGCCGACCGCCGCCGCGCCGCCTCCGCCGTCTCCCAGCGCAAGGACGTCTACCTCTTCGCCCTCGACAAGTTCACCGACCCGAACTCGCTGGACGCGCGCCTCAAGGGCCCGCCGCTCGAGGTCGACGGCGAGTTCCTGTCGGGCCCCACGCGCTTCATCAACCACTCGTGCGAGCCCAACCTGCGCATCTTTGCACGCGTCGGCGACCACGCCGACAAGCACATCCACGACCTGGCGCTCTTCGCCATCAAGGACATCCCCCGTGGCGAGGAGCTGACGTTTGATTATGTGGACGGGGTGACGGGGGATGGGGGCGGGATGGAGGCGCATGGGGAGATGGCCAAGTGCTTGTGCGGGAGCCGCAAGTGCAGGGGGTATCTGTGGTGATATGCTCTTCTTTTGTCTTGGATTTCATCTTTCTTCTACTTGAGCATAGCATAGCTAATGGCATAGTTCAATGCGATCCCCTTTTTGTTCTTTTCAATCCCGCCGTGGCGGGCATCCGGACAGGCAGTGAATGCATTTCATCAACAATGGTCAAGCTCCCTCATCCGAACCGACCAAGAGCAACATATCCGTCCAACTGCCTGCCACTCGCCAATCTTCATCCCGCGTTCTGGATTTCGGCATCTTACAGAAAAACTCTCGTTTGACTTGGAACACTGCGGTGGAGATAAGGTTCGACGGGAGTTTGAACTGTGGTGGCTCTTAGTCTGCGCCATCCGGCCTCACCTTTTGTAACCACCACAACTCCCACGCTTTTTTGTCTCTCGGCCTCTTCTTCTTACCGATGTTTCATTCACCTCGCTTCAGAATTTACAACAGGCGGGCAGCGTTTCCATCTCGTTTACACCACAGAAAGTTCTTTGTTTGCGGCCTCCAGTTCCGAAAGCTTTCCAAGGCTTTTACAGGTTCGCCGAACACGCCCAAAAAGCGCACCAGCACTCCGGATCCGGATCCCGTCATGTCCACGCCCGCGCCCCCCCCGTTGCCTCCCAAAACGTGGCGGTTTTCCACAGATGTTATAAAGCGAGCTAGATGAAATGAAAGACTCTCACCAGAATTTCCAAACAGATGGAAAACATTACTTTACGTTTACCGCTCCTACAGTCGTTGAACAGGTAACCTTACCTTCATTCCAAGTCCCCCTGGCACTGGCGCTGGCACAAATGGACAGGCATCACGGCGACCGCATCTCCTCCTCCCCCCCGAGCCCCGTCGCCCTCACCCTCCGCCGCCGCGAGCGGGACGAGCGCCGCCGGCAGGCAGAGCACTACGCCCAGGGCCGGCCCCGTCCCTCGCGCACCCTCTGCGGCAACGGCGAGTGTCTGCTGCGCTGCTGCAACGTCTTCGCCACCGCGAGCCCGCGCTTCCTGCCCGTGTTTCTGCTGGGCGACAACGAGCGCAGCGTGGACGGCGTTCCCGTAAGAGACATACTCACGGACTTTGCGTATCTGGCGAGCACGCGCATGTGGCCCTCCCCCTGCTGCTCCTCCTCCTCCCCCTCCTCCGACTCCTCTTCTTTGGAAAAGGAGGAGGAGAAGAAGAAGAAGAAGCAGAAGCAGAAGCAGAGCAAGGCGCTGCTGCTCAGGGCGCAGTCTATCGAGGCGTTTGCCGCGTCGCCGCCGGCCAGGGCGGCGTATCTCGACTTCAGGGGCCTCTGCGAGAAGAACAACCTGCGCTTCGCCGCGGAATCGCGCTTCCGGGACGTGCTCTCCGCTACGATGGCTCCCTTTTGCGACGTCCTCGCTGCGCTGGACGCAGCAGCAGAAAAGTCCGACGCGGCGCGCATTGAGCCGCTCGTCCACCGCACGCTGCAAGGCTGCTTCCCTCCTCAACAACAGCGGCCCGACGACCCTCAGATGCAGCAGCACCCAGGGGACATGGGAAAGCCAGTCGCGTGGACGCACGAGGCCTGCATCATGCGCTTCCTGCTGACGGCCGAGCTGTGGCGGCGACACGACGGGCGACACATGCGCCGGCGCGGGTGGGCGGCGTGGGGAGAGGGAGAGGAGCGCTGGAGAGTGGCGGAGATGCTGTCGGCGGTGCTGCTGCAGTACTGGCTGATGGACCGGGAGAGGTGCTTCGAGAGGGTGTCGTGTCGGGGAGGGGAGCAGTGCGATGAGGTCTGGCAGGATTGGGTGGACAAGTATCCGCTGCTGGGAGATGATGACGATGATGATGATGATGATGATGAGGGGGGGGAAGAGGAGGAGGAAGAAGAAGAACGGGATGAGGCAGTCAAGAGCCCTGAGCTGGTGCCCAAGCCGCTCGGGCTCATCAAGGGGCTGGACCTGGACAAGGACGTGGGATACGTGGGCGGCGTTGGGACGGCGCATAGGGGCCCGCTATGGATCGAGAGGCGGCAGAGGCATGGCGTTGAGGGACTGCCGCAGCATTGAACCTGCTTGATCCATGAATCGTGAATACTTTCTGATTGGCAATGGGTTTGTAATAGCGAAGTTGTTTCTTTCGGCTATGAGGAAGTTTGATGGGACGCCGGATGCGGTAAACTTCGGGAGTCGGCAATTGACGGGCCTTGATTTGAAATTACACGTTATCCACGATTTTGTAAAGGAAAAATCAAAGATAAAAAAAAAAAAAAAGGAAACGAAAAAGTAAAAAGGGGAGACGAGACCTTTCACCTGCTACACATTAAAGCTCAGTTCT